AAATTAATAAATAATTTAAGATAAATTCTATCATGAAAAGTAGAAGCTCTATGAGAAGTAGCAGAAATTGATAGAAAATCGTTTCGACGAGCTGATGTCCAAGTAAACAAAAAGTATGAAATTAAGTATTTGGGAATACTTCAAATCAGTCATTTATCCTTGCGGATATTTAAAAGATAAAAAAAAGATTATCAATTACAGCATAGATAAACTTTATTACAATCTTGATATCATGCACATCCTTAAGAGACTTATTGAAGTAGAAAAGCTTAAGAGACTACTCCTTAATTCAGATTAAATTAAATTATTTGATTATTTACCAAAACCCACTATTCATGCTGATTTGATTTTGAAAAACGCAGCCAATCAAAATGTTTCAAAAAGCAAAGAAATAGATTTACTTTATTAAGACAATCGTTCTGAGTTCTAGAGAGTGAAAGATGCTTTCGAAGCATATAAAAATATTTAATCAAGACAAGAGCATAGTTTGCTTGATTAAAAAATAATAGAAATGCTTGATCCTAACTTAGTTTCAGTTTTTAATGTATAGAGTAACATGAATAATAGCAAAAACAATATTGATTTACTAAACCCTCCAAGCTAAATAAAATAAAGCATATATTAATCAAAAATTATAACATAAGAAGCTTTTTAGTCAAATAGAAATACATTAATATAGAAAGATATGGCAGCTGTTCAACTTAATTCTGAAGAAGTATCTCAAATAAGGACATGTAACTCTCCAGATTTATTAGTATTAGAATCTTGTAGAATAGCTCAATAGAATTTAGATGCCAACATCTCATAGAGTTGTTAAGTCGATGAAGTAAAAGAAACGATCAATAAATAGGATTAGTAAAATAATGTTAGTATTAACAATCAAACTTAACTACATGAAAAAACAATTTTAGAAGAAATAGCATAAGAAGATAAATACGAAGTAGCGATGCAGAAGTTTGAACCTTTCGAAAATTAAAAAATGTGTGAAATGAGCTTTACCAAATTATGAAAATCTTTTTTTAATGACATAAATATTTGTGAATCATATTGGAATTTAGTAATTTTTAATCCATTATTTTATCTCTATATGTATCTACATATTATATGTTCACTTAAATAACAAATGTTTAATTTTCTTTTTTTGATTTTATTGCTTGTTTTTGCACTCATTACCTAAATTTCAAAGCTGAAAAATTAATTTCTATTTAATTATGTATGAGTTGAATGAATTAATATAAAAAAGGTAAAATGAAAACTCCAAAAAAGCAATAACTTTAAAATAGGAATCTGAAGTATAAATGAACTTAGATGAAGCACATAAAATTAATTTGATTTTATCAAAATTTAAATTTTTTCTAAGTAAAATTACATAAATCATTCACAAGTAAATAATAAAATAGTTTGAGTATTATTATAATTATTTTTACTTTTTTGTTTGATATTACTATGAATTACTAACTAAGGAATTGTTTTTATCATTCCATTAATATTGTATGGTTTATTTTTTTTTAATAATAAATTATTTTCTAAAAACATATTTTCATTTCTAATTAGCAAAACCTAATAAAGTGAAAAGTAATCAATAAGGATTAAATATTTTAATATAGAAATAATATTTATTTATTATCTGTTTATTTCACTTAAAGAAAATCATCTATCGATCCATCCATCCATCGCACAATATTAAAAAATAACTAAAGTCAATTTTTATTTATGAATGTAATAAATTTATTTTGAGAAGAAGTATTATTATGAATAATTTATTATTCTAAATTGAAATAATCTTTCATTATTTTAATTAATTAATTTTCTCAAAATAATAGAGCAAATAAATATACTTTTACATTTATTATAATTTAAATTTGAATTTTATCAATTAATTTAACAGAATTAATTAATTAATTTATATAAATCTGCAGTAGAAATAAGAAAATCAACTTTTTGCAATCTTTAATTATTTATTTATTTATTTTTTAACATATTTGTTTTTTGCTTTCATATTGAAGCTCTTTTTGAAAGTAAGAGAAGGATTTGTTGAAAAATAAATTAGGTATTTCTTCTTAAAACTTATTTTTGGATGATAAAATAAATATTATAAAAGCTTATTTCTTAATATATCTTATTTTTGCTTTTAAAATAAATATACGGCAAAAATGTGTAGAAGCAGAAATCATCAAAAAGGATTGATTAGTGGTTTATATAAAAGTTAGAAATTAGATAATTAATTTGATAGGGCATTGTTAGACGGAGTGCAAGCAATGAGTTCTAATAATTCTTTTTAAGATGTGAAATGAATGAATGAAATTAATAAAAATAAAAGTGTAGGAGTGAGAGTTCTATTATTTTATATTGAAAAACTTAAATAAAAAAATCCAATCATAGAGTCTATCAAAAGGTAAAGAAAAAAAGAAAATTAGAAATTCATCTGAGAAGAAAATAAAGTAAAGGATAAATAGATACCAATAAAGGACAGAAATAGGCAATTTTTCTTTATACGCGAAGACCTTTAAGGATAGTTGAGTAAAATTACAAGCAGATAGAGGCCAACAGAAAGCAGGAGCATTTATTTCCAAATTTATTTTTGATTTAAGAGCTTAGAAATGGACAATAGTCAAATGACACCAGTAAAGTAGCAGCCAAAAATGCAATAATAGGATGACAATATCAATTCCTTTCAAACTTAAAGCAATGCTTTGGGGAACAACTTATTTAATGGTATGGCTACCTCATCCATTTTTTTAGCTAATTCATAAGCTAATTTGAACCCTTTAACTACAAAAGCTTACAGTAACTTAAATAAAGTGAATGAAAACTAATCATCTGACACTATGTTTTACCCAATCAATGATCCAATATTTTAACCTACTCCATCTCCAAATGTTTATATGGAGTATAAAGCTGGGAATAACAATAACCCCTATCTTAATTCTTCTTTTAAGACTAATGGGATGCTTGCTTCTACCAAGAAACCATATAACAATAACCTATTCCTCACTCCTATAAAGGAAGATGATAGAAGGAAGCCTGCCTATATTAACTCAATTCTCAAGTAAAAAACTCTTTTAAAAGCATATAGATAGAGATAGCATTAAATTACATATAAAAGCATATAAAAATTAGTATACTTAAAAAATTTTATTAAAACATTTCTTAATAAAAACAGGGATTCACCATATTTTAATGGCAACAATATTTGCAGAAAATTAAACTTCGAGGATGATGTTGATGATTTTAGTGGAAATTGTTTTAACCCTTAAGCAGGAATTTTTGAAGAAAAAAAGGGTGTATTTTCTAATTACAATATGAACTACCTGCTGATGCCTTAAAATTAGTTTTATCCAGCGTTTTACAACCCTCAATTCGAGTAAATAATTTTGAATTTCAAAACAGTTTTTTCTTTATTGGAATAGCCATTATACCAAAGAAGAGCGTTTTTACTGCAGTAAATTTTTGAATATGTAAGAGCAATTTTGATTTTTCATCATTAATAGAGTGCTTGCTTGATTGCTCTTTAATTATAGTTTGAATAGTAAAGAAAAAGTGTATTTATTGATAAAAATTGCGCTAAAAGATTAATTATTATTAATAACAAAAAAGTGATGGGAAATCAAATAGTCAAAAATCAATCTTTATTTATTAGTTGATTTTAAGAATTTAGGATTTGATTAAAACAAATAGGCAAGCAAAAAATAAATAAATAAACAAACAAACAAATAAAAGGAAAGAGAGAAGGAAAGAATAAAGAATTTATGAAAAGTTGTGATAAAAAACTAATTATTATTAAAAAAAGAAAAATTAATAAATAAATAATCTTGATTGAAATAATTAAATTTAAACTTTGAAAATCAAAACTCAAATTTTCAGCTGAAAAATTTAGCAGCAAAAAACAAAAATTTTGGAGATCAAAAAGATTTATTTATTTTTTTAAAGCAGAAAATTAATTTTAAACAATTTTTAAAAAGAAATCAATGGCATATTAAATGATATTTACTTACCTTAAATTAACTCCCAAAAATTAGTGATCAATCAAATTTTACACAATTTAGCGCATTTAGAATAAATACTTCAAACTTTTTTTGCGTTTATTAAAAAATGGTCACTTTAGCTTGGGTTTTTATAATTATTTATTCACAAAATGTCTGTCTCTACATACACAAATACATAATTGCCTATTTATAAAAATTTCCTTTCTCTTTATTTCATTGTATTTAATTTAGTCATCAGATTGATTTCTAAAGGATTTTGAGAACTTAATTAATTAATCTTTCTCCAAAATAAATAAATACTGTCTGGATATTTAATTAAATTTTATTTATCTTAGACCGACTATTCTAATTAAAGATAAATTTTATTAATATTTTTTATGACTTCATATTCCATTAACTCAGTCACCAAAAAATCAATTAATTTCTGAATAAAAAATAAAAAAACGATAAAATAATTTTTTATATTTTATCTCTTACTAAAATCTACATTTTATGAATTTAGATTAAAAATGATATTTATAATTTTTATTCTATTTTAATAATTAGCTTTTTGAATACAAGTATTAATAATATGGATTTTCAAGTACTCAATTATAATAAGAGTTTACTGACTCCCTTTGTAAACGAATCTCCTGAAAGTAAAAAGGGTAATAATTACAATAACCGAATTGAAACAACTTAGATTCCCAAATAATTTGAATAAGAAAGCAGCTCAAAAAAAACTTAAAAACCAACAAAAGAAGGAGATAAAAATAGTGTCAATAATACAGAATAAACAATTACTACAGACTACAATAATAGCTTTTCTAACTAAAATAACCAAAAAAAATTATAAACTATTCAATAAAATGGAAATTCACACATCTAAGCAAATGCTAGCTCAACAAATAATCAAGCAAATTCAAATAACACTATAGCTCCTTAAGCATCAGTCTTTTCAAGTAATCAGAAAAAACAAAAAACTTGCAATTGTAAAAAAACAAAATGCTTAAAACTTTATTGCGATTGTTTTGCAGCAGGCGAATTATGTGGTGGTGAGTGTAATTGTTTTGGATGTTTTAACACATCAAATAGTGAAAAACGTGCTGGAGCTATTGTAAGCATTATGGATAGATAACCAGATGCTTTTGGTCCAAAAGTACAGCAAAACACTCATAAAAAGGGTTGTAATTGCACTCGTTCTGGTTGCTTAAAAAAATACTGTGAGTGCTACACTTTAGGTGTTAATTGTGGTGAGTATTGCAAATGTACCTAGTGTAAAAATGTTGATTTAAATCATTCAGAAAGATTAGCACTATCAATGAATGGCAGCAATGGCATAGGAAATAGTGTCGATTTACCTAAAAAATCCTCTTCAGATAAAAGATAGCAACAGCTAGACGAAATTGAAACCAAAGCAAGTACCAAAAAGAAAATCTTTTCGAATTAAGAAAACAGCAAATTTGCTTCTAATAATTCATCATCTAACAATTCGAATAATGAAGAAGAGGAAGAGGAAGAAGAAAATTAAGAATTAGATGAGGAATTAGAAATAAAGTAAAATAGCAGAATGAATAAAAACATGAAAGAAAGAGAAGATGATATTGATGATGAAAATGAATAAGAAGAAGAGGAAGAGGAAGAATAAGAAGAAGAAATCAACTAAGATAGGTAAAGATAGATCAATGAACAAATTTCTCCATCTTAAAAAATGTACACAACTCCTCTGAAATAGCCTATTAAATAAGATTCTAGAAGTTTAACAACTGCTGATACTGCCAAAAAAAACTAATGCCAAGAAAATGATTCAGAAATAAAGAACAGAATAGTTAAATTAAAGATTAGTGAGAGCCAGTCTACTAAGAAATAGCAACCAAATAAATCAGAAAATCAAAATAACCATGAGCATCAAATTGATTAGGAAGATCATAGTGCTATTAAAACTTAAACACAATTTTCGACTATAAAAAATAAATCTTAAATAGCTAAAACCACTAAAATTAGTTGATTTATTTAATTACTGAGAAAGATATTTGATCAACAGACAAACAAACAAACAAATAAATAAATCTATATAGATGTAAACAAAAAATAAATAAATAAATATAAATTTAAGTTTTCAATAAAACCAATCCTAATATCTATCAATAAATTCTCAAAATATAATAACGAAAAATATATAACATATCTATCTTATTTATTAACTAAATAAAACTCTACAAAGTTGCTAAGCTAGCAGTCAAAAAAATTGGATATTTTACTATAATATACACAATCAATCAATCAACCTTTAAAAATCTAGAAAGTGATTTAAAAAATAAATTATAAATCGAATAAAATCAAACAAATAAAGGAAGAATAAATAAATAAATATATTATCTATAAAAAACTACTAAAAGAAAAGGAAGTATTCAATAATAAACAAGCAAGCAAATAGAATTTCTTTCTAACAACTAACATAATACACATTCATAATCACAATAAAAATTAATAGTTAGTAATACTGCTAAATAAATTTATTTATTTGTTTTTCCTTAGCACCAAATTGCAAATAGCTACAACATACCTATCACCTTACACCCATTTATTATAAGATCTTTTACATTTTTTCCATAAAAAGAGAGATAATAAAATAAGCAAATAAATAAAACAACAATAACCTTAACTTAACTGTGCTATGGCATTCATTAATAATATTGTATAATTTTATGAGCTCTAAATAAATAATTATTTTTCAAAAATACTAACAATTCTTAATATATCCTTAGCTGCTCTTATTTTCACTTTTTAGAGAGCATAATCGTTAATAATAACAATTGAAATAGAAATAAATGAATAAAATATAATTTATGTATCTTAAAGAAAATGATAAAAAATATATTCCTTTTCTTGTAATCAATAAAAAAATAAAATATATATCTTATTAGTCTTATCTTCTCAAATATTAACTTTTCTTTTAGTTTCCTTCTTTCCTTTTATTTAAATTTCTGTGAATTTTCATCTATCAATAATTTTGTTTGTTTTTTTGTTTGTTTGATGGATTGACGCTTTAATTAATTGTTACAATATAAATTATATTGTTGACTAATTTACATAGTCCATAGAAATAAAATAGATGGTTAGAGAAATACTTGCATAAATAATATTTAAAATTTATAAATATTAAAAAATCAGGTTATTTATTAATTTTCATAATCATTAGAACCTCATAGATTCAATTAAATAAACTAAATGAAACTATTAAAATAAAATTGTATTCATCCCAGTGTTAACATGTTATATTTATTTATTTCTTATTCCATATGCTTTAATACTCAAAGGGCTTGTAAGCTTGCATATTTTTTGGATTATTCTCATTAATAGAATTTGGAATTATTTAAAGATAACAATTTAATAAGTAAATATATAAAAATAGGTATTTTGGGTTTATTAAGGATATTTAAAATATTTTTATTTCATGGGAAATTGATGATAATAAATGGATCTTTCTAAAATAACTCCAAAAAATAAAAAAAGGGGATGTTTTGTATGGAATTATTTTGAAGACTTTAATTAATAAATTGAAAATTTAAAAGATTAAGATACGATTTAAAATATAAACATATTTTGCTGGGTTTAGATTTTAAACAACCTTTTGATTTTTAAATAAGTGAAAAAATCGAAATGAAATCAATAAACATAAATTATATTCATATTTAAGAAAAGTGAGATATATATATAAATATACTTGTTCACAGTATTTGAAATAATAGGCGAACAAAATTGAAGATTTTTTTAGGATTCACATACATTAATTAATATGTTCATATATACTTCGATCAATCGATCGATAAGGACATAAGCATTCATTCATTCATTCAATTCTATAAAAATGATTTGATTATTCATGTATTGTATTGTATTTAATCAATAAATATTTTTAACTACAAGAAAACTGATAAATATATTTATAATAAAAAAATAATCTTTTTCTGCTATAGTATTAAAAAAGAGTTACAAACAAATAAACAAACAAATCAAAATAGAGTTCAAAGAGAGCAATACTAAAAAAGTAGTAACTTGAAGGTAAAAAGGCTAATTTAAAAAGGAAACAGCATTCAGTAGAAAATTTGAAGTAATTCGATTAAAAAGTAAGAATCATCTGTGAAAAAAACACTATCAAATATTTAAAAACAGAATTTAATCATGGGTTGTGGTAGCAGTACATAATAAACTAAAATACCAAAATCAAAAAAGGATGATAAGATCCTAGGTAATGAAGTTCCCGAATACTACGTAGGAGAGGAAACAAACTAGCAAAAGACTTTGCACGACGATGATGATGATAATCAGAAGACTGAAAAAAATATAGCTTCAGTTGTTATGGATAAAAAAGAAGAAAAGAAAAGAGTAGTTAAAAAAGGTGGTGTTAAGAAAGTTAGAGGAGATTATGATTCTAATGAGGCTATTGTAGAAAAAATTAACAAGTTGAACAAATCAAAATCAAAGTCAGACCAAGATCTTATCATGAATAGTTTAAAAAACCACTATGTATTCTATGCACTCACAGATGAAGAACTTGAATTTGTCACCCAAAAAATGTTTTACTGTGAAAATACTGCTGAGTACGTTTTTAAGCAAGAAGACAAAGCATCATCATACTTCATTATTGAGAGTGGTTAAGTTGACATCATTATTAACGATGAGGTAAATAAATATTTAGTTTATTATGAAATTTTTAAATGCAATTTATCCTTCTACGTTTAGCTTTTTACCATCTAAAAACAAATTTAATGAATGGCCACATAAACATCTTTTTTGGTGAATAAATTAATTAGTCTTACTTTGTTTTTCATCGTTTGGAACTTTAAATTTATTAATTAGTGATATTTATTGATTTTTAATGAGTTTCATAAAACTGATATCAACTCAACAACACCAAATAACGCATTAAATTAAATTAGCTATATAGATATGAAAATTAATGAATCTCTGTTTGTTTGTTTTCTTATTCTTTTTCATATCTAAATTTATAGGTGAAAAGAACACTTAATCCTGGAGAGAGTTTTGGTGAACTAGCTCTTCTCTATAATGCTCCAAGAAGTGCCTCTATAAGATGCAAAGGCAATTGCCATTTTTGGGCTATAGATCGTAACTCCTTTAGAAAAACAATAGGTAAAAAATGAACTAAAATTTAAAATGTTTGCAATTGGATTTTTATATTTTCTTTCAAATTACATGAATGAACTCAAAATTAGTTCTAAACTATAAAATTAAAATCTGAATATGAAATTATTTTAATCAAGAGGATATGGTTTAGAAGAACTACGAGGCTAATAGAACTTTTATGGAGTAGGTCAACTTTTTCAAGTCTATGAATAGCGAATAAAAGGATAGCATTGCATCAGCCTTGATTAATATCAAATTTATGAAGGGAGAGAACATTGTTAACGAAGGTGATGCTGCTGATTCTTTCTTTATGATTAAAGAAGGTACTGTTTCAGTTTGGAAAGATAAAAAAGAAATTAGAAAGCTTGGAAAAGGAGATTCATTTGGTGAGTAAGCCCTTTACGTTAGTAGCAAAAGAGCCGCTTCCGTCAGAGCAGAAGGTCCTGTTAAATTATTGTCTTTAGGTAGAGATAACCTAACAAAAATATTAGGTGATAAAATTTAGGTGAGAATTTATTTTAAAAACTTTACTATACAATTTGATAAGTAAAATTAACCTAAATATTTAGAGATAAAACAGATTCATAAAATTTTGATTAATATTTAAGAAAGAAAAAATTAAAATATTTTAAAATAGGATTGATTGATTTAAAAAGTAAAAGAAATAAATAGTTATTATCAAGATTATTACTTAATTTTAGCACATAAAAAATCACATTAAGATATTAAAAAAAAGTAGTTAAAGGTATCTTTTACAAATTTTTAATCAGCTAGAAAAATTATCAGTTTGATAATTTCAATTTTTTTATTGTAAATTAAAAAATTGAAACAGTTAACAAACAAATAAATAAATAAACAAAAAAGTATTTAAATTATAAAAAATATCCAATCCTTATTAATAATTGCAAAATCAAAACTTTTATTAAAAACAGATAAATCCAGGCTTTTTATTATTAACATATTTTTTTAATTTTAAGAAAACCTTGTAAATTTTATTTAATAAATTACTAAAATATTTTTCTTGGTTAATGCTTATCAATTTAAAAAAAATAATTATTTGTTTGATAAAATTATTAAAAATAAAAAAAGGTCATCATTTTCAACAATATCATTAGATGGAGTTTTGCTAAATCTGACTTATTAAAGTAGTTGACTAAAATTTAAGTTGAAAAGATCACAAATAATTGTAAAATAGCCAACTTAAAGCAAGGTTTCCACTTGTATTCAAAGGATGAAGCTTGTGATAAGCTTATCATAGTCTTAGAAGGTACTGTTTGCACTTCCAGTGGTAAAGAAATTGCAACTAAAGGTTAAATGTATGGTGATGAATTCCTAATTACATCAAAACAAAACTAACAATTTGCAGAAGATATCATCATGAAAACAGATGGGTATGTTTTTATTCAACTATTTAGAATATTTTGTTTACCAAAAATAAAATGAAAAGTAAAATTTTGCAATTTAGGAGAGTATATTCCATCATTAACTAATTTTTTATGGAGTTAATTATAATTTAAAGTTTTTTTAAAATTTGTAGAGTATCATAATTTATTTTTAAATCAAAATGAATGATAAATAGCCACAAGTTATTTTTAGAATAAGTGAATTAGTAGTAACAAGAAATATATTTTTTTATAATTGGATGCACTAGCTTAAATAAAATAGCGATTAATTTGTGATTAAATAGGTTAAATTTTATAATAAGAATTAATAAAATATAAACAATTTTAAATTTCTTACTGGAGCGATGTACATTAATATAGCAGTAACAGCAACAGCTGCTTTATTTTAATAATTTAATTATAAAAAATCCAATGATGCATTTTTTTAAACTTTCTAGTGAATATGTGACTGAATATTCCCTTAATTTAAGAAAAATTTAATTTTTTAAATGCAAAGCAAAACACTTCTTACGTAATATATACCTTTTATATAAATTTTTTATCATCAAGGAATAACTTTTTCGCAGCAGTCATTTTGTGCAGTAAAAAAAATTGAGAAAATATATTTAGGCAGAAATGTAAATAAACAAATTAAAGCAAAACAAAAGAGATAAGATAGATTAAAAATTTTAAACTAGATGGATAAAAAATTTATTGTTTATATTTACACATACATTTAATTTGCTTTCTCTATAATAGAAAGGAAGCTTAATAAAATTCTGAGAAAATTCGATTAATTGATTTATTTTTTTTTACAAGTTTTGTTTACAAATGACTTGCTTTGATAATAATATTTTATTATGTTGATTTATATTTAGCATCATAAAAAGTTTTGATGATGAATAAATATTACAGAGTATAAGCGATAGTGAGTGATATAAAATTTATAATTTTATTCTTTTTGCGGATTTTAGAGGTATGATTCATATCCCGTGCTTACCTTTATAATTGCTTTTCAATTACGCAAGTAGCGCGATAAATAAAATATCCCCTTAGATTTTTAGATTGATTATCTAGTGACGCAAATTTTGATTGCGATTAGGAAAACTCTATCAATTTTGAATATAAATTCAAAGACATGAAAAGAATTATATATCAATAAATAATTAAGATTGGAAACAAAATCTCCCATCAATTCTATTACGATTAATCAGAATCGAAATAGATTTGTTAAGATAGATATTCTATTTTCTTAGATCACTAATCTTAATAAATACTTGCGTAAAATAACAAAACTGAAAGAGTCCTTCCATTCCCTTCACTTCCCTCCCATTCAATTAATTGCTTAATTATTTTTAAAATTTTCAATTCTAAATTTCATCAATACTTTAAAATTTCGCTCAAAAAAAACTTTTTACTGATCTAAAGATATTTATTTATTATTTTTTTTGAATTTTCATTAAAATTAGAGTCTTTCCTTTAATTATTTAAAGGCAGAAAATAAATAAATAAATTGACATCTGTATTTAAGTTTAATTTATTCCTGTCATTGGTTAAATTTACTTTTGCTTATGCTTATTAAATAACTAATACAAATAAAATAATCTTAGCGATATTGAAAGCAAATACATAAATACATTTCTTTAAATAATTTACAGCAAGCACAATAAGAATTTATTCTAATTTTTTTTTCTACTTTTATATTTATGTTGGAGAAAGGTGGAGCGTGGTAGCCACATTTAATTTTGAGAGTGGTTAATTTAAACAAGTTTTAAGATGATTTTGAAATGTTGATGAAAAGCTTTTTACAAGTAAAGGGGAGGGCAATTTATAAGTGTTTTAAATAGTGTTAAAAAATAAATAAATGAATGAATGCCTAAATTTAGAAGCATTTCAGATTACTTTTGATTTTAAACAAAGACGAAATTTCTTCTTGCATCTCATATGATTTGACATAAATTGAATTAGAAATTTAATGCTTTGTCGTATTAAATAAGATGAGAGTCACTATTCTAATTTTTCATTCAAATTATTGCATCAAAATATTTTGAAAAGAACCCACCCTGTAAAACGGTTCACTTTCTCTTTCAATCGACTTGATTATTACAAATTCGTAGAATATGAAAAAAAAAATTAATTATTGATTAAGTAAAGGCTTAATTAAATTAACAATTTCTTTAGATAGTCGCCAAAGGAATTAAAATTTTTTTGTAATGAAATTTTAGTAATTAAAAAAGCAAATAAAATTAATTGTTAACAAAAAAAAGGAAAACAATTAAAAGGAAAGTGATAATACATAATAGCACACAACAGACTATCTTGCTATAAATAAGACTATCCTTTTTTAATTTATTATAAACAACACCATCCATATTCTACTTTAACAAATTTAACACTCACTCCACTCAACAAATATACAAACCAACCAACCAACAAACAAACAAACTGTATTCTATAATATATCAATAATTTAACCTACTTCACTTACTAACCTCCTACTGAATTTCTTTCTTTCTATACTTCGCTGCATCTATTACTTGCTGAATAAATATATAACAATTTTTATCTATAATTAATCAATTAATACTCTAAAAACTTACTTTAGACCTACTTGAATTAAAATATTTGAACTTTAAAACTTGTTACTACTACTAACTAATTAAAATTAATTTTTATCCAATCTAATTTAAGATATAATTTCTATCAACCAATAAATAAATTAATTAATTAACACACATACAATAATATATTTGAATTAAAATTAAAAATGATAACATCTTTGGCTAAAAAATACTCTACATCTCATTCTCCTTGCAAACGTAGCAATATGGAATAAACTTCATCAACTATTTCGAATACTCCCTTACCCTTAATTGGAAGATCTCCATCTAAATTTTATCATTAGCATATGGTTTAAGAGAATAATAAGATTGAATTTGTATCATCAGACTCTCTTTCTGCAAACAACCATGAAAATATATAAATGCACATTCATTAAAAGATTATTGATTAAATCAATGAAAAATATTAAATGAGTTCTGATACACAAAGCATATTCCCTCTTCATAAGAGTTCCATCGACGATGCCGTTTGTAGGCTATCGCTTGATGCTGATGATTTAAATACCCCCAAATCAGACTCAACTATGGATTCTAATTAAGATGAAGAGGATTAGTAGAAATAGGGTAGATCAATTTTTAAAAGAGTTAAAAACCTGTTAAATGCAAAATAAAAACTTTTCTTTATAAACACTTTGAATTTTACTTTACAATATTTGATCCCTTCTTACCGTAAATAATCGATAACTAGTGTGATCAGTTCGATTTCTTACAAGACATTCTAAAAATGCATTGGAGGTGACATCGAAAAAGTTATTAAAGCTAATGAGGACTCTCACGAAAAGAAAATGGCTAACTTGGAGGATAAAAAGGATTACTCTCACATCAAGCTCGATCACTTGATTTTTATCAAGAAGCTAGGATTTGGTTAATTCGGTTCAGTCTACTTGGTCAGAAATAAGTAATTTCGTTTTTGATTTTTTATTAAATTTACGTATTTAGAGCATTTCTGCGCAATTATGGTTCTATTCCAGTACTTATATGAATGCAATTAATTTTGTTCTACCTTTTAAATTTTTGGTTAGTAAAAAATAAATAACAAACAAGTAATAAATATATATCCTAATGCTATATCTTTATTTATTAATTAATTAATAATATTTTTGCTAACTTTTAAATCTTATTACAGAAAAACATTTTTTAGTAATAAGCAATCTCTATACATGCAAATAGAGTAGAATTAAAAAATGATTTGCATAAAGATAAATAATCTCTTTTTTTCGTTACAATCATCACATAATTTCATAATGCTTTTCAAAAAATAAATCAAATTTGCGAGTGAAGTTTTTTTCTTCCATTTGAATTGAAAAAAAAGCTTAACTATTAAAAATAGTAGCATTGAATTATTTATTAATTTAGACTTTTCAATCAGCCTTAAAAAAGAATTTAAAATACAATTTTGATGAAATGCGATATTAAAAAATAAATAATCAGCTTTTATTCTTAATATAAACTTTAAATACTAATTTTAGTTTAATCATTTATTTGTATATTATAGGGATTCCGGTGCTCTGTATGCATTAAAGTCTGTTTCAAAGGCTTAGATAATTGAATAAAATCTTGAAAAACATCTTCTTTAAGAAAAGCAAGTCTTAGAAACTGTTAACTTCACTTTTATTATGCAATTTATCCGCACATTTAAGGATAACTAAAGTGTCTACTTCTTAGTAGAATTTATTTCAGGAATGGAGCTTTTCGATGTTATTAGAGACATCGGTTTACTCTCTACATCAGATTCTTAATTTTATATTGGAACCTTGATTCTATGTATGGAATATCTCCACTCTCGCAACATTATTTACAGAGATATTAAACCTGAAAACATTATGGTTGACTCTAAGGGTTATATGTACATGATTGATATGGGAACAGCTAAAATCCTCAAGCAAGGAAAACACCCAGGTACTAATTTATTTATTTATTTATTACTTATTTTAATATAACAATTCGATTAAGGAGTAAAGTTTTTTCAAGCTAATTAATTTCTACAAGCTCTACTTTGGTTATATTTTTAATGAAATCATATTACAATAAACAAAAAAAGTATTTCATAAAGAAAATAATAATAGAGCTGAATTTTAACAAACTCTTTTTTTACTGGAATTTTATTCTTTAAATTTTAACTATTTTTGGAGGGCGATCCATCAATTAATCCATTTATTCATAATACGTAAGACTTAATTAATATTGATAAGCTTATATTTCAATGAATCTGTCAATCTAAATAATAAAATATGCATAAAGGAAATAAATGAAAAAGTTCATCATAATTACTTAACATTCTTTAAATGTATTTTTAACAAAATGAAATGTCTTCTCATCTAGCTTAAATTTATTCACAAAAGTATTTGATAAGAACGCAAAATAATTAACAAATGAATTTTGGTAGGTTTGCAAAAAAATAAACAAAGAAAATTTTAAATGGTAAAATGAAGAATAAAATTATTGTCGGACTAGTACAATTGCCAAAAGATAAAATTAACTTGCATGAAAAAAAAGAAGATTATTTTAATTGCAAAAAAACAAAAAGCAGTAGAAACTCCATTTAAAGCAATACACAAAAAGCAACATGCGTACCCTTAGTGGTAGAAAAAACCCCCCACTATGAAAATTAATCGAAATGGAATAACTTGGTCGAGAAATAAATTTTGAAAGGAGGAGTTACCTTGCTTGTTTGTTATATAACAGTTAAAATAGCAATTAAAACAATTAGTCAGTGACTAGCTAAATAGCTCTCTGTCTATGATAATTAAAGGGAGTCAATCTTCTACCTTTGTTGATAATACGTTTTAGTTAATATAAGTTAAGTTAAATGAAAGACGTACTTTCATTCTATATACATCATTTATCATTTAATTAACATAGATGCATTCATGATATTCTTATCAAATTTTCAACCTTATGTTGTTATTCAAACATTGCTTAATATAATTCATCTCCTATTTTATATTTGCATTAATCTACATCAAACTGCAAAATACTAAATCTAAATATTTCCTACCCTCTTTTTTAATTATTTTTCTACCATTTACTATAACTATAAAATAGCTTGAAAAAATTACGCTTTTACAATAAAGCATTTTATCCAGTGCAAATACTCTTTAATTCTTTTCTAAATGAATTTATTAATTAATTAACATATTTATCTTACCATCTTTCAATTATCTATAGGTCGTACATTCACTATTATTGGTACTCCTCACTACATGGCTCCAGAAATTATTCAGGGCAAAGGTTATTCCTACAATGCAGATCTTTGGAGTGTAGGTATCTGTCTCTATGAATTCCTCTGCGGTGGCGTACCATATGCCGAAGAAGCTGAAGATCCTTATGAGATCTACGAAGAAATCATAAAGAAGAATAATGTTAAATATCCAAGCTTCTTAAAAGACAAAAAAGCAAAACGTTTAATTGATTAACTTTTATCAAAGGTCCCTGAATTACGTCTTGGCGGTAGCTTCGCTGCCCTTAAAGCTCATCCTTGGTTCGACAACTTCTCTTGGGATGATTTATATAATAAAACCATGAAACCACCCTATATTCCTCCTGAAAACAAAATTATACATGATAAAGAAATCATGGATATGGCTAAACAAGGTAGACTTGTTATTAACGAAATCAAGCACGAATAAGAAAAAGGAAAAGAATACAATAAAGAACGCGCTCGTGATCCTAATTGGGATAAGGACTTCTGAACAAATAGATTATTAGAATCGAGAGTAAATCACCTGTCTACCTACATACATACATAAATACCTACATACCTACCTATCTATTTATCAATAATCATTTAATATATATATTTATATGTAATTATTCTAGCTAAAATATTTCTATAAAAAAACGAACAAAAAAACAAGCAAACTAATAAAGAAATAAAATAACTCAAAACAAGTAGAAAATAATACACTAGAAGAAACAAACAATCGTAACAATCATGTCTATAGTAATATTTTATTTTGGCTAATTTGAGTAGTATTTTGATATAATAATTTATAAGAATCATATGACATTCATTCTATATAAGTTCATCGTAATGTATCTCATATATATTATTTATATCTTTTATTCGACATCAATATCTATCTATCTATCTAACTATCTTTTATTTTCTTTAAACACCTTTTTCAAAAGAGCAAAAAAAAAAGTCATATTAAAATTCTAAAATTCCTTAAATTAAATAAATAGTAAAATTAATTTTCAAAAATCCTTAAAATTAATGAATTTAAATCAAACTTAATGCCTTTATTATAAATAAATTATTTAAATTCCTTTAATTAAACAGCAGTAAAACTCATTTTTCTTAAAATTAATTTTAAACTCTTAAAAAAACACAATTATTTAAAGAATTTTTGTTTTAAAAATAAATTCGTTAATAAATTCCACACAACATATAAAAAATCTATGAAAATTGTTAATTTAGGGATAACAAATTTCATTTTTCTTTTAATGATTAGCTAATTTTGATCATATCAGTTTAATTAGTGTTAATATTTAAAATATATATGCTTTTCTTTCAGATTTCAGAGAGAGTCTATCTAACTCTTTAGATTAATTTACATTTTTTAGAAAAATATAAAAGGAAAAAATATGTTTATAAAAGCTTGATATTTTGTTAACATGAATTTATTTAAAGAATATCTTACTAGATCTAAAAATTAGATTCAGTGTTGTTAAATATATAGAATAGAAAACAAATACATACAATTGAAAATGAGTATTAAAGAAATGACAATACAAAACAGTAAAAATAGTAAAGAAATTTAAAATACAGAATTTGATAATTATAATTTGTAACCTTTCTAATTACAAGAAAATCTAATGAGAAACTTCAATAGAAATTGTTTGTAAACATAGAGAGGTAGATCCCCCTTAATGATTTACTATCAATCTAATTTGTGGAAAAACCTTCGACAGACAAATTATTAGTTAATCTATATATATAAACAGATTTTGTTATTGCTTTTTAATTTAAGAAATTATCATGAATTTTTGTTTGTTTATTAGTTAATCTATTTCTGGGGGTAAATATTTTTTTATTTATTTTTATTATTTTTGCTTTCAATTATAAAAAGTAGATTTTTGAGATTTCCATTTGGAATTAACTTTGAAATATAATTTAAAAATGTATCAAATTAAATTGGAGATAAATGGTTTGTTTGCTGTTTTGATTGTAAATTTTGTTTAGATCAGTTTACTTGAATGCATGTGTTTTTATGGAATATATTATTTTTACTCTATATTGCATTTTTGATTTATTGATTCTTTAGGTTTTTTGAATGATTTTTAAGATTCTACTTGAACGAATCTATAGTAAATACTAAAATTAATAATTTATTTAAGATATTGTATGAGAATTGAGATAGTTCGTACTATAAAGTTAAATAGATCAAAATTCTGTTAGAATATCAATTAAGTAAATTATTTAAATTTTAAAAATAGAAATCAAAGATATTTCAAATACTTAATATATGAAGTACATAAAAAAACATAGTGATAGTGAAATTAAGTGCTAAAATATTTTATTATTCTTTCATTTATAGATGTCTTTGATATTCTTTTTGTAAACATCGTCAGAAAAATTATCCATCATCATCATGTTTTGATTTTTGTTACTATTTTTAGGAGCATCTTACTTTATTTAGAAAATACTTGAAAATTATTAATTCTTTATGTTTAATTTATTTCTAATATGCTTATACACGTGATACGACTATCCTATTGTTACCTTGTGCTTCATTGCATTTTCATATTATGCTTCGACATTAGTTGTATCGTTCCAAAGCTCTTCATAAATATCTAAATAGAAAATCTATTCGAAAAGACTTCCTTTTGGGCTAATATTTTCATTATCCTAGCTCAAACACCTTAGTATAAACCTCCCTAAAGCTATTTTGAAGTTTATCAAAGTTACTGATTTATCTATAAATGATATTATTGGCTATAACTCTTTTTCAGTTATTACAATCTGGTAAGCAGGGTTACATAACTCTACTAACTCATCCATATTCATCTCTTCCAAGCATTTGATGATGTCGTTCAAGTGTACCAATTTTAGATCTTCTAAACATTACTTGATTTTGATATCTTATTATCTTATTTAAAGCTACGAAAGCGCAGAATCAATAGAAAGATTTCCTTGATTTTTTTCTGATTTAAACATTTAGAAAACAGTTGATAATTGCTAAAGCAATTCATAAACCTGAGTTTTGTTTTAGAATAAGCCTTATATTCTATTTTTCATTTATTAGGAGATTTACTCTTGCTCAATAAGGTTATTAGATAGCAAGCCTATTTGGTTGATTTCTGATAAAAAGAAAAACTTTTAGCTTGATTCTAAATTAATTTGCACTGCTCCGTCAAGTACCTACTCTATCAATTCTTCTTAAAGTAGTCTAAAATCAAAAATATAACTAAAACCTCTTCCATACTCTAAATTACTTAAAAAATAAAGCATGTAAATATTTCCATCAAAGGATTTCATAATATTCTTCGAGCAATCAATATTCTAAATTGGCAGTTCATTTAATTTATCTTGCTCTTTTGAAGAATGATCAATAAGAATATTATAAACTAGCTTTTTAAGTCTAGGAAATTCCTCAAGTTTTTCTAGCTTAACCAGCTGATATATTTTATTGATAAAATTGTTCTATTAATTGACTAATAACTCTAAGACATTGGGGAATTATCCGAATTATTTATCTCCTGTAAAAAGCAAGTCACTTAATTTGGTCTTTTCAGTAATTTGCTAAATTTAATGGGACTGGCAGCCTATTTGGTACTCAATTTCTCTCTCTTTAATCTTTTTTTTATTAAAATAAATTATTTTATAAATTAAAAATATTTCTTAAAATTTTATTTGTAAATTGAATAAAAACTTACATCTTTCCAGTTTGGTATGATTTATTCTGTATAATACTTGTACAGGGAGTGATTTTTTTAATTACCAAGTGCTTCAAAAAGAGTTATTTCTTAAGCTTTCTTTTTTGTGAATTTCTTGATGAAGAGACTATTTATTTACTAAGTGAAATATACGAAGGACTTAAGAGACTTTGATAGATATTCAAATTTAGGCAAGTCTAAAAATTCTTTCAAGATTTTCAATTCATCATTCTTTGAATTTTACTTTATATATGACTGTATAAATGAGCTAGACAGATTTAACTCAGTTGCTCTTAGATTTCTTAAATAATTTTAAGAAATTTAGTTATCATTCGGATTGTCTTTTTCTAAAATTACTGGAACTTGTTCGCACTTTGAATTAAGTATAACTTATTATGATTTCTTTATTATTGCAATAATCTATTGTGAAAATTAGGAATTCAAACTTGCCCTTTGTTATTAATTGCATTCTTTAATTTGGTTGTTGGTGATTAACTCATTTATGATTTTAAATAAAATAATTGTCTATTCGCTTTCGGATAGATTATACATTTATTTCATATTACTAGTTATATGGTTAAGAGCTATATCTATTTATTCGTTCATGTATTTTACAGGATCTGCTTCATAATGTATTCTTAAATTCCTATTAATTTCTTTTGTTTATACACTTATTTCACCTTATGACTTCATATTATACACTTGCATACTTACAGAAGAGTTATATTTTTTATTCAACTGAAATGCTAATAACAAAGAATAGTAATATATTAAAGCAAAAATTCTAAAGTCAAGACTTGTTCCTTAATCTAATTTAAAAGTAGGCATGTCGTCTTCTAACTTAATATAAAAACCTGTCCATTAGTTATTAATTTTTATATTTTCTAACTAATCAGGTTTTTTATGAGCTTCAGTTAATACTTGAGTAGTGTTTTAATTACCCAATTAGATCAATTTACCACATTACAAACATGGGTAAACAGATTTTAGATGTGGACATGCGTCTGAAAAAATATATTCTTTACAGTTAATGCACTGATAAAGTTGAGTGTTTCTTTAGGAATCTCTGTGGAATAAATATATATTGTTGTACATCATGAAAGGGTAATGTGAATTTTTATTTAATATGCCATTAAATATGTTTCCAAAAACATTTTGAGACTGCTTTAATTTTTTTTCTAAATATACTTTTAGGATATTTTTAATATGGTCATTTTTGTTTTCAAAAAATTCTTTGTAGTCTTTCATTTGCACCTCACTTAAAAATGAAGAAGAAAGCAAACCTTAAAATGCTTTAGAAATCTATTTAAGCCAAGTACAATCTTTGAAATATGGAGACAAATTCATCTTTTGCTGCATAATATCTCCTTATTTGTACTGATTGTAGAACGATTTTGCAAGATATAATTGTAAATTAGAATCTGTCATGTTTGTAAAGAATTGTTTTAAGTCATAGTCGATTTGTCTATACTATGTGACATTTTTATTGATCAAACCGATTAAATGTTACACCACATGCCTGAATACAGCCATATAAATTAGTTTTTACATCTATGTTAAATCTTTTAATTAGCAGTTATAGAGAATCGGTAAAAGATATTAACTAGATGAAATAGTGGTTATTGAATTTTTAATAATGTTTTATTAGATTGCATTAGAGAAGATTACCATGTAACGATATTCAGTAGATTAAATTTCAATTAATCTTTTTTATAAATCAGTTTAAAAGATATTTACTAGCTTTTCTTCTGATTTGATAGAAAAGGAAAGCTCGTTCATAATTAGATTAAATTTGATTAAAATATTTGTTGGGAATTCTTGATTGTTATTTACATAAAATGATTCTATTTAACCAACTATGGTAAAAAGTTACTTTGTGAAATCAGGACAATATTCTCTTTCTCTGCATTTAATAGCACTGTAAATAATTTCAAGCAAGAATTTATTCCACTTGAGTTCAAAATCTGTTTATTTGTTATCTTAATTAAACAAATCAGCAGGAAATTCAAATTCTTTTTCACTTAGTATTTCTGATTACATACTCAAATCTAGTTGATAAAGGTTTTTCAATTGTATTTTGAGGTCATGTAAATACAATTCTTCTAAATTTTAGAAGAATTCAAGGTTTATGAAATTAAGTATTTTTAAATTGACAGAAAGTCCTTTGATAATTTCCTCAATAAAGCAAGAGAGAAGTAAAAGTTCTTGCTTTATCTTCAGGATATCCTCTTACTTTACTTGTAGTTAATACAAATCAATAAACTAGACTAACTAGCTGATTATTTATTCATAGTCAATTTTGTTCAATTTGACTATTTAAAATACCTATTTACTAGGCTGAATAGATTAATAGATCTTGCTGACCAAATATCTTAAGAAATTTCTTATATTTGCAGGATTATTATTTTAATTTATATTTTCCTCCATGATTTTTTACACAGATAAAAATGGTTCAAACTGGGACATAATATTTTCAATTTTTACTAAATCACTGCTGTAAAAGTAACAAAAAGCAGTCTGTTATATAACTTATTCCAGATTATTTTTATTCAAATTAAATTAAGGAGAATGAAGCAACCAAATTAATATATTTTTTTGATATTGAGTGATGTTTTACTTCAAATATTTGTAAAAATCATTTAAGAATAGTTCATTTAGCGAAGCACATGCCTCGAGATCGCTTTATTTGCACAACTATTAAAGACTTTTTTTAATTTAAGAGCAAATTTCTTAAAATTTATTTAATTTGCTTGTCTCCTGTTATTCATTTTGGGTTATTCCATTAATTGATAGATCAACATTTGCTATTATGCTATTTATAATGCTATATATTTTTTCACTTTCATAAAATTATAGATCAAGCTTGTCAGTATCTACTTCAAATCTATTTGTGTTTTCGAAATTATTGAATTTTATTTATTCTTTGTAAATTCCGGTTGCAGCATCAAAATGTTTGACACTTAAATCAAAGATTTCAAACAGTTTATTTTGAATAACTTTCAGAGCTTAATTGTTATTAGATTGATCATATATCATATTTAACAAATTATATTTTTCTAGAACAAAGATGACTAAAGCAAGTCCTTGATATGCAATTTCATTAAACCCAAGCCAAAAAGCTTTTGACAAGCTCTGCCTTTGTTAAATAAATTTCTTTTATAAGACGCACTTTTAAAGAAAATCATCAACAGTTTATACTCCAAGAACTGAAAGTCTATCTCTGATTCTTGCTTGGGCTACTTACATGAATAGAGAAACTATTTGTTGAAGTTTCTGATTTTTAAAAATTCCCCACAACTGAGATAACCTTATAGTTCTGTACTTTTCTCTGTTAATCTGTTTATATTCAATTAATGTGTAAGAGTTAGTAATGTTTTCTTAAACAGTGACAAAGTAATCCATAAATTTTTCTAAATTGACCACATTAAGCAAATTTTCTGACCTTTTTTCTAAAAGCATTTGCACATTAAATTACTCTTTCAACTCAATGTATTTAATAGGTATGAAATTAAGTGGGAATAAATCTTCTAAATAATATTATTCCCAAATATTTTAGAAAGGCAAAATGCTAAATTGATCGTGAGTTTTGACTGTGACCACAGCGAAGTAATTCTTAGAAATCTCTTATGGCAATTATTTTTGCATATATATAAATGCCTCAGTGATTTTTTATCTCACAAGGACTAATCTATCATAAGTATCAGTAAGCATATCAGTTACAACTAAAATTATCTTTGCACCATGATCTTCAAATTACATCTATTGAAGATTATATGAATCTAACTCTTCCTTGAAGAATTAACTAAGAGTATCTACTAATTTTTACTAAGATTCAATTTCCTGTAATTAAATTCTTTTCTTTACCTATGGCAATTTAGTAGAAATGCAAAAACTTGGAGAATAAATTGTAATTAAGTTTGAGTTATTGATATTTTCAAATCTATACTAAACATCTAATATTCTCCTTTTGATGAATTCTTCTAAGCTAAAATAGTACTTTGAATCAAAGAATTTTTACTTAAAAATTTTATCTTTCTCATTAATGTAACTTAGTGACCTAGAGAGAGGGATTAATCTGTACAAGATTTAGATGATTTAATCATTTTCCAGAGATAAGTCTATATTTTCTGATTACTAATTTATTTCTCTTTGTTAAATCACTAAAGTTTAAATAGCATCTTAGAAATTTTGGAATGTGAATTATTCAACCAATTATTTAAAATACTCATAGACATCTTCTTTAACCTTATTTCCTTTCTGATCAAGTGTCATACCTTCATCGAACATGTGCTTTTCAAAACGATTCAATAATGGTCCATCCATTCTGTGAATTTAGCTCATCTACTGAATCAGTATCAACTTGAATCCTTTGCCAATTTATATATTACTGCTGTCTGCTCCAAAAGATATTTTGCAATATGGTTTACCATTTAATTCCCTGAAATTTTGGTTGAGCAGCTCATATAAGCTTTAATAAATGTTATCAAGATTTTGTAATACAACAGCAATGCCAGATTCAACACAACTAATAATCTAATTTATTATTGAATAAGAATTTTCTGTGCTTTAGTCTTAGCTGAAGTCTCCACCAAGCAAGAGTTTGTATGGCCTTTTCAAAGCAGTAAGTCTCCTGCTTATATAATCTGTTGCAAATTAAGGATTCTCAGTAATAATCATCAAATTTCTTGATAAATAGTGATCAGTATTCTCATTAAGATTTTCATCAATTAGATTTAAGTCTGATAACATATTTTAAAATGCATTAAACTTCTGAGTCTAGGGATAAATAGTTTCAACAGCTTATCTAATCAATTACTTAGATACTTTTAAGCCAGAAAAATGTCTTGCAAAAGATATTATTATTCTTTCTATAAGTTAGTTCGAATTTACCATGTTTTTATTATTATCATCAAACAAATCTTTCTAAAAAATAAATATTTGTTTATAGCAAATAAGTTTAGCCATTGAGTAGAAATCTCTCAAACCATGAAATTGTTCATATTTGCCAGATTCTATTTTTTTTAACAGCTCTAGATACTTTAAATAAATTTTAGATATTACACCCATAGTTTATTCTGAGAGAGCATTTTTTTTCAATCTTTCCTTAACAAAAACATCCTTTTGATTTTCAATCATCTGAATCTAAATGCATTGAATAGTTTCATTTAATTCGTTTTCATTAATATTTAACCTTTTATAAAAAGTTGAAAAATAATTAATTTTTTATTTTCTTTTATTCAAAGTTAATCATTAATTAATTTACCTGTAAACTGCTAGCATTCTATTCATTTTAGATTGGTCTAGAGGCCAATTAGATATACAAGCTACGGATATCTTAGGCTTTTCAAGAACAGAATGCAAAACTTTAAGAGGATTATGAGGAGATATTTCTGCTAACCCGATTTCTTCAATTTACACTAAAGAAAGATACTTCTTGCTTTACTTCTACTCTATGATTTTGTTTTACTTTTGCATGGCGTTTTCAAAAACTTCTTAAATTCTTTCAGAGGTGCTCTGTATGTGGCCTTGGTAAAATAGCTGCATAATTGTCTTATATTTTTTAAAGAAGAGGCTCTTTGATTACTCACCTTTCATAGTCTTTACTAAAATGCCAATAGAAAGAGACTTTGAGCATCCTGGAGGTCCTATCAGTACAATTGGAATTTTGTTCATTATGCATACAAATAGTGTAAATATATTAGACTTTAAGGCTGAATTTTTTACAATACCTTAAGGAACTTCAGTTTAATCAGTTAAGTATGTAAGCACTTCATGAATTATTTAAAACAAATTATTAGCTTTTATTGATAGTTTTTAAGCACAATTTGTGAGGAATGTTTATCTTTATTCAATCAGAGGTAGACGAACAGCATAGTTTATAAAGAAAGATAAACAAATAGCATAATCAGTTATTGAAGGTATCTTTAATCCATAAGATTAAAATATTTGAAGATTTTTTATAAACCAAAAAAGTATCTTGCTAAATCTGCTAACATCTCTCAAACTACAAGCACTTTAATATCCCATTTCTTGTCTAATGGTCTCTTGAGCGAAGAATACTGCTTCAGATACTTATTAAAGTTATTCTTTTTTAAATTGATGAGTTTAATATGCTCTTTTCTTTAGTTTAATTTAATTCATTAAAATGAGCATCTATGTAATATAATTTCTCTCATCCTATTTATCTAGACTATCAAAATTCCAAATAAAATTGTACATACTTTCTGGAATAGGTTCAACCATATATTCTAAATCTGTATTTTTTATTTTATCCACTAAATCTTTCTTGATTCCTCCATGAATTTGTAAATTAATCATTTACTACTACTTTAAGCTTTTAAGTTTATAAGGATTTATAGCAGCAATAGGTATTATATTTTTCCTAATCGTTTAACCCTTAATGCATCTATCAACAAGTATCTCTTTAAACAGCCCTCCAATCAATTTATTTGTATTCACCTTTATTTAAATTTAAATATAATAAATATCTCAAATTAAATCTAAAAATTTTAAATCAAGAATTAAAAAGTTTTAGTTTGAACCAAATAATAAGTAAATAAATAAATAATAAAATACTTCATCAAAAAAGAGAATAATCTTTTGGCTTGAGTTATATTTGGTTTATATTTCGTTTATTTTATTTATAACATCTCTTTCAGTTATTCCTGCGTGTATATTCATAGTGATGAAAATAGCATCCATAATTAAAGACATGAGCTCTATTAAAGCTGTTTTTCCTATTCCAGATTATCCCTTTTAATTAGTTTAAAAAGATTTTAGATTAAAAAGTGTTTAAATAAAATAATAATAATATGTTTAACCATAAATAAATTACCATGATAATAACTGGTGTATTTGATCTTATTCTCATGAAAATCATAGCTATTTTAAAGAAATTATCTTTTTGAATAGTTATTCTTTGAACTAAATTCTATAAATTATTATGAAGTATGTTGGTAAATTCAATGCTCCTTGTATCTCCATACATGTTTGAAACATTTTGATGAATTAACATGATTAACCATTTCAGCAGGGCTTCAGGTCTGTTTTACTAATCAAAAAAGATCATATTTTCTTTTTACTACTCAAATAATTAACTAATGCACTTAGGAACTTACTATTACTTATCAAAGAAAGTTGTAATACAAGGATTCTCCTATTCTTAAAATGTTACAAAGTTCATCATGTTACTATTAAATTTTTCTATTGATTAAGCTTTATTATGTAATTATTATGCCTTTGTCAAGTTACTACCTTCTATTAAGTTTAACTTGTTAATTTTATTTACCGATACGGCTAAACATAGGTTGTAAGATGTAGTTAAAATATATGTACGTAATCCTAAATTAAGTAGATCAGGACTGTTTTACTGAAGAAGGCCAAACTCAACAAAATAACATTTTTCAAACTTATTCATCTCTGAACCAAACAACTTTACAAAGTGTGATAATTTATAAAAACATGGTTAAATGTTCTGCTGTTATATTTTGCTTATAAAAAAAGTCTGTAGGAGATTTTAAAAATCATTTTTGTAGCTTTAATCGTTTTTTTTATAATTTTAATTAGACAAGTTTGTCTTGTCTAAGTAGTTCTGATATCTTTAGTTTGCTTACATAACTGAAAGATATTTATAGCACATAAATTAATAAATGCACTCTTCTTGAGTCAAATCATGATGTTAAATTTGATATTGCTAAATATTGAAATCAATTTTTTTCTAATTAAAATAATTTTTGATATTTAAATTTTTTAAGAATTCATGGTTGAGACTGTTTTAAATTTCAATATAATAATTAACTTGATTTCCAATATATACATACTTTTTAGAGTGAATGCTAAGTGAATTAAAGAATATTAACTCAAATAGAAGATAATTTAAATCTAACTCAGGCATTTCGTACATGTCCAGATGAATTGAGTATTAAGCATTTGTGTTTTTATCATTTAATTTAACTCTTAATAGCTGAATAAAATCTATTTTATTACTACTGCCATTAGTTGGAACTCTGATTAGTCCATTATTTTGATGAATTTAAAAGGTTTTACCAGCTCCAGGATAGTCAGAATAAATGAAATTAATATATTTCTTTGCATTTCTAAATTAATTTGAGCTAAAATCTACAATATTCTTTTCTGGCTCTAAAATTTGATCAACTGATAGATATGGGATCATAATGATCTCTTCTTAGATAATGTCTTTGTTTGCTAAGATATACAAGCTATTCTGTCCTTTATCTTATTTCAAATGCAGTTATTGTAAAATTTCATTGAGCTAGTTGAAAAAGTTCATGTCCAATTTTTTATTGAGAATAAGGAAATATTCGTTTCCGCTTGGATTTAGAGATAAATATTAGAATCTGTACATAAATAGCTCTAAATCTTAAATTGTAGAGTGAGTGTCATAATAAAAGCACTGATAATACTAAACATGAGAGGCAGATTACTTGATTCTTTAAACTAGTATTTCAATAATTTAGCTGCCTTAGCATTTAATCTAAAATATTTTTTTCCCTTAACTTCCAAATAATTATGGTGAAGTTATAAGTTTCTTACTTAGGAATTTTCCTTTTTAAAATAATGAAAATAATTGATAAAAATTATTTAATTTAAAAATTTTGAAAAATAAAATTATTACCTATTTCAATAATCATATTATTATCATCTAGAATATTATTATTTGAATTGATTTATGCTAATTCATTTTCTTCCACTCCTATTTGTTAGAGTATTCCCTTTAGGTCTGGAGAAAACGATAGAATTTATCTTCTCAAACACTTCATAATTTCTCTGAAGTGGAAAAAACCTATTAGAGTCAGCTAAGGATATTGCTTGAACGCTTATTGCATTTAACTCTACCAGGAATCTAAATTTTTTTAAAAGGCTTTGACATCTTCCTTCATTTTGATATATGTGGATTAATACTATCCATTTCTGTTGTCATAAGAGAGATTTTTTTTCAAAAATGAATAACAACCATATTTAATTGAATTTAAAATAATTTCTTTTATTTATTCAATTTCAAACCATTGATCTCTAAATTTTTACATTTTAAGTTTCAATTTTTCTATTTCTTTTTCAAGTTCTTCTTCATCTGTATCTTTTTAAAGGCTATTTATTTAAATATTAATGTCATCTTAGGGGTTAAATTTATTTTTTGATAAATAGCTTAGGAAATCTCTTTCTTCTCTAGTATGAACTGTTTTATTCTAATATCTGTTTTATTTTTTACATTATTTCTATATATTAGCTTAGGCAGCAGCTATTAAATTGTTTGTTTTTGTAGTTTACTCTAGAATTATTTTAGAGCAAATTTGCCTCATTTCTATTTCACTGTACTCTTTTTCACATTAAATTTTTACCGTTATATTAGAATCTTTTTCATCAAATACTAAGGCAAACTATCCTTCTTCAATAATTTAGCAAGTCAGAGAAATAAATTGCTTCTTTTTATCAAATGTTTAAGAAATATTTTAAATCTTGTCAAAATCATTAACACAGTCATTTAAATCTATCACAATCTAAGATCTATTCATATTTTACTTGATAAATTGAAAAGTTTCCTTGATAAACTAAAGTAAAGGTTTGTTTTCCATGGCCTTTTTATAATCAGAAATCATGCCTAAGAGATCGTTGTAATTGTTGAGCTTAATGAGTAATGAGATGATATCTGTACTGTCTTCGTCCACTAAATCTCTCAAATCTAAAAAGGAAGAAAGCTTCAAATTATTATTTTTATATTAAAGAATGACTTCTAACTTTTCTAATAACTCAACTTACTCCTAAAAAGAGTCCTCACCTAATAGAGCACTTGAAAGTTCTTTTAGCCCAAAAGCGTCTTATTAATTAGCAATTTATTAAATGGACATATCTTCTAGTTTTTTCATTGAAAGTAAATTATTTAATTACAATTTTAGCTAGTTGCTTGGTCTGGAAGAGAGGTCGACTTTGTAAATTTAAGATAGATTAATGAATTTTTACCCATATCTAAAAAAGAATTAAGCAGTATAAACATTTTTAAGTAATTATTCAAGCAATTGAGGACTATAGTTAGCACGAAGTAAATTCAAAGAATACTGAATATTTTTGAAAGATTCCTAAAACGTAGTTCCACATAAATGCTATAGCTAAGTGAATGTTATAATATTTCCTACAAATATTTCAAATTTATTTTGACTTTACTAAATATTTTGCACTATAATTATACTAATTTATGAATTCTAATTCTCTTTGTTGGCATTTTAAAATTCAAATTCTTGAAGAACATGTTAGTTGTTTTCATTTGGAATTAAAATTTAGGTAAATTAAATGAAATTCTGTTTTATTTTTTCAAATATTAACTTAAGACTATCTTATGTTTTTGGTACATCACCTTATTTCTCTTCAACTATTAGGAATATTTTGTTGAATATAACAGATGATTAGAACATATTTAATAGCTCATACATATATTATAAATGCTTAAATTAGCACAGTGTTTCGTCTAACTTTTCAAATATTTAATTTGTCTTAAATTAATTTAAAAAATTTTTATAGTCTTCTTCCAAGTATGGCTTTGTTCTCTCAAAAAATTTGATAAGCTTCTATCTTTCATCTCTATAAATTTATATTTTTTAATAAACAAATTACTTGAATTACTAATAGTTAGTTCCAATGTTTTTTTCTAAATAAGTGAAGATATTAAAGAAAACTTTTGAATTGAATAATTTATCAATCATTGAAATATCAAATTTTGAGAAGTTTTACAAATCTTGCAAAACTTAATTATAAATTCTATCTGACAGCTTTAAGTTAATAATTTAGTAGGCAAATTCTTCTAAAAAATGGTTATTAATTTATTTAGATTTTTCATATTTTTTCAAAGCATGATCTTCGAATTCAGAATAAACTATTTTCATGAGTACTTTTTCATTTTTCTAAATTTTAATTAAACTTTGATAGCAAGAAAAAACTTTATTGAATTAATCTATAAATTTTAAATCACTACTCTTCATTGACTCTAATTATTCACTTATAATTGTTTTAATGAGCATTTATAAGCATTAAAATTCCTCTTTTTTATTTAAGCTGCTTATTAAGTTACATAATTGCTCTGTACTAAGGATTACTAATTTTTTTATTATTATTTCATCCATTTAATAAGACAATTAAAGAATGTCTTCTTCATTCAGGACTTGATGCTTATTGTCATTATTCTTATTCTGGTTATTTCCCATAATATTGATTTCTAATTAACTACTTTCAATTTATTATTAATTATTGATTTGATTTGATTTTTGTAAAATCTCAAGCTATTATTAAGCTAAAGAAAGCAGTTGGATTTTGTATTTAATAACTTTAAAGCTTTCTTAAGAATTTAGCTATGAGCATTAACTTTTAAATATATTGTAAAGAGGTTAGATGTATATTAATTATGGATTATCTGAAATAAGAAGAGAAAACACTTTGATTATACTCTCAATACTAATCTACGAAGTGCCAGCTTTAAAAAGCATCTCTTATAAATCTACATTTAAGACTATCTTCTTTTCATAAAGGCAGATAAATAAGCTAATTTGGATATTTTCTTTGAGCCTTGAGAAATTAGCGTTTGTGAAATATTATTAAATTAAATCACCTTTCTTATCATATTTATCAATAAATTATTGAATTGAATTCTAGAATATTTAGAAGAGATAATCTGACTTTACCATAACTGAAAAGAAATCGTTAATGAAGTTTTAAAATTCTTGTTTAGAGCAGCTAGAGAATGATTCAATTATCAAATCAGAATTTTTAATTAGTAAATCTAATTTTTCATTATCATTAATATTTTAAAAGCGCTTGATCCAATATCTTTAAATAAAAGATGCTTTATTTTAGTTGATCTAATTGTTTTGATGCTTAAATTTAATTATTTTTTCAATTTTAATTGAATTTAAAACTGGCAAACTAGATTCTTCAAGTTTTTGATGTAACCCTTGAAGTATCATCTGAGGATTTAAAATGCTGCTATCATCAAAGAATGCATCTATCCAGTCATAAAAGCTAAATCTTTAACAAAGGTTCTCAATTTCTTCCTTTTCTTCAATTTCAACATTATCATAGTTCAATTTATTCTATTTGTATAAATTTGACAGATCCTAAAACACCTCTTTATATTTCTCTTATTTGTAGAACTTTTCTAAAATTTTCATTTTTTTTTGGTATTCTCCTACATTTTAAACATTTTTCATAAGTCTGTATAACTTATCACTTGATTATTTTAGCAATTAATTATAATTTATAAATCCTACAGTCTTGGTAAATTTGAAAAGTCCCTTTATTTAATCTATTGCTGAATTTGCTTACAGAAACATTAATAAACTGTTAATAGGATCAATTTATTTTAATATGATATTTTTATCTGATATCAGATTTATGAACACATTTTGCTTTTCATAAAATTCTGAAGGAGTATCGAAAATCATGGCACTAGAACTTTAATCTTCTCTTTTAATTATAAAAGCAAGTAACTTTCTTTTTATTTCTTTTGTTTCCAATTCCTATATACCTTTTACAATATAATTATATTTTATTTCCTCAGATAATGTTTTTCTAGATGTTTTTAACTAAGTATAAAAGATATCCTCATGCAATTCTGTCATTTAAGTCATTTGGATATCAATTTACTGTAGGCTTAAAAATAGACTGTCTTTATATAAATGCAAATTATTAATATAAAGATAAAATTCAACAATAACGCTATCCTCAATAATTTAATCCATATTTAAGACCTATTTTTCTACTTAATTATTAATTAATTAACTTTCTAAGAATTTATCTCGTATTTTTGAAATATCTTTGTCATATGATTTTACATATTCTAATAAATCCAAAATTAGTTAGAATATACGTAAGATGAAAGATGATTAATTGTATTAGATCAGATCATAAAATAAAATATTCATTTATCTTAAAAATTTGTCAATTAAATTATGATATCAAATTCAAACATAAACTAAAATTTATAATATTAAAATTGAATTATGTATAAAAAAATGTAATAATATTTTAATGGTCGCTATGAGATAAAAATTATTGCAAATGATTGATTGCTTAATCTAATTTAAAAATATAAATTTAATTCTTGCAATTAATTTTTCAAATTAAATTCTAAAATCAGATTTTTATGAAAGTTTCTTACTGGTTTTTAATTTCAATTTTTTGTTTAAATATTATCTAAAATTTAAAAGGAGTTTAAATAAAGAAGGATTTTAAATTATATTTTTAGTTTAAATATTTATCTTCATTTTAAGAATAATTTTTTTATATTTTCTAAATATTTCAATTTCATAAATTGTTATTTTTAGGATCAATTTATTTTGAGTTTTTAAGCTAGATTAATTGAAATCTTTAATTAAAAAAAAATATAAAAATCACCCACCGAGGGGCTCGAACCCTCGACCACCAGCTTAAAAGGCTGGCGCTCTACCGACTGAGCTAGACGGGTCTTATGCTAAATAAAATAATATTCAAAATAGTAATATAAAATTCTCGAAAAAAATAAAATCTGACTTTAAGTATTATTTTTTGGAATTGATATTTCAATTCTGTGGAATAACTTCTACTAAATAAATTTAAAATAATATATATTAGATTGTCTTTTTATTTTTATTAAAAAAAAAATTGATAATTATATTTACTAGTACTAATTATCATTAATTATTATATATGTATGTAATAAGTTTATTCCTCTAGTAAGCTATATCGTTAAATGTTTGCGGAGTGTGTGTAGTTTTTGTCTACTTTTTAGACTAATTTATTAATTAATTAGTTTCTTAGGTTTAGATAATTATCTATAGTTCTTTTTTTAATTCTTTTAATTTAATAACACTTTTTCAAGATAATTTTTTTTATCAAAAAAATAATTTTTAATTTATAAATTAAATTTTCTATTAATTAATTAATCTAAATTTTATAATATTATAAAATAGTAAAATAAAATTATTTAAATTTTAATTATTTAGTGCAATATAAAATCTATAAATAAATTATTAAATTTAAATAAAATTGAATTTTGAATCAGCTAATATTTGTTTGATTATATTTAAATTAACAAAAAACATATTATTTTTATTATAGAATTAATGAAAAATAAATATTTTATAAATTATTTTATTTATAATTTTTTTTAATTTTACAAATTAAAATTTTTCAAAAAATCTATAAAAAATCACCCACCGAGGGGCTCGAACCCTCGACCACCAGCTTAAAAGGCTGGCGCTCTACCGACTGAGCTAGACGGGTTTTATGAAAACTAAATTGAATATATTTGTAGTATTTTATACTTTAACGATGAACTGTTAAATGATATTTTTATGATAATATATATATGCATATTTTTTCATAAATATTTTTTGTTTAAAATTTAACTCAAACAAAAAAGAATATCATTTGCAATAATCATTTTTAATTTAACTTTAAGTTTAAATTTATAATAATTTTTTAAAATCGTTAAGAGAAGTTCATTAGTTTATTTCTGTTAATTAAGATCAAATTTATTTAATTAGTACTCAAAAGTTATTTTAAAAACTAATAGTTCTAAAAATATTTATTTATTTTATTGCTTTAATTAATTAACTAGGACTTACAGTATTTTTTATATCAAACTCTTAATTCTGTTTTTAATAATAACTAATAAAAATTGTATTTTGACACTTAAATACTTAGTGATTTGTTCAATAGATATCGAATTTTATAAATAAAATATATATATAACATTTTTCTGTAAATACACAAAACAATACCACCTATATATTTAATTGCAAACAATTATTTCAAAACAAACTAAATATTTTTCTTTTTAATTTAATTAATTGGATACTGCTTTTATAAATATGATAGCTAAAATTTACATTTAAAATTGAAAAATTAACAAGTTTAATATTAAATATATGTTTTCTCTAAAATTAAAAAATTGTGTAACTTTTATTATGTACCCTATCTTTATTTAATTCTAAATTAAAAAAATTACAATATTTTATTTAGTTAAAGTTAGTTGATTTATGAATTTTGGTTTTTTTTTCTTCATTTGTATAAGAAATATCATTTATTTTAATAATTATTCTTGGTTATTTCATTCAATCATTTTATCATTCATTAATTTTTTTTAAATTTGCCTTTCTATCATTTTGACTTTGAATTAATTAAACAACTTAATCAAACTATTAATATACTAACAGCAAATCATTAAAATATGCAAAAAACTTAAAGAATTAAGATGCTTAAGTAGATCAAACATCATATGATATATGATGTACATTCATTTAAATTTATTAATAATATGAATATATAAAGGGAATACTATTTTTTTTTTATTTTTGAATTATGTCATTATCATAATTACCATTTATTACTTTTCACATAATTTTTTGTCTTTTTAAAAATCTCTACTCATTTTATTTAATTATTTTGTTTATTTAAAATTATAAAAAATATTAAATTAATAAATACAAATGCTTATAAGTTTAGTTATACATACAAAATATACAATCAGCACTTCTTTTTTTAATTATTTTAATAATAATTTTCCTTTCATAGATAGATATAGGATTATAATTTTATTTATTTATGTGATTAATAAATAATATTAATTAATTATGTTTATTTAAATTTTTGTTTGCTTTTAGAAATTTTTAATTTGAAAAAATATAAATTTATATTAAACAAATTTGCTAAATTTACTGCTAGCATAAGTATTTTAGTTTTTTTTTTAAGTAATTTACCTTCTAAATTAGAATTAATTTTTTATACTATAATTATTGAACAGTTTTTATTTGGTATTTAATAAATAAACAAACATTATATTAAGTCTATTTTTGACAAGTAAAAAAAATCACCCACCGAGGGGCTCGAACCCTCGACCACCAGCTTAAAAGGCTGGCGCTCTACCGACTGAGCTAGACGGGTGTTATGGATTGCTTAAATAAATTAATTTAATTTTTTATAAATGAAAAAAATAAGGTATTTGATAATTTTTTTGGTAATAACAGGCTACTTTTACATTTATATTAAATCAAAAATAAAATACAAGCTTTTTGTGAGATTTAAAAGGCAAAAATTAAATTTAAAATAAATGATTTTATTCAATAAAACAAATATTCATATGAGAAATAAATTAATTCTTTATTTTGCTTAATCAAATGTAATTAATTATTTTTGAATTTTTCATTTTTAATACTGATTTAAAACTTAAGTCAAAAAAAAGTAAATCTAAATAAAATTAGGTCCGAATCTCTAATTTTTGCAATATTTCTGATTCCTGAATTATTTTAAAGATAATTAAGCTTTTTATGCATTATATATCTTTTAATTTACCTCTTCAAAAAAAATTAAATATATACCAAGCGGTTTCATATTTAAACTAAATAATTAAATTACTGTAGTTATATTGTATTATTTATTATTCTGTTAAGCATTAAATTTTGAATATAAGATCTTAAATTTTAACATCTTGAGGATATCTATTAAATATCTTACTTAAAGAATTTGAAATGGTTAATACTATTTTAATATAATAATACATTTGAATGAAATAATAAATTATTTATATCAGTTTGTTTATAAATAAATACAAATATAAAATTAGTTATAAAAAGGGTAAATAGAATTTTATATTTTTTATCCTTTTTTTTCAGAATTAATAAATAAATATGTTGGTTGTATTTGAAATTTGAAATTAGTTTTATTTTATATAGCATTAAATGGCTAAATTGAGCAATAGAAATTAAGGTTCAAGCTTCGAAGTAAATACGTAAAATAATAAACGCAGATATGCTTGATAGAATTTTTATAAAATATCTATCTCCCATGATAAGAATTAATTGCATAAGATTGATGGTTTTTAATAATCTGAAAATTGTCTTTGGTTATGTTTCTTTAATATTTTTTATTTATGATTTATTTACCTATTTAGTTAGATTAATTCATTAAAAGACTTTTAAGATATTATTTTTATTAAAGATATTTTTTATAAAAAATAATCAATCAAAAAACAATATTTCTAAGAGAGGATCTGATAAGCATCAATTAAATAAGTAAAATAGATAGATAGATAGATAGATTGATAGATAGATACTTTTTTACATATGTCTCATCACCCACAAAACCCATAAGGGCATTAAATATTAAAAACTATGCACTTCCATCAACACAGTAACTAACTAACTCACTCCCTCACTATTTTTTTGAAAACGCATTTATTTATCTTAAATAAAATATTTATTTTAAAATAATAAAAGAGGGCTTAGACTTGAATAAAATCCCAGCTGATTGGAATAAAGCAATTAGACATGCAGTAAATCATTCATAAAAACATTAATGAACAAAATATAAAGTGATTAAATATCTTAAAATATAGAAATCCAGAGAAACTAAACCTGAAAGGGCCAAAATTTCAGACGATGATTTCGAAGAAGTTTGTGAGTGTTGTGGTTACGAATTAGTAAATAATGATTAAAAATATAACCCAAAATTTATAAATTTATTTAAAAATAGAATAGATAACCAATAGGCTTATTTGTACCTAGCATTTAGCTTGGATTTTTAGGTTCTGGTTTCCCTCTTTTTTACAATTATATCCAATATTGTATTATTATGCTTACTTGTTTATTAGCTATTTAGGGTATACCTAATATAATTTACAACTACAAGGGAAACTTTTGTGATAAAACTCTCTTAGAAGCTTATGAGGCCGCTGAAGAAAATAAGGTTTTTTTTTTTTTTTTTCTATCAGCAATAATAGACATTTTTTTTAGTTTTGTTTGTTTTTTGAATTTCAAAAATATGCTGATTATCAAATTTATCTTAAAAGGAACATCCTGAAGAAGGTTTTCTACTTCCCTGCCCTGAAAGTTTTACTAATAGAATTTCATTTGCTAATGTACTGAATATAGAAGAAGGAATTAAATCTAATATGCATTTCTCAACAGCAGCTGTGTTAGTCTAAATAGTTTTATGTATTTTCTTCAGAAGAAGCCAAAGATAAATAGAAGTTGATGTTGATATAAAATACAACACTCCAGCTGACTACACTGTTTGGGTGAAGCACGTTCCTAAAGACATTCCAAATCCTAAAGAAGCTATTAAGAGACACTTTAAAGATTAAAATAAAAGGGTAACAAAAGTGAACTTGGTCTATGACATTTCTGAAATCGAAGAATTAGAAGAAGAATTTAAGGAATTGATAAAGGAGAAGTAAAAAAACTTAAAAGAACACGGATTTAATAATAAAACTCAAGAGTTGTAGGAAATTGAATAAAAGATTTAAAAAGTAGAACATGAAATAAGAGAAAAAGAAATTAACATAGTGCACGATCGTACCAAATTTACTGGCTAGGCATTTGTTAGCTTTGAAACTGAAAAAGGTAATTTAAAATTTTTTCAAATTATAAAAAATATTTTTTATTTATTTAATTAATTGAAATAAATAGAAAAAGAAGATTTGTTCACTTTTGCTCCTCCAAGTCTCGGATCAAAGATTTGTAATTTCATAACTTCATTAGGAAAGTTAGATCGTTATATTGATTCTCAAATCTTCGAGGGAAAACATAATATTTTAATAGTTGATGCTCCTGAGCCAAACGATATAGATTGGGAATTTATTCACTGCAGTACTGGTTCAAAGGTTTTAGCTAGATTCATTTCATTAATTAAATGGATTGTATTGATTGCCTTCAGTTTTTCAATTATTTGTCTCATAACCTATTTCCAGAACTTAAAAATTGATCACGTCTAAGAGGAATTGCTTGAATTGTAGCACAAAAGCAAAAAGAATAATGAATAAATCGATAAGGAAGAGGAAGAAAAGGTTCATTCATCAATGGCTATAATATCAGTCTTTTCATTTTTAATTTCAACTTCCATTGTACTTTTTAATAAATTTGCACTCCCTTTTCTTGTTCACCACATAGTTGATGCAGAAAAATGGTCAACAAAAACAAAGTTAAATATTTCTTTCGCTTTCAAATTAACTATTGCACTCTTCTTCAACACTGCATTGATTACTGTCTTGATAGAAGTTATCTTATTCAAAAACTTCTATGGCATTGGTGGTGGTATGATTCTGAATGAAGAATTGGTCTTCATTTTCAACGCAATTATTCCTTCTCTTGCATGGGTCATTGACCCATGGTCGATCATTAAGAATATCCAAAGAAACAAAGAGCTCAAAAATAAAGAAAAATCTGTCCTCACTTAAGATGAAGCTAACAAGTAATAAATAAAATCATAAATAAATTAAATTGAAATATATATATATATATATATATCTTTATTATACTTTGAATTATTTTAAATTTTCTAAATAATTTATTATTAATAGATTGATGGAACATCCAGACTATGCTATGGGTAAAAGATATGCTGATATTATGAAAACCATGTGGTTCACTTTCTTTTTCTCCCCTGTTATCCCTGTTGGAACTTTCTTCTCATTGATTGGTTTAATTTTATACTACTTCACAGATAAGTATAATTTAATTTACAGAAGAACAGTCAAAGAGTCTATTGGTAAAAGCTTATCCTTTGAAATGATGGATTTATAAGAATATTCTGTGTTGTTGCACTGCGTAAGATAATTAACATATTTAATTAATCATTTATTTATTTAAGGTATTTTATTATATATTTCTTAATATTTAAAAAGTTTGGTAATATTGCATTTAAGTGGATACTTGCAAAGGAAGTGGATTTAACTTCTTTTGTTCTATTTGGCATTTGCTTGCTTATATCTTTAGTTCCTATGGATAGCTTTAATGAATGGCTTTTCGAAATAAATGCTCATTCTGAAAGCAAACATTATTCTTAAGTCAAAGACTAGTTTGATACTGTAATTTTTAAGCCTTTTTAAAAAAATTTTAAAATCAAAAATATTTATTTAAAAGGACTACGATAGAGAGAATCCCATAACTAAGCACGAAGCACTTGTTGAATTCCAAAAATCAAGAGCAAGCAGTAAATATAATTAAAATATATTTAACAAACAAAACTTATTTGCACTAATTTTATAAATAGAAACTCATTTATGAAGGGGAGTTTGTTTGTATGTTTAATCCAAGCTTTTTTAAACTGATTAAGAATCTCAAAATGAAAAAAATTATTTAACAAGTAATCTATTTTAAAAATAATATTTTTTTAAATAAGTGTATTAGATATTTATTTTGATTGTATGTATGGTGTTTTAAATTATGACTAAGCTTACTTTTTCATAATTAAAGTTATTTAATTTACAAAAAAATATTAATAATTAAAGATGGTTTTGTTTATTCCTCTATTAAAACTATTAAAAATACTTGAAAGAAATATGTATTTAGGATATGATTTTTGTATTAAATAAAGTTAAAATAAGATTTGTTAGATATCTCCTATTTATTCATTAATTTTCTATTTCATTTGAAAATAAAAATAGAGAAATTTTATTTTAATTATTAATTAACTTCACTTTCTTTCTGCTTTAAATTCTTTTTTGATGTTTTTGATAAATATTTTAAGTAAAAACAATATTGATTAATAGATAGATAGATATTTATATAATTATATTGGTTAATCCAAAAATCATTCTTTTTGATCTCTATGATTAAAATAATTGATCATATAATTTTTAAATTAAAAAAGCCTAAATTTAATAAAATTAAATTAAATAATTTAAAAACATCTTGAAATAAAATACAATTGAGTTATTTTAATTTTGGATTTATGTTTGTGATAATACTAATTATTTTAATTTTTTAAACACATTTATGGTAGTACTTCTTAACTATATATTTTTATTGTTTTTTTTATCAAGTAAAATATATTTTTTTATTAAAAAAAATATACTCGACCGAATCTATTTAATATTCGATCGTTCCCTAATAAATACCTTAATTATTTAATTAAAATTAAATTTTTTTTGCATTTTAAATATAAAAAATTTGCAAAAAATAATTTAAGTTCCTAAAAAACTATTACAATAATTTATAAAATGTCTAAATTATTTAATTAAAAAAACAATAAATAATCATTTAGGATTATACATATTAATAAATACTATAGCTATCAAATTAAAGTATATAAAGTAGCTTAAATAGTCAATCAAGAATCTATTATTTTCTTGTTAAAGAAATCATCAGAAAAGTTCTCTAAATACATCGTTTCATATAAGTTTTGATTAGATTCTATATCCATTTCGATTGATGATTCAAGATTGTAACGCTTTTAATTTCTTCTTTATTTAAGTTTTTAATACAGATAGAATGACTCTTTAATAAGGATGTCTAGCTTGACAGCTTCATTTAAAAGAGACTCTATTTAAGATGAGTCATTCCATATTTCTTTGTAAATATCAATCCTGAATATTTATCCAAATAAATTTTCAGTACGACATAATCCTTCTTTACTTAGATATCTAAATATAAATCTCCCTAGAGCTATCAAAAAGTTATTTAACTCCAAATTATTTGATGATATAAAGTTATATGCTTTTTCAAATTTTTCTGAGCCAATCTAACATTTAAAGCTTGGATCACAAAGATTAACTAAGTTATCAATATTGAACTCTTCTAGTGTACAAATCATACTACTTAAATGTTTTAGCTTAATACTTTCTGACATAATAGCACTCAATTTAGGTATTTTGATTCGAATTTTAACATTATCAAAAGCTTACATTAAGGGCATTTCTTCTTTATCACTAGAATTTAAATAAAACTAGAAAGCTCTGATTAGTTTGTTTAACAAATCATACATTTACTCTTTATTTTAAAGAATATCTTAGAGGTTTTATTTAACTTCTTATGAAATTGGTTCTTATTTAATTTTAATATTTGATAAATGTCCAAAATCTAATATTGATATTTCTTGTAAGAAGGAGAATTTTTCAGAGTTCTACAAATCTATAAAGACAGTACCTGTTAAGCAAGTTTTAACTAGCTCTTCTTATATTTACTTAAGGTCAAATATGTATGTATTTCCTTCTTTATATTCAGGACTATTCATAAAATATTTTCTAAAGATAGTTTCTTTGTAAGGTTTAAGGATATTTAAATTTTCATCTAAGTGTTATATAGTCTTAACTTTAATAACCATATTTTTTTGCGTTCTGCTTACAGAATCTACCAAAGACTGAAATTCTTGGATTATATTATTTTATTTTAAGCATAGTATTTCGAATATATTTGAGAATATTCCATCTTCTGTATTAGACGAATACACCAAATCATTTAATTTTGTTTCTTCATCAAGATCATATATTTTATAGTCTCTGCATCCAATAATAAATTCTTTCTCTTTTTCTTTTATCTTTTAATAGTTAAAAAAGCTTAAAAACAAGATAAATAAAATAAATTTTAAATTACTTCTTTCCAAATAGGTATGAGCTATTATTAAAAACATTTTAAAAGTGGATGAGTTTCTTCATCTTACAAAACCATCACTAAAGTTTTATTTTATGCCGATTTCATAGTAAAGGAATTGCTTAAATATTTCTACATCAGTTATGTAAAACTAACAAGCACCTTTAAAGACTTAGATATATATTCAATTTCATTTGAATCTAAAATTTTTTTCATAGACTAGTAATCCTTGTTGTTCTAATTTTCTTATTAAATTTATCTCTAAATAAAATTTGGTTCGCTACTAACTTTTACGAATCTTAAATTTCTATAATAATTTTAAACTTTTTATTCTATATTTTCAAATTGGAAAGTCTCTAAAATTTTTACTATGTGAATCTCACCCTTTTGTTAATTTAATAATACAAGCTTTGATTGTAATATAATATCTTAAATCTTTAAAGAGAACTAGGAGTTCAGTTTTGACCTTTCTTCAGGATCTTATAAAGGTTTTATGGAGTCATCATTTAAAATTACATTTATAATTTTAAATAAAATGATACTTATCTCTTATTCTCTTATATCTTTAAATTTCATTATCTAATAAATTTATTCAATAGCTAAATCAATTTATTCATTCAAAAAGTTCTCTGGATTTTCTTGATAATGTATCTTCAAGTGCTCACAAAGCTCCCATATACTTACTTACTCATTTATTAGTTATTTATTTTTAAATGAAGTCATTGTCACCTACTTCTATGAGCTTAATCTTTTTCTCTGAAAAGCTAAAATAATTGAAATGGAGTACATTAAAGTAAATATTCTTAGATCTAATGAATTTCCTTATTCTAATTAATCATCATTAATTCCTTATATTAATCTTATATATATGCCTTTCCATTAGTTCTAATTAATGATATTTTATAATTCTGTTTTTTAGGTGTGTGCATCTTATAAGACTAATTTTGTATTTGGACTTCCCTTAGCAATTTAATGACCACATCTTTAGCACATAAAATTAGATTTTAAGTTAGAACACTAATTAGAGAATATATATTCTTAACAATTTAAGCATTAATACAATTAAGAATTGTTTTAAATATCATATCTAAACAACGAGATATTATTCAATTTACTAAATGGATAATAAAGCTCGTTGTGTATAATTCCTTCAAGTAAGCTCTTAAAAATGTTATTTGATTTAGAAATTTCATCTTTAAAGAATTTTATTAATTAGCTTTTAAGATTTTAATTATTTTAGAAATAATTTTTATATAATTTAGATTCAGGTTCAGTAAGAAAAGATGAGTCTAGGATGCCTACAAAGCCAGAACTTAACTCCTTAAGCCACTTTATATTTGAAAAAATTTCAGATTGCTTTATAAAAGATGTAATTTCATTGCCATATTAATTGTAAATTTATTTAACTACATAAAGTTATAAACTTTCGATATCTATTTAATTGTAAAATTTTTAGATACGACACTTATTGTCAAAAGATATTTTATCTTTATTTAAGCATAAAATCAATGTGAGTTCTCTATATATACTAAAGAAAATTAACTTTTAGAATAAAGATAACTTCGCAAGAGAGTCGATTTCACAGATATTAAAAACAAACTAATAGAATTTTTCTTTTTCTTTATCTTAATTTATTAATTAATGTAAACAATTAATTTAAATAATATCAGTTATGATCACAAAAACAGTGTGTTCAGTTTATTTAGGGTAATTTTAATTTAGTAAAGGCTTATGCTCCTCTTGATTGAATAAAGATATAAGGTCATCTAACTTTGTAATTCTGCTAAAAAGAATATTTAAAATTATGTTAAACCTTATAACTATGTCCTTTGGTAAGGGATTTACTTTTAAATTATCAAGATTTTCCTCAATTTGAACAAGTTAATTCACAACCACACCTAAAATATCCTTGAATTTATTTTAATTTATTTAGTTTTGCAAAATATCTAACACAAAATAGATCCATTCAATCTCAAATTATTTGATTTTTTCATCTAAATTATTATTTTCTTCCTCATTATTTTTAATATTATCTTCCACATCAATTTTATCTGTATCTTCATTTTCTTAATCAGCATCTATTTTCTTATTCTTTTTAAGCTTAGAAATTCTTTTTTTTATTATAGAGACTTTGGAACTCTTTGAAGTATTTTAGTTATAATCATCATCTTACTAGTTAAAATATATTCTTTTAACTGTATTTTTAAAATTATCTAAACCCTTTAAGTTATATTAAATGATATCTTGAAGCTCATCAAAAACTTTATTCTACCAATCTATTTAGAGCTTTTCCATAATATTATTGATGAAAAGTTATTAAAGATACAATTTTTGCTAACTATTTTTTATTTGATCACTCTTATAGAGTTCATAGAAGTCTATAAATCTAACTAATTCTTAAACTTAATCTTTATATGTAATATCTTATGATTTCATCTTGTTTTATAGTTCCTCAGAAGGTTTCATTAATTAAATCAAAAGTTAAACTAAGGCTTGGGCATATTGAATTATACAAGATTAATTTGGAGCATCATGATTAAATTTTAATCTTTTCATTATTTCTTCTTTTCTTAAAATCCAACTAAATTAAGCCATTATTTCATCAATTCTGAGAATATCTTCTTTAAAAATATTCAAAATCATCATAGCTTATATATTTAACTTTAAGTTTTGTTTTTCTTCTTCTTCTTGCTCTTGTTCAATTTCAAATGAAGAATAATTTTATGTTTGTTTTTATAAAATTTCAATAATTTATAAGCTAATATTTAAATGGGTAAGATCTATTCCCTATATACCGTGATTTATATAATCTTCTATAAATAATATTGTAAATTAAATTAAATTGATTTATTCTTCATTTTAAATCTATTCTAAAAAGTTATTATATTAGGTATCTAAAGATTAATTTAGTTAAACTTGATCATCGTTTTCTAATTCTATATCATCGTTTTCTTCTATTTAAATATTTTTCAATTTTTCCTAATTGTTTTCATTTTTATTAAAATCTAATTCTTTAATGCAATTTTGTAGTATAGATATATATTTTTGAGAACCAGGGAATTTAAATTCTTTGGGTTAAATATTTACTGTCAAATCAAATGTTTAATTGCTCTCATTTATTTGCCTGTAGAATGCTTCTTTATCTGTAAAATCCACTTATCCAATATTCAGAATATCTATTAAATTTTATGCCACTATTTTCTTTAAAGAGCTGTTATTAGCAGAATGAATTATTGAGTAAATTAAATAATTATTTTCTAAAACTGCGATGAACTTTGCAACACCAATTTATATGATTTCCATTATTCCTTCTTTAATTGCTGAAAGGAGACTTATTCTTTGCTAAGCTTTACCTTTTTCAATAATTTACTTGTAGACAAAGTCTCTAACTATGACTAATTAATTTTATTCTAAAAAGATTTTTATTTAGGCTTGAATAAATTTAAAGCTAATAACTGATATCTTTTCTTCATCCTTAAAGCTAAAAATTGTAAAAATATCCTTCAGCCTATTTAGTAAGAAATCCTCTTATACTATATTACCATAACTAACAAGTCCAAAAGAATTACTAATAAGTTCTTTCTTTGACATAAAAATTTTCTATAATTAATCAAAATCAACAACAGAATTTAAATTTTCATCTAATCTATATATAATTTAACTCAAACTAAGAACTCTATCTAAATTTGAGTTTAAATAAAGATCTTCAATAAAGTATTGCTCACAATTTGCAAAATAAGGAAGAGCTTAGAATATATCCGTAGTTCTAATACAAAGTATTATACTGAATGGTAAATTAGATCTATTTTAATAGCTAATCATTGTTTCTACGATTTTTTATCTAACAAAGCTTATTCTTTCAAAAGAGTCAACATATTAATCACATATAACCATTAAAATTTTTTAATTTATTTCCTCTTCAATTGGTTCCATATTTGCATCTTCATCTTACAATTAAGCTTGACTCTTTATAACCAAATTTTCGAAAAATTATTTCAATTAATTTACTAAAACTTATTGAGAATCTATTTAAGATATTTGAATTTTATTTAAATTATATTTTGATGTAGAATTTATATCTTATTAAGGAGAGTAAATGCAAAATAGCTTTTTATTTTCATTATCAGACTTAAATATTCTGTTTTCTATAAAGCTATCTAGACTATAATGATAATTTGATTCTATATATGTTTTTTTAAATTCTTCATCTTATGCATTTATCATTTATATTGCGTAACTGAAAGATGTCAGATGATAAATTTGCTGTTTTACATAATCCTCTTCAGATGAACCTTATAATTTGCTTTATTATAATACAAGCGATTAAACTAACTCCTTAATGTTATTAAAATTGAATATATTTTATTTAAGATCTATGAAATATTAGTATATGCGATTAATTTTGTTCTAATCTTTTTATGAAATTATCATAGATTCAGAAAATGTGTGCTTTTCAAAACGATTGAGAAGTGGTCCATCCATTTTATGTATTTATGATTAATCAGCAATAAGTATGATCTTAAAGTCTGGAGATACAGGAATTTCTCTACTGTCTGCATTAAAAGAAATGCTGCAATAATATTTTCCATTAAAATATTTGTAATTTTAGTTTAGCAAATCATATAAACTTTAATAGATATTATCTAAATTTTTTAGCACTACAATTTTACCCTTTTCTACACAATCAATTATTTCATTAATAATTTTGTAAGTATTTTATGATTTTTAATCTGTCTAAAAATCACTTCCCATAAATATTTAGTAAGGTTTTTGTAAACTGATAAGCTCGCTATTAATAAATTCTAAAGTAGCCTAAGAATTTCGAGAAATTATCATAAGATGCCTAGACATGAAGTCATCTGATACTTCAGTTAAATTATCTTAAATCAATTAGATTTATTTTAACTTTTGTATTTCATTTAATTCTTAATCTTTAAATTGCTTTTTAAGTGTATTGAACAAAATGTCGTGGGTTTCTAATCCAGAGAAATGTCTTATAAAGGAATAAGCAATCAAAGCTTAATTGTTTTGCATAATTAAACTATCACTAATTTAGATTTATATAAGTTAATCATTACTTTATTTGAGTATGTCTTTAACTAATTGAATTTTCTTTGAAATTAACAATTTTGCCATGCCATAAAAATCTCTCAATCCATGAAATTATTCATATTCAGGCATTTCTTTTTTTACCTACTCAAGATAACTTTAATAAGTCTTAGCAATTTATACTTATAATTAATCACTTATTTTATCTTGTTTTAAAACATTTTAGACAGACTAATCTTTTTTAAAAGAATGAACATATTCCTAAGTCGATTTCAAAATTTCCACTAATTCATCTTCATCAACATCTAATCTATAAATTAAAAATTCAATATTTAATTGTTTTTATTTATTTATTTTCAAATTTACCTATAAATGGCCAGCATTCTATTCATTTTAGACTGATCTAGTGGCCAGTTTGAAATACATGCAATTGCGATTTCAGGTTTTTCAAGAGTTTAATGTAGAACCTTTAGAGGATTATGAGGTGAAATTTCAGCTAGACCTATTTCTTCTAGGTGTACCATAGAAATATAATTTTTTTGTTCGTTTTATTTTTTATATTACTCTACTTTATTTTTTGCTCTTTCAAATACTTCAAGTATCTTTTCAGATGTACTTTGAACATGTCCTTAATACAGTAAAGGCATCAAAGTTTTTAGCTTTTGGAAGAGAGGTGATTTAGATTATTTGCCTTTCATTGATTTTATGATGATTCTTAATGAAAGAGTTTTAGAACAACCTGGAGGACCTATAAGAACAACAGGAATTTTATTCATTATAGATACAAATAAGGTAAAAACATTCTATTTAAGGGCTGTATTCTTAACTATACCTCTTGGTACTTCTGTTTAATTAATCAAATAAGTTGATACATCATCAATTTTTTTCCATATTTATAAGCGATTTTCTTAGAAAATTTCAGAAAGTTTATATAAATATTACTTTCTTTAGTTGATTAAAGGCAAACGAACACAATAATTTATATAAAAGGATAAATATAAGCAAGTGCTTTAGAAGTCTTTATCAAGAATTTTCAACTCAAACTACCTACATTTTGTTAAAAATTTGATAAACCAAAAGAGTAATTTAGTGAAGCGACTAACATCTCTAAGACTACAAGCACTTTGATATCCCATTTTTTCTCTTAAGAATATTTAGCTTTCAAATATTCCTTTAGAAATAAGATCAAGCTCTTCATCAGCAAAAATTTTATATATTTATTTCTTCTTTTTCTCATTATATTTCGTTTATAGTATTTGAGAAATGTATTTCTTCTCATCTTCTAATTAAAGCTTATCGAAATTCCAGATGAAACTATACATACTTTCTGGAATAGGCTCTACTGAATATTCAAGATCTGTGTTTTTAATTTTTTTCACCATCTCCTTTTTAATACCTCCATGAATTTAAATGTCTATCATTTTTTTTTATTACTCACTCTTAAGTTTGTATGGATTTATAGCGGCTATTGGAATTACATTGCTTGGTATAGGCTCTCCATATATGTGTCTATCAACTATTATTTCTTTGAATAAACTGCTCACTAATTTGTTTGTATTTACCTTTTATTATTTTATTTAAAATTTTTATTCTGAATAATTTAAAAATTTTATTACTTCATCGAAGAAAACAACTACTTTCTAATTATTTTTTTAACTGATTTCAATGGATTCTTCAATCAACTTAGTAACATCTTGCTCAGTAATACCTGCATGAACAATCATAATTTTGAATTAAGCTTCCATTATAACTGACATAACTTCAATAAGTATTGATTTTCCAATACCTGATTAACCCTTTATTTATTTTTAAAAAGTGAAATGAAGTGAATGAATTATTAAATAAAATTAAATAATTTACCATAATAATAACAGGAGAGTTAGCACGAATTCTCATAAAAATCATAGCAATTTTAAAGAAATTATCTTTTTAAATGATTATTCTTTTTGCAAATTTACTTATGTCATCGTTAATCATAGAATCAAAGCTATTATTATTTCTGTCACTATATATTTTTTATTCATCTTTTTTTATAAGTTTGACCAGCCATCTTAATAAATCTTCAGGTTATAAATTTTCATTAAAGTAAAGTAGTTTTTCCTTATTAAGTTCAACCAGTTCTTTAATTTATCTAGGAACTTAATTTGAATTCCTAAAAAACATAGTTAAGCATGGAGATTCTTATTCCTAAAAAGTGATAAAATCCATTTCAAAATTACTGAATTCTTTAATATTTTCTGATTTTTAATTAAGCTACATTTCTTTTGAAACTTGCTAGTTTTAGATTATGTTTTTTTATTCGTATTAAGTAAAACATATATTACTACACAATTTATAAGATGTAGAAACTATAATAGTTCTCAGTTAGTGGTCTAATCCTTCTGATTTTATATATTCAGGCGAAAGGAAATAAGATTTATTCATTTTTCTCATTTCAGAACCAAATAGATTTAAAAATCTAACAATTTAATAAAAGCAAGGAACTGTTATTTATTCAACTATTTTATTTTTTATTAAATTATTTATGTTTGATAAAATAGCATTATCTAAATTATAGCTATCATCGGTTTATTCTTTATTGAAATGGTTTACACCAGTAGTTTCTAATACGTATATATAATATAAGGATTAGAATGCTGCTTTATAATTGATAATTTCTTCTTTAGATTTATTTGGTGACTCTAGCTAAAACCTACTAGCATCAAATTCAACTTTTTATCTTTCAAAGAAATTTTTGATGTGAATAGATTAATATAAACCTTCATCAAGAGTGTTAGCTATTTCGATGTAAAAAGTTGTTTAGTTAAATTTTTCAAAGTAAACAAGTTAATCACTATGAATGCTTATAGATTTTAATACAATTAATTCAAAAAATAGCAAATTAAGATCATATTCAGATGTTTCACAAACATCTAAATGGATATGTAAATTACCTGGCTCCACTTTATTCAGTTTTTATTTTAAGGTTTACAAAATTTAGTTTTTATTGCTTCCACCTATTGGAATTCTGAAGGAATTTTAGTTTTACTCGCTAATTTTTTTTTGTATTTCAAAGGATTTACCACAACCTGAGCTATTTGAATAATAAATTATAGCATTTTAATATAAAATTGATGCTATTGTTTGTTTGTTTATTTTCTTTTCTTAGGGTAAACATGATATTTATTTTTAATCTAATCCTTCTCTGATAAGAACTATAAGCTAATTTTTAATTGTATTACTTTATTTATTATAGTCAGATAAAATATCATTCACTTAGTTGAAAAATTTAACTTCTAATTTAGTATTAATGATCAAGTAGTAAGTATTTTATTTGTTATTAGAAATTAAATTTTTAAACCTAAACATGAAAAGTTAAAGATCAGTGAACTTGGTGCTTTTGTCACAAAACAAATATTTGTAGAAATCTCCATAATTATCATCTTGATTCTAAACTCCACCAATTAATATTTCTATCAACTCTTAGCTACCCGAAAAAATGTATTTCACCAATTTATCTTTGAATCTTAGAGGCTCAAATATTTTATCTTCATAACTTTTTTCTATCATTTGATGATCAAATTATTTACATTTTTAAGTACAATTATTTGCTAAAATTTATTTTAAAAAAGTAAATTTAAGTTGGGATTATTTTAAATAGAAAAAATTATTTAAATGGACATTTATCAAATAATTCTTCTAAAATTAAAAATAAAAAAAAATTTTTTTAAATTAAAAAATAGAATTTAATGAATAAAATTTACCTATGCTCTACAATTTAGAAAAGTAAGATTAATTCTTCTTTAGTTTAATTGAGAAAGGTATTTCTTAAATATCCTACAGACTTAGGCTCATAAATTTTAAGATATTTATCAAACCAGGATTTACTTTACTAAAATCTTCATATTTTCCTTCTTCACAATAAGTAATAAGTTCTTAGTAATATGAAAATCCAATTAAAGAAAAATAAGGATATTATTGAAAAAGCTCGCAAAGTTAATTTTTCCATTCTGTAAGTTCTTTAGTGTATGTTTGATAATTTTATTCCATTTATTCAAGATTTTTTTATGGGGTTTAATTTTTGTTAGAGAAAATTAGTTTTCGTTAAAGAATATCAAATTTTCCAAAAGAAATTAAATTAGAAATCACTTCCTTCAACCTTTCAGCAGCTTCCCACTAATCTTTAAACATTTTCATTGAATTTTTAATTTATTTACATTCTTCTGATTCTTCTTCTTCGACTTGTATCATGCTTTTAGACGAAATCTTAGATTTGGGTTTATTTTTCTTTTCTCTTTCCTTAATAAACTATGCATGTATTTTTACCATATTCTAGTCAATAATAACTTTTGAACATATTTTTCTAATATCCAATTCTGAATATTCTTAATTTGAAAGAACAACGAGTTTTACTTGTTCTGGATTATCTTTATGCTCATCAAGATAAAACTAGAATTCACCCACTTCGAGGACTTCTATTGCTAGGCTAATGTAATCTTATTAATTCTATTAGCTCTTATCTATTTACTTAATTTTAAAGAAATCTTCTGAACATTACTGCAATTCAGCATGGATGGCTTCATCAACCAATTCTAATCTACAGAATTCAACTATTTTTTAAATAAACTTAATAAAAGAAGCCTTTTAATTATTTGAATAAGTTTCTCTTAATTCAGTCAAAATACCAAATATTTTTCTTTAATTATTTAGCTTAATCAGCAAAGATTATAAGTCAGTGTTTTCATCTCCTCCTACCAAATCTCTCAATTCTAAAAAGCTTTGATTTTACAAATTATCTATGATATATTTAATTATTGAATCTAATTGGGAAATTGTTAATACTGCATTATCTTATCTTTCTACACCTAAATAAAAACCACTTGGAAAAGAAAGTAAGCATTTAAATTGACTATTCTAAAAATAATCAATAGATTTTTTATTTACATCAATATTAGTCAAATTCTATAGATCTAAGTAAAATTATTTATTCAATTAGCTTTCAAGGTTTATATCATTTTATTTGGCAATTTCAATTAAACATTTTCCATATTAATGAAGAAAGTTGATATGAAAAAATTTTTAAAGGGTTTCAGAGAGATTTTCTTCTTTAATTTAAAGCAATTCGTAGAGATTAAGGAAATTCTCTTCAGATTCTATAAATGAATCACCAGATATTTATATTAAATTTTATAAATTTAAAATTTTTTTGGGGAAAAGAATCGATTTTTCTGAGATACTTTTTTATGAGTTTTCTTCTTCTTCATTTTCTTCTAATTCGAATTCATGATCAAAGCATGGCTGTTATTAATTTAGATTATTAATATCTTCTTAAAGCTTAATTTAAAATGTATCCAAACACTTGAGAGACACAATTTTATTACCCTTAACCATTTAGATGAGATTTATCAATTCCATTTTAGAATAATAAAGTATATTATTTAGATTTCCTGATAAAATTTTATACTCTCCCTCTTATTATTGAAGCATGAAAACGATTTTTTAGAAAATTTTACTGCTTTATAATAAATCAAAATAGTCATATAAGCTCTTCATTTATTTAAATTTTATAATTATTTATCTGATTTCTCCAAACTAAGCATCCATTTTAAATTTTTGTTCAAACAATTAATTTTCTTTTTTTAAGTATGAAGGAAAATATTTCAATAGTTTATTTATTTTTTCTTTCTCTTTATAGAATTAACTTATTTCTTGGTCAATTTATTTTGAAAAATCTGAAAATTATATTTTAATTTCACTTTAAAAGAACTTATAAATGTCTTTAAATTGTTAATTTTCAATTATTTTTTTAATTGAAGGTATTTTAATTTCATCATGATGCAAGACAAATTTATTTAAATCAGCCAATAATCTCTTTCTAAAAGGGAAGTCGGGTCTCTTATCAGATATTTTTAAGAAATCCAGATATTGCTCACTTTAAAATCTTTACTCAGGTGGTTACTATTATTCATATAAGTTTATGGCTTCTTACTCAAAAAATTATTAAATTTTCACTAAAATAGATTCCTATTCTTTATTTTGAATTTTTTTTTATTCCAAACATTTTTTATAGAAAGAATAAAATTCAGTTAACCTCTTCATACATATTTATTTGTTAAATATTTGCTAAATTGTATTTAAAATCTTATTTAAATTTTCAACATTCTGTTCTTCATAGATTGCTTAAATTATCATTTTTAGGTTTTAATGGAAGTATTCAACTAATATTTGATAAGATTATTCTTAAAATGTATTAATTTCAATATCATTAATCTTTTCAAAATTTATTTAAGGAAAATCTTTTTGGTTATTTCTCAGAGTATCAGTTTGGTCTTATTCATCAATCATTTTTTACATGTTATTCTTTTATGAAATAGTATTTTCTATTTACTATTGTAGATAAATTTTTTATTAATTTTACTAAAATTTTAATAAATCTACAAGCTCCTTTTAATAATCCCAAACAAATTCAATCTATTTGGCTTCAAGAGTTTTTATAAACTCTTAAAAAGTACTTAACAGGTAATTTTATTGACTTTATGTTGGATCATGCTGAGAGAAATACTTTGAAAGGCAAACAATTTGATCAAATTTTTTCAAATTTTTAATTAAAGATTTAGATTTAATAAGTTTTTAGATATCAATTTCTAGTTTTTATTAATGTTAAATCATGAAAATTATTAGATCTATTTAGTTGATGGGTTAAAGTTCTGTAAAATTTTAATCTCTAAAGTAGCTTTTAATTATTTAAAAATCACTATCGTAGTAACTTTAAAAATCCTTTATTTTACTGATAAAATGGTCAAAGAAATCTTTTTTTTGAAGAGGATATTTCTGTAAAAGTTCTCCTAGTAATATTTCTTAGATATACTATTATATTTATAAAAAGTCATCGTTTTAAAATAAGCCTTTTATGTCCACCTAATTTACTAGCAGATGATTTAGCTAATCTTTTAAGCTATTAATTTATCTTAATATTTTAAAAATAAAGGACTATCTTAATTTTATGGCTTCTTATTTATTATTTTTTCTTAAAATATCAAATTATTGTTCAATTTCACTTTAGTGTTTTTTAAATTATTCAGAATTTAATTAATTCAATTTGGTAATAAAGTTTTGTTATAGCTATGATTTTTCTAATAAACCATTATTTTCGATTAGTTCTTTTAAAATTTCAAGAGGATTAAAATTATTTTGAAGACTCTATACAAATTAAATTAGATATTCATTCTTAAAATAATCCAAAGGAGCTTATTTAATTTTACAATATATATTATATGAGTTATTAGTTTTTGCATTTTATGAGAGGGCTTCAATCAATTAATTTAACTAATTCACTTCATCTTTTTATGGATTTATTAATTTGAGAATGTTGTCATCAATATCTTTAAAAAGTTAATGTTTATTTTTGAACTATGACACAACTATAAATTTCCTCAATCCCTTTACTACCGTAGATATATTTTCGCTTTTTTCTTTAACTTATTTGAGGAACTAATAATAGCTCTTTTCAATATCTTTCTAGTTAATTATTTCTTATTCTTGTTCTTCTTCTAGTCCTACTTCGTCTTCTTTTTAACTGATTTTTTTATTTTATATTCTATTCATTTTAAATTTTGAGGGCCTATCAAAAATATAAATCTTTTCATTTTCATTTTCAATAATCTTATATTGAGTTAATTATCTTGAAATATAATCAGAAAGATATGTACTTTTTTTATGTTTTATTTCATATTAATACTAAATTTTGCTCTCAGCTGCTTCCATATCCAAAGTAACAACCTAAAAATCTATATCGCAACCTAAATCCTCTAATTTTATTGATTATCCATTTATTAGAAGGAATACTTATTCAAATTTACTTAAGTCTGTAAAATGTAAGTAAAAATTAACTTCTATCTCTCTACTTTATTTTTAAGTTTTCATAGCAATACTTATTTATTTATTTTTTTCTAAATTATTATATTTTTAATAATTCATAACAAAATCTAATCTTAATTTAATATGGCGATTTTAGGGATAAAAGTTTTTTATTTAATTATTTTTTAGAAAAAAATGAGATAAAAGTTTTTTATTTAATTATTTTTTAGAAAAAAATGAGATAAAAGTATTTATCTAATTTTATTTTACAATGAGATAAAAGTATTTATCTAATTATATTTTACAAAAAAATGAGATAAAAGTATTTATTTAATAATGTTTTACAAAAAAATGAGATATAAGTCTTTTATTTAAAGATTATTACAAAATTATGAGATATAAGTCTTTTATTTAATAAATATGTTTCATAAAATTACGAGTTAAATAACTCAATAAAATATAAATTATTTTATAATATTTTTGTTTTGAATACTAGATACACAAATACTTTTAATTTTGTTATTTCAAAAAATTAGAAAATAAGGTATTTTTATTTGAATAATATATAAATATCAAACTTAATTGTGCATTTTTGTTAATGTTAATTTTTCGATATTATTTGATTAAAATTAAAAATTAAGTAAACATTAGAATATTTATTTCATAAAATAATAATAAAATAAAAATTATATTTGAAAAATATAATTATTTATAATGTGTAAAAAATAAAATAATAAGTTTTATAACATCTTAATTTTTATTATTCTTTGTTAGGATATATTCAGTTTTTTTTAAATTAAATTAAAATATTTTGAAATTAAATAAAAGGTATCAATCAATATGTTATTTAAAACCTAAAAAAAAATTTCAATAATTTAATCAAATTTTATGTTTTTTTAATTTTTATAAAAAAAAAATAAATTAAAATAAAATTTTTTTTATTTATAGTTTACAATAATTTTTAAAACTTGTAAATCATTTAATTAAAAAAAAACAACAAATAATAAATAATCTAGTATTAATATCAATAATTATTTTTGTTATCGAATTAAAATATATAAATTAGCATTAATAGTCAATCAAGAATCTATTATTTTCTTGTTAAAGAAATCATCAGAAAAGTTCTCTAAATACATCTTTTCATCTAAGTCTTGATTAGATTCTAAATCCATTTCCATTTCTGATTTAAGATTTTCACACCTTTAAAATGTTTTTTATTTAAGATTTTAATACAACGAGAATGACTCTTTAATAAGGATGTCAAGTTTGACTGCTTCGCTATAAAGATGCTCTATTTAAGATGATTCATTCCATATTTCTTCGTAAATATCTATACAGAATATTTATTCAAATAACTTATATGTAGGATAAAATCCTTCTTTACTTAGATGTCTAAATATAAATCTTCCTAGAGCTATCAAAAAGTTATTTAACTCCAAATTATTTGATGATATAAAGTTATCTGCTTTTTTAAGTTTTTCAGAGTCAATCTAATATTTAAAGCTTGGATCACAAAGATTAACCAAGTTATCAATGTTGAACTCTTCTAGTGTACAAATCATACTATTTAAATGCTTTAGCTTAAGTTTTTCTGACATAATAGCACTCAATTTAGGCATTTTGATTTGAATTTTAACATTATCAAAAGCTTACTTTAAGGACATTTCTTCTTTATCTCTAGATTTTGAATAAAACTAGAAAATTCTGACTAGTTTATTTAACAAATCATACATTTATTCTTTGTTTTAAAGAAGCTCTTAGAGGTTTTATTTAACTTCTTAAGAAATCGGTTCTTATTCAATTTAAATATTTGATAAAAGTCCTAAGTCTTACATTTCTGGTAAGAAAAAGAATTTTTCAGAGTTCTACAAATCTATAACTACAGCACCTGTTAAGCAAATTTTAACTAACTCATCTTAAAGTTATTAAAGGTCAATAAGGTATGTGTTTCCTTCTTTATATTCAGGACTGTTCATAAAATATTTTCTAAAGATAGTTTCTTTGTATGGTTTAAGGATATTTAAACTATAATCTAAGTTTTGTATAGTCTTAGTTTTTACAACCATTTTTTTTTACTTTCTGTTTGCAGAATCTATCATAGATTGAATTCGTTGTATAATATTATTCTATTTAGAGCATAGAATTTCTAATATATTTGAAAATATTCCATCTTCTTTATTAGACGAATACACTAAATCATTTAATTTTGTTTCTTCATCAAGATCATAAATTTTGTAGCTCTTGCATCCGATTCTGAATTCTCCCTCATTTTCTTTTATCTTTAATAGTTAAACAGTTTAAAAACAAAATAAATAAATAAAAAAAATAAATAAATTTTAGATTACTTCTTTCCAAATAGGTAGGAACTTTTTTTGATAAAATATAAAGAGTGGGTGTGTTTCATTATCCTACAAAGCCATTACTAACGTTTTATTTTTTGCATCCTTTATTGTCAAGGTATTGCTTAAATATTTTTACATCTGCTAAGAAAAACTAATCATCACCTATAAAGATCTTGATATATAGTCAAGATTATTTGAATCTAAAATTTATTTTATAGACTAATAATCATTATTGTTCTAATTTTATAATTAGATTTATCTCTGAATAAAATTTGGCTCTTAACTAACTTTTACAAATCTAAGGTTTTTATAATAATTTTGAACTTTTTATTCTATATTTTCAAATTCAAAATTCTCAAAAATTTTTTCTTTGTGGATCTCTCCGTTTTTCTAATTTTATAATACAAGCTTTGATTGCTATATAATACCTTAAATTTTCAAAGAGAGTTCTAAGTTTACTTTTGACCTTTATTCAGTATCTTATAAAGGTTTTATAGAGTCATCCTTTAAAAATTCATTTATAATTTTAAATAAAATGATACTTATCTCCTATTCTCTAACATCTTTAAATTTCATTATCTAATAAATTTATTCAATAGCTAAATCTATTTATTCATTCAAAAAGTTCTCTGGATTTTCTTGATAATATATCTTCAAGTGCTCACAAAGCTCCCATATACTTACTTACTAATCGATTAGTTATTTATTTTTAAATGAAGTCATTGTCACCTACTTCTTTGAGTTGAATTTATTTCTCTGCAAAGCTAAAATAATTGAAATGGAGTACATTAAAGTAAATATTCTTAGATCTAATGAGTTTCCTTATTATAATTAGTCATCATTAATTCCTTTTATTAATCTTAAATATATGCCTTTCCATTAATTTTAATTAATGATATTCTATAATTAGTTTAGTTATTAATTTGCATTTTATAAGACTTATTTTGTATTTGTGTTTCCCTTAACAATTTAATGACCGCATCTTTAGCATATATATCTATTTTATAAGTCAGGGCATTTATCAGAGAATATGTATTCTTAACAATTTAAGCATTAATACAATTAGGTATTGTTTTAGATATCATATATAAACAACGAAATGTTATTTAATTTACTGAATGGGTAATAAAACTCGTTGTTTATAACTCCTTCAAACAAGCTCTTAAAAATGTTATTTGATTTAGAAATTTCATCTTTAAAGAATTTCATTAATTAACTTTTAAGATTTTAATTATTTTAGAAATAATTTTTATATAATTTAGACTCATGTTCAGTAAGAAAAGATGAGTCTAGGATGCCTACAAAGCCAGAACTTAACTCCTTAAGCCACTTTATATTTGAAAAAATTTCAGATTGCTTTATAAAAGATGTAATTTCATTGCCATACTAATTGTAAATTTATTTAACTACATAAAGTTGTAAACTTTCGATATCTATTTAATTGTAAAATTTATAGAGACACTTATTGTCAAAATAGATATCTTATTTATCTTTATCTAAGCATAGAGTCAAAGTGAGTTCTCTATATATGCTAAAGAAAATTAACTTTTAGAATAAAGATAGCTTCTCAGGAGAGCCGATTTCACAAATATTTGAAACTAACTCTTGGAATTGTCTTTTTTCTTAATTTTTTAACTAATGTAAACAATTAATTTAAATAATATCGGTTATGATCACAAAAACAGTGTGTTCAGTTTATTTAGGGTAATTTTAATCTAGTAAAGACTTTTTGTACTCTTGCTTGAATAAAGATATAAGGTTATCTAACTTTGTTATTCTGCTAAAAAGAATATTTAAAATTATATTAAACCTTATAACTATGTCTTTTGGAATGGGATTTACTTTTAAATTATCAAGATTTTCCTCAATTTGAACAAGTTAATTCACGACCACACCTAAAATATCCTTGAATTTATTTTGATTTATTTAGCTTTGCAAAATATCTAACACAAAATAGATCCATTTAATCTCAAATTATTTGATTTTTTCTTTCAAATTATTATTTTCTTCCTCATTAATTTTATCATTATCTTATTCTTCTTAATCAGCACCTTTTTTCTAATTCTTTTTAGGCTTAGAAATTCTTTTTTTAATTTTAGAGGGTTTTGAACTATTTGAAGTATTTTAGTTATAATCATCTTCTTACTAGTTAAGATATATTTTTTTAACATTATTTTTAAAATCATCTAAACCCTCTAAATTATATTTTATGATATCTTGAAGCTCATCAAAAACTTTATTCTACCAATCTATTTAGAGCTTTTCCAAAATATTGTCGATGAAAAGTTACTAAAGATACAATTTTTGTTAACCATTTTTTATTTGATCATTCTAATACAGTTCATAGTAATCTATAAATCTAACTAATTCTTAAACTTAATCTTTATAAGTAATATCTTACAATTTCATCTTGTTTTATAGTTCCTCAGAAGGTTGCATTAATTAAATCAAAAGTTAAACTAAAGCTTGTGTATATTTTATTATACAAGATTAGTTTTGAGCATCAAGGCTAAAGTCTAATCTTTAAATTATTTCTTCTTTACTTAAAATCCAACTAAATTGTGACATTATTTCCTCAACTCTAAGAATATCTTCTTTAAAAATATTCAAAATCATCATGGCTTATATATTTAACTTGAAATTTTGTTTTTCTTCCTCTTCTTGCTCATGTTCAATCTCAAATGAAGAGCAATTTTATTTTTGTTTTAATACGATTTTAATAATTTATAAGCTAATACTTAAGTGGGTAAGATCTATTCCATTTATACTGTAATTTATATAATCTTCTATAAAAAATTTTGTAAATTAAATTAAATTGATTTATTCTTCATTTTAAATCTAATCTAAAAAGCATTTATATTAAGTATCTAAAAATTAATTTATCTAAACTTAATCATATTTTTCTAATTCGGTATCGATGTTCTCTTCCATCTCAATATTTTTAACCTTCTCCAATTTGATTTCATTTTTATTAAAATCTAATTTTTTAATGCAATTTTCTAGAATAGACAAATATTTTTGAGAACCAGGGAATTTATATTCTTTGGGCTAGCTATTTACTGTCATATCAAAAGTTTAATTACTCTCTTTTATTTGCTTGTAAAATGTTTCTTTATCTGTAAAATCCACTTATCCAATATTCAGAATATCAAGTAAATTTTTTGTCACTATTTACTTTAAAGATTAGTAATTGGCAGAATGAATTATTGAGTAAATTAAATGATTATTTTCTAAAACTGCGATTAACTTTGCAACACCAATTTATATGATTTCCATTATTCCTTCTTTAATTGCTTAAAGGAGACTTATTCTTTGCTAAGCTTTACCTTTTTCAATAATTTACTTGTAGACAAAGTCTCTAACTATGAGTAATTAATTTTATTCTAAAAAGTTATCAATTTAAGCTTGAATAAATTTAGAGCTAATAACTTATATCTCGTCTTCATCCTTAAAGCTAAAAATTGTAAAAATATCTTTCAGTCTATTCAATAAGAAATCTTCTTATACTATATTACCATAACTAACAAGTCCAAAAGAATTACTAATAAGTTCTTTATTTGATATAAAAATTTTCTATAATTAATCAAAATCAACAACAGATTTTAAATTTTCGTCAAAGTTATTTATCATTTAACTCAAACTAAGCACTCTATCTAAATCCTAGTCTTAATAAAGATCTTCAATAAAGTATTGCTCGCAATTTCCGAAATAAGGAAGAACTTCAAATCTATCCGTTGTTCTTATACAAAGTATTATACTGAATGGTAAATTAGATCTATTTTAATAGCTAAGAATTGTTTCCACAATTTTTTATCTAACAAAACTTATTCTTTCAAAGGAGTCAACATATTAATCACATGTAACCATTAAAATTTTTTAATTTTTTTCCACTTCAATTGGTTCCTTATTTGCATCTTCATCTAACAATTAAACTTGATCTATCTTTGCAATCAAATTTTCGAAAGATTATTTCAATTAATTTATTAAAACTTACTGAGAATCTATTTAAGATATTTGAATTATATTTAAAATGTATTTTGATGTAGAATTTATAACTTATTAAGGAGAGTAAATACAAAATAGCTTTGTATTGTCTATGTCAGAAGAAAATATTCTGTTTTCTATAAAACTATCTAAACTATAATGATAATTTGATTCGATATATGTTTTTTTAAATTGCTCATCTTATTCATTTATCATTTATATTGCGTAACTGAAAGATGTGAGATGATAAATTTGCTGTTTTACATAATCCTCTTCAGATGAACCTTTTAATTTGTTTTATTATAATACAAGCGATTAAACTAACTCCTTAATGTTATTAAAATTGAACATATTTTATTTAAGATCTATGAAATATTAGTATATGCGATTAATTTTGTCCTAATCTTTTTATGAAATTATCATAGATTCAGAAAATGTGTGCTTTTCAAAACGATTGAGAAGTGGTCCATCCATTTTATGTATTTATGATTAGTTAACAATAAGTATGATCTTAAAGTCTGGAGATACAGGAATTTCTCTACTGTCTGCATTGAAAGAAATGCTGCAATAATATTTTCCATTAAAATACTTGTAATTTTAATTTAGCAAATCATATAAACTTTAATAGATATTATCTAAATTTTTTAGCACTACAATTTTACCCTTTTCTACACAATCAATTATTTCATTAATAATTTTGTAAGTATTTTATGATTTTTAATCAGTCTAAAAATCACTTCCCATAAATATTTAGTAAGGTTTTTTCAAACTGATAAGTTCGCTATTAATAAATTCTAAAGTAGCCTAAGAATTTTGAGTAATTACCATAAGATGCCTAGACATGAAGTGATCTGATACCTCAGTTAAATTATCTTAAATCAATTAGATTTCTATTTATTTTAATTTTTGCATTTCATTTAATTCTTAATCTTTAAATTACTTTTTAAGTGTTTTGAACAAAATATCGTTGGTTTCTAATCCAGAGAAATGTCTTAAAAAGGAATAAGCTATCAATGCTTGGTTGTTTTGCATTATTAAACTATCACTAATTTAGCTTTGAGTAAGTTAATAATTACTTTGTCTGAGATTGTCTTTAATTAATTGAATTTTCTTTGAAATTAACAATTTTGCCATACCATAAAAATCTCTCAATCCATGAAATTATTCATATTCAGGCATTTCTTTTTTTACCTACTCAAGATAACTTTAATAAGTCTTAGCAATTTATACTTATAATTAATAACTTATTTTATCTTATTTCAAAATATTTATGACAAAATAATCTTTTTCAAAAGAATGAACATATTCCTAAGTCGATTTCAAAATTTCCACTAATTCTTCTTCATCAACATCTAATCTATAAATTAAAAATTCAATATTTAATTGTTTTTATTTATTTATTTATTTATTTTCAAATTTACCTATAAATGGCCAGCATTCTATTCATTTTAGACTGATCTAATGGCCAGTTTGAAATACATGCAATTGCAATTTCAGGTTTTTCAAGAGTTTAATGTAGAACCTTTAGAGGATTATGAGGTGAAATTTCAGCTAGACCTATTTCTTCTAGGTGTACCATAGAAATATAATTTTTTTGTTCGTTTTATTTTTTATATTACTCTACTTTATTTTTTGCTCTTTCAAATACTTCAAGTATCTTTTCAGATGTGCTTTAAACATGTCCTTAATACAGTAAAGGCATTAAAGTTTTTAGCTTTTGGAAGAGAGGTGATTTAGATTATTTGCCTTTCATTGATTTTATGATGATTCTTAATGAAAGAGTTTTAGAACAACCTGGAGGACCTATAAGAACAACAGGAATTTTATTCATTATAGATACAAATAAGGTAAAAACATTCTATTTAAGGGCTGTATTCTTAACTATACCTCTTGGTACTTCTGTTTAATTAATCAAATAAGTTTATACTTCATCAATTTTTATCCATATTGATAGGTAATCTTCGTTGAAATTTTCAGAAAGTTTTTATAAATATTACTTTCTTTAGTTGATTAAAGGCAAGCGAACGCAATAATTTATATAAAAGGATAAATATAAGCAAATATTTTAGAAATCTTAATCAAAAATTTTCAATTCAAACTTCCTGCATTTTGTTAAAAATTTGATAAACCAAAAGAGTAATTTAGTGAAGCGACTAACATCTCTAAGACTGCAAGCACTTTGATATCCCATTTTTTCTCTTAAGAATATTTAGCTTTCAAATATCCCTTTGGAAATAAGATCAAGCTGATTATCAGTAAAAATTTTATATATTTATTTATTTTATTTCTAGCTATATTTTATTTTTAGTATTTAAGAAATGTATTTCTTCTCGTCTTCTAATTAAAGCTTATCGAAATTCCAGATGAAGTTATACATACTTTCTGGAATAGGCTCAACTGAATATTCAAGATCTGTGTTTTTAATTTTCTTCACCATATCCCTTTTAATACCTCCATGAATTTAAATATCTATCATTTTTTTTTATTGCTCACTCTTAAGTTTGTATGGATTTATAGCTGCTATCGGGATTACATTGGTTGGTATAGGTTCTCCATATATATGTCTATCAACAATTATTTCTTTGAATAAACCACTCACTAATTTGTTTGTATTTACCTTTTATTATTTATTTAAAATTTTTATTCTGAATAATTTAAAATTTTTATTACTTCGTCGAAGAAAATAACTACTTTCTAATCATTTATTTAACTGATTTCAATGCATTCTTCAATCAGCTTAGCAACATCTTGCTCAGTAATACCTGCATGAACAATCATAATTTTGAATTAAGCTTCCATTATAACCGACATAAGTTCAATAAGTATTGATTTTCCTATACCTGATTAGCCCTTTATTTATTTTTAAAAAGTGAAGAGAATGAATTATTAAATGAAATTAAATAATTTACCATAATAATAACAGGAGAGTTAGCACGGATTCTCATAAAAATCATAGCAATTTTAAAGAAATTATCCTTTTAAATAATTATTCTCTTAGCTAATTATCTTAGGTCATCGCTAAAGATGGTATCAAAGCTATTATTATTTCTGTCTTGATATATTTTTTATTCATGTTTATTAATAAGTTTGACCAGCCATCTTAATAAATCCTCAGGTTCTAAATTTTCATTAAAGTAAAGTAGCTTTTCTTTAGATATATCAACCAGTTCTTTAATTTATCTAGGAACTTAATTTGAATTCCTAAAAAACATAGTTAAGGATGGAGATTCTTATTCCTAAAAAGTGATAAAATCCATTTCAAAATTACTGAATTCTTTAATATTTTCTGATTTTAAATTAAGCTACATTTCTTTTGAAAGTTGTTAATTTTAGATTTGATTTTTTTATTTCTATTAAGTAAAGCATATATTATTACATAATAAGTAAGATGTAGTAACTATATAAGTTCTCAGTTTGTAGTCTAATCCATATTATTTTATAATTTCAGGCAAAAGGAAGCAAGATTTATTCATTTTTCTCATTTCAGAACCAAATAGATTTAAAAATCTAACAATTTAATAAAAGCAAGGAACTTTTAAATTTTGAACTATTAAATTATTTATTAAATTATTTAAGTTAGATAAAGTAGTATTATTTAAATTATAGCTTTCATCGGTTTGTTCTTAATTGAAATGGTTTTCATTAGTAGTTTTTAATAAGTACATATATTATAAGTATTAGAATGCTGCTTTATAATTGATAATTTCTTCTTCAGATTTATATGGTGGCTCTAGCTAAAACCTGCTAGCAGCAAATTCAACTTTTTGTCTATCAAAGAAATTTTTGATGTGAATAGATTAATATAAACCTTCATTAAGAGTGTTAGCTATTTCAATGTAAAAAGTAGTTTAGTTAAATGTTTCAAAGTAAACAAGTTAATCACTATGTGTACTTATAGATTTCAATACAATTAATTCAAAAAGTAGTAAATTAAGATCTTATTCAGATGTTTCATAAACATCTAAATGGATATGTAAATTGTCTGGCATCACTTTACTCATCTTTTATTAAAAAATTTACAAAAATTACTTTTTATTACCACTTCCACCTATTGGAATTCTGAAGGAATCTTAGCTTTACTATCTAATTTTTTTTTGAATTTCAAAGGATTTACCGCAGCCTGAGCTATTTGAATAATACACTATAGCTTTTTAATATAAAATTGATGCTTTTGTTTGTTTTTTTATTTTCTTTTCTTAGGGTAAACAAGAAATTTGTTTTTAATCTAATTCCTCTCTGATAAGGACTATAAGCTAGTTTTTAATTGTATCTCTTTATTTATTATATTCAGATAAAAGATCGTTCACTTAATTAAAAAATTTAACTTCTAATTTAGTATTAATGATCAAGTAGTAAGTATTTTATTTATTATTAGAAATTAAATTTTTAAATCTAAACATGAAAAGTTAAAAATCAGTGAACTTGGTGCTTTTGTCACAAAACAAATATTTGTAGTAATCTCCATAATTATCATCTTGATTTTGAACTCCACCAATTAATATTTCTATCAACTCTTAGCTACCCGAAAAAATGTATTTCACCAATTTATCTTTGAATCTTTGAGGTTCAAATGTTATATCCTAACAATTTTCTTCCATCATTTGATTGTCACTTTATTTCCATTTTTAAGTGCAATACTTTGCTAAAATTTATTTAAAATAGTAAATTTAAGTTGGGATTATTTTGAATAGAGAAACTTTTTAAAATTAATATTTATTTATTTTTTACATTCATCAAAAATTAAAAATTATTTTAAATAAAATATAAATTTTGATTATAAAATTTACCTATGCTCTGCAATTTAGAAAAGTAAGATGATTTCTTATTTAATTCAATAGAATAAGACATTTATTTAATATCCTTTAGACTTAGGTTCATAAATTTTAAGATATTTATCAAACCAGGATTTGCTTAACTAAAATCTAAAAATAGTCCTTCTTCACAATAAGTAATAAGTTCTTAGTAATATGAAAATCCAATCAAAGAAAAAGAAGGATATTCTTGAAAAAGCTAGGAAAGTTAATTTTTCCATTCTGTAAGTATTTCAGAGTATTTTTGATAATTTAATTCCATTTATTCAAGATTTTTTTAGTGGGATTAATTTTTGTTAGAGAAAACTAGTTTTTGTTCAAGGATATCAAATTTTCCAAAAGAAATTAAATTAGAAATCACTTCTTTCAGCATTTCAGCAGCAAACCACTAATCTTTAAACATTTCCATTTAATTTTTTATTTAATTTTCTAAATTTTGAGTATTGCTTGCTCCACATTCTTATGATTCTTCTTTTTCTTCGACTTGTATCATGCTTTTAGACAAAACCTTAGATTTGCGTTTATTTTTCGTTTTTACTATATTAAATTAGAATTTATCACTTTCCTTTATAAACTAGGCATATGTTTTTACCATATTTTAGTCAATAATAACTTTTGAGCATATTTTTCTAATATCTAATTCTGAATATTCTTAATTTGAAATAACAGCCAGTTTTACTTGTTCAGAATTATCTTTTTGCTTATCAAGATAAAACTAGAATTCACCTCCTTCGACAACTTCTATTGCTAGGCTAATGTAATTTTTTTAATTCTATTAACCCTTATCTATTTATTCAATTTTATAAAAATTTTCTGAACATTACTACAATTCAACATGAAGGGCTTCATCAATCAATTCTAATCTACAGAATTCAACTATTTCTTAAATAAACTTAACAAATAAAACTTTTTAATTATTTTAACAAGTTTCTCTTTTATTGGCCAAAATACCAAATATTTTTCTTTAATTATTTAACTTAATCAACAAAGATTATAAGTCAGTGTTTTCATCTGCATCTATTAAATCTCTCAATTCTAAAAAGCTTTGATTTTATAAATTATCTATGATATATTGAATTATTGAATCTAATTGGGAAATAATTGATACTGCATTATCTTACCTTTCTACACCTAAATAAAAACCACTTGGAAAAGAAAGTAAGCATTTGAATTGATTACTCTAAAAATAATCAATAGATTTTTTATTTACATCAATATTAGTCAAATTCTATAGATCTAAGTAAAATTATTTATTCAACTCGCTTTCAAGGTTTATTTTATTTTACTTGGCTATCTCAATTAAAAAACTTCCATATTAATGAAGAAAGTTTATATGAAAAGATCTTTAAAGGGTTACAGATAGATTTTCTTCTTTAATTTAAAGCAATTCGTAGAGATAAAGGAAATTCTTTTCAGACTCTATAAATGAATCACCAGATATTTATATTAAATTTTATAGATTTAAAACTTTTTTAGGGAAAAGAATCGATTTTTCTGAGCTCTTTTTTTAGGAGTCTCCCTCTTCTTGTTCTTCAACTTCTTCTTATTCGAATTCATCATCAAAGCATGGTTCTTATTAATTTATATTATGAATATCTTCTTCAAGCTCAATTAAAAATTTATCAAAAAATTTGAGAGGCACATTTTTGTTACCTTTAATCATTTAGATGAGATTTATCAATTCCATTTTAGAATAATAAAGTATATTATTTAGATTTTCTTTTAAGATTTTACATTCTCCCTCTTATTATTGAAGCATAAAAATAATTTTTTAGAAAATTTGGCTGCTTTCTAATGAATCAAAATAGTCATATAAGCTCTTTATTTATTTAAATTATGAAATTATTTATTTGATTTCTCCAAACTTAGCATCCATTTTAAATTTTTGTTCAAATAATTAATTTTCTTTTTTTAAGTATGTAGGAAATTTTTTCAATAATTTATTTATTTTTCCTTTCTCTTTAAAGAATTAACTTATTTCTTGGTCAATTTATTTTGAAAAATCTGAAAATTTTATATTTATTTCATTTTAGAAGAACTTATAAATGCCTTTAAATTGTTAATTTTCAATTATTTTTTTAATTGAAGGTATTTTAATTTCATCATGATGCTCGATAAAACTATTTAAATCAACTTATAATCTCTTTCTAAAAGGGAAGTCGGGTCTCTTGTCAGAGATTTTTAAGAAATCCAGATATTGCTCACTTTAAAATCTTTACTCAGGTGGTTACTATTATTCATATATGTTTAGGGCTTCTTGCTCAAATAATTATTAAATTTTCACTAAAATAGATTCCTACTCTTTATTTTGAATTTTTTTTTATTCCAAACATTTTTTATAGAAAGAATAAAATTCAGTTAACCTCTTCATACATTTTTATTTGTTAAATATTTGCTAAATTGTATTTAAAATCTTATTTAAATTTTCAACACTCTGTTCTTCATAGATAACTTAAATGATCATTTTTAGGTTTTAATGGAAGTATTCAACTATTATTTGGTAAGATTATACTTAAAATTTATTAATATCAATATCATTAATTATTTCAAAATTTATTTGTTAAATGTTGATGTTATTTTCTATTTCTATTTAAGGAATATCTTCTTGATTAGCTATCAAAGTATCAGTTTGGTCTAATTCCTCAATCAATTTTTACTTGTCATTCTTTTATGAAATAATATTTTCTATTTACTATTGTTGAAAAATTTCTTATTAATTTTACTAAAATTTTAATAAATCTACAAGCTCCTTTTAATAATCCCAAACAAATTTAATCTATTTGGCTTCAAGAGTTTTTATAAACACTTAAAAAGTACTTAATAGGTAATTTTATTGACTTTCTCTTGGATCATACTGAGAGAAATACTTTGAAAGGCAAGCAATTTGATCAAATTTTTTAAAATTATTAATTAAAGATTTAGATTTAATAAGTTTTTAGATATCAATTTCTAGTTTTTATTAATGTTAACTCATAAACATTATTAGATTTATTTAGTTAAGAGGTTAAAGTTTTGTAAAATTTTAATCTTAAAAGTAACTTTTAATTATTTAAAAATCGCTATCGTAGTGACTTTAGAAATCCTCTAATATACTGATAAAATAGTCAAAGAAAGTTTATCTTTGATATATCGCTTTCTGTAAAAATTCTCCTAGTAATTTTTCTTAGACATATTATTAAACTTTTTAAAAGTCTTCATTTTAAAATATGCTTTTTATGAACTTATTATTTGCTATCAGATAATGAAGTTAATCTTTTAAGTTAGAAATAGATAATAGTATTTTAAAAACAAAGGGCTATTTTATTTTTATGGCTTCTTATTTATTACTTTTTTCATAAATATTTATTTATTTTTCTAATTCACTTTTTTAGTTATTAAATATGTTAGAATCTAATTAATTCAATTTAGTCATGAAATTTTGTTATAGCCATGATTTTTCTAATTAACTATTTTTGTCGATTAGTTCTTTTAAAATTTCAAGAAGATTAAAATTCTTTTGAAGACTCTATACAAAGTTAATTAGATATTCATCCTTAAAATAATCCTAAGGAGCTTATTTAATTTTACAATATATATTATATGAATTATAAATTTTTGCTTCTTTTGAGAGGGCTTAAATCTATTAATTTAACTAATTCACACTATCTTTTTTTGGATTTATTTATTTGAGTAAGTTTTCATCAATATCTTATAAAAGCTAATTTCTATTTTAGAAGTATTACACATTTATAAACTTTCGTAATCCGTTTACTACCATAGGTATTTTTTAGCTTGTTTCTTTAATTTAATTGAGGAACTATAAAAGGCTCTTTTTAATATCTTTCTGGTAAATAGCTTCTTCTTCGTCTTCTTTTTAATTGCTTTTTTTCTTTTATATTTTTGTAAATTTTGGAGGCGTATCAAAAATATAAATCTTTTCATTTTCATTTTCGATAATCTTATATTGAATCAGTTATCTCTAAATATAATCAGAATGATATTTACTTTTTCCATTTATTATTTAATATTAATACTGGATTTAGCTCTTAACTGCATACTCATCCAAAGTAACAGCCTAAAAGCCTATATCACTACCTAAATCATCTAATTTTATTTATTACCTACCTATTAGAAGGAATACCTATTCAAATTTACTTAGATCTGTAAAGCCTAGATAAAAGTAAACCTAAATTTCTTTGATTTATTTCTATGTTTTCATAGCAATACTTATTTATTTGTTTCTTAATTGTTATATTATTAATGATTAATAAGAAAATCGTATCTTAATTTAATTAGATGAAATTGAGATAAAAGTCTTTTATTTAATAACTATTTTTTTCAAAATTATGAGACAAGTCTAATAAATTAAATTTATCTCTATTTAATTAAATGATACAATAAAATATAAATTTCATGATACTATATTTGTATTGAATAGTACGCACTTTTAATATTTTCATTTCAAGATAATATGTCATAAAATAAGAAAATAAGGTATTTTTATTTTAATTATTTCGAAATATGAAATTAATTGCTCAATAAATGTGAATTTTTAGATTTGATTTTATTAAAATTTAAAATTAAGTAAATATTATAATATTTGATAAAATAATATTAAAATTAAATTTTAATGAGTAAAAAATAAAATAATAATTTTTATAACATGCCAATTTTTAATATTCCTTGTTAAGTAAGGAAATATTCAGTTTTTTACAAATTAAATGATAATTTATTGAAATTAAATAAAAAAATTTCTTTATCATATCAAATTTCAGATCCTTATTTCTTTTTGAATATCAATCAATCAATTAATTTGAAATTTAAAACCTATAAAAATTTCTAAAAGTTAAGTAAATTTTATGTTTTTAAGTGATTAAATTTTTAATTGAAAGAAATAATTTCTTATGCTTGAGCTTTATTTATAGCTGAATTATATCATTAATCTATCCCTTAACTTCCTATAGAAAAAGATATTTATATTATTCTAATATGGAATATAAAAAGATATATTAAATTTATTATTATTCTAATTAAATAAAAAATTAATATGAACAAAAAAAAAAGTACTCTTAATCAAAAAACAAACAACCATACAAAATAAATAAATAATTAATAAAATAATAAATTAAGAGTAATACCAATTTTTTAAAATCTTTAAGCAGGAAAAATGATTTTTATATTTATTTTTTAGACAAACTATAGTTTATTACCATGTTAAATTTTGAAAAGCTCAATTAATTTTATAATTCAAAATTTTACATTTTACTTAAGCTAAAGTAAATATCTCCTCTTTATATTTTAGGTCATTGAGATACCTATTCAAATAAATATAAAATAAAAATTTAAGAATAAATAAAGAAATCAATCAATTTATGGGTCAATCTAAATAATCAATATTAAAACCAAAACCAAAACCCAATATACTATTATCAAAATTAATTGAAGTACTTTAGTTTTGCTAATTTTATTTTTTTATTCACTAAATTACTTTTTTTAAAAAGAAAATTTAGTCATCAAACCATTTTGACCTATATATAAACAAAGAGTAAGTAATTGTATTTTTGTTGTTACATATTTAATAATTGATTAGAATAAATATACTGTTTATTTTATAAAAGTCATAAATTCATAGATAACTAAGATGTATAAATGTTAGGAGAAGAGCTGGCAAAGTGCTCAAATCTTCAATTGCTCTAATTAAGTCTTAAGTAAACTAAAATTATTTTTTAAAATAAAATAAATTAATAAATAAAAAAATATTTGGATTTTAATAAAAGATATTGATATTCTCGAATAATTATTCTCAAGTAGGAAATAAATATTAAGTAGAATAATAAATTTTATTTTATAAATAAAAGAAAATTTAAAATAATAAAAAAAATGTATCCAAATAAATAGGTCTCTAACCTAGATAAACAAAAAAAAATAAAAATTTTAGTCTTTAATGTAGAAATAAATCTAATTTTTTAATCAAACATTTAATTTTTAGGGTTAAAGATTTTTCAGCATTTTTATATTTAAAAAAAATTAATTGAAGATTAAATGTTTAATAAAAAAAATAGATTTCTTCATCAAAGAATTGAGTAATTAAACATTTTTTAATTATTTATTTTTTTATTCTATCAGGTTCGAAACCTGTTTCAAAACTTTTTTTTTATTTCTTTTAAAATTTTTTATTTTTTTAATAATATTTATTGTTTACTAAATTTATATTTAAGAATAGTTATAGATATTTTATAAAATGTAACTTTTAATTCTAATAGATCAAATAAAATTGAAAATATTGGAGCAGTAAAATTGTTTAATAGCTTATCAGAATGTGTCAACTTAACATATCTTTAAATTTAATTAGAGTAATTAATTTTATAAATTTTAAAAAATTAGTTTTAAAAATAAGTTATTATTATTTTAAAAGCTATAATAAAATTGGTGAATAAGGTGTTACTAGTTTAGCAACTATGCTAAAATAATTAACATATTTGCAAAGTTTAGATTTATCTTTAAAGTATAAATAATAAAATTATATTCATTCAATAAATTTATTTATCTTTTAAAAGAAAAAATTAGATTCAATAAAAAGGAGTAGAAAACCTTTCTAATGGTCTAGCCTTATGCACAAAGCTAAAGGATTTAAAAATTATTTTGGAGTAAAACATCAATTGATATTTTTTAATTTATATTTCTCTTTAATAAGATTATGAAAAACAAACAAAATAAGCTTAAGAATATATTAATTTTAAAGTTACAACAAAATATGTAATTCTGATACCATTTACCTGTCTAATGCGTTAAAATAGTTAACAGAAATAATATTTCTACATTTATCTTTTGTGTAAGAACATTAAAAATTTAATTTAAGAATATATAAAATATATTTATTACAGAAATAGTGAAATTAATTAAAGTGGAATAGATAATCTATCAACAGGGATTTCTTATTGTAAATAACTCTAAAAGCTGAACCTATACTTAAAGTAATTTTCTATTTATTTATTTATTTATTTATTTATTTATTTATTTAATAAAATTAAATTTTTCTAATCTAAATATTTTAAAAATTTGAGTAAATCCATAAAAAATAAAAAAATAAATTCATTTTTATAAGCTAAAATAAGATCAACGACATAGCTGTTTATAATCTAGGTAATGGCATAGCTTAGTGTTAAAATTTAGATTGCTTAAAGCTAAATTTAAAGTATTATAAATTAAACTTTAACATTAATTATAAAATGAGTTGAATTTTAATATTTCATCCATTGAAAATAATTATTTTTTTTAATTTAGTATGTTTTTATTTTTAAAAAATTATTTTATTATTTAAAAGTGAAAACAAAATAAAAAATTGTGATATATCTATCTTCTTTATGAAATTTTAAAACTTAAAACATCTTTAATAGCTAAGTTTGAATCTTTCGTAATTTTTTTAATTAAAAATAATTAATCATTGTAGGCAATAATTTATTTATTATTTTCTTATCAACACTTTTTTATAAAAAATTTTAAATAATTAAATTAAAAATTATAAAGCAACAATAGTTTAAGAGATAGTTCTATTTTAAATTTTGAAAAATAACTCTTAGAATCCATAAATTTGAATAGTTTGAAACTATCTTTCAGGTAATTTATTAGAACTTTTTACATATGTAATGCTATGGTATTAAATTTATTAATATTTTTAACAAGATCTACTCTCATTAGTTTAAATGGGATGTCTAAATTGATTGACCAAATTTTATAAAGCAAGAATATCATAAGACTTAATTTAAAGTAAGTTAGTTATTACTATTATTTCCTTCGATTAAATATTTTTAGAAGATAAGCCGTCATTTGCTCTTTTCACTTAATTAATTTTTATTATAAAAAGTCCTTTCATTTATTATAGCCTTTTAGAATTCAATAAAGCCTTAAATAATAGCTAAAACTTGAAAAGCTTAACACTTTAATATGAGTAATTAACATTTATTTATGGATTTAATACAAATTGATTAAGAATAAAATTAAATTACTTTCTTTAAAATAGTAAATTAAAAAATGAAGAATTAAAAAATTTAGGTACTTGTTTAGCTAGTTCTAAGTTTATAAGAAACTTCACCTTAAAAATATCATAATGGTAAAATTTATTATTATAAATATAAAAATAAATTTTTGTTATGATGATAAATAGTAATAATTCAGATTCTGATGAGGAAGTTGTTGTTGACTTTTTAGAAAAAATATCATTGAATAATTAATTGTTCACATTAAATATTATATTGCCGTAAGATTGTAAATTTAAATTACATTTGCTAATTAAATAATTTTTTTATTAGATATGAATTAGGGAAAAGGGATTCTAATAAAATAGAAAAAAAATAAATTATTTTATAATAGAAATGTCAGAGGCTATTATATTTTTAAGTAGATTATGTTGAATATTGATATCGAAAATAAAAGGCTGTTTAAGAATTAAAATATTACTAATTTAAATTATTAAATAAATTTATTTACATAGTAGCTTGATTAGTTTTTTATTTTGGTTTGTTATCTTTTAAATAATTTATTTTTACTTAAAAATACATATGAAAATAATAATAAATTAGAGAGTGAAAAGAATTGAATTTGAATTAATTAATTAATATCTGATTTTTAATTTTAGAAATAAATCGTATTTTTTTGTAATAAAAATATTAACTAAAACAAAAAATAACCTACTAACTATATTTTTATTTATTTTTTCATATTGATTTAATTATATAATTAAAATAAAGCTGTTTTTCATGTCTTATCTGACTTCTATTGGCTTGTTAAGGCAGTTATAATAATTTTTTTATATAATTGAGAATATTCATTTATTTTAATTCTATTAGAGTGTTAATTCTCTTATGCTCTTTTTGAAAACATCATCTGTAAAGTTTTCTAAAAATAACCCGTCAGCTTAAACTAAATTTGTTTTTTTGAATTCAAATCCTTAGTAAAAAGTTATTAATTCATATATCTAATAGCAGTTGCAAACTTTAAAGGGTTATATTTAATTTTTGAATTCTTATGAAGCAAAATATTAGCTTTCACAGCCTATTTTAAATTGCTAATCTTGGAAGATATTTAGTAAAGATAATTATGGATCAATTTGAACTTTTTCGCTAGATAAAAATCTAATTATTATTCTTCCAATCGATAATTTGAAATCAGTTAACAAATTTTAATTTGAAAAGATATATTACAATAATTAGTTAAATATTTCATTTTATTAAATAACTCTATAACTGAGATTACAAAATTATACAAACTTATTCATATTAAGCTCTTCCAGCAGTTTTATGAAGTCTTTTAAGTGTTTTAACAACAGACACTTTTCTAAAATGTTTTGTAATTTCTAAAAATTAAAATTCATATTTATTTATTTCATCGCTGTACTCAAAGAAGTTTCTGATTATTAGATAGGTGAGGATTTGAAAAAAGATTGAATTGTTAACATTTTATTGTAAGCTTCTTTTACCAAGTCTTAGTCAATTAGAAGTTATTTTAAATTTTAAACTATATCTTATTATATTTTTTCTTAAGGAATGGTCATTTCATTATTTTAAGGACTTAGCTCATTAAAAGATAACAAAAATTAAAACTAAATACTCTTTTCTAAGTTAATTAATCTAGCCTTTTTAAAAATGCTTTTAATAACACTTGTTTGAAGACTATCAAATTCATACAATTTTCTATTGTAAATATAGTCTCCGTACTCTTGACCTTAACAAATAAACTTTTCCACTAAATCTTTCTCAGGCACTTTGATTATATCCAAGTCAGGTTTTATGTCTTGAAGACCATAAGTCTTTTAACTTCCTTATCTGTTTAAAAACTGTATCCAAATATCTTTATAAAGTTTATTTACATGAGGAGTTTATTAATTCTACTAACAATAAGTTATCAATTTTTAAATAAGTTAATTTTGTATGCTACATAAGTATTCAAGCATTGCTGAAAACATGGTATTATATTTACTAGAATAAATGAGATCTAATAGCTAAGTTTTTGCATCTATCTTTTTTAAAAATTAGTTCAAATTTTGCTGATCTTAACACTAGTTTTAAATCTATTGTAAAACCTATTTTATTTGTTAAAAAAATTATTCTTTTTTTAAAAAATTAAATGAAAATTTGCTTACAGAATTCCAGCAAGGAACAAATTATTCTAAATACCAATTGTAAAATTAGTCAGATACATCTAATTTGAGCTTATTTAAGGCATCTTTTAAAGTTAATTTATAAGCTTCAGTGACTTCAAACTAATTAGAAAAATATATTATAATTTATTAATAGAATATCACAAAATTCTTTAAAGAATTATGAATAAAATTTAAGTAGTCAAAATCTAAGTATTCGAGTAAAATGGGAAAGTATTATTGCAGATTTTATTAATGATTTAATTTCATATTTTGGATTATGTTATCATCTTTATTTTTGTATATTAATCTCAAACTAATAGGATGCGATTGTATGTAGGTCTATTATGTTAAATTACAGTGTGATAAATCTTCTGACAAAATAGCAAATTAATAGCTATAAAGTTAATCAAATTCCTGCATTTTGATTAGGATTTAGTTTTAAATTGCCATATTTTATTAGGTTTGATTGGCTAATTATGTTACCTAGATGTTTGAATGCATTAAATATTCTGTTAAATATTTAATTAGATACATAACTTTACATTAGTTATACTATCTTTTCTGGTTTATGATAAATTAGAATGTTTCAATTGAAAGATAAATTTAATTATCAATGTATTACATAAAATCAAATTCTATAGGAATATTAAGTATTTTGTTTATTAGAAGAATGCTTTTTTCTTAAGTTACTACCGTATTATTTTGTTTATCATAAGTATAATACTGAATTTTTGTTACTTATTTTAATTGATTATAAGGATTTAAATTTAATGATAGCTTTAGACATATGTGATACAGCATATTAAATAGGGCTTAGATTTCAGGTAACTACTAATTAACGTTATAACATAAGGTAATTTAATCTAACCTTAGACAAAATCCTATTTATTGTTAAACAGACTGTCTTAAACCAATTTTGTTTTCCAAACCATTTAGAATTAAAATAGCTTCATTTTAATTGTTTAATGATAAATTGCTTAAGCATGAAAGACATTATACATTTATATTGTTAAACTATTAATTATTGTTATCTACAACAATAAAATTTCGACATAAGAAGCACTAATAAAGAGATTTTAAGTTATCTCCTTATTAAACATTGTAGAAATCGATCTTAGATTGCACATAATTCTGTAAGTTAAAGGGATAGTATTTATCTTATTGAATGATTCCATTGTAAAGTTCTTTAAATACATTTTAGCAATTAGGAATTTACTAAAAGATCATATTTTCTAAAGATTGTTGCTTATTTTAAATGGCAATCAATTATTAATTTTAATAGCTTATTTCGTAAATTTAATTGTAATTAAATTAGTCTTAGATGTAATTTAACAACCAATTACAATTTTTTAAATAAAATGATTCGTTCATAAAATTTATTATGCTCTTTTTAAAAAAAAGTAAATTCTTTATTATGAAATTTTGGAATGGTTGATAATTTAACTTTAAGAAATATTTTTGTAATTATTCATCTAAGGTTGTGTAGCAGTTTTAGTATTGATCCTCGACCTCCATAGAATTTTTGCTACATTCGTATATCTTTTAAGCTAGTAAACTTTTGCTTATATCGTCTACATTGATCATTTAATAAACAAATTCTCTAAATATACTTAAGTATATCACTTTTTAAAGAGTTTGTAAAGAACTAAATTCATGTTCTATTAAAGTAAATAAAAACTCAATGTTTTCATTAGCCTTTTCATTTAAAAGATAAGAATAAACACAGTTTTGTATTGTCTCACTGAACTACTAGAAGGTATAATACTCAATATGATAAGGCTGACCATTTTTATCTGAAAACAATTCTTATAAATCCAAACAAAATGATTTTTGTACACTTTCAAATGACAAGCATTAGGATATTTACTTAAAAACACGGTTTAAGAATACCCTAAATTATAAAGAAAGGCATGAGTGCATATCTCTTTCATCAAATTCTAGCTAAAGCAATATCTTGATTATATGTGGACTAAATATTCTATAATAATTATTTTCTGTAGAAGAAATTATGAGAGTTTTCAAAAAATCATTCCATTTATATATGAATTATTTGTTATCATAAACTTATTAATTTTAAATGTTAGATTATCTCATTTCTTAATATAAATCTTGATAGAAAACTTAAAATAATTCTCTCATTTCTGTTAACTCTTTGTAGTCTAAACTTATAATGTTATCAAATTTCATATTGATAAGTAAGTTCTTCTTCACTAATATCTCACTAAATTCCTCACATATAATATTAACTAATACAATTTAATTCTTCATATGCTGATATTAATAGCTTGTGTTATTCTTGTCAACATATTCTAGAAACAGTTTTGTAAAAGCTGGATAATTTTAATTCAAAAGTTTATTCTCTTAAACATATCTTGATGTTGGTTTTACTGTTTCAAACATTCTCTAAATAATCATCTATTTCAGTAAATCTATTGATTAAACAAATTATAAGTTATTATTTCTATTCATCTCTACAAACTCATCTCTAAGATTATCTATGGACAATTGATAGTACTCAACAAAATCTCTAATATCCTTTATCTCATCTTCTAATATAAAAAGTGTTAAAAATATTGCAATTATTGTGTCTTATGAAGACTAAAAGGGTTTTATATTAACTTGTTCTTGCTCCTGAATTTCACTAATATCAATTCGGTCAATCCTTTTTCTAATTAGCAAGATTATTTAAGCAATTTAAATATCAATCTTATTGATTTAACCAGGGTTTTCATCTAGTATATCCATTAGAATTTATTCTGAAAATAAATAAAGAATATTTTCGTAGCTCCTCAAATTCTCTCTTACAGATTTGTACATCTTTTAAAATAGCTCATTTTGACCTTCAATAATGTTTTCTTTCAAGTGTTTGATAGTCATTTGATAGCTATTTAATACTCTAAATATTTCTTGACTTTCGCTTATAACTACATTTTTACACATCTTTAAAGGATTAAGATAATCTTAACTTGAAGATTTATATTTATCTGGAATCTAATTGATCTGGCTTTTTGAGTGTTAAATGAACTGAGGAACTTCACATTTAAACATACCATAAGTTAATTTATTAGATTCTAGGTCATAAATAATAATTGTTATACTCGTTTCAATGATCTTTTCTAATGCTGCCAATATACAAGAATGAAAGCTGGACGATTAAACTGAAAAACCTTTAGGTATCATATAATTTATCACTAAACCATTAAATGTATCAATGCTGTATTAATATTTCATAATCTTATAAGATATCTAAGATATTATAGGAATCAAAGCATCTTTGTATTTTTCCATAAATATTTTTGTTATTTGATTTAATTTTTCCACTTTATACTCAGATTCATTAATTTCCGAGCTTGGGAAGTATTAGATTACCCTGTAGGCATTTGCAAATATTTATTAATCATTCTCAATAAAAAATCTAGTTATTACATCTAATCCTATTACATTTTATATTTGAATGTTCTTGTCATTCATAATGTTTTACATAGACAATTTCTACTTTATCTCTCTATTTAATTCTAATTAACCTATATCTTGTTGTTAGTTATAAAATTAATGGAAGGGAGTAAGATCTTCTATACTATGGTTTTCCCATCTTCCCTCAACAGGTATCATTTTGTAAGATTCTTCTACTTTTAGAACAAATATAATATTTAACTGCAAAGAGTAGTTTTAGCTATCAACAGACTAATCCTTTGTATTAGCTAGGAATTAATCAACGCATTCATCAATCTTATGCATAGTAAACACTATTCTGTCATAAGAGTCTCCACCTGATTTCGACATATCTCCTGTAACTATTAATATATCCTGGTCAACTCTAATAGGATTATGCATAAATTTAATATCAGATTGTAATTATTTCGAATTATATTTATCGTCCAAACAATCAGTCATGTTTTTTTTTTAAGCAAAAGTAGTTTAAAACCTTTTTGTCTATACTTATGGAATTTAAGGTAGTCCTCTATTGAGGAAGTTAGTTAATTTTTTGACTAAATCTTATTCAGATACAATTTAACTTAGTGTTATAACATCTAACTTAGATGTAATGCTATCGGTTATAAAAGTTTATTATGAAATAACAGCAAATTATCTAACTTAACACTCTTTTATTTTATTTTTTTGCTAGAAGTATGCCCATTCAGATATTAAATGTTCATTAATATTTTAATTATATATTCTGTTTTAAATAAAACCACTTAGACTGTAATGATATTCTGATTTTTCATAAGAGTCTAACATAGTATTTATATATGGTTAATCTCTTTTTAAGAAAACAGATAAAAAGTTTGTCAAATTAAATATTCTCATAAATATTTTTTCTTATTCCTCATCAGTGATTTTGCAATCTTTATTAGATCCAACTGCTTTTTCTTTTTGTAACTTGTATTATAAGTAATAATTCTACACAACGGAATCCTTATTTGTAAATTTGAACAAGGGATACCTTGTTTGTGCTATTTTTTCGTGTTAGCAGAAATAATCTTCAACTTATTTGAAATTTTTTTGAAGAATTTGTATATTATCAGCATCATCACCAGATAAAATCATATTATCTTTGAGCAGATGCTTTTCAAATCTATTCAAAAGAGGACCATCCATCCTGTGAATTTAATTTTAGTTGACTAAAAGAATTAACTTGAAATTTTATGAAACTTCTATATTACTGCTTTCAGCTCCAAAAGAAATTTTGCAGAAATATTTACCATTATAATAACGATAACTTTAGTTAAGCACTTCATACAAGCTTTAGTATATGTTATCTAAGTTTAGTAAAGTAACTACCATACCTTTTTCGATGCAGCTAACAATTTTATTTATCACATTGTAGCAAGCTTGCATTTTTTTATCATCAGCAAAGTCACTTCCTATAAAAAATTAATGCTCTCTTGAGCTTAGTTTAGATTTTAAAAACGTCATTGCATTCTGAATATCATCAGAAATTACCATTAAATGTCTTGAAGTGAAGAATTTAGGTTCTTCCATCAAGTTTTGCTCGATAAGTTCAGAAGGTCTAAACTCATATGAATGATTCATATTAAGTTCAATAAATTGCTTTTACAATAATTACTAAGAAGCTTCTAAGCCAGAAAAATGCCTATAAAAAGCTTTTATTATTCTATCGTTTAATGATTTTATAGAATTTGAGCTCTGATCACACCTTTACTCGCTTTAAAAAAAGTTTATTTCTTCAGCACATATCTATTTACAAGCACTAAAGAAATCTCTTGGACCATGGAACGACTCATATTTTTTATCATGGTCCTTCAGATTTTTAAGATAATTTAAGTAAATATTTGCTATTTTTTGCTAAATCTCTTAACAATTAAGTTAGCTCTCATTAAGCATATTTATCATAAGCTTATCCTTTTACTGATCCTTTATTTCTTCAAAGATGCTTTAAAAAGTCTCAACTAACTATTAGGTGTTTATATCCATTCTTTATTTAAAATAAAAAATCCGAAATAAATAAATAATAGTTTTTATAATAATAAACTTACCTATATACTGTGAGCATTCTATTCATTTTTGAAGCATCTAGAGGCCAGTTAGAAATGCAAGAGACTGCTATATCTGGCTTTTCTAAAGTTGCATGAAGTACTTTAAGTGGATTATGTGGAGAAATCTCAGCTAAACCTATTTCATCTATGTAAACAAGAGATAGATTTTGATTTCCAACTTCTTTCGAATTAAAACCTTGTTATTTTTTACTTGCCTATTCAAAGACTTCCATAATTCTCTCTGATGTACTTTAAATATGTCCTTAATAGTACTAAGGCATCAATGCAGGATACTTTTTGAACAATTCACTTCGAGAATTAACTCCTTGCATAGATTAAATAAGTAGTCTTAGGGAAAGAGTTTTTGAGCTTCCAGGAGGGCCTTATTTTTAATTAAAATTATTTTTATTAATTTATTTTTTTGATAATATTTACCAATAAGACACACTGGTATCTTGTTAACAATACAAATGAAAAGAATGAATGCATTTTATCTCAAAGAATAATTCTTTGCTATACCCAGAGGTACATCTATCTGATTGATTAAAAACTTTTCTACAAAATCAAATTCTGATTACATTTAGTTATTAGTAAATTCTCTATAGTGATTTGTTAAAAGTTTTAAGTACTCTTCTCTTTTTTCTTGAAGAGGAATCCTAACACAATAATTAATGTAAAATGATAAATAAACAGCTAATATTTGGATATTCTAATCTTGAATTTTCAGACTATTTTTTTAACTTAAGTTTGAACATGTTTTTAAAAAGTTAATATTATTTTTCAAAAGCGTAACAAATCTTTTGACATCTCTAAGACTACAGGCACTTATTGTACCCATCAGTTTTCTCATATATTCTTAGCTCAAAAATACAAGTTCAGAGATTGTATTCTTGATCATTTCTATTTTATATGAAACTTTTGAATTTAGTTGCAATTCCTTGTTCATTTATAACAATATTTGTTATATATATGTTTTTTCATCATTTTGATTTAAACCTCCGTAATTCCACGAAAAACTATACATGCTGTCAGGAATAGGATTAACTGTGTACTCTAAATCGCTACCTTTGATTTTATTGACTAAATCTTATTTTATTCCACCATGAATTTGTATTTAAATTATCTTCTATTACTCTTCTGATTTCAATTTATATGGATTTAATGCTGCTATTGGAATAATATTAGGATGCAATTTTCTCCCCTTTAAATATCTATCAACTATAATTTCCTTGAACAAACCACAAACTAATTTATTTGTATTAACCTAATTTAAATTTCAATTAAATCTTTTTATTTAACTCTTTTAATTAAATAAAGAAATAAATAATTAATTAATTATTACTTCGTCAAAGAATAAAACTGTTTTCTTCTTTGAATTATTCCTTAATTGTGCTTCACTTTACTCAATAAACTCTATTACTTCTTCTTCTGTCACTCCACCATGGATAATTTTAGTATTAAAATTAGCTTCCATTATCAAAGAAAGGAGACGGATGAGAGCAGTTTTACCAATTCCAGCTTCTCCCTTTATAAGCATTGAATTTAATTAAAATATTTAAATGATATAATTAATAATTTACCATAATAATAATAGGAGTTAGAGATCTTATCCTCATGAATATCATAGCTATCTTAAAAAAGTTATCTTTTTAAATTATAATTTTCTCTACTTCTTTACTTAATTCAGTATTTGAAATTTTATCAAAAGTAATTTCTTTTTAGTTTTTGTAAAAATTTTGAATATGCTAGTTACAGAGTAGGATAAGCCAATTAACAAGCACTTCTGGTCTTTACTCCTAATCAAAGTGAAGTAATTACAATTTATACTAAGCATACATATCCTTTATAGGTTATGGAGTGGTTTCTGCATTCTAGAAAAAGGATGTTATACAGGCTTCATCCTATTCTTAAAAGGTCACAAAATCTTACAAAAAACTAGAAAATGGTATTAAACTTCCTGCTTTGTTTGTTAGCAATTATTCATTTGAAACTGAATTGCTTTGGTTATAGGTGTTTTTCAAACAAGAAAGAGAGACTTTTCTGCATAATTCAAAGGATTTGTTGATTATTATTGTCCTTAAACCTAATCTTAGTTAAGCTCTTTCAACTATAGGAATCTATAAATATGCTGAATTTTCCATTTTCTGCATTTCGCTGCCAAATAGATTGATAAAATTATTTATCTACCAAAAATTTGGATTGATTTAATTAGTATTTAAATATTAAACTAAATATTCATCAAGCAATTTAGAAAATAAAATTGTATCAATACTTTTTATTTTTTAGAGCTCATCTATGTTTTATTGTTAATCAAAATAAGTATTATTATTGCTCGTTTGTTATATTTTTATTGATTTTAGATACTTGAATACTGTCAGAGCAGCTGCTTAATTATGTTTTTCTTCAAAGCTCAATATATTGAAACTGTTAATATTGAAAGTAACTTGATTCACTTCAAAATAGTCTTTAATATGAATTTAATCTACTAAAGAGTTTCTAAGAGTGTTGTTTATTTCTACTAAAAAAACTGATTAACTTCCCAAATCTAAGAAGCTTTTTGAGTTAAAATTGATGCTCTTTAATATAATCATTTCAAACAAAGTAAAATCTAAATCTAAGTGGTCATTCTCATATAAATCTATGTGGTATATTCTCTGCTGATCTGAGTTATCTTGTATATTTTTCATTAAATATTTTATTAAACTATCTTTATCTCCATCACCGTTAGTAGGAATTCTTATTAACTATTTTTTATATTACTAGCTTTTTAACTTGACTGCAAACGTTTTACCTGCCCCTGGTTCACTAGAAGTAAAGAAGCATGCATTCTTATAGATCTACTTAATGTGTTGCTATTTTTTCAAGTTTTCAATATTTTAAGCTTTATTCTAATAACCAAAATCTTATTAGATTAAATTAAGTCTATCATCATAAAAATCTTTTTTTATGAGAATATAAAAATTATTGCTGTATTGATACTCATTTTACAGATTTGTTAATTCACTAAAATAAGAATTAATTGAACTAGAATTGATTATTAAAAAGAAGTTCATTGGTTGATTCTAATTTAAATATTTGTATCTTTAAATAAAAAGCTAAACATCTTAGATACACGTCTTCTTATCACAAAATAAAAAGTACTCAGATTTCATGTTTATTGGATTTTAATTGTATGCTAATAAGTAATAAAGAGCTTCCTTAGAGGTTGAATATTAAATTAACTTTATTCTTTTTTCGCTGCTATTAATTTTAAATATAAAAATAAATATAAAATTCTATTTTGATTTGTTATTTATTACATTCTCATCATTCCGCCTTAATCATTTTCAAATTAATTGGATGTGATAAATGAAGCTATTAGTTAATATTTTAATATTTTAATTATAATTTTCTATAAATTTAAAAAATACCTATTTAATCTAGCTTGAGTTGTTGTTCACAATTTTTATAGTTCTAAAAGATGTTATTAATATTCCGATTATTAAAAGGACTAGTCTATACTTAGTATTAAATGATTTACTTTAGACTCTAGCTTAGATCTGCTTCAAATATAGACTTACTTAAGTATTAATCAATTATTGGATAATATGAATAGCTGATAAAAGTAAATTTAGGGTATTTTCTTGTAACTCTTTCTATTTCATTTTTCCAATCTTTCAATAAATTTTGAAATTTTTAAAGTTATTGGTTCATATCTATCATATTTTACAAATAATAATTATTTTTATTATTATATATGTATTATTTCTTTTCAAATAGGAAATAGCCATAACTGATCATTTCTTGAATGATTTATTTTAAATCTTAAGTAAGCTCAAGCTGTTTTTTAAATTTCTCCATTTTTTATTCTTGTTATAGAATTTAAAGTTTTTCTTGATTTAAATTAGGATTAGCCATAGTCAACTTTTGCTGGCTTTAAGAGATTTATTATTTTTCTTACCCAAAAATAGCTTTAATTGAGTTCTTTTCAATGAGTACTCTTGAACTAATTTCATTAATTTCTTGCTCAGAATAACACTTTTGATCACATTCAATTAAATATGTCACCTAACTTCTTAAATTGTCTATTTCTATTGTTGTTTTTCCATCAGTGTACATTTTTTTAAGCAAATTTAAATAAGATTTTTTCTTATCTATATTATTTTGAATTGAGGCTATTTTGTGAAAGTTCTTAATAATTTCTTCCCACTGTGATACTCTAGAGTCAGTTTTGATCTGATTCTAAATAACATTATTTAGCTGAATCATAGCTTTTAAGATCGATTTTTTATTGTTAATTATTTCAGACTGGGTTTCAGAAAGCTCCAAGAAAAATTAAGCAAATTCATTCAGAACTGTTAAAAAACTGCTTAAGTCATAGTCGTTGTCACCTATAAAGTCACGCATATCTAAGTAAGAAATATTATTCACCTTATTCTGTTTTGAGTGCTCTATAATATGTTAAGACTTAATCAGCAGTTCCATGTTTCTTTAGATATCTTTTTCTCTTGCAATAACCTGATAATCTTAAATAATTTATTAGCTGATCTCTATTTGCATAACGACTTTGATTGGCTAATTTTTCAAATCTTTATAATTTAGTAATAAACTTTAAAGAGATTTCATTTAAACATTTTCTTATAATTTCCAATCTAATTTCAAAGTTTCAGCTACCTCCTAAATAATACTAAAACAATCTAAGTAAAAAGTAGATGTAAAACACTTTTTGAAATTCTATTCTGTTTGATATAGATCTGCCTGGACTCCTAAAATTGAATGGAATTCTTTAATATTCTAGATAATTTCATCTAAACCATCTCCAAAGTATGGCTTTAAGTTATTTAAACTAACTTCAGTGTTAAATAAAGTGTAACCTTATAATTATTATTAGTCCTACTTAATTATTTATTAATTTTCCTAATTTTAAATATTCTGCTGCATCATTAACAAAGAGTTTTAATTTTATTGATTTTCTTCTTATCTTATAAAATTAGAAAGGAGAAGTGTAGCAATCTTATTTAATTCATCGAGGTTTTTTATACTTCCTTTATCGCAACCATAAATAACATTACTGAAAATATAGAGATTTTCAATTAATTTAAACAGCATTTCAGAAAAATTAGCCATTCTAATTTGATAAATTTATGTTTTTAAATTTCCTAATTGTAAAACTTAGTCTTATTATTATTTTATTTATTCTATCTCTTTCAAGGTTTGATTGCATTAATAAGTATTAAGTTAAGTACAAATGCTTTAAACAATCTTTGAATTATTTACTTCGAGGAATTTATTTGATAAAATGTCAAATTATTAGAATTGCTAGAAAAATTAAGGTATTTAGCTTAATTATAATTGGCTTATTTTAGTCTTTTAAATTATTTCATAATATTCAGTTAAATATTCTTCGAACTTATAAAAGAATATTCTATAATTTTTATCTTTATTTTCAATTTATTTTATCTACTCTTATAATTGCTACTTATTTGCTTAAATATCAAATTAATCCATAATTTGTTCATAAAAATTTTGTGCACACACTTCTTTAATTTATTCAGTATTATATAATCCTTATGAAATAGATTAATTTACTTTCTTTACATTCTCTTCAACTACTTTGTAAAATTTCAAGGACTTATCACAAATTGGTAAAAATCTATTTATAAAACTAGATCCAAATATATGATAGATTTATCTGTTTTCAAGAAGCTAATTAACTCTTTCTATAGCCAACTAATCAAATATATTAAAAACTGTTGTTAAATCTTTATCGCTTCCTTTATAATATTTTGCTTCACTATAATTTTTAAAAAAGTCAGATTCATTCTAATTTTCTCTTTTCATTCTTAAATAAGAGATATTATCTTTGATACTATCAAATAATTATCTTTCCTATTCGTTTAATTCATTTAAATTAGTAACTTCAATCAAATTTTTTGTGGCAGTATTTGTCATTATTCTCTCAACAATAATATAAAGCTATTGTTCGAATTATTTAACAGATTCTTCTGTTAAAGATATTTCTCTTTATCTTTTGTGTAAATCTTCTTTAAGATTTTTTTCTTCTACTAAAATAGATTGATTTCCTTCTAGCTCACTAGCCTATTTTTATTCTTCTTTCTTTTGATTAAAATTTATAATGATAAATACAGACTTAAAACAAATTAATTTACCATTTATTTTATTCTATCGTCAGTGAGTATATCATTTGACCATTGGTTATCAGATATGTTAAGATCTTTTTATTACGAAGATACACTGCTTTTTTAAAGTTAGTCAATATTAGACTTGATGATATGATCGCTTTGGTTTTATTTACTTTTAGATTCTCTTTTTTACAAAATTAATTTCTATTTGGCATATAATTTTTATAAGTATCCCACATATTTAGTTTTTAATTTTATGATATCTACAATTTTCTAGCTTTATACATATTCTGTATATTTATCATAAAATTTTTTTAAAATTGGCTTTAAATTCGTAAATGGATTAATCTCTATTATTTGCTCAATAAATGATTCCATTAATTACTAGTTATAATAGTACTACATTGTAAATCTATGTTCTAAGAATTCAAAGCTAAAAACATCTATTTTATATTACATGCAAGTCTAAATAAAAAAATCAAGAGTTTTTTCTTCTGTCGATGAATGTTTTAAACAACTTAAGGTAGATATCACCTATCTTTTTAGTTAATATTTTGGTATATTAAAGAATTCTACAATATCTTTCATATTATCAAATATTTCTTACACTTTTTATTTGTAATAAATATCATTTTTTATTTCAAATAGTTGGTTTTAGAGTTTATTTATTACACTTTTTGGTAATTTTCTAAAAATATCCTTTTAGGTTTTCAATACACTAATAATATTTTCGTTCTTATTTTCTGCTAAAAGCATTATAATTCTTTTGATTTATTCAATGAAAAGATCTTTATAATTTGCAGTTTATTTTGAGAAAAACTCTATGTATTAATTAGGATATTAAAGTAAAATTTGATTATATTCTTTTTTATTTATATGGTTAGATGCTTCTTCATCTGTCCAAACGCAGTGATCACTTAGTAGAATATTGATTCTTTATTCGAAATTAGTATTTTATGAATAAAGGTCGATCAATTTATGTCTCAATCTTTTAGAGTTATTTTAATCTAGTTAGTAGCTTTTCATAAAAATCATAAAGTATTAACTTAAGCTTCTTGCTATCTCAACAATATTTTAGGTCTTGATATACTTGATTTAATCTTATCTATTCATTAAATCTAAAAAGTTGAAATACAATTCTATATCTTCTTCATAATTTCTAAAATTGTAGAGCTTTTAGATAATTATTTTAATTGAATATTCGTAAAATTTGTAAAACAATTAAGGAAATTTATATTCATCAATAAAATCTCTAAGGTGATTCAAAATCATTATGCTAGTGTTTGGTTAAATGAATTTTAGGAGACTTTATTCTTTATTATTTTAGATAAGTAAGTCTTAACCTAAAAGGCCAATAAAATATTTGTTTGTAAATTCATCTGGTGTATCAAATATATGAATAACTTATTCATATTTCTTTTTTAATGGAATTTCTCTAGTAATTTCTTTGGCTTTATAATCTTTTATGATATATCGATACTACAATTTATTATAATCATGAATTATGTCATTTTACTTTAAAGATATCATGAATATGTCATGATGTAAGTGTGTAGGTGAAAGGGGATAATTTTTATTATCTTTTTACCTAAATTAAATAACTAAATCTTTTTCATATTTATTGAGGCCATCTATAAATAACCAAAATACTATCCTATTACTTTCTTTTTCTTCAATTCTGTCCATTTTTATGGTAGAAGCTATTAATTAATGATTTTGTTTAACCTATTTCTTTATTTCTTAATGATAATTATTTGAATTTGAGAAAAAGTATCTAATTAATTATCAATTATATTATCTTAATAAAAGTGGAAAATATTATAATGGAGGATAATAAAATAAAACACTCTTTAAATATTCTAATATCGAATCTAAATAAAATGAATAGAGATTGTTTTGAAAAAGTATTTTTTTAATAAAAATTTTACTTAATTATGAGATATTTTTAAGAATAAATATTTTATAAAAGAAAATCAAATCAAATAAAATTTTATCATTTTTCTTACATTCTATATATATTAAAAAAGTAAAATAAACATATTTTTTTTATAAAATACATATGTTTTATTTGAATTATAAATCATTAATCAAATTAATCATTGAATTCTTCTTCTATCAATAGCTTTTTATGCTGCTTATTTATAGTATTTGCATCATAATTTTCCATTTCATTAACTTATAATTAAATCTTTTAAAATAAAATAAAGCAATCTTTTATCGTCAATTTAGATAAGTCTTAGTCTTAAAAAATTGAATTATTATCATTTATAAATCCTTCGTTTTGTAAGGAAATAGCTAAACAATAATTTGCCTCAACCTATATTTTATTTGGAGAAAACATTTTAATTATGTATAGTCCTAATCTTTTCCTTAAATCTTTTAATAAATCTAATTTTTTGCTATATTTTAAAATTATACTTTCAATAAAATCTGATTAGCCATCATCTCTGAGTTATTAATTGCATATAACAACCAAACTATCCAACACTTTCTCCTAGAGATAAAATATGAGTCCTGTAAAATCTTTAAGTTGCAATCCTTGTAAAAAGCTTGAAAGTTTAGGACATTTAAACTTAATATTAATTGATTCCATTGCTTATAAGATAGGTGTGTTGCATTATTAATTAATATCAAAATTAATATACTTTTAAGTTGTATGTATTTTTGAAAGCATATCAAAAGCCATTTCTTTATTATTAATTATTTAGTCTAGGCTTTTCGTTAAATTGATAGGTAATTCTTAGTATTAATTGATATCTTTATTTACTGTAATTATTTCTTTTTAGGAGATTAAAAATTTGATTTGAATACTATTTTATATATCAATTAAGCTAGCGTTTTATAAAAGTACTTTTCCTAATTCATGCTGAATGTTCTTCTTATCAAATATAATATATTCGTTAATTCCATCCCCTTCTTCAAATCCACAACTTGCAAACTGCTCCAAAATTTAATAGTTTTTAACATTTATTATTTAGGATGAAGAAATACTTTACAATGGCCTAATTATTTGCTTTCCTTCTTCGTTTTAAAATTAGAATCGGATTTCTTGATCAAGTTTTTTTACATCTTCATCACTAAAATGCTTTTCGCAAGCCTTTAATACAGATTTAATCTGCTCATTTTAAAAATCACACAAATAATTAAGTAATTTAAAGAACTGAGAGGGTGCTTATTCTGATGTATAAATTAAATTAGATAATTTAGTTTCTCCATTTATATCATCTAAATTAAGCTGTTCTTTAATACTTTTCTATCCTGTAGGCTTAATGCTTAGCACATTCTATTTAAATATAAAAATAAATTAATGTAAATAATAATTAATTTAAAACATTTAATTAATTACTTTCCATGCTTTTATAAAATTAACTTTTTACAAGTCTAAATTATTTTAAAAGTCTTTCTCATTTTGTGAATTTTGACCATCTAATTTGTTTATTTTATTTATTGCCTAATCAAGGATAAGATTTTATGCTTCTGAATACTAGAATTTAAAAGAGAGTAATTTTGAGCAAGTTTAATAGAATTTCACAAAAACCCTAAGAGAATCAAAGAGCATTTAATTCTCTGCGATATCTAAAAGCGTTATTAAGATAGGATATTATTCTTAAATATTTTTTCTAATTTCTTTGCTTGTAATATAAAAGTAAGCTTTTTTATAGTCTACATAAGAATGAGTAAATTTCAAGCTTTTAGGTAAATATTAGATCTTGTCTTCAAATTGATTATAAACTTAATCATATTTTTCTAAAAGTAAAAATAATTCATTAGAATACTGATCCTTCAAGGTATTAAATTAACTATGTATATCATCCTATAGTATTTAGTTTAAAGATTCACTATATTAGATATCCACCACCTTTACCTTATCAGAGTTCAAAAGGTGTTACACTAAGTGAACAAGAATGTATAGTGATTTAGATTTTGTAAATTCATGCTCTTAATTAGTATACTTAAAGAAGCACTCTAAAGCAATATTTATTTGGTCTTTCAAATACTATTCATGTTTATTTTAAGTAGGATGAATTTTTAATATTTTATTAATATAAAGTGTTTAGTACTTCTGATTTATTTATTTAGAAGTATCAAATAAACTAATTTCTGCTAATTTACCAAATTAGCTATCATTAAATTTTTTAAGGGATAGACTGAATATGATATGATATAACAAGCTAAATAGAGCTTAGCAAAAACAATTAAAATTTATTTATTATGTTTTGAAATTTTGTTCACTTAATTTTAAGCAAAACCCTTCTTCAAGTTCTATTCCACTTTTATTCTCCTTTATTTTAGATAAGTCATTTAGAATCAGCTTAAGTTTATTTTCTTCATTGATATTAATATTAATTTTACAATACTAGCATTGTACTATAATTTCCGTTTAATTTTTTACAATATAATTTTTGCAGCATAGACATTGATATAGCTTTTAATTTTACATAAATTAGTTATTAATTTAAGATTCAAACGAATATTTCATGTTGAATGGGTAATAGACTTTATTATTGATAACTCCTTTAAACATTAATTTAAAAATATTATTTGACGATTCAATATTTTAATAGACTATTTCCTTTAGCTAGTCGATCAAACAGTCTTTATCTTACTAAATATTAAACTAATTACTTTAAATTAATTATTCAGTATTTAAATTTTATAATTTTTTAAATTCTTCCAACCATCTACAATTTTTGAAAAAGTAGGAATTCTCAATATTTTTAAGCTTTTGTTAATAAAACAGCTATTTAGCAATATATAACTAGAGTGCTTTGCTGTTTAATTTAGAGAAATACTTTTAAATTGATGAATCTAAGTCGTTATCTTATAAGTCTTTATCATTTTAACAATTTAATTTAGCATCTTTTCTTTTGATGAAGTATCCTTCTTCTAAATCTTTTTAATCTACCAATTCTTAAACTAACACCTTAAAAATGCTTGCATAAATAGTTTATTATAAGCTATTCAATTAATTGAAATTATTCTCTAATAGAATTTTTAAAAAATTAAATTCTTAATTTTCTTTGTCTAGGAATTTATTCTTGTAAAGCTTATTTTAAAGAATCTACCCATAAGCCAAATAAGTATAAAACTCTTTTTTTTATTATTATATAGTACTAGTGCAAGGAGCAGAATTAAGAAACACAAAATTTTGGTTCTCGATAGTTAATCCATGGCTTAATAAAAAGAAAACTCTATGCAAAAATATTTAAAAGTCTGTATTTTCAGTCATATTTTGCTATACCTGAGCCTCATTTAGTTCCAACTCAAATAATAAATAAATAAAATGAATATCTACATTAACATATTTTCCCTTTTCTATTGAGAATATAATCAATTCTTTCATAAATTAATTCCATTTTTTTAAGAATTCAATTTTTACATTTTTTTGGTTGTTTTTTTAAGAATTAAAATAATATATCCTTAAAAGTTCTTTTGCTTAATTCAAGAAATCTATTTGAAGCTTAATAATATTTTAAACTTTTATTTCGCTTATGAGATTTGAAATTTCTCTTATTTCTGAGAAGTGATGGCAAATATAATTTATCAGCTCAACTTTCTCAAGTATCTATTTGCATTCATTATCTTCAGTTCTTCTTAAGGCTTTTAAAAGATATTAAGAATTTTCATAAAAGGAGATATTTTTGCATTACTTTTATTTTTCCAATAAAGATTCGAATATTCTTTTAATTAATAAATTAGTTAATAAATTTATTTATTGTGAAACTTTAAAGTTTTTCAAATCCTTTTTTCTTTAATCTTAAAAAGTTTAGAATATTTGCTTTATGTTAATACTGCTTTAATAAAAGTAAATAAGTTCTTTAATGTCTTTTATTTATTATCTCCAAATATACCAAACAAGGTAGATATCAATTAGGCAATCTTCATATTATGCATTATAATTTAAATTATCCTCATTTACAAAAAGTAAAGTTTTAATTACTTATAAGTATCCATCCTCTATTTAGTTAATTTTACTATTTTTAGAATCAATCAAAATATAGAAAGGGAATTTTATGATCTATTAATTAAAAGCTTTTAAATTTTATTTAGCACTCTCACGGAATATAATGAGGACTTTATCATTTTCAACTACACAATTTTTTTGTTATTTTTTTACAGTATTTTCAAATGTTTGTAAAATTTATAAAATTTGTATGCTCTCATTTATTATTAAGTCATTTGTTTGTTTCAAATTGTTTTACTTTTCACATTAAAAGTCAGTACACGTATCTATCGCTAATTCCATTTCAGAGTATACATATCTCTAAAATAATTCTTCTTAACATACATGCATTCCATAGATTAAACCATTCTTTTCTAGGCTAATGATGACTTAGTAAAAAAACATAACAAAAATATTTTTAAATCCTAGTATAATACTATTAATTGTGCTACTTGATTGACCAATAAAATATTGAGGTATGAGATACTTGAAGATGAAATCATCTAACGTCTAGATGTTGTATGCCTTTTAAATAACTATGTAAAGCTTACTTTGTATGATTTGCTTTAATTTGTCTGTGTAACTAGAGCCTTAATCAAAAGCTTTAATCAATTAATTAAGCCTTTTTTATTTATATAATTGATCAGGAATTTCATAATTTATTTTAGAGTAAGCCTCTTCCACTAATTAGAAGTTACTGCTGAAATAGAATTCTATCAGAGGTGCTTCTGAATAAAAAAATGATTACAAGTACAATTCTCTTTAGGACATGAGATTTTTAAATGTAAATTTATTTTTAATATAATCTATTGGACATGATTATATGATATCAATAGCATTACTTTTGTATTCATTAAAAGGACTTAAATTCTCGATGTAGTAATATTCCCAATTACCAATTATTGGTATCATGTCATAGAGATCTTCTACTCGAACAAGTATTATTATATTAAGCTAAAATTATATTTTTTTGTTCTTGTATTCTGACAATTCATCAATCTTTTGCATAATAAACTCAATTTATTACTTGCATTTGCTATCGTTCAAATATGTATTTATTATGAGGATTTATTATTCTTATTTTGAAAAATCTGAAGTATTAGATGATTATTTATTTTATGAAAAATTATATGTTTGAGTATTAAAAATAATTTATTATTTTTCTTGTTTAAGTTTGCTGAAAAACTAACTGAGTAATTTATCTAAATCTTATTCAGATTCGATTTCATTAATATCTTTATAAACATAGTTTGTATTTTTTGGCTCAAAAACATTGCTGCTATTAGGCGAAAAGACTACAAATTGTCTAATGTAATCTTATTCAATCTAGTTCTATAAAATTATCCTATTTAATATAAAGCTGTCTAAGCTGTAATGATAGTCAGATTCAACATAAGCTTAGTAAAATTAATTTTAAAGATGTATTTCCTAGCAGTTCCTACTAACAGGCAACATGCAATTTTAAAAATGACTCAAGTGAAATAATTTTCTTAAAATATTTTCTAAATCATTACTTTACATCTCAAAAGTTTCATAATTATTTAAAATTTGCCTTTTAAACTTATTCTAAAGATACAAATCCTGTATGACTGAATTTAAATTTTTGAACTTAAAAGAAACTAATTAATTCAAATAAGATTCGTTCTAAATATTACACTTTTTTTAGATCTCTTTTTTTTTCATTTCTTGCAATTTATTCACTTCATTATTTAATTTCTTTATATAATTTTTGTCTTATTCATCAATTATCTCGTTATGGTTTAAGTAGTGTTTCTCAAATCTGTTCAATAGTGGACCATCCATCCTGTGACAATATTACTCATTTACTATTAAAATCAGCTTAAAATTTTTATTCACCTCAATGACGCTGTTATCAGTTCCTATAGATATTTTAGAATAGTATTTTTGGTTGAAAGTGTGGTAACTTTAGTTGAGAACTTCATAAAGACTTTAATAGATACCATCAAGATTCAAGAGAACTATTATGAAACCTTCTTCTATACAGCCAATAATTTAATTTAAAATGTTATTTGTCTATTATGTTTATTGGTCTTGAGAAAAATTCATTCCAATAAAAAACCTATGCTTTTTTTACCTCAGCTATTGCTTTAAGAATTTAATCGACTTTCTTTCATCATTTGTGATTATCATTAAATTTCTGCAAATTTACTTTTCAGAATCTTCTTTTAAATTTTAATTGATCAATGCTAAGGGTTTAAACTAACTAATTTGATTTAATTCTTCAATATTATTAAATGACAATTATAATAATTCTTTAGAGTTTTAAAGGCCTGAAAAGTTTCTAAAGTAAGCCTCTTCAATTATTTTAAAAGCAGCATTTTTGTCTGACATTTGGCCAATCTTATTTATTATTTGTTATACAACATTGAAATAATCTCTAATTCCGTGAAATCTCTGATATTAGTTGTTCTGTTATTTTTAATTTTCTATGTAGTTCAAGTAAATTTATGGTATGCTTTTTTTGACTTGGTTAAAAAATTAATTATCTCTATATTGATTAGGAATAGTATTTTCCAAAATATCCTCTAATTCCTCTTTTACAATATCTAATCTATAATATTAAATGGTTATTTATTTTTAATTGAAATAATAATAATGATAAATTACCTATAAATTGCGAGCATCCTATTCATTTTTGATGCATCTAGAGGAAAATTAGAAATAGAAACAAATGCTACTTTCATCTTTTCAAGAGCTTCATGCAATACTTTAAGTGGATTATGAGGAGATATTTCAGCTAATCCAATTTCATCAAAGCAAATAACGCATAAATTCTCAGTTTATTCTTTCTCCTTTGAATCAAATTCTTCTTACCTTTTGTTGGCATCTTAATATACCTCAATTACTCTCTTAGATTTGCTTTAGGTGTGACCTTAATAGCAAATTGGAATTAAAGCAGGGTAGTATCTAAGGAATTATTTTTTGGACTATTTCCCTTCCATTGAAGAAATTACAAACTTTAAAGAGAGACTCTTTGAACTACCAGGAGGCCCTTAAATTATAAAAACAAGCTTCAATTAATCAATAATTTAATTTTAGATTGTAAAAAAAGTTACCTATTAAGCAAACAGGAATTCTGTTCACAATACAAACAAATAAAAGAAAGGTATTTTGCTTTAAAGAGAAAGTTTTTGATATATTTTAAGGTAAGTTCAACTACTAAATAAAAAAATCTAAAACTTTTTAAATAAACTCTTAGTAATGCTCAAAGCCTTTTGCAAATACTTTATATTTCTAGCACAATTCTTTTAAATAATGAACTCTCCTCTCATGTTGAGGGATAAGCAAGCAATAATTTATATAAAAAGTTAGATAAAACGAGTAAGGAATGATATTATTTTAATCTACTTATAATTTTTCTTCAGAGTTATTGCTTGCTCTGTTTAAAAATTCTATGCTACTTTTTAGAAAATTAGTATATCTTTTCACATCTCTTAAACTGCATGCGCTTGTTCTATTTCCCATTTCTTGTCTAACATAATTTTAGCTGAAAGATACCATTTTTATGAAATCGTCTTTTTTTTGCTTATCAATCTTGTATTAAAAATTTTCTAACTCTTCAAATAGAATCTCCATAATATTTGCAATGTAAGAATCTTCATCATTTTTATTTAATTCTCCAAAATTTAAGACAAAGCTAAACATACTTTAAGGAATTGGAAAAACGTTATATTCTAAATCTATTCCTTTAAATTTATTATCCATTTCATCACATTTAATTCCTCCTTGAATTTTGTAATTAAAAATTTCTTTTTGTTTATCTGTCTTCAACTTATATGGATTTATAGCAGCAATTATTATTATATTTTTAAATAACTGTCTCCCCTTAATAAGCCTATCAACTATCATTTCTTTGAAAAGTCCACTTATAAGACTACAAGTATTAGCCTGTATGATTAAATAAAAATTTTAATATTTATTAAAATTTGTAAACTTACCTCATCAAAAAATAAAATCAATTTTTTATTATCTAATTCCATAGCTTTCTTCTCTAATGATTCAACTAAATCTATTATTTCCTTTTCAGTGACTCCTGCATGTATAGTTTTAGAATAGAACATATCATTCATCAAATATGCCAGATACTCTAACAAAGCTGTTTTTCCTATACCTGTCTCGCCCTTTATTTTATATTATTAAATATCAATTAATTAATTTAATTAAAATATCTTACCATGAATATTGTTGGAATATTAGATCTTATGCGAAGATAAGTAGTACAAATCTTGTAAAAGTTATCTTTTTAAACAATAGTATTTTCAAACACTTCCTTAAATTATTAGCGATTCGTTTACTCTCTAGTTTGTTTGAATATATTTATATCATTATTAAAAAGAAGAATACTTTTATCTTTATAACTTAGGTCATCATCTTTAGATCGGTTGAAAAAAAATCTTTTTTTAGAATCATAATTTTAAAATAGTTTTTAAAAAGACTTTGGTATTTCTTTTTCATTTTAAAAGAAAAAAGTTAAGCAAGGTGTTTATTGATCCTAAAAAGTAACGAAACTGGTCTGCTATGTATCAAATTTAAGAAGGAACTAAGTCTACTATGATAAAATCTACTCTTGAGCTTAAAAGCAGTTATCATATTCTTATAAACACGAAATAGAAACTTTTTGACACATTTAAAATGAGTATTTTACAATATCTGTTCTGAGAGTTTTCAATTACTTGGTAGATTCTAAAGAAATATATTCAGATCTTTCAAACATCATCATTTCAGTTCCAAACAATTTTATAAAGTTTATAACTTATTAAAAGTTAGGAATAACTTTACAATTATTTATATGCTAAATAAAATGCTAATTTAGTAGCCTTACAAACTCTTTCCATTCTATTTATTGTATTTATTTCATTTCCTCTAACTTATCTTTATCGTCAAAATAATTTTATGATTTTTTATCTATTCCATTCAAATATCTATAAACGGTTAAAGCCTAAGAATCTAAGCCATTTTATATTAAAGTATTTAAGCATAAGTCTTTAATGTTAAATTCAATTTCTTTGATTTTAAAATATTTTTTAATTTAAATTGAATTTTCTAGAGATTTATTTACCGTATTATTAACTTCTATAAAGAATTAAGCTTAAGAACCTAAATTTATATATTCTCTTTAATTAAAATTAATGCTTTTTAAAAAAATCATCTCAAAAAGAAGAAAATTCAATTCTATCTCTTCTGTTTCATATAAATCCAAGTGATAGAAGTTCCTTTCACTTTATATATCTTTCATATTTTTTTGAAGTTATTTTATATAATTTTCTTTGCTACTGCTTCCATTTGAAGGAATTCTAATTAATGATTAATTCTCTATTTTATTTTCTTAAATAATTTTTTATGATTTACCAACTCCAGGTACTTTAGAAGTATAAAAAATTGCACTTTCAAAGATATTATTTAAGTGTGGAAAATTATCATCTTTTTTAATTTATATTTGATTAAATTGGGATAGCGAAGTGTCAAAAAAGTTTTCTTAAACTAAAATATACAAATAATTAATGCTAACTCTTAAATTACTCAGTAATCTCATCTAGGCTCCATTTAACTTACAGTTAATTACTAAATAAAAATTCAAAGATTCATTTTGATGCTCTAAAAACATATATCTTTATAAAAATAGCTATAAGTCTTAGAAATTTGAGTATGTGTTAAAAATTAAAAAGTATTCTGATTTGTAACTCTTAATATTTTTTTCATTAGAAAATATCTTTTCTATAGCATCTAAAGAATTATTGAACTTTATGATATTCACTCCTGTCACTTGTTTACTTAATTAAAATAAAATAAAGTATAGGTTTAAATAATTTTTAAATTTTTTTTTTTTTATTTTTTAAGATTTTTTTTTGAAAATTTATAAGCTTTTAAAAGTTAATAAAAATATTACTTCATCCCTCCTCCTTATTGTGATTTCTAATTATTCGTGATAAATTAGGCTTTAAATAAAAATAATAAAATTAATATTTAAAATTTTAATCAAATTAAAATAAATACCAATAAATTCAAGCTTATTTTGAGATTTACCATAATCTTCAGAAATTTTTTCAGTAATCTTTGGAATATTATTAGAGTTTATTTGTAATAATATTTGGTATAAACTTTTACTTAGACCATTTAGTAAAAGTTAACCACTTAAATATTGGTTTAATTGGAGATAGTGTGACTAGCTTATAAATGTAAATTTTGGGAAATTTTTATTAGCTTATTCTATATTTGACTACCATTAACTTAATTATTTTGTAAGATTTTCTTACAAATCTTACATTTCTTTAATTGTATTATTGTACTATGTATTAGAGTTTTAAAATGTATATGTTTCATTAGTTATCAAGAAATACCCAAAATCAGACATCTCTTGCAACTTTAATCGGATTTCTTCAACGATTTGTAGCATAAATTTAAACTTTTGTATTTTTTCTTCATTGTTTTCAACTTAGATCATATTCGAAGGCTTTAAAGTATCTACTATATTTGAGGTGCCCTGTTTGTTCACTTTAAAATCTCTTGTATATTTGTTAATCAAAACTCTTGAATTTATTTCTTTTATTTTTTATTCAGAATAGCCATTAATGCTATAAGTTGAGGGTTAATCTTTTTATGAGAATAAAATTTTAATCTCACTTTTAATGTAAAAACTATTTAATAGATCAAAATAAATTCTTTTTTTATCTAATCCATTTTGAATTTTTTCGAGCTTCCCAATATCATAAACTATTTAAGTCCACTATATTTATTTTTATTCAGTTAATTCAGTTTGTATAAATGAATTTAATTTTTGAATGTCATCTATAATATATCCATTATTTCTTACTATCTCATTTTATTGGTTTAATAATTTTTGGATGAATGGAGTGATATCGTGGAGAGACTTAAGATAGACACTCAAATCATGCTAATCTCTGCCGATAAATTATCTTAAATCATAAAATGATGTATTACTCTTCATATTATTTTCTACTTTTGATATTAATTCTTATGACTATATAAAATTTCTTAGATTAGTGTAGAAATTTGATAAAGATAATTTATATACAATTTAAAAGGCCTCCTCAATTTCTTAAGGTAAATTTATTTTAAAAAGCTCTTTAAAAGGCAATTTTGGTGTAATTAAATCCTTATTATCTTATACAGAGACGTCTGCATACTTGCATATAAATTAAAACAAAAACTTGTTTTTAGAAGAGTCTTATTTGGTGTTAAATATCTTTGCTACATCTAAAATAAGATTACTATTTTAATCATATGACTAAAAAATGCACTACCATATTTTTATTTTATTCAATTTTTCTTAGACTTCATGTTACTTGTTAATAATTTAGCAAAGTTGTTATAAATTTTAGTGTGTTTTACCTTTCACACAATATTCCTCTAAATCTTGGAAGGATAAATCATTTTTAAATAATTCATTTTATTTAAATTATTAGAGATTTGTTTTCATAAATGGAAGATAACCTTGAACAGAGAATTTTGTTTATTCACTAGTTATTAGTTTTAATTTGCTTAATAAGGTATTAAAGATATCTATCTCCTATTATCTTCTTTCAAAAACAGTATTATAAAGCTTTGATATGTCTGATATGAATTTATTTATTAACGAATTAAAATACTTGTCTCTTAAGTCTTACAATTATGAATTATTAACTTTATTGATTTCTTCATCTAAATATTTTTCATTTTCAATTTTCAACTTTGAAAAAATATTTTCCATGATTCGTGAATTTTTCATTTCAAAGAAAATTTTAGCAAATTCAGAATAAACATTAAATTTGTCTACTTCGTTTTTAACTTCTTTAATTATTTTATATTCTAATTGAAATTTGGTAAGATGATTTAGTTGATTTGGGAAGTATTTTTAGAAATAAATAAAAAAATCTAAAAGTCTTTAATATTCTTCTTGAGTATCATTAATTATTTTATTCGTATTTTCAACAATTTTTTAATAATCTTTTTCAAACCTATTAAGTATTTCAGTAACATATTATTAATTAAAAAATTTCTTGAAGGAAGTGACACAAATTTCTAGCTTTAAAATTTGATTTGTAATTTTATCTACTTCTGTTTGGAGTGTTTGATAAAATTATGCTTATTAATTACATTTTGTTAAAAATTAGAATACAAAATAAGAATTGAATAGCATATTTTGATTTTTAATTAGATAGTTAAGTCTTTTTAGAGCCATTGTCTCACAAATTTCGATAATTTTCTAAACTTCTATTTTTATTGTTTTATTTTAATTTTTTTAAAAAAATTCATAATCATTTAAAAATTCTTTTTCATCTTGCTCACTTTTAACTTCTCTTTCGTAATTTAAAATTATTTCATTAAAATATTATCTGAATTCTTCTTGATTTTCTAACTAATTTGAAATTTAAAAATCGCAAAGATTTCTAAGTCCTAAGAAATTCATGTAATCTTTAATTGTCTTTGTAAGCTAATTACTGAAATCTTTTATTTTCTATTCATTTAGAGCTGCTATACTAATTTCTTCTAAGTAAAATTCGTTTTCAGCCAACTTTTTTAAAATAAAATAGTTTATTAAAATTGTATCTTTTGTTAAAAATATAATTAAATTTACTTCTAATTTAAGATATTCATAATCTTCTTTGCCTCCTTCCTTCAATTTTAAAATTTCTACCTTCTTTTAATTATATTATTATTTCTTTTAGTCTAATTTTATTTATTGCTATTTAAGTATCTCATGAAGAAAATTTAAAAATTTCTATTTATCATTAAATAATTTGCTCAAATTAAGTTAATTTTAACCATCCTTGTTGTTAGGATTACTTCTATTTTATTTCTAATATTAAGAGGATGCTTTTTTTGTTAAATCACAGAGTATAGTTGTGACATCAACAAACGGGTTTTGGTTTTTTAAGGATTGTAAAAATGTTTCACATTTATCATCTTCTATTAAACTTTCTATAAAGGTGGTTAAGAATTTATTTGAAATATTGATGTCATATTTAAAAGCATAATCATAAATTAATGTATTATTTAATTAAATATTTTTTTGATTTTCTATCTATTTTTTGATAAAATTTCTCATCTCAAAGTAATTTATATCTAAATCTGCTCTCAGTTTGCTATAAACATCAAATAAGCCATTTAGAATTTGATCACTATCAAAATTTATCTTTAGTATTTTTTCCTTAAATAAATTTGTTTCTATTTTTTTAAACCCGAAAAAATTTAAATTCTTAATTTGGCCAATGCTTTCTGAAGAAATTATTTCATTTACAATTTGGATTCTTAAATTATGAGTAATCATTTTATATTTTGGGTTACTAAATTTTATTAGCAATTCTTATGCTTTTATTAATTGTGATTTAAACTCAAATTTATATTAACGATAACTTATGTATGCTTCAGCTTCTTCTTCAGAGAGTATTTCTTAATTTTCTAAGATTTAGAGGCGATCTTCGTAATTTTCTATTTGATTAAAGATGTCCTTAAATTTTACTACTAGCTATGGTTAATTTTCATGTTAGCTAATGAATTTTTAGTATTATATAATTATTTTTTTTATTAAATCTATTTTAATATTCTTGTTTTTAATTTGTATCCAAATGTACTCAATCATTAAATCTATATCTTCTAAATTTTAATTTGTGTCATCCAATTGTTATAAAACTACTTAGTAAGATTTTTCTAAAAATAATTTTAAGCTATCGCTTTTTTCCAATTTCAATTGCAAGTACAAATTTATCAAAGTAGAAACTTTGATATTATTGTATATGAAATCAATTATTTTGCTTTTTTCATTAACTATTATTTTTTAAAAATTTGTCTATAAAAGTTTAAAATCTTAAGGCACATCAAATACTTCTACTAGTTCCTTCTGAGCTTTTTAGCGGAATACTGGATTTTAAATATATACTGATTAATAAGTGCCATCATCGGATACTAATTAGTAAACATAGTTCTCAATTCTTTTGGAATACTAAATTTCAGTTTGATAAATATTCTTCTCGCACTCAGATTATTAAAGCTGAAAATCTTAGTTAGAGTAACCATCAATTCTCAAGAAGATTTTAAAGTTTATAGGCTAAGATGTTTCAAAAGATAAATAGAATTTAATTTTATTTCTCTCGCTCATTTATTATCACTCTAAAGGCAACTAATTGACTTTCTAAAGTTATTTATTTATTTATTTATTATCAAATTTTATTTGATGATTTACTAATTTTTAATATCGCATCAAATATACTAATATCTTTTTTCCTATTCTGAAATATTAAATAATCACCAGTTCTAAATAAATGAATCTTAATCAATAATTTGTTTATCTATTTTTATATTAATCATTAAACGTGTAAATGTTATTATTTAAATATTGAATAATTAGAATATTTAATTTTTCCCTTCAGCCATTGAATCAATTCATAATAGCAGTTTCTAATTTAATTATAATTTTAAAAATAAATAATAATATTTTAAAGTGTTCTTTTTAATAAAATAAAATATATATACCCATATGTGAATTTAATTTTTAGCTATCACCATTTAAAAATTTAAAAGCAATAAATTACTTAGGTTAACAAAATTTATGAATATATTCTTAAATGTAAATTTTAGAGAAAAATGAATATTAAGGTAAATTATTTTAATTTATATTTTTATTATTTAAATAAAATATTTATCATGGATAATTTATTATTCAAAATTAAATAGAATGTTACATTTATCTGATATCAATTTTTGTTAATAAAAAAATTAGTTTATACTAGAAATTATTTTTATTTATAAAGAAGGTAGGAAGGAATAAAGGAAGGAAGGAAGGAAGGTAACTAATGAGGTAATAAAATTTTTTTTAACAAAAAAATACCGAATTAAGATTAGTTGATGAAATAAATACTTTTTGATAGATGCTTGAGAAAACAAATGATTTAGTTAGTAAATTCATATCAAAACTGATCAGAAGTATATTCAAAAAGATTTTTATTTCTTCTATATCTAATTCAATTCCTTCAAATTTGATATATTTGATCTTATTAAGCCTATTAAAAATACATCAATTTTCTATTAAAATAAGAAAATATAAATATTTATTAATTTTACCTATTTATTTTGTAAATGGATTCTAATTAGGGATAGAATTAAGTATCTGAAGATAAAAGCTTGTTTACTGTTATTGATAGATTTGCTCTAAACTTGGTCAAGTAAAATTTCTAAAGATAGATAGCAGAGATTGAAAACCAGTTTAAAGTTTCCATTACTATAATTGAAGAATATGGTTAAGTTTTAATTAAGAGAACTAGTGATGAAGTTAGTACACCTGAATTGGAAAAAGAGTTGTTTTAATAAGTAGGCTATAAAGTACTTGAGCTAACTATTATTCAATCTAGCAAACTCAAGGAAGGTAAGATTGATAGCAATAGTGAGTTTTATCTTAAAATTGAAAAGAATCTTAAAAAGAAATATGAAAGTTTGAACAGAAAGTAAGATTATGAAATCTCTTTATAGACTAATGATATTGATTAAAATTTCTCATCATCCAAGAAGTATAAACCTTTAGTCCTCAAGTCGTTGAATGTAAAATTTTTTTTTAAATTATAATTTCAATGTAAATTGACTTTAAATAATTATTTTGTTTAGATAAAAGGTAAATTTGTGGTAAAGATATGCAAGATAGAGTAGCCAGAAAACTTAAATTTCGATAAAATCGATGTTGTCGTACTAAATATGACAAAAACAGGTATATACCTTGACGAATTCGGGTACTAGTTAGTTAAATCTAATAATCAATTGAACTTGCTACTTAAGTCTCTTAAGCAGCAAATTTAACATTCTGACTATATTGACGAAAAAGTATTTTTAGTAGGCAGCAAAGTAAGTTTCTTTTTTAATGGTGAAATAACTCTTAAAAGCAATTTTATTTAATACTAAAAGAATATTAGTTTAATAATACAATTTGAAGACAATGAAGATGCCTGTATAAATCGTTTACTTTAAATACTTGATAAGCTCAAAGATTAGAAGTTCTAATAAAAAGGCAACTTACGTATTTTTATAGGGTGGAGACCTTGCTGTGGATAGAAATATTTTGAAACCCTTTACAAGTATTTGGAAAAATTAGATTCTAGTAAAACTTATCTTTAGTTTCCCACAGAAATTTGCCTAGTGACTGATGAAGGATTGGAAAATCAAGTATTGCAAGTTGTTTAAACTGTTTAATTCAATTAAACTGTAAGCGGAAAAATAGAAATGAAAAAAGAAGTCTTATGGAATATAAATACTGAAAAATATCCAAGATTTGTTGATTAAAATGTATAATTACCAGGTATCGTTTTAGGAAAAGAGCTTACCGAAATGATTGAAAAAGCAACTGAGCTAAAGCAAGAAGAGTTTTATTGTGCACTGAAGCTTGATGGGTAGGAAAAGTAATTTTTCTAAACTCCAAAGGAATTAGGTATGAATCCTGAAATAGTAGATAGGTTAAAACTAAATTTAAAAGCATTAAAGGAAACTAACTTATCATAAAGCTGCACCAACTAAATTCTTAACCAGTGTGACTTCGTAAAAGAATTCATTTTATAATTAAATTATTTTTATTTATTAATTTGTTTGTTTGTTAAAAAGTATTACTATCTCCACCCTTATGAAGAAGATTACAAAATGTATCCAGAAGATGTGCAAAACGTCATAAGATCTTATGTAAAGTTAGGATTTTTTGAACTAAGATTGGAGAGAGACTCCTGCACGATGGATATAATTACTCCAATTTTTAAGATAAACATTAAGTAGTTAACGATGCAATAGATTTAGGGGAATAAGAAATTGGTTTATTTGAAAAGATAAGAGAAATAAGTTTAAGTTATGAATACTGAATAGAAATAGGCATATGATGAGATTATGAAAATAAATGTGCTCTAATTTTTGTAGAGTGATCAAGCTGAAAAAGCCTAAGACTTAACTTTGAAGTCGAAGCCTTATATTTATGTAAGGGCAAAACCTGAAACTTATGATGAAATAAGCTAATTTATAACTTAATTAAAACTAAATTCATTTGTTACTCATCACATCAAAATAAACTAACAAAATTTAAACACAGTAGTAAAATAATATTTAGAATAAACTTCTCTGATAGAAAATGTAGAAATCAGCATTGTTGACGATATCTTGCTGATATATGGCTTTAAAAAGACTTTGAATAGGATTTTACCAGCTTTGATGAGCAGTATGATTTATTCAAATTAATTAATCATTTATTTATTTTAAACTTTTAAATTATTATTAAACAGAGGTTTGCGATAGCAAGTATGGCGAAGAATCTGTTTACGCAATTCCTTCATTTTGGGAACCTTAAAATAATAACCATCTTTTATTCAGCCTCAGCTTGAACTCTGTAGAAGCAGTAAAATGTATAAATATGTTTAATCAAAGTATGTCAAATATTGTGAGAAAGGTGTACAGAATCCAAAATATGAATTTATGGAAAAACTATTAATTTGAAAAAGAAACTCTTCTTTAAAAAGGTAATGCAAGCGAAAGACTTCTTTTCCATGGACCAGGTGTTAACGTCAATCCAGAAACAATTTACACAGCTATCGAAGAAGGTTTTGATTTTAGGTAAAAATTATTTTTAGAAATATTTTATTTATTTTATTAACTTTTAATATAATAAAGAAATGACTCTATTTAAAATGGATAAATTTTTGGTAGAGGAGCTCATTTCCATGACTAAGCTAGTAAAGCAAACCAATATGCTTATATAACAAGTGGTAAAAGATAAATAATTATTGCAAGTGTCCTTATTGGTAAAGCTTTCGAGACATCATCAAATGCTTCTTATACAAAGCCTCCAGTTATCACTGAAGGAAAAGAATAAAGATATGACTCAGTCAAATCAAATAATTAAGAAGGCAATAATACTTATGCTGTTTACCACAACTCAAAGGCATATCCTTATTACTTATTAGAATATGATTGAATAATATTTCAAAAATAAATTTATGTTATCTTTGCAAATTGAATTATAAATGATATTTTTTAATTATTTACAATATAATATAAATTTGTATAATAATATTTTACTTCTTAGAACTTGCATTTAATTTTAATAATAATATTTTTTTTTAAATAATTGTAAAAGAGATTTTAAAGAAAGCTAGAGTTTTTATTGATAATATTTTTTAATTTTTTTCTTTTATGTTTTTTAATGATCTATCATGTTTTATTTTATCAAATTTTTTAGATACATTTTTTCATTTTTTTATAAACTTACATTTTTTTTTTGAACTAGAAAAAAATTTATTTAAAAAGGATTTTTCTCACTATTTTTATCATTTAATTTTGAATGATATTTTATTCAATAAAATACTTTATTTGATACTATTTAAATAGTATAGGAAAAATAAAGATATTGGTTTTTAATATTTGTCAAAAAACAAAAAAAGGGACTATGGTATAGAAAGAAAAGTGTTATCATTTGGTTATTGATAAATTCTTATTAGATTAATTCAAAAGAGGATATCATAAGAAATAAATTATTATTGTTTGTCTTGTGATCAGAAATTTTTTAAAGAAATTAGGATTAATAAAATATCAATCTAATTAATATAATAGTTGATATATCTTTAAAATATTAGAAAAGTATTTAGTTAAATATATCAGATTAAAAGAATGGATAGCTCCCCTTTAAATATTTAGAGAGTTTCACAATAAATGTTTGAAATTGATGATCCTTTTATATTGATGATGATATAAAAAGATAATCAGAAAGAAATTCAAAATTTAGAGTAAAAGTATCAAATTAAGATATAAATAAACTAGGGATATGGTCAAGTGCATATTTTACAATAAGAAGACAGTATTGAAGAACATTTGGACTAGTCTATAGTTGATTCTATTGAAAAGCACTTTAATAATTTTGAAAAAGTTCAAAAAAAGAAAGTTACTGAGTAGTATGTAGAATGCAATAGAGACTTTTACTTGAAGCTCAATAAAGTTCTTTAGAAATATCATACAAAATTATAATAATATCATTTAGATTTTATTGGAAATGAATCACAATAAGATTATGATTAAAATAAAATATACTAACCCCTTGTCGTGAAAAGCATCCAAGTAAAACTTTTCTAATGATATCAATTAAAATAAATACCTTTTTAACTATTCTTAAAAATAAAACCTTTATTTTAAAACCTTTCTATTTAATATTAAAGATTCAAGATAAATTCCTAATCTAAACTTGCAAGATCGAATAGCCAGAATATCTAAATTTTGAAGAAATAGATGTATTAGTGTTAAACATGACACAATAAGGATTGTTTGTAGATGATTTTGGTTATCAATTAGTTAATTCGAATCCAGGTCTCAAATAGCTTATCAAATAGTTGAAATAGTAAATTAAGACATCCAACTTTATTGATGAGCATGTCTTTTACCAAGGAAAAAAAGTAACTTTTTAGACAAAAATATGTTTATGTGTGTATGTGTTTAAGGTTTAGTTTGTTTCAATTTTATTAAATATAAATAGGCAATAAGTCTACTTATACAATTACAAGAGGACGAAAAGGTGTGCATTGATAACTTGCAAGTAATTCTTAACAAATTGAAAGAATAGAAATATAAATAAAAGGGGCATTTAAGAATTTCTGTTGCTATAAGAGAATGCTGTGGAAAGAAATATGTTGAAGCTTTTGGCTCCTACATAAAATAAGCGATTAAGCAAAAATCATATTTGAATTTTCCATCAGAAATAAATTTTATTGTGAACGAAAGAAATGAAAATTTAATTTCTTAGTAGTTAGATAATTTAAAAAAGATAGAGTTAAATGAAAAAGAAAAGCTCGGTCTCCTCTCTTTATTTACTTCAAAATCCAAAAAAAGCCAAAAAGAAGATAAAATGTGGGTTGAAGAAAGCATTTAATCTTCTCTTCTTCGTATTCAAGGTAAAGGCACAGAAGTTGAAGAAATAGTGAAAATTTTTAAAAAGCTTTAGTAAGATTGTTTTATCAGATTTGAATTACCTTTAAACAACGGAAGCCTTACTGAAGAGCTTGTTAAATATTTATAAGAAATAGCTATTAAATAAACAATGAGCATAGAAATCAGTGAAAAAAGTGTTAGCATATATGCTTACAAAAAGACTATCAACAAATTTCTACCAATCATAGCTAACTGTAATTAAATTCTTATTTAAAATCATTTTTGTACCTAACTTTATTATTAAATAATCTAACTTTAAAAGAAATCAGAGGAAGCTAAACGATGCTAAGAATTTAGTGCTAAGTACCTCCAAACTGGTCTAACTAAAGAGAGAATCTTTTGCTTGTAAACCTTGATCTTTCAAGTCCTGAAGCCATGGATTGTATAACAGCAATGAAAAAAACATTGCCTAATTCAAAAGTAAGCAGGATACAAAGAGTATAGAATATAAAATTATGGAGAAATTATATGTATGAAAAATAAAAACTTGTTTAGAAAGGAAATGCAAAAGAACTACTCTTGTTTCATGGTACAAGAAATAATAAACCTGAAATGATATATAATGGAACAGAAGAAGGGTTTGATTTTAGGTAATTTACTAATTTATTAATTAATTGATTGATTTCTTTGTGAGTTAATAATTCAAATTATAATAGCATAAGATAAAATGAAATTTAACAAAGCAATAATTTTGCTAAAAAAAGACAAATTTATTTAAAAAAAGATCAAAATTCTACATTAAATAACAATCAATTTGCAGATATCTACATAAGTTAAATCTTTATCTCCCATTTTCAGGATAGTTATTCATCTATTTACTCAATATAAAACATCAACTTTTATAAATAAGATGATAAAAAAAAATAATTTTATTTTCAAATTTAATTTTGAAGCTGTGTTTTTACATTTTAATTCTTTTTAAACCAGAATTTTTAGACATCTTTTAAAACTGTAAATAGATAGGATGATTATTATACTGTAATAAGGATTTATATTAATTAGCTGACATAGATCTTTAGAAATTGAAATTAAAAAAGTATATTTTTTTATAAAAAAGACTAAGTGCTCACGGTATGTATGGTAGAGGTACTTATTTTCATGAAATGGCATCTTATTCTGATGGATACGCTTATCATGATGGATCCAAAAAAGTCTTCTTTCTTGCTTAAGTCCTAGTAGGCAATTACTATGTTGGTGGAAGTAGCGGCTATGTTTCTCCTCCAATTATCCCAGGTACAAACGGATTAAGATATGATTCAATTAGATCGAATTATAATGAAGGATAGAACATGTTTATCATTTATCATAATTCAAAAGCATATCCTACTTATCTTATTGATTATAATTGACTTTTTAATTTTTCTATCTCATAATCTGTCATAGGTTAAATAAAGAGAATTAATTAATCTGTAATAATTTTTTTAATTTGTGTTTATATTTTTGAAAGAGTGAATGAAAAATATGCGCTTTTGGTGATAAATAAAAAAGAAAACATGTAACTTTAAAATCATCAAAGTTAATAAAAGTTTGTATCTTAACGACTAAAATTATTAATTTTACTTACTTTTTGAATATCTTTTTTTTTTTTAATTTAATATAATAAACTAAAATTTGTATTTGGCATTGAACCATTGTAATGAAGTTAGAGACAAAAATTAGTTAATGTGTTTTTAAATTATAAAAAATGGAGTTGTGAAAAAATATGTAGCATGCCGAGCCTTTTTATATGTAATCTAAATTATTTTAGAAATGTCTTAGCTTTAATTAAGTTAAGCAACCTTTAATTTACAAATGGGTCCTTTTTATTATTTTCTTCCCAAAATTTAAAAGATCTCTTTTATTTTAAATAATCAATAAGGAATTTAATAAACAAATTTATAAAATCACCAAATTGTTATTTACATCACACTTAATGCAATAATTAAAAAAACTTGTGGAAAAGTACGTTCATTCTTCAAGATTTTATCTTATCCATCTAAATCTCAAAACTTACCTACCTACCTACCTCTATTTGATTTTGCGAAACAAATATAAACACATCATACTTTTGCAATTTAATTCTTGAATGAATTCATAATAATTTTGAATAGCTAGCTTAAAATAGGTCAACATAAAATTTAAAAATGATTTTTAATTAAATTTTAATATTTTGCAAAGAAAGATATTATTTACGTAAATCACTTTTAAATTCTAAGAAATTATTGCGTTTTTGTTTAAAAAATATAATAGAAGATAGCTGAAAGATACAAATAATTAGATTAAATTAGTAGCTTTTTTAAATTAGAAATATTATTATTTGTTTTTCTTTTTGAATAAAATGGATCATTATTATAAAATATTACTTTTATCCTAAGATACTTTTTAAGTGATATAAATTATATTTTTATCCATCTTTTCGAAAAGAAGTTCTAATTAACTTCAAAAAAATGTTAAGAGCTTAATCTACCTCCTAAAAAAGAAATTAATAAATTTATCACTCAAAATCATGATCAGTTAATACGTATCTTTTTTTGATTTTTTTAATGATTTTTAAATTTTTTAGAGTTATTTGAATTACAGACAACGTAGTTTTTCACATATTATGCAAACAGAAAATTAATATTTTCTTAAAATTTTGATTGATATCTAAAAAACCATTTGAAAGATTTCTTAATTTCGCTGAGGCTAGTCTATTTTTAAATTACATTATGTATTTTTTTTCCTTTTTTTCAAAAGTCTACAAATTAGTAATAATAAAAATATAAATTGTTGTTTGTTTGATTTTAAGTATAATACGAGTATTATTTAAATATGTAGACTTTCGTCATTGCTAAGTGATTAGGAAGAAATAGTTTTGCTTGATAAAATGATATAAAATAGTATTTTTAAATTGTGGCTTTTTTGATTAATTGACACTATATGGAAGGAAGATAGTTTGTTTGTTTATTTATTTTATATTTTCCTTTCTTCAAAATATTTTTAAATTTGTAATTTGCTTGAAAATTTACCATTCGTTTTTATTAACATCTATTTGTTTGTCACATAGTCCAAACCAAAAACAAAAAAAAAGAGAATAATAAAATTTTAGGTCATATAAATTTGTAAATTAATTAATTTGATATTTATAAAATAATAAATTTAATTTCATATAAAAATAAATAAGTAGTAAAAAGTAAGATATGTAGATACCAGATCCTCAAAATATCATTCAAAATCCAAACCTAAATTTATTAATAAATCCTGATTTGGAGGGTGGATAAAATGAAATAAGAGTGATGTCTGTTGCACCAGACTTCATGATTCAAAGGGACGTTAACAATCTTCTTAAGCCTTTAAATGTTTTACTTACTACTTCTTTTGTAAATGGTAAACCAAGTAAGGTAAAACCGATTACAATATTCGATAGATTTGAAGAACCTGAGCTTTAAACAAGAATAGAAAATGATAAGGAAATATTTTACTACAAAGAGTTCGATGAAAAAAACGGCTACAAACCTAAGTAAAACAATATTTATTTTATTATCAAAAGCAAGCATCTAAAATGATTAATAAATATCTATCTATCTATCAATCAATCAGTTTATTTATTTATTCTTTATATTTTAAATTATACATTCAAAAAAAAAAATGAATTTTAATTAAAGAGTTTATTATAGATAACAAACAAACAGACAATCAATCAATTTTTTGTTTTTTTCAAGATTTGAAAATAAATAAATAATTCTTATAAAGTCACCAAATATTTAAATTTAATATAGGATTAAGTTAATTGATGATTACACAAACTAGCCATATGTAAGGAGAAATTTGCGTAACTTTGAGAACAATGATGGATTGGGGTATTTGTACTCTAAATACAAGCGCATAGATCTAAAACACAGAGAATAAAATTTAAAAATAGAAACAATATAGATGCTAATCTGTGTCACAATGTACGGCGAACCAAAAGATTTCTTAGTGAATACTCTAAGAGGAATACATGCAAACTTATAGCATTTTGAAAAAATGGGAATTTCAAGTAAATAAATAGTTGTAGTCATTTTTTAAGATGGTATCATGAAAATGAAAGAGGAAATGGTGGATTACTTTTCTGAACTAGACATCTTACAAAATAGAGAGTTAGCGCTTGTAAGAAGAAGATAAATTATTAAACAGCAAATTGATTTTTTAAAGAGAGAGAAAAAGTAATCAGTCTTAGACCACAACGATGGACTTCCAAACACAATTCCTAAATAAATAGCCCTTCTTTATTAAGATTTTATTAAATTTAAAGGCTAGAAAGGAGATTTGCCTACTTTTTCAGTTTTTAAACACTTGAATGCTAAAAAGTTATCTTCACACCTATGGTTTTTTGAAGGCTTTTGTCGTTAATTCTAGCCTAAATATTGTGCTTTAGTTGATGTTGGAACAATAGTATTTTATTTATTAATTGTTTCTTTTTATTTTATTTAGATTTATTTTTATTTTATATACAGCCTGATCAACTTGGTCTAGTTAATATGTTTAAGGCTCTTGAAGCAGATATCAGTATTGGTGGTGTATGCGGATTTATGGGTTTAAAATCTCCTAAAGAAAATGAATAAGACGAATCATAGAGATAATAATTAAATAATAAGATAGATAATTTAAAAAACGAGCTAAAATAAGATCATCCATGGATAAAAGAAGATGAACAAAAAGAATCAGATCAAAAAAAGGCAAACGAATTATTAAGGGAATAATAGACAACACATGAGAATAAATTTATAGCTTCAAATGTATAGTAAGTTGAATAGGCTTCAAAAAGAGAAAAAGAAGTTGACTGCAATTTAATGATTATATTCAATGTTTTCTTCCTAATTGGACTATTAATTTCAGCTATTTATAACGGCTGTTTATACATTATAAATAAATTATTTTAGCTAATTGCTTATATATTCAGATTCTTTTTAAATCTTGCATCTCTTCCTCAAGCTTAGAATTATGAATATACCACTGCACATATGATAGATAAGAATTTCGAATCTTGCTTAGGTTTCTTACATGTCCTGCCAGGTGCTTGGTCTGCTTATAGGTAATATTGATTCATCACTTACCATTTTTAAGCTAAGTAGATATTTTAATTAATAAATAGATACAAAGCCTTGAATCTTACTAAGGAGCATAGAGAAAACCTTATCTAAAAGAGATATCTCAAATAAATTTTAAATAAAAATTTATTATCAAATACGATTCAAGAGCTTAACATGTTTTTGGCTGAAGATAGAATTTTGTGTTTAGGTATTTTTTGCCAAGTAGAATCAAGTTACAAGTAATTTATTTGCTTTCTTTCTTTCTTTTCTTATTTGGCTATTTTAATTAATTTGTTTTTTATTAAATTAATTATTTATTATTAAATAAAAATAGATTGAAGTTTATTCCTGATGCTAAGGCATTCACTGACCCAGTAGACACATTTGAGGACTTTTTAAATTAAAGAAGAAGATGGATCAATAGTTCTTGGTTTGCTTTGGAATATGTACTTTAGAATTATGAATATCATATAGAAGAGAGTAGCCACTCATTCATAATGAAGAATTTTATTTTCCCAATGAATATGTTATTTGCTAAAATTGGAAAATTTAACACTTATTTCATTCCTGCCTTTTATTTATTTGTTGCCATATTGTGTAGTTTCTAATTTTTGAAACCAACTACAACAATTGCCTACAAGTAAATCAATAATTTAGCTTAATTCTAAGATAACTCTAATATCTCCTGCCACTAAAATGATGATGATAATTTGAATATATGCTCAAATACTTTTACTGGAAATACTTGCTATATCCAATGTAATAACTATTAAGTACCAAAGTAAAATAAATTAAATTTTTAACATATAATTTCTTCTTTTTTCAATTTATTTAAAGAAAAAGAAAGAAAGAAATTCATTTTTAATCTAATTTCTAGAATCATTTTAATTTACAATTTTTTATAAATTAATAAATAAATAAGTATCTTCTTTGCTTTTCTTAATTTTATACCTGCTATTTTTGTAGTGCTAATAATCATGATTTTATTTGCCAGTTTGACATTTAAGCCAAAGGTTGTAGAAATCACCCCTAAAGAAGAAGATGAATACAATTAACTAAATAAAATGAAACAAGATGGATAGCCATTTAACACTTAATAGAAAAAGAGAAATAAAGAGCTATAAAATAAAGTAAATAAATAAATAATTAATTAAATAGGTATCAAATATTTATTTATTAATTAATTAAAAACAAAAAATAGTATTCTTAGAAATTCTAGAATGAAGTCTTCAAAACATTAGCCTCATTAATATCATTAATAGTAAGAAATTAATTTTTAAAATAATTTATTTTAAGCTAACAAATTTTATGAATAAATGAATAGAGCTGCTTTATATTTATCATAGTTATGGCTACTATCATCTTAAATCTACTTGATTAAACTTATTTGATTCATATTGGAGTTTAAAAATTAAGTTCAGGCTTTAAAATATATATGTTAACTATGATTGGTCTTAACTATGGTAGCTTCGCTATTAGTTTAGTTATTCACTTTTTCTTTTAACCTTTCATTGCTTGGAATATATTTATCTCCTTCATGTCATATTGGATATATTCACCAATTTACAATCACATCTTATTGATATTTTCTTTCTGTAACATTGATGACGTCACTTGGGGAACTAAGGGACTTACAGATAGTAAATAAAATGAAAAATAAAAGAGTGAAAAGATCAAATTTGTAGGCAGCTGGATATTTTGGAATGCATTCTTGTTAACCGTTTTGTTAACAGCTAACTCTATCTCATCAAATACACCTTATGTTATCATGATTTTAGGAGGATTTGGCACAATTTACTCCTTTATAAAAACTTTCCGTAATAATTATCAAATTCTACTTAAATAATTTTTTTATATTTATTTATTTAATACAAAAACAGTTGGCATACTTCATTATCTTAAATACTTCTTAATAGATAATATATTTATTTGCTGTAAATTAAGAAAGAACAGAAGTATTTATAGTTCAATTACTGACTAAATTAATCATTTCTTTGACAATGCTAGAAGATAATAGATCATATCTAGTTACCACCCTGTACAACAAGTTGAAGATTATTTAGAAAATAGTAGAGTAAATTAACTAGATTTAAGTGACTCTTTATAAAACTTAGATAGGAATGACACCTAGTATAACATCAATTAAGTTCCTTCCTTAAATAATATATAAAGTAGTTCCTAATAAGAAAGTGATAATCTCCTTTTCAATTAATAAAAATAAAAGAATGCCACAACACTAGAACCAATTATCGAATAAGATGACCATCATAAAGAAATGGAAATACCTTCGCATAAAAAGAATATGTTCATATAATCAAAAGAAATAAACATAGAAATGGATTAAATTGGATTAAATAAATTATAAAGCGGTAGTGCTGGTGGTTAATTATAATATTAATTATCAAACGAATATTTAAATTCACCATAATAAAATAAAGATACTGATGAAAAGAAAAATATATAAATTCCATAATAGAGTATTGTAAAATCAAGTAAAAAATGATTCATTAATTGATTATAAAGACATTTATGATCAATTCTTAAGCAAACTATTAAAATCTGACATTAAATTAAATGAATGTTAGTTAGTTAGTTCATTCAATTTTATTTTTTAAATTAACTTTAATTATTAATTAATTTCTGATGTGTAAATAAATATTCTTTTAATATTTTATTCATATTAATCTTCTGCTACTTACCTTGATATTTATCTTCTACCTTTTGATTTATTTATTTATTATCTTAGCTTCAAAAAACTAACTTACCAAAGAATAAAATACCAACTACAAAATTATTTTTGAGTATTTTTTATTAATTAATTTTTATACATTGACGGTTTTAATTGGAAATAAATTATATTTAAACGATTTCAATATTATATACTATAAATTAAAAATGATATTTTATATTAGAATACAATCTATAATTAATTATTTTATTTATTTATTTATTTATTTATTTTATCCTTTAATTTAGATTGTTAAAAATGGAGTTAGGAAAAGATAAACTAAACTAAAATTATTTTAAAATTATTCCTTTAGAACTATGAAATCAATTTAAAAATAAGATGGTATTAAAGAATAAATTCATATTGATTAAATTACAATTATCAAAGATAATCTTAAGCTATTTTTAAAAATAATAAATCATTTTAAAGTTTATTCCTTTAAAGAATGTATAATTTCTATGGTTAAATAATACAAAATTTAACAGTTTTAATATTTTTTATTCAAACGGTTTAAAATATTAATTTTAATTAATTTATACTGCTTAAGATTATATACTTATAACAACAATATATTGTAAATACTGTTAATTCTTATTAAATTAAAATAGAAAATATAAGTCAAAGCAAATTTAATTTCTTGGATGTAAGACAAAAAGAATTTGATAAAATTAAAATGTGAATTAATTGTTAATCTAAATACACGCTAGTAAACTGATATAGTATAAATTAAGCTAGCTAGATAGATACATAGATAAATAAATAAATATTCATCAGACTTGAAAAAAATCTATCTATTGAAAATATATAAAAAATATAAAATGTTTAATATAATTACAGTATTTACTAAATATTTGCTATTTCTATTGTTATTAGAAATTAATTTAATAAAAATAATCTTACTTTATTTATTTTATAGTAAATCTACCTTAAAGTTAATAAATGATATATATTATTATTTTTGTAAAATTCATATTCAAACAAACTAAAAATTTTCTAATCAATTTTATTTTTTTAAAAAAGATTCTTATAAATTAATTAAAAAAAGATTTTTATTTAAAGTAGATTTTTTTAGAATAAATTTTAAAATTTGGGAATTTGTTTTTATAATTTTAATCCATTCTAGCTTTTATTATTTTTTATGTTTTTGAGTAGCATGAGCTTTGCAGAATTATTTATACATTCATGTACTTGTTTGTTTGCTTGCTTTGAATCTTAAAATCAAAATAGAATTTTAATCAATAAATAGATAGAATAAAATGCATTTCCCAGCAAAAAATGTATTCATATTTTAATGAATTTATGGCGAAATAGAAAATGATAAATATTTATTTATATTTTGCTTGCTTTCTTTGATGGACGGACTTAATGGAATTTTACTTTAGCTATTGATATTTGTTTGATAAAAAGATTAATAAATATTATTTATTATTGCAATAAAAACTGAAACTTGGAAATTCTGTAACAAATAAATAAATAAATCAATCAATCAATCAATTAATATCAATAAAAATCAATAGTTAAAGCAAAATGTCTGATACTGAAAACCAACCCGAAGATTAGCAATTATATGAATAAGAAGAGCAGGATGATGATGAAGGTGTAGTTATAGAAAATCATTCAGCTCAGAACTCTTCCCAGCATTAAAAGTATTTTCATCACATAAAAATTGACCAGATTAATTGAGTTTTGTTTTAAAAATAATAGCAATTCTTAAGAAGAAAATAGGCGCTACCAAGAACATCTTGAAGAAAAAGATGAAGAGAATAATATAGAAGATTTTATTCCTGATATTGATTAAAATGAAGAATAAGAAGAGAAAGTTGTTAGAGCTTAGAATTAACCCGTGAAATCTCTTACTTCTTTCGGTAGTTAAAAGTTGAAGCAATAAGCAAGCAATCCAAGTTAAAACGATTAAGCCAAAGAAGTTTAAAGATAACCTAGTGCTTAAGAGGAGATGCAAAGCAGTTAGCAACAAGGGATATAGCAAAGCTAGCAAATTTAGAGATAAACATCCAACCATTAACAGAAATTATAGGAAGAATAGTAAAATTACTAACAATAGTAATAAAAGCAATAGATTTAAAGATCTTAGTCATAGTAAGACTAAATATTGTTCTCTTAATTTTTGAATGAAATTTTAGATTAATACAGAACTGTTTAACGCGCTTTTAAAGCTATTGACAGACACAATAAAGGATTTATTGAATTGAATGACTTAGCAATCGAGATAGCTGCACGTTTCGGAATTGAAAATGAATCTTAATAAAAGGAAATTTTTGTAAAACTTGGTCATGGCAACTCTCGTATAAACCGCGAGCTATTTGAAGAGGCATTCCATGACATTGTTTAAGATAGATAGATTCAGTAGCAACAGTTATTTTCATCTATGAATGTTGTTACATAGAGCTATGATCCTACACATTCTCCTTTCAAGGACAAGCAAGAAAGAGAAGAAATTATAAATATTTTTGCTAGCAATAAGAATGTGAATTTAGATGAAGCAAATAAAGTAGAGCACTTTACTGAAGACAGTATGTATGCTCCAGTAATTCGTCGTCTTCGTTAGCAACCAAATTTTAATGAATTTGTTCGTTCCTATAATAACCTTTAATTCCCTAAGCTTAATTAATAAAAACAAAAAGGAGAAGTTTCATATTAGCCTTTTTCATAGTTGCACTCTCTTCCATTTAATGCAAACGCCGCATCTATTTCACAGCAACAATTTTTAATGAGACATGAATTATTCTAAAATACTTCTTCATCTCGCAATTACAGAGGAGCTTAGAGTCTCTTAGATGAATACAGACAGTCTGCCCCACAAAATTAAAATTTTGCTCAAAACAGCGGAAGTCCCCTAAGATAGCTAAAAATCTCTACTCATACATTCTCTCCAAACAGGTATTATAAGATTTTAGATAGTCCTAAAGAGTTTGCCTTTGAAAGAAAGTTTAACAGCAACAACAATAATTATCAAACTTTAGGGTAAGCCCCTCAAAACCCATAGATTAGAGTAAATCCTGGCGGTAGACGCTTCTTGAGTCCTCAATATGCACGTAGACCCAACTAAACATTCTTAGGATTTGAATTTGGAACATAAAACTATTAATCCTAACTATTTGGAAACTAAATGAAATAGAGTTAAGGAAATTTCATGTATAAACCAAAAAGAAATAATTTGAGCAACTCGAAGTTATTCGCTTCATAAGGTAATTTATAATAGAAAATACAAACAAACCAAATAAAATTACAAACAAAAAATTTAGAAATATTCTTAATAATTGCATATTCAATTTTTGCAAAATCTTATTTCTTTAATCTAGAAAATAACAATCAATAATTTTCCAGCTAAACAAACAAAAAGCAAAGAACAAAAGAAAGAAAGATCAGCGAAAATAAAATTTATTGCAAAATAAACAAAATTTTTTGAAATAAATAAATAGATAAATAAGATAGATAGATCAATAAATCTATTCAATATTCTTTAGCTTTTATTTATCAAGCAAATCAATTTTATTTTTTTTAATAAAAATATTATCCTGTTCTGATAAAAATAAACAAAAAGAAATAATTTAATCATTCGAATCTTAAATCTGATTGAACCACCATTTTAAGCTGACAAATTTTTAAAACCTATAAACTATTTAGAATAAAAAAGTATTTAAAAAAACGAGATGAAAAAAGAAACAAAAAATTCATTAAAAAATTAATTTAGTATTAAGCACTTTTATTTATGAGATTTAAATAAAAAAAATAAACAAATTAAAAATCAAACAAACTATTTTAAATTTTCAAATTTCATTTAAATTGAGAATTAGAAAAATTCTAAATAAGTTTAAAAGTATATTTTGAGAAAAAATCTAGTTGATTTGAAATTTAATAAAATAAAATATTAAATATATCATCAAAAATAAATAAATAAATAATGAGAAATTAATTAAGTTTTTTATTAGCTTATTACACAATTTAACTTTGATTATTTTTGTTATAAAAAAAATATTTTTTTAATATATTTGTTTAATAAAATAAATTTATAGAAATCAATTTAAATAAAGACACAGATTTCCTTCATAGAAGTACTTATCTAGCTTCTCCCAAACAATCAGCATAAACTTATGGAAGCGGAAATCCTCTCTTCTAGAGCTTGAGTTTTGGAGGCAATATGCAATAATATAATAATAACATATTTAGCGGAATAGATAACCCCTTAAATCAGAATGCTATGTCTTAGAGTGCTTATGCAGGATAAAGGATTGATTTGAGATTATCACCAAACTAAAATCGTTTAGGCAAGCTAAAAAGAAATGTTAACTTGGGATTGGAAAACATTTCATAATTAAATAGACAAAATAGACTTGATGTTCCAAGCAATTTGAATTAGACAACCAGTTTTAATAGTGCTCCTAGAAATATTAAAGATCAACTTAATTAATATCTTTCATAATTAGGCTCAAGTAATTACAGTATCAATACTAAGGCCTAACCCTCTCCATAACGTTACAGACCTAACAATTCTAAAAACTCCAAAACAACAGCTGCTTATCCTCTTGATGACGAAACTGATAGATTTGGTGACATATTATCTCGTCTTGGAGGCACAGGATAAGGAAGATCCAATAATAGATCTCTAGAGAGAAGAAGAAATAATAGAAATTTTAATCTTGACATATTGGGAGGAACAATGAGCGGAGGAGCTAATGCTAGTCCTTTCAAAAAATCCTAAAGTCCTACACAATTTAATTTATCTCCTTCAGGTCCAAAAGGTGGTGTTGTTGGTTAAATGTAGCGTGTTAAACAAATTTAAGCTTCCCTCAGAGCTTTACCTAACAAGTAAAAAGTGAAATTCTCAAGACCTTCTAATTCTAAAAATAATAATTACTACAATTGAAATAAATGATTGATTGATAATTTAACTAACTAACAACCAAACCAACAAACTAACTAACTAACTATTTTTGTAAAGAATAAATAGTCTAGTAAGTTTTTAAAATAACCAATAAATTTACTTATATATTTTCCCAAATAATTATAGAAATTCAGTAATATTTTTTAAATTTAATTTATTTACAGTGTGTTTTGATTAATTCTATTTTGTTCAGACTTATTTCCTTTAAATTTAGAGAAAATATTTTTACAATAAAAATTGTATGCTTTTTACTCAATCAAATCTGTGATGAAAATAATAAATTGAAATTAAAAATTTTATATTAATAAAATAATCTAAAACTTAAAAATAAATTGCTAAATATCAAAAATAGAAGTATAATAAAAATCAAAATTGTAAAAATAAAGTAAATAATTTTATAATTATTTCGTTTTCATACCAATTACAAAACTTTTTATGAATTGTATTTAAACAAATGCTAGTTATGTTTACATCTTCAAATATTATAAATTTAATTCATTATTTTCGAGAATAAAATTTGTCAAAATAAAGTTAATGAAAATAAATAAATAAATCTTTTTATTAACATTAATTACAAAAATAATTTTTATCTGTTTAAATATATTCATTCTTTTTATGCTTATTTATCTCATAAATTATAAATTTAATTATATTCAAAAACAAAAACTGTCAAAATATATAATCATATCTTATTATTTACTTCATTTTTGAATAAAAATTAATTTTTATAGGTTTAAGTATATTCTTTTTAACTAATATATCTTTATAAATAAAACAAAAATATATTTAATTATTATTCCAAAAACAAATATTATTAATATAAGATATTATATTTTTTTATTTACTTCATTTTCATTTCAATAAATAAAATACTTTTTTATCTATTCAAAGATATTCATGCTTGTTATAATTATACTTCCATTTTATTATTTTTAATAACAAAAATTGTCAAAATAAAGATAATAATAATAAATTATATATTTTATTTATTTGATTTTCATTTAAAATTCAAAACAGCTTTTATTAATTCTATTAGATAAATTAGGTTTTTAGTTGAGCAAGATAAATGATTGAAAAAACATATAGAAATTGTAATAAAATTAAAAAAATATATAACTGAATGAAAGTAAAATGTTTAAGTAATTGATTTTAAAAGATATAATAAATATTTAGGAAAATTACTGATTAATATTTAGGAAATAAACTTAATTTAATAATTTATTTATTTATTTATAAAAATCCTTAAAAATTTAAAATAAACTAATTTAGTTGAGTTATTCTTCCAATCAACTAGACAGGCAATTAGTTGATTAGGCATTTATTTAGGTATTCATTTTATGAATTAAGGTATGTATTTATTTATTTATTATAAAATTTATTAGCAGGAAAATTTGTAGATTTAAATTAATTTTCATTTTTGTATATTCTAAAATTTGGATTTAAGACCGATTACTTTATTTATATATCAATTTTAAAATTCTTCAGGGCTTTCCATATCTTCTTTTTCAAGAGAGTCAATAGCCTACTCAAACTCAATAAATGTATTGAATTCCTGCAAATTAAATATGCGGGATATCTTTTTAAATACTCTATTGGCGATAGTGCATTCTAGCAATTTGTCGCTTAAGACACTTACTGCATCTATCTTATGCTATACGTTAAGCATTTGGCATATTTATTATTCAAATTAATCATTTTATGAACTCTTCAAATGCATGTACTCTTCCATGATCTATTTTAGCCATTTCCAACTTTACTTTAGGGTAGGTAAATTATTTCCGTTTGGATTGTTTTTAGCAAAGAAATCTTTAGGATGACATGCTACTACCATTTGGATTATACAGTCAGTGAATTTGGTTAGGTTTTTATTTATATCTTTCATTTCTGCAATTATTCTAGGAAGAGTTTCTATTTATTCATGCCTCAAAATACCACATATCTCCCAGACCACTCTCTTCTCATTTAAATCTTTCTCTGAACTATTTCTGCTGATTGGCTAGTTTTGAATATAAGGTAACTTCTTATTCTATAAATTAAATTCGCTTGTATTATAAGTGTTATTAAGTTAGTTCTATAAGTAACTATTTTGAATTGGATCATTCATAAAATTGTAATTATTTTCATTATTATTGCTGTTAATAGAAACACCTTGATAATTTAAAATATTTGGTGTGGACATAGCATTTGGCTATTTTGACAAGGTATTTTTTACTGTATTTTAATTGTTAATTTAATTTTAATATACATTAAAATTAGGATTTTGTATACTGTTTTGATTAATACTATTGAAATTGTTGGCATTTGGGAACATTTGTTGATATTACTTTAATTTATTTTTAAGCTCTTAGATTTGAATATGGCTCTTATAGTGTATGTCTTGAATTTTCAGGTTTAGCTTAGACTCATATTCTTTATTTAAATCAAACTTAAGTTGCTCAAATTTACGGGAAGTCTCTGATCCTCTTTGCTCCAAAAGGTTATTGAGTTCATCGATCTTTTATGATGAAGAGTCTTTTTCTTATAATAAAATCTTGATATCCTCAAGTTGCTATGAATTTATCTTGCTTAATTCCTCATTTTCTTGTCTCAGTATTTCGAGTTTATAGTTTAGCTCGTGAACTTTAGATTGATAGTCGTAGTTTTCTGATTGGAGCTTATGACTTTGCATTAATTTTCTGTTTTACAGTGAAAGAATTTCGATTTCGTTAGTCATTCTATACTTTAGATCTTTTTAATCTTGCACTATTCTATGACTCTCTTAGATTAAGCTGCGATTTTCTTCATTTAAAATTTTATTGTCCTTACGCAGTTTGTCAATAATCTCATTAAGATTATCGACTTACCTGTAGAGTTCATCTTCAATAGGATTTAATTTAGATATTTATTCGTTATTTTTCTTATCATAAAATCTCCTTTTAATGTCCTCCACTTCTTTATCGTGGCTATACTTTAAAGCGCTGTATATTTCAATATCATCCTAAGCATTATTTTTAACATCATTTTCTATATTAGCTCTCTTTCTTTCAGGAACACTTATTTCCATATTTTCTTATTGCAACTCGTATTGTTGCTCTTCCTACTCATAATAAACTTATTATTCTTCTTATTCTTTTTAATTATCTTAAATATCGCAAATTTAAATTTAAGAAGTTGAATTTTGATTGCTTTGTAGAGAGTCACGAACTTACTATCTTAAACCTACATTTTCTTTTTTTAAATTAATGACATGATCTTATTGTTTTTCTAGTGCTTGCTAAAGTTGCACAGTAAAGTTCTTCATTTATTCTAGCATCTAGTCTTTCTCTTTAAGTTTTTCTTGATATTCCTAATACTTCTAATCAGAGTTAAGATCATAATTTTCAGACTGTTTCTTAATTTATTTGTTGTTATTTAATAAATTTGGCTATAACTATCTATCATAATCCTAATCTTAATCATTATCTACTCCTACTTTATTGCTCAGCTTTCGATTAAAATTCTTGTTTTATTCAAAGTTATTTTGATATGGTTCCCCTTCATCTTGTCTTTTCCTTCCTCCAAAGTCTTAATTTTAAATATTTCTTTCTTACTTCTAAAAAGGATTGTCTGAAAACTGCATATTTTATTGTTTTTGAGCTGGTTAATAAGGAACATATTTTATTGACTAAACAGGCTTGACATTATCAATAACGTTTTATTGCTGTTATTGTTCTAGAACAGCAAGAGAATCATTACTTCTTTTTTAAAGCAACCTGTGTTTTTGTTAATAAGAATTATAATTTTAAAGTCCGCTATTTGTGCTTTCTTTTAAGTTTTTATCAGGAGAACTTCCTTTAGAATAATCGTAAGATTAATCTTTACTGTCGAGAAACTGTTGATTACCTTCTTCAATAATTAGCTCCTCTAAATTGCATTCTTTGATTTAGCTTATTTAAACATCTTCATTTTGATTTTCTATATCTTCAAATGATTTTCTATCGTAACTTCTTTATCCTTTTCCTTACTGTACTTAATTGCGAAATTCGTCTCCAAATTAAGGCAATTCTTGCTAATCAGGTGAAACCATTTATTTTTAATTTCTATTATAATTGCTATTCTATCTACTCCTAGGTTCTCCTTAGTTTATTTATTCTTTTACTAATTGCTACTACTACTACTACTACTGCAAAAGATTTACTTATTCTTCAATTGAGCCCTGACCACTGTTTCTACTTTACTATCTTAATGGTCTTTATTGTTATTGTTTGAAAACCTCATCAACAACCTCTATGTTATCAAACTGCTACTGCTGACCCTCAAATTCAGTGTCTTCTGCTTGCTCATTTTGAGTTTGGCTAATTAATTCGTCAGGTTAGTATGTCAAATTATCATCTCCTTCATAAGAAATTTAAACTTCCTTTTCAGGAGAGGGACTTAACTAATTATATAAATCGAGCTAGTTGTTTTAATTTCGTATCAACTAATCTTTAAAGTAAGAATCTGCTTCCAACTACTACTGCTACTATTAAAGTAAGTTGTGTGAATTTTATCTTAAATATTACTACTGTAGATTGTTATCATTATTCAAAATTTCCTTGTAATCTGAAGGATTTTCCTCTTAATGCTAAGATATTTCATCCCTACTTCCCTTACTCCTAATTCTTCTGTCGAATTAATCCATTTCAATATAATTAGTTTGTGAACTAGCTAGCTGATAGATAAAATTAACCTCTCTTTCTAATTCTTACTTAAAAATAATTGTTTAAATTTTTTTTAGTTATTAAATTATAAGAAGCTTTTTTTATTGACTGTATTTATTAATGTAATACTTAAGATTTTAGAACTAAGCAATCTACTTAAAAAGCAATTAACTCAGCACAAGATAAATTGATTCAATATGCTAAAGCAATAGTAATTAAATCAATAAGTTTTAAGTTCATTAATTGATAAATGACCAAATAAATTAATAAAACACAAAAAACTTTTAAATTCAAAATACAACACAGAAAATTGGATTTAAATCCAAGCATAAATTTTAAAGAAATATATTTATTTATTAATTTATTTATTCATTCATTCATCCATTCATTTTTTATTTATTTATATATTTTTAGTGTTTTTTATTTAGATGGATCTTTTAAATGATCAGCATAATTTTCAATTTATTTATTAATGAATTTTTTCTGTTTGGGAAATTTGAATTTCTATTTTAAACCAAATATTTATTGGTGATAAATTTTATGTTTTTTTTTGTATTTTTTTGCAAAAATATTTTTAAATTCAAAAAAAGACAACAGTAAATAAATGTTCCACCAAATATTTTAACAGTAATTAACTTTAAAGATTTTATTTTAAAATAAAATAAATTTTAATAATTTTAATAAATAATTAATATAAAATTGAACTCTATTTTATTATAAATTAAAGGAAAAATAAAATATTTTAAGACTAAATAAAATTTGTTTGTTTGTTTGAATAAATTTTCATTCATTTCAAGGCATGGAGGTTTCTCAGCTAGTTTTTAACATTAGAAATCTCTTATGAATATTGTCGTATCCTCTCTTCGAGTTCCTGCTTTTAAATTATTATCAAACTGCTTTTTCTTTTGCTTTCTTCGAGTTTCAATAGCTCACTTTCAGCCTAGATTATTTAAATGATTTAATTTGAATAAATTTTACAAAAATTAAATTTATTTTTGTTACTAATTTCTTTTTCTATAACAACTGATTAAGTAGCAAGTCAAGATCTTTTATTCTTTGTGTATTACTTACATATGCATTTTCGTTTACAGATGTTACTCCGATAGGAATATATTATGGCTAGTTTTATAGTTTTTATTTTTCTTCTTCAATATCTTGATAAAAGAGGTAATCATGATTATGATTAGGAGGAATGTTTTGCTTGATATTTTTTGGAGGTGGAGAACTAAATCTATTATTATCTACCTGCTGATTCTAATTTTGTTTATACTAGTTTAAACTTTCTTAATTATGCTACTATTACTTAGAAATTTATTGTTGATTATGACTGTTACTTTCACTTTTATTGCTAGCATAATTTTAAATATTATGATGGGGATGATGCTAATTAGGATTTATATTTTAGTTTTAGCTATAATAGTTACTATTTTATTAATAAGATTATCTTAGCTATTAGCTAGCATATTATTAGTTATGTTCATCAGTATTTCTAGATCTTTAATGTTACTCATGGTGCTATTCTGATTATTTTACTGTTTTTTCATTTTTATCTACTCTACCGTGACTACCTCCATGTATTTATTTAACAGTATTTTAATTTACTGCATATTAAGTCATTAATTCTAATTGCTTTTGCTAAAAGTCTCTCTCTAATTTATGCTATTTTTCTAACATCTAATGTTCTAATAATCTCTATTAATATTCTAACTCACTCTCGTTACGATACTTAGGTGGACTTTGCTATTTAATTGTCTTAGTAACATTTTAAGAAGGCTTCTAAGAATTAAATTGTTTATTTAATTTTTCTGCCTCTTCCAAACGCACTGATAAATAATCATTTCTTTCCTACTATAGCTATTAATTTATTTATTTATTTGTTTATGTGGTAAATTTATATAATTTGAAAAGTAAATTATTTACTTCAAGTTGCTATGAAGTTGCTATCAAATTACTCTTGAGTTCACTTATTTCTAGCTGCAGCTTTTCAATTGTGGTATTGTGATGTTTGTTAGAGACGTAATTAGTTTGCTATTAACTTTATTCTATCTTTTAGTTGTAAATTTGATTCTAGTGAATTACAACTTGATTGTCTGATTTTTCAAGTTTCTGCTTTAAAATTTGTATCTCACTGAATAAACGGAGATTATCTTAGTTGTAATTTTACAACTTTGCTTGCAGCTGTTTATTTTCACTGATTAGATAATTGAATTCAGCTACTTATTCATTTTTTTATCTTTATATGTCATCTTGAGCTTATTTTGATTTACTTAAATTGATACTATTTTCAATAAATAAATAAAAAATCATTTTTAGAAATTCTATTTTTATTAAAATTTACTTTAAATTTTATATTTCAATCCTGTAACTCTCAGATGTAGCTAAAAGTTTACGAATTTCTTCGCTCTTAGAAGAAATTACTGAATTTTTTTCTTATATTTAATTTTATTGATCTTTAATGATTTGTTCTTAATCCCTTACTTGCTACTCGTATTAATTAGAATTATTCATTTCTTAAAGCAACCTAGTTCTTAAATTTTCTAAATCTTGTCTTAAATTATAATTCTTGTTTTATTCTTCCTAGAGTTAAATACTTTTTTATTACATGACCTCACTTTACTGCATACTTTACTATTTATTTAATTTATTAATTTATAAAATGTTTGTGCTTGTTTGTCAAAAATTACTCCTTAATTTTCAAATGTGGGACTTTTAAGAGGAGAGCTAAAAGTATTCATCATCACTTGCTACTGCTATTAAGAAGAGTTAATTTGAAAATCCTAAATTTGCTTCTCGTATTCACTAATAGCCTAGCTTGCTTATTCTAAATAAATTACATTTTATATTTATTACGATAAAACCCTAAGCTTTAAAATAAATTTTATTTACATAACTAGAATTATAAATTCTCTATGGTCAACTTTAGCTATGAGTTTTCTTGTCTGTATTACTAAAAAATAAAATTATTTTTATTTGGATTGCTAAAAAAATAAGTAAATAAATAAATAAATACTCTATTTCTGTTCATTTCAACCATAAGCTTATTATTTGATTCAAATAGTTTCATTTTTAGGATATAGAGCTCATTGCCTTGTAAATTTTGATCTAAAACTGTAGCAATCACCTTAGGATCTACAAAGCTTGTGCTATTTTATAGTGAAGGTAGATTATTATTGGTCTACAAAGGCAAAATAGAATAGCTATCATTCAAACTTTCTCCATTAAGATATTTCTAGTAATACTTTGAGTGTTTTATCAATTCTATATTACCTGGAGAGTCTAGTAAATGCTTTTTTTGATATTCAGCATGTTCATCATCTGTTATTTATTTCATAAGATACTCATAAAATTTGTTGAAAAATATATTCAAAAAATAAGCAGTTTCAAAGATATGAATGGAATCTTTTAAATATAACATGCGAATTTGTTAAATTGATTAATAAATTACATGGATTGTTTTAATTTACTGAAACATTTGCTTGAGAAGTTTCTAGCTAACTCTCATCTTGCTTGATCTATCTAACTAATGATTTGGAATGATCATCCATTATATTGCTTACATTATCTAATTAGCTAGTTAAGCTTTCACTGGCATTCTTTATATGCTTAGCTTTGTCAGAGTTTTTCTAATTTGATTTAATATTCTTCTGTTAGCCATCGAAATAATGTTTCTATGGACGATTCTAATTCTAGTCAGAAGACTCATCTAATTGATAATTTGATTCGCTTTCTTAATACTATTACAATCCAGCATTTCTTGGTGAAGTTTTGTATTCAATAAATTATTAAGGTTAATTATATCTCTTCTACTAAATGTTTTATTTATATTCCTAATTTTTTTCTTAACTCATTTGCTTGTACTATTATTAATATTGCTCATCATTATCTAGTTCATCATATTATTTTTTATGTCCATCATTTATTATCTATTCATCATAATGGTCCTCTTCTGTTTGCTCTCTAATATGACTTTCTTGAATTTAATATTGTTTAAAATTAGCTTTTTAAGGTTGCTCATGCTAAATTTAATTTTAAATTTCCTGCATTTTGCCTTAATAATTTATAACAGCCTAATTAATTCCTTCCATTTATTATCTGGCACTGTTTTATAAGTTATAAGCTTAGTCTTCATTATTATCATCATCACCTTATTCGTGCTCTCCTTATTCATCGTACTCTTCATCATGGTGGTCATTCTCATCAATATCCTATTGTTGCTACTCATTCTAATCGTGATAGTATTCATCGTTTATCTCTATGGGACCAATTTCTTGATTGTCTTGCATATAATCTTGATTAACTAAAATATTTTCTTGATGGTTTGGATTGTTGCTCATTATAAATAATTTAAATTAAGATGCAAAAATTTGACTGATTCTTTTCTAAGATTTGTCAATTTGTGATAAATTTTATTGTTTGCTTAAAAAAAATTATAATTAATTACGCTTATATTGTAAAAAAACAAACAATTAATATTAAGCATTAAATAAATTAAACAAGTTAACTTGCTGATTTCAAATAAACTAGATCTAAATTAGATTTATTTATTTATTTATTAATTTAAGTTAATATTCAAAATTAATTAGTTATTTATTTTAAAAAATAAAAACTAAATATTTTAAAATAAAACAATAAAAATAAATAGCTTTTTTGTGTAAATTTTATAAAAATAAATTTTATTTATTTGTTCTAAAATACATAGAAGCAATTCAGTTTAAATTATTTTAAAAGATTGTTTAATTAATTAATTTTGTAAAACTTTGTATATTTTTTAATTGAAATAGTTGCAAATGAGTAGCATTACAGCAGCAAGTAACATGAAATTTAACAGTGAAAATTATTTGCCATTAAGCTTCATATAGTTAATATGAAAGAGTTTATTTAAAAGTAACTAAAATACTTTAGCTATTTGAGTAATAAGCTTAAAATATTTTGGTTCTTTGGAATTATTTAGTTACTATAAAGCTATTTTAATCAGTTCCATAAAACAAGAGGAGAAGTAGTTTCAACAAATTCTCCCTTTTTGGATTTTTCGATGTGCTCCTTTTCAAGTTGAATAAACTTGGCTTGTTAATCTCTAAGGAAAATTTCAGGTCTGTAAATCAATCTGAAGGGTCTACCAATATTAGCAAAAGATAAAGTAACCTTATCAGTAGGGTGGATATTAGACCATACTCCGTTGACAGCACCCTGTACAATTTTTTTAATAAAATATGAGTTATGAAATCTCATCTAAATAAGATATTAAATATATTCATTCGAAAGTTCTTTTGGTTTTATTCTAACAATATTTTTATCATAGAATCAATCAAATACTTTCTTATATAAAATAGTATTTGTTTGTTTCTACTAAATAATAGAAATAAATACTTTATCAGTAATATTTATAAATTAAATCACTGAATCTAAATCAAACCATTGACAATGAATTATTTTCTTAAATTAAGCTAAAATATTAATATCATCTAATTCTATTTTTATTTATTTTGGTTTGATATCAATACTTATTATATATAATCAACCATTAAAGCAATTCTGTTGTTTAATAATTCATTTTGCAAAATATTCTCCTTTGATAGAATTGCTAAATATAACTTTATTCCCTATTGCTAAATCCTTAAAACTTTTCCTTAAATTCTTCATATGTTCATCCATTAATTATAATAGGATACAATAAATCTAATTAATTAATATTTTTATAATTTTTTAGCTTTTTACCTTAGCAAGATACCAAGCGGGGTAGGTAAATAATAAAGCAGGAATAACCCATGAAGCCTTAATATGTCTCAAGGTTCTGCTTCTTTGCTTAGCGTCTTATAAGCTTAAAAAGTTAAAATAAGATTTAAAATAGAATTTATAAAAACAAAAGAATAGCTTAATTAATTGAGAAATTAATATTTGCAATGTGGTATTTTATAAAAGTAAAAAAATGATGCTTTCCAAAGGTTATAAATTTTTTAGAATCAAATTTCATAAATATTTACAGAGCGTAGTTGATGACTTTTTGAACAGATTCTTGAGGAGTCAAGTTCTTTCTATTTGATAATAGAACATTTTCAAATTAGTGAGTCATTTTATAACAATTTGCCTTTGCTTCTATTTATTACTTGATAAATACTAAGATTTGAATTATATATCTAAAAATTATCAAGTAAGAAATGCATCAATAAAACAAGCTTTTATTTTTTTCTCCTTTTAAGATTGATTCTTTTCAATATCAATAATATGATGTATGTATATGTATATTTTATTATTTATTCATTCACTTAATAATAAAAATAGTATCTCATTCATTCTAAATATCATTCTAATATCTTGCTCTACAATATTTCTTGTTTACTTTCATTCTTTTTACAAATGAAGCTATATTCATTTTATACATTCTTAATTTATTTATAAACTCCTTATCAAACTCTTATCATTATTTCTAAATAAGATTTTTTTCTCTCAACAAAGAACGTAAAAATATTATTTTATTTAATCTTTATTTAACTCTAGCTAAATTTTGCTGAATTTTTTTTTTCAATAGAAAATTTAATTTAAAAAAATAATTTTTTTTTTAATTTGACTAAAGAATAAAATATAATTAATTAATTATTTCAAAATCCTAAATTTTTATTGAAAGATATTTATTTATTTAATTTAATATTTAAATACATTTTACAACTATTTTAGATAAAATATTGCAGAGTAAAATATGATTTGGAATTCAAAGAGTTATATATATAATAAATAAAATTTGCTTTAATTATCAAAAATTATGAAAATAATTTGAGCACTATGATTTTAATTATTTTTACACAAAATATAAAACCTTATTGGTTTATTTCTGAAAATGGCATGCTTTGTGATCGATTGAACTTAAATTTATTTCTAATTTATATTATTATAAGTAGCAAAAATTAATTTTAAGCTAATCAAAAATATATTTACAAAATAAATGAATAATAAATGAATTGATAAAAATTAATATTAGAAATTTAATTATTTTTAAAACATTTAACCCAATAATTAACGAATTTTGAAAGAAGTCTAAAATTTGATAAAAAAAGTAAGTAAATTTGTTGTAAATTTTATTTTTGCAGTATAAAAATATTTTTTTTAATTTGAGAAATAAATAAATTATAAAAAGAAAATAAATATTTTTATATATTATAAAAACTAATAAATAAAATTTTTGGCTCTTTTATTACATAATTTTGCTTTTTATTTTAGATAAACAGTTTTTAACAAAAATTGAATGTACTGATGAAAAAAATTTCATTAAACAAACAATTTTAAAAAAATTGATATTACAAAAAGCATATAAAAATAATACATTTAAACAAATATTTTTGTAAGATATTAATTGAAGTTTTGCAAAGTATTTTTAATATCTTACATTGAAATGCTTTATAACAGATAATTAATAATTTGATTTGAGTTAAAAACCAAATTACTCATTATAAAAAGTAAGTACTTTACCACACCTTTACATATATCTCTAAGCTTTATGCTTAATATTCATTTAAAAAATTAAATAAAATGAATGGATATTTTATGATTAATTTAAATATATTTATAATAAAAAACAATAGATTGTTAATATGTTTTGTAAATCAAATATCGTAATTTGTAAGCGCTTCTTAAATTAGCTGAAATGGATTATAAAGCAAAACAAAACAAGAAAATTTGTGAATAAATAATCAAACAAGCGAATAAATTTAATAAAATTTTAAAAATTGATATAAATTTATAAATAAATATTTTTTAAAATAAGAAATGAATAATACAATTTTAAATATGTTTTTGGTTAGTTAGTTAGTTAGTTATTTATTTATTTATTAATTAATTTGAGAGGAGTTAGGAGTAAATTAAACAAGAAATTATTTATTTATTTATAGTTATTGATTACCAATTAGAGGCAAAAACAATTTTTTATTTTTTTTCTTAGATTTTTAATTTTGTTTTTAATTTCTTATTGCTTGGTAATAAATTAATAATCTTAATTCTGCCAAGTATCTATCTTTATTAAAAAATCTTATTTTATTTATTTAGCTTTTAACTCATTTAATCAATCAATTTGTTTTTTTTTTCTATTTTATGATTCCCTTAAATAAATTATTACCATTTATTAATTCCTTTTTCTATCGTCAAATTTATTTGTAATAGCTGATTTTCTTAATCAAGCATTTGTGGAGAGTGAAATTGATTCTGAGGATGGAATTCTTTTTACTTGGGGTGAATTTTCATTTTATTTAGGGACACTGAATAGTGAACTAGATTGGTTAAAGGAACTTATATGAATATTTTTAATCGAAGGACTGCCTACACTACTGGGACTGTTTTAGCCACACTTTTGATCAAAATAGACTTTGGTGTTTTTGGTTAGTTTCATATCTTTAAATACTGAATTTAAAATAGTTGAGGAGGTTGGATTTTTTCTATCGTTGTTAATTTAAGCAGAGAGAGGTGGTGTAAGAGTATTTGAAATGCTAGAATGAGATGCTGCCATAGGAGTAGATGAGGCGGATGAAGAATTAGAGTTGGCAGTAAACTAATTATTAATTTAGTTATTTGAGTATTAAGAAAATGAGCTGAATGAAGGAGTAGTTGATACAGTAGAATTTATGCTGTTATTAGGGTTGTTGTAAATCCCATTTTAATTAGTGCTTGGTTTATTAGAATTCAAGCTTTTAGCTTGAGGACTAGAAAATACTTGAGATTTATTAGAATTATTTAAATTTTATTTAAATGCAGAGTAAAATTTGTTAAAAGAGTTAGATTTCTGTCTTGTTTAATTAGAGAATGATGGATATATATTATATTATGAAGAAGTAGAAAAATTTATTTAGTTTATAAAAGAACTAGGATTTTATTATTATTGATATTTACATTAAGGATATTAAAGTGAGAATCCAGCATCAGATAAAGTAGAATAAGATTCTCCTGTTTGGTTCGACACATTGAATTGAACCTTTTTGATTATTCCTGTTAGCGATTAGCTTCTTTTCAGCTAGCCTCTGTTTAAATATAAGCTAGGAGAAGACTAAGCTTGTTTCTCAAGCACAGGAATCGAATTGCTACTAAACTAATAGTCTTTAGTAAAGCTGCTAAAACTCTGTAATTGAAGGTTCATATCTCTATTTGATAAGACGTTTTGAGTTGAAGGCGTATTTGTTGCAGTTGTGTTACTATTAACAGGAGTATTATTTATTAATTGATATTATTACTAAGGATGTATTTTTTACTAGCTTAAGTGTTGATAAGATTACTCGCTGAAATAGTTATTTACATTGTAATTACTTGGAAGGACAGTGAGACTGTTTGAACGTTAGTGAGGTAATTGAATTTGTCTTAAAATATTACTGTTTTAATCGTTAAGTAAATTACTTTGATAATTTAACTGGCTACTTTCTCCATCTAGATTTATATTTTAGAGCTCCATTTTATTTTCTAGAAAAGTATTAAATTTAGGTGTTGTTTTCTTAAGAATGCTTTTTAATAGATGATGTTTTTAAGACTTAACTTCGATAATTAAATTTTCACTTGCAAAGCCAACACTTGAAGTGTTATCATCTTCATCGTCATCACCTATACTGCCTTCGTGACTACAATCGCTTTCAATAGATTGGTCATCATCATCATGATCATCGTGTTCATGCTAGTTTAACTTAGTAAACTGCTTTAACAAATTTTTTCTCATGTTTATTCTTTTTTCTACGGGAGATGATTGTTCAGATTCAACTTCTGACTCGCTCTCGCTGTTGTGCATTTTTTCTATTTTACCTTCAATTTTCAAATTATGGAATTTAGAGCCAAGTTTGGTTTACAATTGCTTGTCAAAATTCATTTCTATCGGCTTAATTGGAACGATGGATGCTCTTTTCCTTAAATCCATGTTAGCAAACTGCAGAATTAATGGTGAAGGAGATGAAGTAGATACTTCAGAATGAGTCTCCTATGTATAATTTAAGTTTGGACTATTAATATCTTTGTTATTGTTGTTTAAAGCTTATACTTATTATATAGTAGATTCTTTATTCTAACCAGTGATAATATTTTAAAAATTAATATCTGATTTTAAATCTTCTAATTTATGGCATCTTAAAGATCTAGTTTATTGGCGTTTCTTCTAGGATAATTCGCGTAGGAATTCATCAATAGATTTGTCAGTTACTTTCATATTTTACTTCAAGGAGCTAGAGTTTGGAGATTAAAATACTTATGTCTCTTGATCAGATTTTTATGAAGGAATTATAGAGCTAAATGAAGAAAAAAGTGATGGCTGTTAAGGTAGCTGTTTTTATACAATAGTTTGTGCTTGCTAGGGAAGACTAGCATAAATAATTTAATTAGAGTAAGATCTCTAATGAAATCCTCTGTAAGTGTTCATAGAAGGATTAGCGATACTCATTTAGTCGCGATTGAGAGGGGAAGATTCCACAAATGAGGAGGCCATTGAATAAAATTGATTTATTTATATATTAAAAAGAGATTTTATTTATCTATAAATTTATTATTGTTTCTGCCTTGAAAGTTACTACGAGGCTTTCAAATATGAATATTCAAAGAAGACTGAATTGAATTGAATTTAATTTAATTATTTATGTTTGAATGTATTTAATTCTTTTTGCTTTTTCTTAATTTGTTTTCTGTATTTTTTTTTTTTTTTGATTAATATATCTCAAATTATTAAATATAAAAATTTATCTTTCTTTTATTTATAAACTGTGGATCTATTATCATGCTTGCTTTTTGCTTGATTATTTGCAAACTAAAAAGTGCTCATTTATTTATATTGTTTTGCATATTTATCATTCTTACAGTTCATATTTCTTTCTTTATTTATTATCATTGATTCATTCATTTTAATTTTCTTACTTATTTCTTTTCTTTATTTCAATTAATAATTTTCTTCTTAGTATTTGCTTACAGTCTCTATTTTAGATATTCTTTATGTAAATTTACTGGCATTTTGATCACCTTCAATTTAAATCACCAATCTTTTTAGATTTATTATCAATTTGACTATTAATTTTCAAATAAGATCAGCTAATTCACCTTACATTTTTTTTTTCTATTAATTTCCAATTGTGAAATTCTATTTATTTTTTTTCAACTAAAGGAAATTATTTTTTTTGCCTGTTATTTGAAATATTAAAATTGTAAGATTTCATTGTTAAAAAATTCTCTATATTAATTTTTAGCTTGAATTAAAATAGTAGTTTTCTGTAGATTGATTTCCTTATATCTTTTTGTTAACCTTATTGCAAAAGCTTTATAAAATCAATTATTAATCAATACCGGCGTCTTCAAAAATAACCAGTGTCGCTACCAAGAAAACAGTAAAAGATTATCAAAAGTTTTTAAAATTTAAATTCTTTAAAAATTCATAAAGGCATTTTGTTTTATTATTTTTTATTCTATGAGTTTACATTTATTTATCTCATTTTTAAAAATAAAAAAACTTAAGCAAAATTTAGTTTAGAATCAAGCAATATTTTTAATTAATGATTATTAAGATATTTCTGCTGAAAAATCTAGCAATCTTTTATCTTGTTTGAATGGTTAGAGTTGGAATTTACTCATTATTAGCATAAAATATTTTATAAATAAACAAAATCCTCTAAAATGACTTGCTTGTTAATTTTTCAACAAAACTGAATAACGATGATTAAATAACTGTTAAAATCTATTTTAATTTATTTGCTAAACTGAGGTCATATTATAAGTAGAAAAGGCTCGTTTATTTGATGGTTAAGTTATCAAATTTGAAGATTCCCCACATAATTTAATCTAAAAAAAAAGGAAATTATATTTTTAACTAGAATAGTATCGAAAGATAAATATTATGGGCTAAATTGATTTATTGAAATAGAAGATACTTTTTTGCCTCAAACTAAATTATTTTGTTCTATAATGATGAATCATAAATTTAATATATGAGGTATTTGATAAAAATGTCAGCCAGTAGAGGCTTGGTAATATAATACATATATAATTCTATAACTATCCAAATTATTGCAAAGCATTATCTACTAAATTTAATAAACAAAAAACATTTTAATTAATTTAATAAATTTTTTTAAATTCTAATTTATTTTAAATTTTTAGGCATTATAATTTTTATAATTAACGTTAGATTCATATTTATATAAACATTTTATTCATTAAAATTAAGCTTCTTAGTTGCTTTAATTCTAATTCAACTGAATACTTAATTTATTTATCTATTAAAACTTCTAATATTTTTTAAAAATATTCATTTATTCAGTCTTAGCTAATTTGGAAAGAGGAGTTTTAGCAGTGGAAAAGACACTGAACTCTATTGTGAGTCAACTTGAGTATTCCTGATGAGCAAAATTTACAAGTGCAGTGACATTCGTCAAACAAACCTCCTTAAGACATATTGACTTCTTATTTAATCTGATTTAATAAAAATACAAATAGATTATTATATATCTCTAAAAGCAAATTTATATAAGTTAGAAAAAAAATTTTTGTTTTATCAATTCATTAGGCATTAATTATTAATTTGATTCAGTAGGTAGTTCTTTTTTTCTATCAATTTTATTTAATTAATTATAAAATTCATATATAAAATCAGGTTTTATTTGAGTTTTTCGTTTTAAACCTAATCTTGAAGTAGATTTTTTCCAATTTTAAAATAAAAAATCTATTCATGCTTTCTTAATTTTTTAGCAAAACTATAAATAAAAAAGCAACTATCAAAGCTATTTTTAATAATACATGTAATTAATCTATATTAACCTTATTTCAGTATTATCTGCTAATTTAGATTTGCAGTATTAATTGGTTAATAATAGTAAAAACTTGATGACAAAATGCATTAAATCCTTTGTATTTTTTAAAGTTGTTTAATTTTGGAAATAAACTATCTCACAATTAATAAGATAAGATAAATACAACTTGAAAATAGATTTTAATTGTCTAAAAATATTAAATTGTAATCATTAATATTTATGTTACATCATTCAAATAATTATTTGATTATTTAAAAAATATTATTTTTTGTAGATTTTAATTAAATTTAATGATTTAAAACTAAACTGATCAAATAAATTATTAATTTGTTAAAATACAGTTTTTTTTTTAATTGATAAAATTCTAGTTTAAAAAAATCTTCCTCATGAACCACATTAATTTATGATAAAAATAGTAATTCAATAATTATGTTGATAAAAAATTTATCTTATTCTACTCTAATAATTTCTTTTTTAATTTAATTTATATTACAGTTTTTGTTATTTTTAACCTGATTTTATTTATCTATTTATTTTCTAAAAATAAAACATGAATTTTAGAGCAATAAAATTAATGAATGATTTTATTTGGTTTCTAAAAATTGTTTTATTTTATATTAAGAGGAGTTCATTTAAATATTGATTGTTAGTTTTAAATTTATAAAATGAAAATATTTTACTAGTGCTTCTTTAGATTGGCATCTGATAGAACAATTTTCTACTGAATGTATACTTCTTGGCTTACAAACATTGCAAGAACATAAGCAAACTCTATCGGTATGTGTTACATAATCTATATTATCATCACTGAATACTTCTAAATTATGTAAGGTTTCTTCAGCAGGATTACCATAAATACGGAATCCTCTTTGTAAATAAATACTGTCTCTTTTATCGCTTAAATAGCCAGTTGTAAATAATTTAGAAGTTTTAGAAATAGGAGTTCCCATTCCATATCCATTATCAAATAAATAGTAAGCATTTCTGAATAATATAGATCTCAGAGTTTAGTTAGGCATATCAACAGTAAAATTATGATGGAAAGTGCATTCATTTACTTCCTTTGCATATTTATCATGGCATTCTTTAGAACATGTTGCTGTGCTACAAGCTGCACATATTCCTGCATTCATTTCATGTTCTATAGGCTTTCCTTTATGTTATTTATATAAAGAGAATTGAGTTTACAATTTATTCTACTAAAAATATTTATTTAAATTATCTGAATTCCTCGAAATCTAGCATGTATTTAAATAAATCTTATAAAATAATTTACCACAAGGACATTTCAGATTCTGTAAGTGTAACTTAGCCAAATGACCACAATTATAATCTTTATTTTTCTAGCTTTTTGGTGCCAAATTATATTTTTTGTAAGAATCCTCACCCCCTAATTACAAATTTAAGAAATGAAAATTCAATCATATTAAAATTTAGCATTAAAATGAATTAAATAGATAGTATAACTTTGGAGGGATAGTTTAAAATTCTATTATTTTATCATATGCAAAATGTTAAAGTTTTCTTACAAGAAACATCGCAGTGATTAGTAATATGTTTATGAGAACATATGTAGCACATTTCTAATTCGCATGAAACACAAAACTCATTTGCTTTTATATTTTTTAAACGAGTAATGTCATGCAATTAACATTCTCCTTTACTATTCTTAATTGCTATAGTGCCTTAAACATTTGAAGCTGACTTTAAATTTTACAAAAACTTTCTCATATTGAAAAAACTTAATTCTATTAAAAAAGCTAAAAATCTATAAAAATAAATAAGAATATTTAATATTTCAAGTATATTCCAAAAAAGATATGCCTACCTGTCTATATACATACATACATACCAAAAATTTAAAAATATTATTGATCCATAATCACTTAAATAGTTATTAATAGTAATTAATTAATTCACTCTTTCATTTTGATTTCAATTTTGAAATTAAGATTTTAAGCTATCTAAAAGTTATATATTAATTTGTGAATGTATTAATTAATTAGCATCCATGTAAGATGAACTAAATTAAATATGCTAGAGTGATTGATATGTTTGTTATGAATTTATTTATTTATTTTGATATTCTTTTTTCTAAGAAAATTTATTTTTCATCATAAATTACTTACTGAAATATTACTATTTATGAATCACTTTTGCTTATTTAAATCTTCATGTCCTTTATTTTGATTGATTAATAACAAAAATCAACTTCAAGGATAAAATATTTTATGACAAACAACAAAGGTAAATTCTAATAAGAAGTAAAAATATTTAGTAAAAACTTTAAAATTAGCATCTTTTAAAAATAAAATTAAATCAAAAAAGAAATAAAAAACTGACAAAGACATTTTAAGAGTTTTATAATGAATACACATAGATTTACTGTTTTTATTTTAATATATTTCAGCATGTTTCTTGCTTTCTTTTGAAAGTAGATTCGCTTCCTAAATTTACATATGTATTTGTATTATTTTTTTCATCTAATTACTCTTGCTTTTTGTTTTTATCTCCATAACCACCTCCACCTGGAGTGTGAATAATAATAATATCATTTTTTTATACATCCACTGTATTTTTAGCACCTAGATTAGTAATTAAATCTCCTTGTACAAGCAAATTTAAACCCTTAGCACCATTTTCTCCTCCATTCAAACCAAAAGGAGCAAAAACTCTTCTTTCACTCAAAATGCTTACTTTTAAAGGTTATAAGAATTAAAATTCTCTAATTACTCCATCACCGCCTTTATATTAGCCCTATCCACCACTACCTTATCTGATTTCAAATTTTCTTAAAATAACAGGATATCTCCTTTCCAGAATTTCTGGATCTGTAATCCTTGTATTTGTCATATGGCACTTTTTTATAGCAAATATATATTAAAAAATAAATAAATAACAAGAATTAATTTATTAATAATAATTTATTGCAAACCTAAACAGAGTTTTATCCGTTCCAAGATGGTCCTGCACCGGCTCCTCCACAGATAGTTTCGTAATAACTCATAGTGTCATTGCCAAATGTAAGGTTGTTCATACATCCATAACTAGCTGCACATGCTTTGAATGCCTAATTAATAAATAATCAAGTTAATTAATGAATTAATAAATGAAATTAAGTAGCTTATTTTACAAATATAAAACTTGTAAGCTTTAATTAGAAAAATAAGTTATTTGCTTCTAAAATAAACAATTATAAATAAACATTACTTTCAAAATAAGGTCAGTAATTCTTTGCGATGTAAGTACATTTCCACCTACTATTGGAGAATTTTCGCTCGGGCATAATAAAGAGTTTTTAGGAATGTTGAATGTGATTGGTTTTAAGCACCCTTCATTTAACGGGATTTCTGAATTCACCAAACATCTCAAACAATAAATTATTGCAGAAGTAGTCACTGCATATGGAGCATTAATATTGCTTAGGACTTAAAATCCTGTTCCATCAAAATCGAGGTGAGCCTTTCTATTTGTTCTATCGATAGTTAATTTAAGGCAGATAGGAGTACCATCATCCATGTACTCTATTTCTGAAACAGTATCCACTTCAGCCATTTTATTTTTAATTGATAGGTCAACAAGCATTCTCCTTACTGATTCTTCAGCATTGTCTTGAATGAAGTGCATGTATGCTTGTACATAATGAAGTGAATATTCTTAAATTAGCTATTTGATCAATTCTACACCTCTGTTGTTTGCACTAACTTGAGCTTTAATATCTGATATATTATCATTAAGAGCTCTTGTACCTCTTTGGTTTGGACCTAATTTTTTGTAGATTTACAATAGTATTTCATTTAAAAATAAATAAAAAAAGTTATTGCTAAATTATTTTTTAAGAGCTTTTTATAATCTAATATTTACTGGTGCCAAAATTAATACCAAATAAATTTATTGAATTGATTAATTATTTATTTATTTATTTATTTTTGGCAATTTAAAAATTGTCTACTTTACTAAAAAACTTATGATAAAAACTTTTTAAATATATTTACAATTTTTTTATTATCTATTTTTTCAGTTTTATCTCAGTCAAAAAATTACTTTTGATTTTATTAATAAATTTGCTTTTAAATAATTTAAATATTTATTGATGCCAAAATGAATACCAAATAAATTTTAATCGATGAAATATTTTTAGCACTTAAAAATTGCTTGCTTTTCTAGAAAACTGATGATAAAATTAAACTATTCTTTCAGTTTTATCTAATAATATTTTTTGGTTTTATATTTTTTTATAGGGATTCATTATGTTTATTTATTAATAAATTAAATACCTGGATTTGTAAATATATCAATTATTTCTTATTCTTGTAAGATACCATCTCTGACTATTTTTAGCGATTTTATAGCTATACCTTCATCTAAAATACTACGAGAGAAAGGAGGCATTGATCCAGGAGTGAGCCCTCCTACATCAGCATGATGGCCTCTAGAAGCTATGTAAAAAATAGGTTTTTTTTCTTGTGTTACTTAGTCAACAACATCGAATACTGGGGTGATTATTGTGATATCTGGTAAATGACTTCCACCAGCAGCTGGATGGTTTGACAGGATAACTTCGTCTTCTTTCCAAGAAGATCCAAGTGTTCTAATTTGATATTTTATAGCTTCGCTCATAGAACCTAAGTGCACTGGTAAATGAGGTGCATTTGCTACCAAACTAAATATTTTTCAAGAAATTCATTAAAAAATAATTTATTTTCATCATAAATTGATTTGTTAATTAGAATTAAATAGCATTTAAATAATTTTTTTTACCTTCCATCTGGAGCAAATATTGCACATGAAAAATCAAGTCTCTCTTTAATGTTTGTGCTCACTGCAGTCCTTTACAGAGTTCTACCCATTTACTCTGCAATACTCATGAATCTATTACTGAAGATAGATAATTCAATGGGATCACATTTGACCTCCTGCTAGAAATAATTTACACTTTCCTGTTACAATTTATTTTCTGATAGTAACAAATTTCTTTTTTTAGTTACAAGAGAAGTCCATCCAGGTTCGATAATAATTGTGCTTGTATTATTTAATATAACAGAAGGACCTTAAATTCTGCTTGAAGGTTCAAGAGTTTCCATTTAGTAAACAGGAGTTTTAACTTCTTTAATAACACCTTCAACTTCAAAATAAACCATTTCCTCACTTATTTTTTGAATTTAAGTTTATTCAATAAAACTACTAAACTCTTCAGAGTCTTCTTCTTGCTCTTAGCTCTTATTAGCAATAGTTCTGACTCTGCATTAATCTATGCAAATTCTTCTTTTGTCTAGCACAAAACCAAATTCTTTTTAGTGTTAACTAACAAATTTAGCAAGAACATCCTGGTTGCAACCAGTTTCAAGAATTTAAATTTAAGTATCTGTTCCTTCATAACGCACTGACAAATACCTCTCGTGATGGATATTTTCTTAAGCAAAGTTTAACTTGCTGAGAATTTAGGCATTTTTAACTTAAAGCTCATCTAACTTTTTCTTGATATCCTCTTTCTATTAATTATTTGATAGATCCAAAATCACCTACAAAGGTAGAGATGATTCCTCTATAACATTAGCTTTATCTAATCCATATGCACTTAATATACCAGCATACTCATGGATAAATATTTTTCTCATGCCCAACTTCGAAGCAATTGAGCATGCATGCTGTGCTCCTGCACCTCCAAAAATGTTAAGTATATCATGTTTAGGATTGCACCCTTTACCTTAAGTAATGTTTCTAATTGGCCTACACATACTTTCATTAGCAACTTTTACGTAACCATAAGCAACTTCTTAAATCGTCATTTTTTTGACTTCTCTTCCATTACTTGTTCTACTAATTTCATCATTAATGACATTTGTTAACTCCTCAAATCTGATTGATATAAAATTAAATTTTTTTATTCTAACTTGTAATTCATTTATTGCTCAAATTTACTTTTGTATCGTTAAATTTTTGAATAATTCTTCGTCGTTGTTCTTTCCAAATATTTTAGGAAAATATTTTGGTTGAATTCTCCCTAAATGTTAAAAACAATTTTAATGAATAATGTAAAATGTTTTAACTAATACCAAGAATGAGATTTGCATCAGTAATTGCCAAATACCCGTTTCTTCCATAACAAACAGGGCCAGGAGTGGCTCCTGCAGATTCAGGTCCTACTTTGAAAATACCATTAGTGTAAAAGAGACGAGATCCTCCACCAGCAGCTACAGTATTGATATCTAAATGAGGTGTTTAGATCATAACACCAGCAATTTAAGCATCAAAAATATGATCAAATTTGATTCCATCATATCTAGAAACATCTGTTGATGTACCACCCATATCAAAACCAATTATTCCTTTGAATTCTTTGTTATTTTTTAATAAAAATTTAGATGTCTCTGCATATCCTATAACACCTCCTGCAGGTCCTGAAAGAATAGATCTTGAACCTCTAAAGTTAGAAATATCACATAAACCACCATCAGATTGCATAAAATATATTTATGTCTAACTTATATCGCTATCGAATCCGCTGACAAAGCTTTGTAGATATCTAAAAACTTTAAAACATAATAAAAAGCTGAACTTAAATATTTTTGATAAAATTTCAACACTAATAATGTAAAAAAATGTATTTTAAGCTATATCAAAAATTAAAAAATATTCTATCTGATATTTGTTTATTTATTAATTAACTTAAGAATGAGATTATTCATATTCTAAATTTAATCTATTTGCTAAATTCCTAATAAAATATTTGATAAGAATATTTAAATTTGCTTTGATTTTTCATGTTTGTTCATAAAAAGATCATTAGATAGGTAAATAAGTTATCACATCTAATTATCATTTATTTTATTTTGTTATTCATTTAATTTCTAATTAACAAAAGAATTGTTCATTATAATTGAATTTTTGATAACAAATTGCAAAAATAATTAATAAATAAATAAGTATATATATCTATCAAAAATAAATAGATAAATTATCTTTTTCTGGAATTTTTCTTTTTAATTTTTTTTTGATATGCTAAAAAAATTACTGTAAGGGTTTAGATATGCGTCTAGAGTTGCTGTAGAACCTCTTGGAAGTATTTTAATCATGGGAATTATTTTAGAAGAAAGAGATATTTAAGGAAATCCTAATTTTTCTGCAATTTAGCCAACTATTTCTTCGTGCTTACTGTAGGAAGGGGAATGCATAAAAACAATAGAGAGAGCTTCAATACCTGATTCTTTCAATTTTGCTAAATCTTTTTCTACTTACTATTCATCGATTCTTTATTAAATTTCTACATACTCACCAGTAATACCTTCGCATATATTCTCTAATTAGCTTCTATCTTCACTCTCTTTAAGTATGCGAACTCTTTCATCAACTTCTAAAACAGCCTCATAAAGTACTTCTGGCTTACTGTTAGTCAAATCAAAAATGTTCGGACGTGATTGATTACCTATTTTTAACAAATCTTTGAACCCCTTCGTAACAATTAATGCTGTCTTTACACCCTTTCTCTCTAACAGAGCATTAGTAGCCACTGTTGTACCCATCCTTAAACTTTTGATATGCTTTGAAGGTATAGGAGTGTTCACGGGCACTTATACATTGAGGATATTTTCTATCAACCTTCTAATTCCCTCTCTTGGACCATCTCCATAAATAGGGTCCTCTGAAAGAAGCTTATATACGATTGATTCCTTATAAGTATCATTTTGTAAGACATTACAGTATATATCAGTGAAAGTACCACCTCTATCAATAGAAAATTCTAATTTAACATTTTAAGCAGTTGAATAATCTCCCTTGCAAATTTTTGAAGCCATTTTAGTGACAAATTTAATCTTATGATTGCTTTACTCCTAATTTCGTTTATTAATAGGTTTTTATATTTTTTTTATATTTTATATTTATTAAAATTGTTTGAATATTTTATGTTGTTATGAATTACCTGAAGTGATTGATTGATTAACCATATTATGAAATCTTTTATTTAAATATTTCTAAGATATCAAATTTTTATTGATCATAGAAATCAATTTATAAACATCTAAAATAGCGAAATAAATAATTAATAAAACCTATGTTAATAAGTAAATTAGTAATAACTCATTTGATTTTATTATTGGCTTATATCAATAACAAAATATTTTTCTAATTAAATTTTTACTATTTAAATAATAAAACTTAAAATTCTATTTGTAAATGTTATTTAAACTGACTTAATTAACATTTAAATTTAAGAATAAATAAAACTTTAATATTGTACTAAGTTACATTTAATTGATAAGACTAAATCTCATTTTAAAATAAATAAACAAATAAACTCTATGTTATTTTTTAATAATAAAATTTTTTTCTTATTTATTTATGTAATATTTTAAACTATAAACAAGATTTTTAATAGAATAGCCAAAATAAATAGTCTTTATTATAAAATTTTTACTATATTTATTTCTGATTTTTAAGACTTTGATAATAAAACATGATCAAAAAAAATTATTTTTTATATTAATTTTTTACTTTTAACAAGAGTTTACCATCAACTTAAAAAATTTAATAATAATCCTTGATAATGTTTCAATTAATCTTTAAAAATTTTAGAAATAATATCGTTTTGGGTATAAACTAAAAACAAAGAGCTAGCTATCCATTCATTCATTTTCTAAAAATGATTAAGTTTTATTTGAGATTTTAAAAAAAAATAAAGAATGCATTTAACTCTAAATTTTCACAAAAAATGGGACTGAAAGTTTCAATATTTAAAAAATAAAGAAAAATGGAAACTAATTTATATTCGATATTGAAATTTATATTCATTTTAATTTTTTTTTAATTTTCGATTCACATCTTTGCTTATCACTAAAAATAAAATATATTGAAAGAATGGTTAAAGTAAAAAAAACATATAATTTAATATATTTTATCATAAACTACTTAGATGAGCTCAATATGTCAGTCTAATAGTAATAAAAAATTAATATCAATTTACTATTGAGGATTAAAAAATTCAAGTTCATACATACTTGAGTAACTTCTTCTTAACTTTTTAGTAGTGAATAAAATATCAAACAAATAAATAAACATTATTTCTTCATTAACATTTTATAAATTTATTTTTTACAATAAAGGACTCAGTTAAATATATCGTTGACAGTAAGGTTAGCACTAACAGTTTTTGTCTTACTAGATTGTTTTTAAATGTTTAAGTTAGAATTCAGAGTTGTTTTCTAATTGTTAGAGCTAGGTTCTAATTCCATGAATTTGCTTTATTTTGTTTTGTCTGGTATAGTCTATACTGAATTTTTTTAAATAAGCTAACTCTATTGTTGTTTTTGATACATTTATTAAGCGTTTTGCTATTGCATTTATTAAAATTGCTAAGGTTTATTTTATATCATATTCAGTTAATGATTTTAATTTTAATCATTGTATTCGTCTTCTCCTAGATAAATTTAATCGTTTTCTTCTTCATCATACATATCATCCTCATCATCTCCTTCTATCCCATTAAAACCATTATTCATTTGCTAATAATCATTTTGGCTATAGTCTTCCTCATTTTCATCATGCAAATATTATTCTTAGCCTTAATATAAATAAACAGGTTAAGATTTCATGTTATTATAATTGCCCATAAATATATTATTTCTCATTAATTAATGCTCTTATGCTCTTCCATTTTAAGAGATCGAAACATCAATATTATCGATATTTGATAGCGCTTAGATATCATCCTTTTTTTTAGATAAGTGCTAAACATACTTTTATGTGTTATATTCCAAGGTAAAAAGGCAAGAATCTAAAGTTCCAAGTATCTCAGATACAAAATCACTTATTTTTTCAATATCATCTTAAACTTATTCAATTTACATCTAATCAACTTAGGAATTAGTCATAGAATTTAAGAGATTATCTAGCAGAGATATGATCTTTTAATTATCTTCTAAATGAGTTAGTAATTTATTTGTGGTATTTTGAACACTATTTGATAGCTATTCAAACAAGAATTATTTCATCATTTTCAATTATTTTTTAATTTATTTTTATTTTTGGTATATTTGTTTTTAAAAATATTTTTGAATTAAAAAATAATAATATAAAGATTGATTAATTGATTCTTAATTAATATCCTGATTGTGTTTATCATTAATTTTTTCTAATCTTTCTTATCATTTTGATTATTTGATATTTTTTAGAATGATTTTCAATAAAATTTTTGTATAAAAATAAAAAGAACTTACTTACTTACTATTTTTCCCTCTAATTAATTAATCTAAAAAATTAAATTCTTGCTAATAAGTAATATTTTGAGAATATAATATAAAAATCAATCAATTATCTATAATTATTTAATTATATTTCTACAAAATAATTTATAAATTTATTTTCAATATTTTCAATCATGAAATTTTCAAATAATTTTGAAATACCATAAAACTAACTAAAAATATTATTTATTTTTCAAAATTTTTTAAGTAAAAAAAATAATTAATTAATTAGAGGGATATTTTTTGGAAAATAAAAAGTAATTAAAAGATTTTTTTATTTGATTTCTCAAATCGAATTTAGAATTTTAATTTATTTATTTTATTATTTATCTGAAAAATAATAAAAATCTATCTTAAAAAATTATTTAGAAATCAATTCAAAATAAAAAAATTATTTGCCATATAAAATAACAAGTTCAAATAAATATATTTTTTTCATAAATGTTTTTTTAAATTAAAATTTGTTTTATTGAATAAAATAATATTTCTAAGCATTTTATTAATATTTTTTAATTGTTAAAATATTTAAAAGCTGCCAGCTAATCTAACTTTAGTTATTCCATTTATAAAATTAATTTCAAAATTATTTAATGTTAGAATATACTGCTATTAAGTAGAATCAGATTCAATCAATATATCTTTACAATATTTTTTATAAGTAAAATCAAATCAATATATTTTTACTTTTTAAGAATAATTGGCAAATAAATAAATAATTTAATTTTCAAAGATAAACTAAAGAACAACTTTTATTTGAATTCTTAATTGAGCATTTTAGAATTTGTTAAATAAAAAAAATATAGGTCTTTAAATTATCAAAATTATGTTATTATAAATATCAAACAAATTTTAAAAGAAAGGATTAAATAAAGAAAATAAAATGGTGAATTGACTAAATATCAATTTAAATTATTTTGTAAATTCAAATAGAAAAAATTAAGAGTTGATAAAAAATATTACAAATAAAAGAATAATATTAAAATAGACAAAAGAAATTTCTTTTAAATTGAATTTTTATTTGAGTTTTCTAGAAATATCTTAACTATAAAAAGCATTAATATTTCAACTTGTTAAATAGGAAATTCTTATTTGAAAATAGTATATTTGTGGAGCTTAAAAAGTTTACAAAATAGCTTAAAGTTTGTGGATATACTATTCAATTTAATTAAAATCAATAGTTATAAAAATTAAAATTGCTGCGTTTTAAATATGAATTTTTACAAATAATTTTAGAAATATTATGATCGAATGATCAAAGTATAAGCTGGTATCTTTTATTTCAAAGCTTTCGTGGTAACAGGATCTTTGGCTTATACTGCTTACAATTATTAAAAAATATTATTATACAAAGAATAGCTAAAATAGAAGTTTTAGGATTATAGAGAAACATAAAAACAGAAACTTAAAGACTACTATTCAGATGAGAGAGTACAACAAAAAATTTAAAAGGCTAAAGAAGTCTAAAAAGAGGCTATAGAAATAAAAAATAAATTGAAAGAAAAAATACCTGACGAAGAAAAGATAAATGATTTTAAGACTAAAGTTTAAGAGAAAGTAGAAGTTGCTAAATAATTGAAACAAGATATTAAAGAAAAAGCAAAAGAAAATGAAAAATTTAATGATCTAACTCAATAATTAAAATAAAAACTAAGTGTGATTAAGACTAATAATTAAGGTGAAGGCCAATTAAAATCAAATTAGATTAAACAGAACTTAGAAGCTAACCAGGAACTCGATAATTAAGATATTAAAAAAACATAAAATTAAGAATTAAACGATAATAATTTTACTGAGAAGGATGGCTAATTTATCAAGAATAATTTATTGTCATAAGATTCTATAACATTTAAAGAAAATAATCAAAATGTCTAACTATAATAATCATAAAATAGCTCTTAAAATGAATAAAATAAAACTAATTCTTCACTTAAAGAAATTAAATCTAATTTCTTTAATAAAATAGAAAAAGCTCAAAGCTTTAAAGAGGATATCAAACAAAACTTAGAAAAAAGGGTTGAAGAAAAAAAATCAAGTCTTGAATTTAGTGAATAGAAATCTAAATTATTTTCAAAATTCAATAAGACTAATAAGACTGAAGAAGACAAGGCCTAAAATATTATAAATTATAATTCAGACTAAAATTCTGAAAATTAAAATAATTAATGAATACTGTTTAAATCAAACATTAAAATTTATTTATTTATTTATTTGTCTGTCTATTTTTTTATTTGTTTGCTTGTTTGTTTGTATATTCCTAATTTTTGATTTTTTTATTCGTAAATATCTTTTATTTTTAATTGATAGTAACCTCTTTGAAAATAATAAAGTATTTTATTACTCTATCAATATATTAAATATAGTATTGCATGATAATTTGTTTGACTATTAAATAACATATTTATAATATTTGGCTATCATTATTATTTATAAAACACTAGTAAATAGGATTACATCATAATTATTTACATATTGTTACTTTAACAAAAATATTTTGAAATAGCTAAAAGTTTAAAGAAGATATCAAAAAAAACTTCCAAAGAAGAATTGAAGGAGAAAGTAAAATGAATAATTTAATGAAAAAGCTTAACTTATTGTTTTTTTATTTATCTATCACAATGTTAAGCTTAGATATGTAAATTAATACATATTATTTAATCAATAAAGTAAAATGCCTTATTAATTTTGGATAGGCTATACTTATTAATATTTGATTAAAAGAAATTTAGGCATATTTTTAGTGTAAATTAGATTAAATTTTGAAAATCTAATTCAGTTATTTAGTTAGTTAATTAGTTAATTTTTTGTTGAAAAATTGATGGAAACTTCATAAATTTTTTTAGTAGCAAATTAATTTATTATAAATATTTCATTTACTTATTATGAATGTAGATAAGTAAATACTTAGAAAAAATTTTATAAATTTTAAAAGAAACAAATGAATTTTCTCTAATTTAAATAGAAAATATAACCCAAAAAGCTTGTAAATGATTTAATTAAATCAAAGCACTTGATTTCGCTGATTGTAAATTGTTTTGCATAATAAGTATGATTGGATAAAAATAATTTTTTAAGCTTAAATATATGTGAGGATAAATTAATTAATTTTTAATTTAATTCATGTAGAAAAAGAATTTTCGATAAATTTCTAATGGAAATCTTTAATAATTTAATTTTTGATGTAATTTTTTTCAATTTCAAATTCTGATGAATTATCAAAAAAAATGGATATTATAAATATTTTTTGATTGCCATAAATTTGTTTGTATTCAGTAAGTAATTTATAAATTTTTCAGAAATATTAATTAAAAATAAACTTTTTAACAAAAAAAAGCAAAACAAAATTTTACTTAAAATGAATTTTTTGAATAAAATAAAAAATTCCAAGTAATTAATTAAAAATAAAACTTGGTATAAATTTAAAGTCATTTCAATCTCTGGAGCCATCACTGGATCTTTGATTTATTCTTGTTACCATTATTAGAATTTGCTTAACTTTAAAAAATAAATTGATGATAAATTAGATTCCTTTTTTAATGTAGACTAACTAATAAGAAATACTTTATCTGACTAAAATAATATGAAGAAAGTAATGGAAATTTAAAAATAAGTTTATGATACTGCCAAATAGAAAATATAAAGCAATCAAAAAATATTAGAATTTTTCTAATTGTTAATAAATTAAATAAAAAATGATGAAAATTTCATTAAAGAAAATTAGGATCTAAAAGAAACAGTTGAAGAATTAACAGCTTAATTAAAAATTGTTCTAAATGATGAAAAGTTTTCATAAAATAAAGAAATGATATAAAACTTGCTCAATTAAATAGAACATTTGAGAACATTGAAAGAATATTTCAAAGAAACATTCTAGTAGAATAGCTAAGAATCTAAAGATCCTTCAGATTCCTAAAAAAATAATGAAAAGACTAGTTCTAAATAGTGATATTTAATAAATGAAATCATTGATTGAAGTTAATTAATAAGATGAAATTAAATAAATAAATAAATATATAATTTAAATCTAAAAATAAAATATTGAAAATTTCTAGTAGGAATATTATTTATTTAATAAAATAAATGCACTTTTTATTGTTTGTGTGTTTTATTTAATTTTTTAACTAATCTTGTATAGAAATAGTTTTAGAAATAAATGAATTTATTAACTTAATTTATTAAATTTAATTAAAAAATTGATTAATTCAATTAAAATATGAAAAAGCAGTAAATCTTTTTCTATCAACATATTTGCTAATTTCTATTTTATCATTCTTTAAAAGAGGAATAATGTGGTCTAATTTATCTTCAATTCCTTCAAATAACTCAAACTGTTCGTATTCTACATATGCTAAATTTGTATCCACAATGCTTATCTATAGAATTTATTTTTTATTTTACTTAATTTATTTATGTTTTAAATCTTAATTTTAATTTACTTCTGCATCTCCAAACTATGAGAAATGATCAGCTAAATTTTAGAAGGAAATCTGAGGATCAAATTTAATAAATAAAGTATTATTGAGAAATTCTTTGTTGTGGTTGATGTCAAAAGAATCTCTGGCAACTTAAAACTCGTGATTAAAGTAAAAGGTTCCTCCTTGCAAGAAGATATGATTTAAATGTTCTTTTGCAAAATTTGGATCAATAAAAGTTTCCATTACTTGTTTAAGAATTTAATCATGTTTGTCTTAGTATTCTTACACAACTTTGCCTTTTTTAGTTCTTTAAGGAACATCTTTCAATTACTTTTCCTTCTCCTGTTCAAACTTCTCAAAGTAACACATTCCTATAAAAGAAGCTCCAGTAATGTACGAATCAAAACCAGCTTCGTGCAATTACCCTTCTTTTGTGTACTTAGAGAATTATGGGTCTAAATTTATTTAAATAATAATTCAAAATAAAATTAAAATTAGCTTTTTATTGATATAAAATTTATTTATTTATTACCATTTGTCAAAACAGTGTTATGGTGCTTTTTTAAGCATTTTTCATCTTTTGCTACAGCTCTGTAAAGTCCTTCTAAATGAAGAGGTAGTTTTTTAACTTTATTTTACAATTTCCTAGCTAACACTTTAGTATCTATGACATATGGGAAGTATTTATTTACCTTTTATTTTATTAGATTTTATTTATTTAATTTTTAACATTTTAAAATTATCTTTAAATTAAAATGAATGAAAATCTAAAAAAATTAGACAATAAATAAATAATGAATGATACCTTTTCAACAAATTCAACAAAAGTATTTGGTAAAACATCAATGAAGTGATCGTAGAAATAAAATAGATCATATCCCATATAATGTCCTATAATAGGTCTCTTAGAGTTGACAATTGCTTCAACAATTAATGAGAAACCCAGTAAATCTATTTCTGAACTAGAATGAGAAGGATTTGAAACATCATCTCCATCTCCATTTTATTTGATTTCTTCAGTACCATTATTATTGTTATTTTCATCGTCATCTATATCTTAGGCTTACTTATTTTTAAAATATTGGTTCTGTGTAGGTTTCTTTTTTCTAATAATCAACTAAGTATTTGTTTAACCCTTATCTACGTTTACATTTTAACAAGAGTAAATAGCTTGTCCAATTTACTTTCTAATAAATAAAGTTTGAATTAGATCAAATGCTTATTCTATCTAATTAATAAATTATTTACTTAAGAATCTTTGTGCACAAATACTGAGATTTACACTCGATTGTTACATCTTTTGTATTGTTGTTATCTTGGTCATACTCCTAAATCTACTTCACAATTTGTTCCAAAGCATCACGACTAGCCTTGCTTAAAGCTATTCCATGATTCTATTAGTACTTGCTGTTTTCCAAAATTTTTTCTTTTTATGCAAGCTTTATGTAAGACTAATTTATAATTAATTACCATAAAAGTTTAAGTAAATTTATGATATCTACTAAATTGCTTTTATTTGATAAGCATATAATTGATATCTTTTTTATTTATTACCAATCCAGAAGAATAAAGTTTGTTGAAATCTAATCCATTTACTGCCATGAAATTAAAGCATTCTAACTTTATATGCAAAAATATTATTAAAATCATTATTTAATTATATTTTTTTTATTTATTTATTTTACCTAAATGATTTACTTCTTAATAGACTCTGAACTAGTAGTATAAACTGGATTCAAATAAATATTATAAGGATAGGCAATGTATTTTTTTTAAACCTTGCAAAAAGTATAAATGCACAGTCCAATTTATAGCAAATGATAATTTTAAACAGTGTGTTTTAACTTTTAATAAATATCTTCATCACTGTCATACTTTCTTATCTTTGAAAAGCGCTCAGTAGCTAAACCTGTTAAAAAATGATACTAATTAAACTCCGCATTATTCAATCAATAATCTAAAAAGGGTAAAGAGAAACATATCTAAGTATTTATTAAAAAGAGAAGCAATGTTTTACCTGAAAATTCACAATCAAAAGAAATAAAATCACATGATTAAATTAGTTAAATGATTTTCTAATAATTGTCTTTAAAATTATTTCTATCTATATCCATTTTTATAAGAAAAAGCTTTATATTTATTTGAACTAAAGAAGTTTATTATATTGAAATATTAGTTTTTAATTACTTAATACAATAAGAATTGTCTCTCTCAGTAGGTAGGTAGTATTTAATTTCAATTCATAAATTAACAAATAGATGATATTAATATATATATTTAACTAATAAATCTAGCATGAGTTAGATCTCTATATCTTTAATTCAAAACTGTTGGTTGATCTCTCATTTCTACTTTGATTCTAAGGTTTTATTGGATTTAAATTGTAATAATTCTTGTAGTTTGATTATTCAGTATCAGATTTAAGTTATAATCCACTTTATATATTTGAGACACTTTTAACTCTTATTTTTTCTTTATCTTTTAACTATAAAATTCATTTTAAAATACTTAACAAAATAGATTGAGTTTAATTAAAATAAAGCAATATTTATCCCTTTTTAAATCAATCATAATAAATAAATAAACAATTTTTAAATAATTTTAAGCTCTTAATCTTCTAAAAACAAGTTTTATATTATTATTAATACTGATTGCTTAAAAAATGAAATAAAATAAATAAATTAAAATTTATTTTTTTAACATAAATAAATACAATTTTAATAAACAATACAATGCTTATTAATACATTTTTAGTTTTCAAATCTAATTGATTATTTCATGTTGAGACATAGATAAAAAACAAATATATAAAATTTGTTTAATGATCACATTCTATCTACAAAATCAATAAATTCAGATAAAACTCTCTGCCTGTATGAATTCTTAACTTAAAAAACTTGACACAATTTTTGTTCATTATTTTATTCATTAATTATATTAATTATTGATCATTTTAAAGAAAATATTTAATTTATTAATAAAAATCAATGGAACAATACAAAATGTGTAAGTAAGTAAAAAAATAAATAAAAAAATAATCTAGTAGTTTTTCAATGAATTTAATTTATGTAAATGGATTTATTAATAAATATGATTAATAACATTTAGAAATTTAGTAGTTTCCATAATTCTTTTTAGTCTTCATTTTTTTTTGATATTATAAACTACTATGTTTGATAATAAATAAATAAATATTTGAATAATAGAGATTAGAATCATAAAATCTTACTTAGATTTTCAATTTCATTCATTAGCTTTCTTTTCTAAAAATAAACAACAACTAAGAATTATTTGTATTTAGTATATATAGATAATAAATAGGAATATTTATTTCAAAGGTAAAAATTAGGTAAAACACTTAGATTATAAAATATGGCCAATATTCATAGATTAAATGATGATGGGTTTGATAGAAGACTGCGTTTAGGGTTTAGTAATCCCAATCAAAATTAAATATTAGATCCAAATTTAAAAATACCATTTGTGAGTAATCATTTTAATTGAATTTATTATTAGAAGTAAAGTAAATTAAATATGTAATTTTGCTTTGTTTTATTTAAGGTTAAGTCCCTCCTGAGGAGTAAGATCCAAGAAAAGAGTCATTTTGGTAGATGCTGAAAATAAACTTATGCCCATCATTCAAAATAAATTCTATCACATTTTCTATATTAGTAATTAATTCATTCGTATTTGTCCTAGAATGTTACTAAACAACTGGATTTGGCTAAAGTCTTTTAGAAATCAATTAAAAATCTCTCATAGATATGGGTGCTGTAGTTCCTATAGATATTAGAGAAAAAGGATAATATTACAGAGTATTATTTGCGATGTTTATGCATGCAAGTTTCGTTCATCTACTGTTTAATTAAATCTCATTATTTATTATTTTGTCAGCAATTGAATACAGCTATGGTTTACTAAACACAACCATTATTTATCTTCTTTCTGGCATCGGAGCAAACATGCTAGCTGCTAATTTTGGAATTGATTATGATATTTATGTAGGGTGTAGTGGGGCTGTCACTGGGTTACTCGCTTGTGTTCTTTCATACTTCATATTGAACTGGAATAAGTTAGAAGTACTTGGACCTATGAGAGAGTATATATTATGTATATTTATAATGTTTATGCTGCTTGCTTTCTTATTCCCAGGACCTTCTTCAATATCAACTTATTCAAACATTGGAGGCTTTTTAGCAGGATTGTTTTCAGGTCTAGCTATACCCGAGCCAGCTCAGTAAGGATCTTATGAAAAATATGCAAAAATTTCTGGCTGGGTACTACTCAGCACTTTCTTTGTACTTATACTTCTCTCCTTGTATATTCATTAATGAAGTACTCTGTTTAGTTAAAATTTTTAATTCTTGAGAAAGCATGGATTTATACATAAATAAATAAATAAGTAACAGTAAAAACTATAATATTATTAATAATAATCGTATTCTTTTAATTTCAGTGTCTAAATGTGTAAATTTGATAAAATTAATATTCTAGCTTAATTCAAAATGATCAAGCAATCAATTCCTTTTATCAGATTTTATATTTTGTAAATAAAAAGATTGATTACAAAAATATTATTTCAGCATGAATCAATCAATACTCAATAAAAATAAGTTTATAAGTTAAAAATTTTAGCAATCTATTTAATAAAAATACAAAAATTTTTATTTTAAAATAATTAACTTAATTGGCTAAAAATACTATTTTAGTTATAGCACTTTGCTATTTTAAAAAATGGCTATTGCTGCTAAACAGCACATAGCCATTAGGTTTTAAAAGTAAAAAGAAAATATCTTTTTTAATTTTTTTATATGTATTTATGAATCAAATTTAATTTGTAAAATGAGGGCACAATGGAATATTTTAAGATTTAAAAAAGGAGGGCAATTATATAAAAAATAAAATATATTTTCATGATTTTGTAATTTAATCAAAAACAAACTTATTTTTTTAGATATTTCATAAAATTTTGGTTGAAAGAGTATTTAAGGTATTATTTAAAATTTATAAAATCTTTGAATATTTAATTCTTATTTGATCTTGAAATAAACTATTTTTAATTGCACTTTACATAATGTGGCCATTTGAAAATTTTAAATCTTATAACCTTAAAGCATTTTTTATGCAAGAAAGTTTAATGAAGTGAAATTAATATTTTAATAAAATGATCTTTTTTATGATATATATACATATAAAGAGCTATCAATCCTTTTAGAAATAAAATCACATAACTTTTTAATCCTTAAAAGTTGAATAGGTTGTGCTCTGTAGATTTGCAGTGAGCAAATCAGAGAGTTTTTAATAGTTAGCACGTAAACGGAGGTTTTCTTCATTCGAGTCACGAAGAGTTTTCTCTAATTCTTGGATTCTGTCTCTATAGCTATCATGGAGAGTATTGTGTTCATCATGAGCTTTTATGAATTTATCTTCTAATTATGATTTAATTGTTTTTTCGTCTTACTCTGTCAAGTTATCCTTTTCTTTTAGTTTGTTAAGCTCTTCTTTAAGCTTTTTTATGAGTTACTCTTTATAGTCTAAATCAGCTCTCTATCTTTCAATATACATCTCGAATTCAGTGTTATTTAAATCTATATCTTGATTTTCAATTTTATACTTTACAATACTTTAATTTATTTCATTTATTTTTTCAGTGTTTGATTTTATTCTGTTTGAGTAATCCTTTACTAGATCTGTTGTTCTTCTGTCACTATCCATTATTTTTTGCTCATAATCATTCATTCTCCTTTCCAAAATATCAAAACGATCGTTATATTCTTGTTATCCAGCTGCTTTTAATTTTTCTACGACTTCTTTAGCCTCGTCCTTTGATTAAAATTCTGATTTTACCATGTCATCCATTATTTTATATATCTCTAATCTTGTTTCATCATTCTTTTTGCTACGTATTCCAACTTGCTTTATTAATTCTTCACATTTTTCATGATATTCTGAATCAACTTATCTCATTTAACGAATATTTTAATCGGAAATGCTCAATAACTCACTTTGCAATCTTTTGTCTGTATCTCTTATTTTTTCCTCTTGTAAATGGCACTTGTCTTCTAGTTCTCTCTTACTTTTTTGCTTTTCGTGTTCATAACCTTTTAATTCTGCCTCAACCCTATGTAAATCAGTTTTAAGAGTGCCTAAAATCAAATAAAATATTTTAGTTTAAATTTAAATATTTTGTTTGTTTACTTTGTTCATGCTATCTAGCAAGAAATTCTTCTTCTAGTTAGGCCTTCTTTTAAGCTTTAACTTACAAAGCACTTTTTAGCTCAGAAATTTTACCTTGTAAACTCTCTTTTAAAGCTAAGCCTTAAACTCTTTCATTGTCAATTTAAATTTCCAAATGCTAAATTAGATTAACACTCTCATATCCAGCCTATAAATTCCTGCTGATTTCATTTTAATCCATAATTCTAGTCCTACTTTAATTGAAGGCCTCTTACATAATTGGAACTTAGTAAGGATATTAAGGTTAATGATGTTAAGCAACAAACCTAATAGTTTCTCTATCATTAATAGATTCATTAAAATCTTACTATTACTACTACTATCTATAAAAACTATTTCTCCTAGAGTCATTCATAGCATTATTTCTCCTTGCTGCAGTATGAGGAATTCCATCTCTATTATTTGTTACTAATTATTAAATTTCTGAGTTTATTTCTTCTGGTATTCCATTACCAGCAAGCTCTAAGCCTACTAAACTACCATTTTCTTGCATAGCTTGGAGAATAGCCCTACCGCCATTAGCACCAAGCTCATTCCATCTAATTTATTTTAACATTATAAATGTTATAATTATAAAAAAATTCAAAAAAAGTAATAGTAAATTAGCATCATTTATTTATTTTCTGTTATTAAATGAATTCAATTATTTATTTTAAACAAAATTTAACCTTAAATCCAAAGAAGAAATGGAGGTATTGTTTCTAATTACGTTAGCAATAATATGTGCCCCTGTTTAATTAATTTTATTATTCCTTAAATCTAAATGAGTTATTGATCTATTATTTGACAACAAAGTGTAAAGACTCTCCAATCCTGCAATATCTGTACCAAGTCTGTTCCATTCAAGATTTAAAGATTTTAACTAAAAATTTTGTCTTAAAGAGTTAAAAATTTCAATGAAACCCTAAGGACCTATATTATTTCCTTTTAAATCAATCATAGATATGCTTGTTTATCCTTTTAAGAAAGCAGCTAATTGTAAAGCGCCTTCATCGCCAATATACATTTCAGGGATTGTAATACGATTAGTTGCTGCTTGTTTTTAAATAATTTAGATTAAATTTCCACTTGCCTGTATTACTCCCATTTATTACGAAGGCACTCTAGGTGCTTGATAAGTGCTTCTAACGTACATTTTTATGAGTTTTTTACAATTATATTTATATATTTGACAGATTCTCTTATTCTTAAGACTATATTTGTTTGTTTATTTTTGGTAAGCTTGCTTGATTATTAGGTTAACTTATAAAAAGGTTATTTTATTATGTTAATCTCTATATTAATAATTAAGTTTGTATTTTATTTATTTATTGATTAAAAGATACTTTTCAATTGATCACAATTTTTTATAAATGATTCATATGAAACTACTGTCTTTTATTTTGCTATTTTTAAAAATAAAATGAATGAAATATTTGAAATAAATCATATTCATTCATTCAATAATTGTATAAAGGAAATTTTAAATTGATTAATACCAAACTGATTATAAAATTTCAAATTCTTTAGTTTATTAATTTTAAATTCTTTTCCTAAAGAAATCAAACAAATTAAATCTATTTATTTATTTAAATGAGTTTAATTCTAATATACTTAACAACTCTAAACGATTTATTTTAATTAATTATTTTAATATATTTGTTCTTTGTTAATAATATTTTTTTGATATATTTGTCCTTTTTACATTAAATTTATTTATTGATTTATTATAATTTCTCATTAAAATATTGAAAATAATTTAAATAAAAAATCATTTATTTGTGAATTAATTGGAAAAAATAAACATATTAATTTAATTTTCTAATTAAAAATGAATAATATTAACTAATTATCGCTTTTCAAGTAATAACTTAGCAAACAGTTAAAATAAAAAAATATTAATTTTGTTTTATTTACCAAAGATATTTTAAGATTTCTATTAATTTAAACAAATAATTAGCTTTAAAAATTAAAATAAATATTTTTTTATTTTTCGGGAAATACGGTCTTTAATGTTATATAATTTGTTCTAATAGTATCAAGAATATTTAAAATTTAATGAATAAAGCTATTAGAGATATTCTAATTCTAGATCAGATTTTTAAAATTGTATACCAAATTCTTAATATAATAATCACAATTAACTTTCTTGATTTAAATTTACTTAATTAATAAATTGTGCATTTCATTTTTTATCAAATTCATAATTTATTGCATTTTTCATCAGGCTTACTTACTTAATAAATTCTAAGCTTTGCTTTTCTTTTTTCTTCAAATATTGATTGAACAAATACTTTTTTGAAAAGCAAATTTTGATCTAGAGATTTTTAAAAACAAACTCTAGATAAGAATTAAATTTATCTAAGGAAGATAAAAAAAATGATACAATTAGAATTTCAAAAATCTGAAAAAGCAAAGAATAAAAAGTAAATTTGAGAAAATAATTAAGTTAAACAGTATGTATGTTTCACAAATTCATCACAAATAAATTATGTTATACCAATTATTATTTTTATAATAAAGTTTTTAGAAGATTGCATACTTTTGTTATATTAATTAATACAGTATGGCTTACTATTTATTGATTTGCTTATTTATTTATGTACTGTCTGTAAAGGGAGAACTTAATGAGCAGAAGAAGAAGAAAACAAAGTAATCGAATCAGATACTATTCAGCTTGTTTTAGATGTATATTAAAATTAAAAAATCCTCTTTCTTCTTTCCAAAAAGTTTACCTAGAAGTTAAAAATATAAGAAATCAATCAACGATTTCACTTGGAAGCAAGCTTGTTAATGTTTTAGTCAATATCAGATTCGTATTTCTTGAGAAGGGGTTAAACAACCTTGTCATAAACGACGACAGCACCTAAAGTCTTGGGGTGGAAGAGATAGACGAAGAAGGCGAGCTTTAAGAAATAGTAGAAAGGAATGAAGGAGAGAGTGAAGCCAATGAAAGAGTCCATAACGGTGAAGAGGGAGTAAACAACCCAGTAGGTCAACCATTACTTATCATCCTTATTGTCAGTAGTTTCCAAAGCCTTGAAACTCATATATGCAGGATATATGAAGCCAACAATATTGCAAATTAAGCTAGAGCCTACATTCAAAAGTGATAACAAAACCAAAACTGCAGAAAGACTCAAAATAATGTGACTGGGCTTAACGGGAATAGGAATCTTCTTGACAAGAGCTTATAAATTTTCATTTTCGTCCAAAGCATCCAAATGAACTGTCTTACATACCTTATCCAAAATAGGAGCGACCTTTTCAGTATAAATTTCCATTTCAAAAATAATTTCTGTTTACTTTTACTTTTTACCTTTTTTTTTGTTTAATTTGTTGTAAAATTTTAATTTTTATAAAATATCTCAAATAGATTTCAATCACTTACAATTTAAAGAGTAGAATGTTTGTGATTAAAACAATCTTCAAGTAATCAAACAAATTTAATTGTACAACAAATAATAATTCATTTAAAAGGAAAATATGCTTAATTAATTTGAACTTATTTATCACCGATTTCTACACGATTTCTACTGCATTTATTCATGCATGAATTAATAAATAAATAAGTAAATAAATTGCTCGAACACGTTTTTTATTAGCTGTCTAAATATTTGGAGTTTTTAAATACTTCAAAAAACTCTTGTTAAAAGCTATTTTGACAGAGAAAGCTTATATTTGATAAGGAGGGGGATTATTTAATTCTTTTAATATTTTATTAAGGAAAATTGAACGAAAAAACTAGCAAGCAAATAAACACATATATATCTTGCTGATCAAAAATTTATTTGTTTATTTGGGTGATTGATTTATTCCCGATTTAAAATATTTATGGATGCGAAAAATAAAAGAATTGATTTAGAGAAAAAAAAAAATTGATTGATATAAGGAAAAGAGTCAATTTTTTAATAAAAAACCAATTTTTATCAGTAGAACTCCAAAAGCAAATAAGTACTCTCGAGTCAAATAAATAAATAAATTTACTAAATTTCAATTTCAATTTCCTTAAAATATCAATAAATAATCTTATGCTCATATCATTAAAATATAATTAGACACCAAAGAATTTAAGATGAGAAGTACTTATGTAATTACTTTCTATAAGGCTTTTTAGAAGAAGAAAAATTAGCAGGCATGTTAATTAAATTGATAAAATTAACTACATTTTGTTTGTAAATTGTGATATAAAAGTTTTCACTCACTCGTTAGCTAGCTCACCTCAAAGGGAATAAGCAAAAGTTATAGACAAATCATATCTAAGTAATTAAATTTAATTGAATTTTTTAAATAAAATCTGTTAGTAAATAAGTAATTAATAAATTAAGCAGCGGGTTGGAGTTAAAAATATGCAATAATTAAGTGACGTATTAGGTTTTATGTGAAAGTTAACTATTTTGTTTTTACCTAATGAAAATAATGAGAGATCATATGTAGAAAAAACTGAATAAATGACTATGTAAATTATTTTCTATTTTTATAGAACAAAAATTCTAGTTGACGTAAAATTGTAAAAGCTGCATCATTAAATAAATAAATAAATAAGTAAATTTATTTATTTTATTTCTGTTATAATTTTTTTATATTAAAAATAAATTTTGAAAATATTATTTAATAAATTGAACAAAAATTTTTTATTTTGGAATTTTGATCTACTTATCATATAATAATATTCTCATCAAAAATCTAAATATGATGTCAACTTTTATTATTTATTTTAGGTCAAAGCAAAGCTTTAACTCTTTCAAATTTAATTAAAATCATAAATGAAAGAAAGAAAGATACATATCAAATAGATATACCTATAGATAGATAGATTGGTTGATTAACCTGATTGATTGATGGATTGAAAGAAAGAAAGAAAAAAGAGAAAGAGAAAGAGAAAAGAGTTTTTTTGGTCAAAAAAAGATATTCTAGATTAAATCTAAATTAATTTAATTAACTATATAGCATAAAAAAATCCTTATTTAAGCATTTACACTTGTTTCTATTAATTTAGAAAATGTCCCTTAATCCTTGGGCAGGAAGACCCTTTAAAGCAGTCTTTGGGTTCTTCTTTATTTGCTTTTGCATGAGTCTGCCATTACAGTTTATTTACATTTACAAAAAAGCACTTGAAGGCAATATTTTTATGATAATTATTTCTTTGCTCTAAATATACTTCCAGTATTTTGCTAAAGTGAAGGCTTAGCCTGCTTTAATCAAATTTACTAAGTGGATGCATTACGAAAAATACTTTGAAGAATTTAATTTTCATTAGGTTGAAGAGCATCTTTAGGAAAAAGATTCAATTTTCGCAGTTCATCCCCATTATATGTTTACTTATGGTCTAGTTTTAAATTACTATCAAGGAAATTTTGGAAAAAATTTAGCAGTTCTTACAACTAGAAGCTTATTAATGCTTCCAGGGTATGGTCTTCTGCATTAATTAACAGGCCTATAAGGAGTAAATTATATTTTTATCATTTTTCTATAGTTTTTTTATGCAATATTTACTATGCTAATTTTATTTTTTATGTTTTTAAGGTTGATGCAGAAAATATGAAAAAGTTAATGAAAAACCACCAAAATTTTGCCTTAGTTCCTGGTGGATTTGAAGAAGCTACCTTAACAACTAGAAATGAATAAAAAATATTTGTTAAAAATCGTAAAGGATTTATTAAATATGCGATTTAAGGAGGATACACTATCTACCCTGTATATATTTTTGGAGAATCTAAAGCTTATCATTATATTGAAAGCTTTCTTAATTTGCGTTTAGCTTTAAATAAAATTAAAATGGTTGGCGTTTTCTTTTGGAGTAGATTTGGCCTGATCATTCCTGAATGGAAAGTTAAAATTAATACAGTTGTAGGAAAAGCTTTGAAATTCCCTTAATCTGATAATCCATCTAAAGAATTAATTGATAAATGCCATGCAGAATATATTGAAGCCATAAAAAATCTCTATTACTCTCATAGGGAAAAGTTTGGTGAAACTGCTGAATTAGCTATCTATTGATTTTCTACAATTTAAATATATAAATAAATAAATAATAAAATTAACATACTACTTTTATCATCTAAATTACATAAAAAGCATACATAAATTAGTTTAAAATTCATAAATACAGTATTACAAAAAATATTTTAATTTTTTATTTTTATTATGTTCGAAATAAGCATTTTTTATATAAATCATTTATTATTTTGATCAAAATATTTTAAATAACTAATTTTTATATAAAGGAATAAATAATATATTCTCAAGAAATTTACTTTCTGATTTTTATAAATAAAAAAAAACTCTAAAATAAGCTTATCTCCCTTTCTATTTACAAAGTTATACTGTAAGTTTCAAAATAAAATACTGAATTAAGAATATGCAATTATTGGTAACATCTCTAAAAATAAAAAATAATTTTAAGAAACTCGATTCCTAATCATAAACACATATTCCATGCATTCATTCTCAATAATTAAGGCCATTTTTTAAAAATTATTTAATAAAGCTATCTTTGATAAAAAAATTTTTTGAATCAACTCGCCTTAATTAATGAGAATGCATGCTATGTTACAATATAGTGTATGTAATTCCTCAATAATTAAAACCAAATCCATTAACCCTAATCCTAAAAATTTTCTAAATCTTATCTTATATTTTACATACAATAAATATATAAATTAAATTAAATTTAAAAAAATTTAAATATTTCAGTAAATTTCAAATTAGCTAAGTATTTCTTTGAACATTTTACAACAAGAATTAAAAAATTTTTTATTTTTATATTATATAATTATTTATAGAATTATCAGCAACTAAATGCAAGTTTTCTCATTTCTATTTCGTGGTCTTTGCCATTTTCTTTTATGAGTTAAGTTAAATAGCCTAATTTGTTTATAATAATAAAAAATATATATTTTTATTATTTTAAATTTTATATTTTACTATTTGGATTGATAAGCATTTGCTTTGGAGTATCAAACTCTTTTATTTTTCCTTCATTTAATACTAGAATTTTATCATACTAAATGATTGTTTTAAGACGATGCGCAATAGTGATAACAGTTGTATCTTAAAATTCACTTTTAATCATATTTTGTATAATCCAATCTGTTTTTTCATCAATGCTAGCTGTAGCTTCATCCATTAATAGTAGTTTACATTTTCTCTTTATTTAATTGGATTCTAATTAAACTATATTTTTCTTAAAAATTTAATTTACCAAAATAACACGAGTAAGAGCTATCAGTTATTTTTCTCCTTAAGAAAAATTTGCTCCTTGAATGTCAACTTTCAACTCTAGCACAACTTTATATCAAGAATAATTATTTTAATTAAATAAAATCAAAAATACTTACTTTGAATATCTTCTTCATTATACTGATCAACCACATTAAACTTTTAAACTTCAATGGTTTTATTTTCTTATAGATTTTTTATTGGTAAATCTATTTTGTTGTTAATTTAGTTAGCTTTATTCAACAAAGTTTCCCACAGCTAAACTTTTTTTAGTGCTTGAACAATTTCAGCATTAGAATAAACTTCAAAAGGATCAACATTAGATTTAATTGTACCCTAAAACAAAATAGGATCTTAAGGTATCATTGATACATTACTTCTCAGCTCGCTTAATTCTAGTTTTGCGATATTTTACCCATTCAGCAATATCCTTCCATTCTCCTATTGATTTAATAAAATTTCAAATTAAAAATTGATAAAAATGAATTATTCTTTTACTTCATCAACCAATTCAAGTATGCGGAGCAAGCCTAAAGTTAAAGTGGATTTTCCACTACCAGTTCTTCCAATCACTCCAATCTGAATTTATTGTATTACAATTACATTAAAATAGTAATAATATTATGATTAAAATAATACCTTCTCATTAGCTTTTATAGAAAGTGTAATATTATTTAAAATAATTGGTGTGTCTTTTCTATATCTATATGAAACATTTTATATATCTAGGTCTCCTTACTAAGGCCATTTTTGTACAGTCTTAGACTAATTAGGATCATATAGAGTATCAAAGTCTCTTTCTTAAGGTGTCTCGTTGATATAGTTTAATACTCTATGGAAAGAGTTCATTTACAACTCAGTATCACCTAACAATTTGATAGTGATAGGAGTTGTAGTGCTAATTTTTAAAGCCCACGTTAAACTTAAACCTAAAATATATTTATTTATTTATTTAAGTAAATATTAATCAATTATTACAAATTTTACCTATATGAGCAGCAAGGTAAATGTCATAACCATATATTGATTTTTAAGCTAGACCCAAATACGCAGAAGCACCAATTATTATTGATGAAAATAAGTCCGTTATTAAATTTAACCAATGACTGCAGAAAAATTGATTAAAAGTTGCTCTTGTGTGCATATCAATGCACTTACTAAACATCTTGAAGAAATATTTTTCTTTATTAAAGCTTCTAATCTAAATTAAACCTATTTAAAAATTAAAAATTTTCATTAAAAAGAGTGAAAAAAAAAATTTTTTTCTTTTAAATTTAATTTAACCTTAATTTAACTCTGTATAAGCTCCTATCATAGGTGATCTTACAATATCAACTATTCTTTTGATTTCACGAGTACATCTGATGTATCTTCTCAGAATGTAATAATAGCAAATAATAATAAATACAGCCACTGCTATAAATATTGGTGTTATTAACGAAATCATTACAAAGCTGCCAATAAGATTCATTAGGCCACTAATTAGTTACTGTAAAACTAATTAAAGTCTTTTTATAAATTAAAATATTATTTTTAAATTCTAAAATTTAAAATAAAATTATTTACAAGTAATCTATTGCGTCAATATCCTTAGAGAAACGAGTAACAATTCTTCCTAGTGGAGTTTTATCAAAAAACTCCATTGGGCTTTTAAGCAGTCTTACCAAAAGTTTTCTAAAAATACTTTTAGATATCCTAACAGAAAAAACTAAAAAAGCTAAATATCTGAAAATGTAGAGAAAGCCGCTTGATATACTTACTCCTATTTTTTATTCATATTTAAAAATTAAACAAAAGCAAAAAAAAATACCTGCGTATATTCCTGCATACTAAGTACCATCAAGCTACTTGTAAGCATTTAAACTCCACTGGCCAAGCCACCAATCTGAAAGCCTTTTTATTTGGAAAAAAATTTTTTTTGAATAAAAATGAATAAATAATTAATTAATTAATTAAATACATCAATCCTGTTTATGATATTGCAAAAATGAGCAAAGCAATAGAAATATATCCAAAGCCTCCCATCATAAAATATTCTTTGTAAACATAGAAGGGGACTGAACCTAAGGCCTTTTCTTCATTTTAAATTAGAATTCCTTTCTCCTGTTTTTCTTTATCTTTAGCTTCTTCAAATGAATTTTAGAAAGATGATTCTTCAGAATTCTATGAGGATGAGCAGTATTTTTCATTATTTGATTTTTCCAAATGAAAATTTTCATTTATAATTTCATTTTTTTCATCTTTAATTAGATTTTTTTTAGTTTTATTTTCATTTATTTCATCTTTAATTTCATTTAATTATTTTAAGTTATCTACCTCGCTTATTTCTTAGGTTTTATTTTTTTCGTTTGTTAGCAAACTAGTCAAAGCTTTTGAATTTTTAGCAGTTAATTCTTAAAAAGAGCCAAAATCCTCTACTTTTCCTTCTTTGAGAATTGTGATAGAGTCAAAATATTTCATATAATGAGTGTGATGAGTGATAAAGATGATAGTCTTTTGCTTTAAAAACTTTCTGAATACTTTCTTGAAAATGAGTCTACCCACGTGACTATCAAGGGCACTAAGGCAATCATCTACAATATAGATATCTCTATTTGAATAAACAGCCCTTGCTATGCTAACTCTTTATTTTTAACCTCCGCTGAGATTAACACCTCTTTCACCAATCTCAGTCAAGTCACCTCCTGGTAATTGCTTGATGTCATCCAACAATTAGCATTTGTGTAATATTTTTTAATATCTTTTTTGATTATATTCTTCGCCAAATAAGATATTTTCTCTCAGGCTGCAAGATCTTAACCAAGGCTTTATTATAATAATTGATTTAGAACAACATTCAAAAAAAATATAATAATATTAATATTTTACTGTTTATGGTATGTAAGCAACAGAACCTTTTACAGCAATCTTACCAGAAGTTTTATTTATTTCATTGATAAGAGCATGAGCAAGTGTTGTTTTACCACTAGAAAATATGCCATAAATTCCATTGAAAGTTTTAGGTTTGTAGTTGAGATTTATTGAATTCAAATAAGGGGAAGTCTTTGGAATTTCATTAATTTTATCTGATTTAAAACTTTTTAGTGTTTCTTCCAATTAGCTCACATTTTCTTTTAACTTTTTCTTTTGTTAAATTTCTTGCTTTAATTTTTTGATTTTAGTTTTCTAGATAATAAAATTGTCTGGGTTTTTCAAATTATGGAGTTCATTATTTTGACTTTCCCAACTAAAACACCCTTCAACTATTTTAATTTCTCCTAATTCACAGTCTCTCGTCAGATCTTAATCATAATAATCTAAAGCCTACTCTTCACATTCGTAGAAATGGATGATACGATTATAAGAAACTCTAGCTTGTATAAATTTCCCCCATCCAGAAGCTAATTGAATTATCGGTGCTTAAAGCAAGTTAATTAGTGAAAGAGCTGTAAATGCTTTAGCAGTATTTAGCTAATTATCCAAAATAATGTAAACTACAAAGACTAAAACAGCTATAATACTAGGAGACACTTAGCTGATACAATCAACCTATCCTATGTTGAAAAGGAATCCAAACAGAATTTTAATTTCCTAAATTCTTATGCTTTATAATTGCTTCACAACCCAATTCTCCCAAGCATAATATTTGATTATCTTAATTCCTATTTATATAAAAATAATTGAGAACAACTTAAGAAACAGTTTAATTTTGATTTACCTTAAAAAAATTCAGTAATTTTCTTACTCCTCTAATCTATTATAGAAAAAACCTTCATTCTAAAACCAGCTTATTTAGAAGTAATGTGATTAACTAAAATAGAAGCTAGAACAAGCATGGCTTAATTTAATGTAAAGAATTATTTATTTTAATATTTAGAATTAATCAAATTATTTTACATGGAGCGATAAGACCTATATATCCCAATTCGTATATGATGTATATAGTAGCAGCTATTACAATTAAAGGTGCTGTCATCGCAGTAAAGGCAAATAGTAAGAATTGAAAAATTTCGATTGAATTCATAATGACAAGATTAGTCATTTTACCTGAATCCATGTATTTTCTTCCAGAATTACTTAATTTGAGTAATTTTTCATATAAAATACCAAAAATTTGGTTTGCACTCTTAGTTATTTGTCAAAGTTGGATAATAGTAATATCATGATTTAAGATAAATGAAATTAAATAATCAATTTATATAAAAAAATATTTCAGTGATAAAAAATACTCATTCATATATGTATCTAGTTTAGTGGTATTATTATGTGATACATATATGGTTAATTTAATCAATTAAAAATTACTTAAAAGGTGATCCTATTTGTTAAAAGCGTTAAATGCTACTACAAAAAGACTTTCAAAGCAAAACAAGCAAACAAAAGACTAGCATAGATATATCCTAGGCTTTGATTTGAAGATTCATCAGCAATATTTTTAACAATTAAATTTAAAAATATAGGTCCAGCAAACTATTTTTAGTAAAATTTATCAAATAAAATAAATTAGTTAATTGAAATACATTTAAAAGACTCCTTAAATTTTATTAAGTACTGTTTCCAGTCTTTCTTCTTCTCTCAAATCGAATAAATCGCATTCTAAAAGTTAAATAAAATTAGATTTGTAAGATTAAAAACAAGTTACCTTTGATCGATTTTGAGTTTCCTAATTTTATGACTTTGTTGGTCCATAAAAATAGAGCTTTACTTAAGCACGAAGCCCTGTTTTCTAAATTTGGATTAAAACTATTTTGTGAATAATTTTAACCAGATTATTCTTTAGTTTTTATCTTTGAGTTTGACATCCTACTAATTTTTTTACAAATTAATTATATATTTATTAATTATCTTAATTGAAGCACCTTTTTAAAATGCGAGCCTTAGTATGAATTTCTTTATTATAGATATTGGTAATTCTTTTACAATAATTAATTTACATATTAAAAGCAAAAATAAGTGGCATTTAAAATTGTAATTAATACATGATCTGTTAATTTCTTATGTATATATTAATTACTTTTTTATATCGAAATTAAAGGAGACGCAAATCCAATATTTTGATGAATACTGATATCATTTTAAATTTCTGTCAATAGTTTTTAAGGTTTAATATAATTTGTGTTTTATATGCTTTTGAATACTCTATATTTTTTTAGAATGGAGGAATAAATAAATAATAAAAATTGTACTTTTTTCTAGCCAGACACATATTATCATATAAATAACTATTCTTAGCAAGTAAATAAAAAATATTAAAAATTATTGAAGCATAAACTTCAAAAAAATATAATTCTTTCTTAACTAAATTTAATTTTAGAGAGAAAATTACTTAAAAATAGTTAATAAATATATATTTCCTTTCAGTAATAAAACTACCATTATTTATTAATACTTATATTTTATGGACTAATATAAAATGATGTACTTATCTTTAAATTTTTTTATTTGAATTATTAGTAAAAGATGACTATTTTATTTCGAGTAATTATTAAGGCTTATTTTTTGAACAAAGATAACATTTGTATTTAAAAGTTTAATATTTTCTAATTAATTATAAGATAAAATCACCTATAATTAATATTTATTATTTATCCAAATTTTTAATAATAAAAAAAACTTTAAAATAATTAAATATTTTTTATACTTTTAACCGTTTTGAGCAAGTTTTTTTATCATATCTCACTCATCTATCTGAATGAAATATATTTTTTTCAAATAAAATAAAATAGTTTATTATTAAATTTATATTTAAAATAAATAAATTATTTAAAATATTTAATAATCTGTAAATAATTTTTTGATAAATTTTAACTATTATATGTTCCAAATAACTATTTTATTTACTCACTTATTTAATTATTTTTACAGACACCTGTTAATTAGTAATTGGTTTTTATTTATTTTAATTTATATCATATGAGCTTCACAGAGAAAGATTAAATTCCATACACATTTTTACTTTAAATTTATCAGTCTTGTAAACAAATTTATAAACCTTTTGTCTTTTTACTAAAATTAACTTGAATACATACATAATTTTGTGTTTGAAGTTTATCATTGCAATTTATATATTAAATTTTTTATTTTTTAGGTATTTAAAAGGAAGACATTATTTTAATTTATTAAGCTAAAATTTGGGGATAATATTTTTAAAAATTAGTAAAGAGAAACTCTGCTTTTATTAATATTTTATATTGTTAACATAGGAAAAGCTATTATGAATAATTTTAAAATTCTAACTTTTTTGTGATAATTAATTGCTCTTTAAAATTCTTTCTAAATTTAAGAATTATTCAAAGTTAAATTTATTGGAATTTATTAGATAAAATCTAATTAGTTAAAGTAAAGAAGTAAAAATTTATTAATTTATTTATAAACCTATAATTAATTATCTATCTAGGGATTATTGATGAATTAAATATTTTATATAAAAATATTGTTAGAAGTCAATCATTTTTACAAGCCATACTTTGTTTACTAAAAATGATATCAAATAAATAAATTTGAAATGTTTATATTACTATTAATTTGTTGTGTTAAGTAAGATATTTATTAATTTATTGATATTATTATTAAATAGTAGTAAATATTAAATTATTTGCATTCATTTAATTAATAAACAACATAGAGGAATCAATTTCAAAACATTTAATAATTAGTTAGTTAGATAGATAGATAGATTTATAAATAGCTTTTTTATTGGCTAGATTGTTTCAAAAATAATATATAGAATTTACACAATGTTCTCATAAAAGACTTTTGTTACTTTGCAAATGGTTTAGTAAGCTCTATTTGGCTCAAGAAACCCAGATGAGCTTAATCCAATCTTTTTTGATAATCTATAAGGTATGCAGATTAAAATAAATAAATAAATAAATAAATAAATGATTGATTTTTTTAAGATTTAACATAATTTTAGAGTTAGTTCTAGCTTAAAATTTAGTGCAATTTATTAATGGATATTATAAAAAGAAACAAGTGATAAGCAGAAGAAGAGATCATCAGTCTAAGAGTTCTTTTAGGCATTTGGGTTACTTAAAGAGAGTTAGATTGGTGATTTAATTAGCTAAACTAGATCATCTGAAGAAGAATAAACGATTGAATAGATTTTATAGGATGAAGAGCTGGATTATTACTTAGATTAAAGTTTAGGTGAAGAAGATTTTGTTCATAAGGAATTTAAGAAATTTGATATTAGAGTTGGGCATTATGAATCGAATTAGGAATTAAAAAAGTTAGAAAAGATAAATAGAATTATTGAAAAAAGATTAAATAATAATTGCATCAAGCACTACGGAAATATTGCCAAAGGATTAAAAAATATAGAGTCGTTAGGCGATGATAATCTAGTTAGTTTAGCGAAGATTCAAGTCATAAGAAATATTTTGTAGTCGGCTAAAAATTAAGTAACATCAAATTCAATTAAGGTGATTAGACTGAAGAAGTAATCAACAAATGCAAAAGTAAAAAATTAATAATTTAATATTTTATTATTTAAGGTTTACTATTCAACTTTTGCTTACATTTACTTCTAATAGAAATACTTTATTGTTTTAAACGAATTCGACTTGATATTCTATCTATTATTTTATTTTTTAAATAAATAAATACATGAATAAATGAATGAGTGAATCATTCAATTTACTTAATAAAAATAGAATTTTGATATTCCATACAGCCAGTTTGTTTGTTTCTTTCTTAAATGTTTTGCTACAATTTTTAATTTAATTTAAAATTAATCTTTTAAATGATAATTTGAGTAATTTATTTATTATATCAAAAAGTGCATTTTATAAAAGCTTTTGGATATCTAAAGTTTGGTAGGACAGAGATTTAATTAGATTTCGCAAATAGTTGTCAAGAAGGATGAGTTTTAGTTTTTAAAGTGCGACTAAGTTTATAAAAATTTAATTGAAATAAAAGATTTGGTTAGTAAATATCGAGATGATTAATTTAAGGAAATTAAGGCATTTAAGAATATCGAGTCTATGGTTTAGCAAAAACAAAAAATATTGGCTGAAATAGTTATTAAAAATTGGATTTTAATCCATAAACAATATGACGAACAGCATCTGTACAACAATCTTCTTTCTTAGTTTATTTTAGAGTAAAAAAAAGAAATTGTATTACTTGAAACTCTAAAGTCTAATATTCTCATTTAGATATCAGACGAAATCATTCAAGAGGCAGTCTAAAAATTCGTTTTGCTAGAAAACTACGATGAAGAAAATATCATTTTTGTTTTGAATTACATTCCTAAGGAAAACTTTTTACCATTTCTGGAAGAAATATTCTCAAAGTTTACAAAGCTTATGGTTAACTATCACTATATCAGCAGGTGGTTTGTAAAAAACGACTCTAATGAGAGCAATCTTATTCTCTCAACTGACTGGTCGCAAAAATTGTACGATGATCCTAGTGTTTCTCCAGAGCAGCAAGTTGATATATTTTTAGATTACGTACAAAAAAACAAAATAATTTATTTATAAGACAGAAAGATGCTTTGGTAAACAATAGAACATAAAGTTAGGCAGATTATAAACAACACTTATTAAATTAATTCTTTTTCTGAAACTGAGCTCATAACCTTCTTGAAACTAATTAGTGATTTTATAGGAACTGGTATATAGTATTCAAACTCAGAGTCTGAGAAGTAAACCACTTTTATTTTTACTAATTTTTTTCTAAAATTTTGATTATATTTTAAATAATTTTTAAAAAATTTTGTTAGAATTTTGATTTAATTTTAAATAATTATTATTAAATAAAGCATAAGGCAATGCGTCAACTTGAAGATTGTTAGCTATTACTAATACTTTATTATTAATTTTTAAAAAACTATCTAAAAATGTCTAAGTGAAGAAAAGTGGGAATAAGTTTAGCAATTAAATTATAATTAAATTTTAAGTGATTTAAATTCAATAATCAATTCACCTTTACAAAGAGAGTTCATTAATTCTATTTAATATATTCTTCCTGAACTTAAAGTAGAAAATATTGAGTCTTATTCTCCTATAAATAATGCTAGATATATTTAATAAAGTACTCCTAATATTAGAAAATCCTCTTTAACTCACATTGATTCTAATAACCCAGAATCTTCTGACACTCCTCATTTATTAAGCTCACCTGAGATCTAAAATAAAAATAAAGAACTTAATTCTTCTGAATTCGCTGTAATTTAAAAAACTGAGCTTAAGTTATAAAAGGTAAATATAAAATAACTTGTTATTTTTTATTAGCTTTAAATTTAAGCATTTAAGTTTTTATTATTAATTTAAATTTTTCATTATTTAGCTTTGAAAAATGATTAATAAATATAATAAAGAGTTCTTAAAATAAAAATTGATGAAGAAATCATCAATTCAAATCAATTAAAATATTAAAAATTATTTTTCAATATTAATTATTATTTTTAGTTAAAAAGTTTTTTTAATTATAAATAAAAATAAATCAACCCTTCAAAATATCAACATAAATAATTACCACCTCTAAATTAAATAAATTCACTATTTTTTAATAGATTTATGTAAATTCTTATAGAGGAGGGAATCTAATTTTCCATAATTTAGATTTTTAAAATATAAATTAAAATAGAAATTAATCTTTATTTAATATTTAATTCTATTTATTTCAAGGATATATATATCTAAATTTTCTACTATTTCAATTTCATTTTGAGTTTAAATATTTTCTTAGAGTAATTCTAAATTAATTTATCTTTTAATTTGAGTTTTATTGATTTATCTCTCAAAAAAACCTTTGATAAAGTTAATTATCAAATAATTTTACAATTTTAAACTTAATTTATTAATTTTAAAAAGTGTCTTAGTGAATCAGCTCAGAATACACCTATGAGAGATAGTTTAACTAAGAAAGATAACATAACTACTTTAGACGATTAGTTTATAAACTAAATAAAGTTTTAGTCATAGAGCACAATAAGAATGACTTAAGGTATAATGAACTGCTTGAGATTGATTAAAATACTGTGGCCTGTGTAACTTCAAATTTATGAAGCAATGAAAGAAATTATTGACTATTATGTAATTTGATTAAAATTTTTTAATTAATTTCATCTTTTATTTTTAAAAAAAGATTTATAGCTTGTTTTATCTTCTGTGCAATAAATCTTTCAAAGAAAAGTTTATAAGGAAGTTCAAGCTTGAGCATATGAATGCTAATAATGAAAGTCTTATCGAAACTCATGAAAATAATATGGATTTTATTATGGAATAATACTTAATTTAAAAAAAATATTAGAAATCTAGAGATTTTATTATTCAATAGTACAGCAAATTTGGAGATAACACAATTGTCATTCCCTAGAACTATTAAAACATAGATCCTAACCAAAAAATTTTAGATGATTAAAATCAAAAAAGATCTTTTTCATTATTCGAAGGATTAGATTTTTAGCTCCCAGAAATTAGCTAAGGAGAAGCATATAACAATCTATTAAGCTCAAGAATAATTTCTAACTAATCTTTTTTATCACTTATTTCCTTACTAGAAAAAATAAAACCATTTCTAAAAGTAATTTTTCAAAATTATTTTAATTAAATTTTAGTTTGTTAATAACAATAAATGTTTCTTAGATGTTAATCATTTATTAATTATGTAACAAAGAAATTAAGATTTTATCAAATTTTTTAATATTATTAAAGATTTACTTAAAGAAAAATGCTGATTTAATAGAGGAACATTTTTAAATTTATGAATAAATAAAATTTGAATTTGTAGAAGCATGTTACCAGAGTTTCATACCTAACTACACTTTAAGCTAGTTAAATATGGAAAATATATTAAATAATGTAAAATGGGATGTCAAAGAACTTTCAAAAGATATTAAGCCAAATGCATATGTTGCTAACTTTAAAGTTTTCTTATAAAAAAATTATGAATGTATAAATAAAACATTTTAAGAAGATCAACTAGAGAAAAAATAAGCCCTTTATAAAATTTTAGTTTATTACTTTTTCTAGTCGGTGATTGAAATCTATTCAAAGATAAAATAAGTAAGTTAAATTCACTAATTTTATTCAAATTATTTTATTCATTTTTGCTTGTGAACATAGATAACTACATAATCGAGAGGTTAACTTTTGGTTGACATCAAATAAATTTTGTTAGAAACAGAAGAACTTTTGGTCTGGGATACAAAGCAATATAAGTAGTATCTAGAAAATTATTTAGAGTTGTTGCAGTTTTGCAACTCTGATGACATACATACATTTATAGTTAAATATAGGGTAAATTAGATATTTTTGGTAAAATTTATATTTATTTACTTATAATGTTTTAATAAAGGAAAGATATCCTTACAGGTGTCTTAAAAGCTTGTTTATTTTATCTGAAGCAGGAGTAACTTCTAGTAAAAAAAAGAAATTAGAAAATCAAATGTAAATGCTTAAAAATTATTAATTGTTCTTAAGAGATATAAAGTGATTGATTGATTATGATCTATCTTATAAAACAATTATCATGAATAAGTATAATTTATATATACTAACTACTATATTAAAAATATCTATATGTCTGTATATACATATATACTAATGCATATGTATTAAATTGCAATCAATTTTAATTATTTCTTAGTTAATTAAATACATTAATTATAAATTAAAAAATTAATTTAGAGAAACAAACAAAGTAACATCATTCATTCATTTTATATTATATTTATTAGAAATTTATTTATTTAAACAATCAACAAATTTTGATTATTAATTTTGTTTGAGTTAAATTTTATGACATTTATTTTTTTAAACAATCTACAAGTTTGTTTTGATTATTAATTTTGTTTGAGTTAAATTTTATGACTTAAGAATATTAAATTCTATCTTCATAATTTATTTTGAAGTTAATGACTTTTCTATATTATTGATAAAATTTTTAATTTAGAAGCAAATATTACAATTTAAAAATAAAAATATGACATTATATGTTGAAATTTAATAAATTTAGAGTCTTATTTGTTGTTTTTTTAGTTAATAATGTTAAGAATTTTGCAGTTGAAACAAGAATATTAGTTGATTGGAAATAGAAATTTAGATTTTAGTTACCTATTTTTATAAATTCTGAATAAATATTAACTAACTAAAAGGAGATTTATCTTAATTAATAAAACTAGTTTTTTTAAAAAAAAAAGAGTTTCGTTCATTTATTAATATATAAATACATTAAAGTATTTCTTTCTTTGTTTGTTAAAATGGATAGTAGCTCTCAAACTCTCAATAAAATAAATTTAAATCTTAATATTTAGAGCAGTTAGAACATTCAAACAAAAGAAGTTGATGAGTTGGTTATTAAAATTCTTACCTATCGCAACAAAACGAATGGTAGAGTTTATGACACTATTAATTAAGATTATCTTCTAAATCTCCTTGATAAAACTAAGATTATTGAAATTGAAAAGAGCTTCCCGACAAAAGGATTGGATATCATTGATTTTGTGAGGTTATTTTTAAATAATATTCCTCATAGAGAAGATGAAACACTTTATTTAGCAATATCTTTAATTGATTTGTTCAAGCGTATTTCAGAAAATCTTAACCTATCTTCCACAATTTAAATGAAACACATTACCTCAGTTATTTGTGATGTATATTAATTATACTTGAAATAGTTTTATTTATGATAAAATTAGAAGAATACCTAAGAAAGTATTAAAATATTATATTACAAATAGAGAATGCAAGAAAAAAATAGCGCTCAGTATAAAATATAGACTGTTTTAATGCCTGAGCCTTAGAAATTTAGATTAGATGCATCAACAATCAGATCTATTGATATCGACCCACCACCAATATATGGGAGATATGATGATGATTTGTAAAGATTGGTCAAATAAAAAATTAAAACAGATTCAATGCATCATTTAAATCATCGCATAAAAACGTAATTATGGATTTTAGTTTATATATTCAATTAGAAATTAATAACAAATGCTTTTAATAATCAATTAAATTACCTACTTACTTAATAACTAATTCATGTAAAATAAAACTTTTAATTTTTTTAAAGTTACAAAAACAATTTATAAACAAGAGTAAGTAAGTAAATAAGTAAGCTTGATAGATAGATAGATTGATAAAGAAATAAATAGCTAAAAAAATTAGCAAGTTTCAATCAATAAAAATAATTTGATCATTTTTAATTTGATTCTGGAATTACTAAAAATTTGCAAATTAAAAGCAGTAAATAAATAAATAAATATGTTTTATTATTTAAATTAAAATAAATGCACATACATAATCCAATTTTTTGATCAAAAAAATACATATATGTTTATAAATAAATTCTATAAAAAAGTGGTGTGTATGCTAAAGATATAAAAAGGATTATAAGTTTGGATTCTCTTTCAGATAGAATTAATATGTATAGCATAGATTGTGAACTTAAGTAGTTCATAAGACCAAAGAGCAATTAGCCCCAAGAAAAAATATCAAGTGATATTATTATATTTAGTTTTGCATGGAGTGAGCGATAGGAGCGTGTAAATTTATTTTCTATTAAAATTATGAATTATTCAAAAGAAAGAAAGATAAATACTTATTGATGTATTTATTTATTATTTGATTATTTTAGATTTTTATGATAATAATCTTATAAATTTACAATTGCTCATGATTATATTTTTATTTTTTAAATTGAAGGTATTTAAATTATTAAAAATAAAATTATTGTTATATTTTTTTTTAATCTTAACTTTTTTTATTAAATAATAATATTTTCTTTCAAAAATTTTAGTTCCCTATTTATTAATTAAAATAATAAATGAATAAATAAATATATTTTTTGGATTAATTTTTATCAACTTCTCAATAGTTAAATAAATTAATTTAAATATAAAGCTAGGTGCAACTTTAAAAGATTTTTCTTTATGCTTCTGGGATAGAAGTGATAACTTTAAGTACGAGAAATAAATTTCTATATAGAGCTTCATGAGTGATTATCAAACAAATATTTGGTATTTAGAGTTTCCTAATTGTTGGGTAACTACAGATGCAAAAAATTAGCTATATGAGTGGGATTTAGAAAAGGAGATAGTAAAGAGAACTTTAAGCTCACCAAAAATTAAACATACTATTTTTGAAGTAATAGAAATACCTGAGTTAAAGCTAGTTGCTGTAGGTTCTTCTGATAGATTAATCACTATTTGGGATTTTAATAAAGGTTCGATGGTATAATGTATAGAATTTTTTAAAGCAGGAATCCACTCAGTTGTTTATTTTAAAAGTTACCAAGTGCTTGTTTGTGGTGGTTTTTAGAACAATATTTCCCTGCATTAGATTGATCCAAAATATTTGGATGTGAACAATAAGGGACTTTTAATTGGACATCAAAGTATGATTACAGCAATAGATTGTGTAGAAAAAACTCCAATGATTATAAGCTCTGATGATTCAGGAACGATTAAAATATGGGACATAAGAACTTTGAAATGCATCCAAACAGTTGATTGTGGTCAGAGAACAGTCATAACTAAAATAATTAATTTATATCCCAAAGGCAGGCTTTGTTTTTTAGGAACTAGGATAAATGTTATTGATTTCGATGAAGCAGACCTTATAATTAAAAAAACTAACAACTAAGATGATACCTTCCCTATCAAAGTAGAGAATAATTCTAACGATCTCATCGTTGTAACAAGAAAAGACATAAGGTATCTAACTAACTAACTTTTAAGAGAAATAGCAATAGAAAAAAATATTTTTTTTTGAAATAGATTTGTAGATATAGACACAGGAAAAATAAAATAAATTTTTGTAGGATTGTTAAATGATGCCGAGGATGAAATAACAGCGTTTAAATAAATAGAGCAAGGAAGTAAATTTATATTAGGTAATTTATTTATTATCATTTATTGAAAAAAAACGATTATTGATTAATATTTTATTATTCATTTAAAAAATTAAATTAAGGCAATCACAGAGGAGAGATTTCGTTGCATAGTATTTAAAATGGTGAACTGATAAACAAACTACATTCACATTAGAATGAAGTGACAAGTATTAGAATTGATTATTTAAACAAGCTGCTAATATCTGCAGGATGGGATTCTAACATTAAAATTTAGTATTTAACTGATAGTGGCAGTGACATAAAAAGAGAAATTATCAACTGTTTTTACAATAAAGAAGTAACCATTGTAGAGGTTTCAGTCTATCACAATCTATTATTTGCTGCTTCTAACTCAGAATTTATTTACGTATTTGATTATGAATTTGCCAAACTCCTTTACTGCATAGAATTAGAAAACAAAGTAATTCATTAATTTATTTATATTTCATATTTAATAACTTGAATTATTTAAAGGTCGAAGTATAAGCCATGTCTGTTGTAAATGGATTTAGTTTATTACTGATTTCTGCAAATAATGGTTTTATTTATATCATCAATTTTTCCAAGAAAGAATATTTATTTACTGCTAGGCTAATTGGATACATAGATATTCCTTAACTTATTAAATATCACCAATCAGAAGAAAAAGAGGACTTAATTCCGAACTTGGCTCATAATCCACAAATTCAAATTAATTCTTAAGATTCTTTATAGATTCCAATATCTCAATTTGTTTTTTAATCTCAGACTACAAAAAATTTGGCATCTCCTAATTTAGCCTTACGAATATAAAAGACCAACATTGATTAATACAACTACATAAACTCTCCTTTAACACAATCACCTTCATAGTAAATATATATATGTTTTTATTATACTCAAGATATTTACTTATTGTTTAAATAGATTTTAGAATACAAATGCTTAGAATATATTTACTTCGACAACTCAAAAGATTATAGCAGCTAATAGATTTATTCTACCTTAAATAAGCTCTGTTTAGCATTAATCAACTTTAGGATACGTAGATAAAAATTAAAATAGCCCTTAAAGGTTAAGTTGTCAATATTAAGATGAATAATAATTATTACAACAACAGCAATAGTAATAATAAACAATTTAATAATTATAACAGCCAGAAGTACCTAATGAAACATAAAATAGCGAAATTGAATAAAATGACTAAAGCAAGAAAGTAATTTTCGTGAATAAAATTCTTCTTGACACATAAATAAATGAAGAATAAGTTAATTAAATGGAAAAAAATAATTAAGATCAAGTAATAATAGATAATAACAATAGAAATATATCTTCAGCTAATAGCAATAGAAGTTAGGAATAAGTCAAACTAACAAAATTTATATTATATTGCTCTCTTAATAAAGGAGATCTTTTAGGAATAGACTTACTTCCTTTTTGCAAATAGTTTGACAATATAACTTACACTGAGCACTGTAATTAGAGAATAAACTACAATGCTTTTAGAGGAAACACTGAGAATTTCCTAAAAGTAAATTTGCTAAATTTTTTTTAATTTAAATTTTCTCATAAAAATTTAATTTTTTAAAGAATTATTTTTATTATTCAGTTTTTTCAATAATTTGTTCAATTTGTAATCTGTTTTTTCAATAATTTTTTCAATTTGTGATTTGTAAATTTTTTATTTAATAAAATTTTTGATTAGTTTTTAAAATATTTTGTTTAATTCAATTTATTCTTTAAAATTTTTGGAGGAGCTTTATTTATTTGATTATTTCTTTACAATTTAAGTAAATTAAAATATTTTTATATATTAAAAATTAAAAGAGCATTGAGTAGATTAAAAATGAAAAAATGTCTTAATAAGGTTAGCTTAAAGTAAACTCAGAAGGAAGAAAATGCTCTGAAAAATAGTTAAATCAATCAATTTATAAGAATATAATATTTTACAAATAAGGAGCTCACAAAGATATTTTAACTTCATTGAAAATGATTAATCTAAAAGAACCTTAACTACTGACAAGCAGTATGGATTGCTTCATAAAGGTTTGGAATAAAGATACAGGAGATTTAAAAGCGAGCCTTAATATTAATCATCCACTTCCTTTAATGTGGAATATAGAAAAAGATATTATTTAGGATGGAAAAAAGAAGATTGTTTTTGCATTAAAAATTTTAGACGTTATTTACAAGAAATATGGAAAAGAACTCTCTTTCTAGGAATAAAGAAAAGTTAAAGTAACAGATTTCCTAGCAAATATTTTATCATCTTAAATAGATTCAGAAATATTTACTCAAAACTGTACAGAAAAAAAAGAATAACTCTATGAAAAGCTCCGCAAAATTCCTATTACAGAATGGATATCTAAGCTTGTAGATCCCAAAGAGTATAAAGGAGAAATCATTTTAATGAAAGACTAATATTCTCCTAGGGACCTTAAGTATGAAAAAAGCAAATAATTCTTCTAAACAGAATTAACAGGTCCAAGTCTGAAAAGAATGGAGGCTAACAAAAGAGTTGCTATGGCTACAAAAGCTTGGAAGCAAGAAAATGAGTCTAAGGAGGCTGAACTGGAAAACTAGTTAAGAAACGAAAACAACTTTTTGAAAAACTATAAATATGAAGAGAGGGAAGAAATTGTTCAATTTCTAGAAGCTAACTATCGAGATAAATTAATTAACAACGAATTTTCTAAAATCTTAGAAGAGTTCTCAAAACCTACTTAAGATTTCTAAAAGAAATTAGATCTTCATCTTTTTTAAAAAAAGTAAGTAATTCAATTTTTTTGCATACAATTTTATTCACTCATTCAATTTTGATTAAATAAATTCAGTAAAAACTAAATAAATAAATAAATAAATAAATAAATAAATAAATAAATAAATAAATAAATAAATAAATAAATAAATGAATGAATGATAAATATTATGAAATTTTTTGTACTCATTAAAATTTAAAAAATTTTTAAAGATGCAACAATAAATAGTTCATTTATTTTTAGTTGAAAAATTAATAAATCAGAAATTACGTCAGTTAGAAATTGATAGTAAAAAATTTAGAAATTATTAAGAAATGAAAATAACAATTTATTAGCAAAAACTATTAAAATTACTTACATGATAATTTCAAAACTAATAATTGGGATTTAGCTTATTTATCCTGATTAAAGACTAAATATTTATAATTTTTTAAACTTTTTAGCTTATAATAAGCTTGTTTAACTTTATTTGATTGTTCTCAATCCCTCAATCAGGATTTTTTTAAAAATATTTTTTTAAAATTAAATTAAAATCTATAAATAAATTAATAAGTAGCTAATTTTAATAGTTTATCTACAATTATTTTATTATTAAAAAGCTTTAAAAGAAATAAATATTCTTCTTATCTTTATTTAACATTTTGTTTGTTTGTTTAGACATCTTTAATTTTGTAATTTAAGACATTTAATTTAATATGTTAAATCTTTATTTAACAGGACAAAGTAAATGATTTAGGCATAAATGAATTCATCAAACTAAAATTAATTTGAAGGAATTATTAAGAAAAGAAACACAAAAGCATTCATAAATCATAATGGATAACTCTAGTCTTAGACTAATTTATAATAGAACAATTAAAATTAACAAAGATTAAGCTATTAGAGTGATAAACAATCATTAACCTTCAACTAAGATGCTTAAGATAATAATGAATTACTAATGCCTGCTCTGATATCAAAGAGAAGATAATAAAGTCTTTAATAAGTTTAAAAAATTAAGTTAAAAGATTCGATAGATGAAACAGAATTTAAAAAAAAGAAATTAGAAAGCTAGAAAAAAAAATAAAAAGAAAAATAAATAGAAAAATCAATGAATTTTTATGAATATGCAAACCAGAAGCAGTTAATAAACCAAAAATTATCTTCTCCTTCATTATTTTAGAATAATTAGCATTTATCATTCATCAATAAACATTTAAATCAAAGCCAAAACACTAAAATTTATTAAAATTAAATACTTGATAGCACAATTGACAATTAATCAACTGTTTTACAAGCAAACACAAGTTAAATCTAGAATGAATTTACAGTAATGCAAGAAAATAGTTAAGTAAACGACATTCATTAGAGCTCATAAATAAACATCCCTTCTGCTATGATAAAAAACAATTCTACAACAATTGGAAACAATTCAACAGTTCTAAATATGAGCTAAGAAGAAGTAAGTCAGATCAATGAAAAAGGATTCAAGGAGGGTATTCATAAAATGAATAAACTTTCTTAGGTTCTGAGAAATATGGACTCAAGGATAAAGAGAGCCTAATAACACTTTAATGATGACTCAATTATATCTGCATTCCTTTAAAAAAGAAATGAAATAAATTAATAACTAGACTAGAATGAGCTTTCTATTAATTCATAATAGAAAGATAAAGACTCTAAATTGCTTAGAGCCAGTATGAACTCTTCTTCAATTCTACCATAAATAAAAATAACCGATTAAAGTCACATTAATAACAACACTAGCTAGCTAACTGATAATAACTCTATGATGCTAAAAGACATAGTCAAAGAGTTTGATAGCAAAGGAAAGAATTAATTTTAATCGATATCAACTAAAAATAAACACTAAAAATCTTCATAAATATTAACAAAAAATGGGTTAGATGTTCTTAAAAAATTAATTTATGACGTACCTTCCAACGATAAAAAAGTTCATTACATGAATAATAACTTAAAAGGAAATATAAGCAAGCGCTCAAATTTAAACCAATCGACTCCAAATCTGTTTACTTACCAAATAAATTCTTAAAAAAAAATAAATTATCTACCAGTTAATAATTAAAGCTCTTCTTCATTTTTGCACAATCCAAATGAAAGTGATGAATTATTATTGAAAATTTAAGATTCTTTGAATCAACAGCCAATTGTTGCATAAAAACTCTTGCAATATAAAAAAACTCTTAACAGCAATATATAAAATGCTTTTAATTTATATTAAAGAATAGAAGATTCCCTTGCAAGTGTTACCCCTGTTAATATTAACTAGCAAAAAGATAAATGAAATCATTTTATAACATTTTTATCAAAAAATTAAATAATATTTATGTCTGTCTGTTTGCAAGTTCATTTATTTTTTATAACATGTTTAATTTTTATTGATTTATCTGCCAGCAAATAATGTTTTAATATTAGTCTGAATAAAATTTTTATTTTTTTCTTAAGAAACGACAAAAAATTGTTTCTAAATGTTTGTTAAGTTTTACTAAAATATTAGTGAAGGTTTAATTAATTTTATCTAACTAAAAAACGAATATTCAGTCAATATTTTTTTCTTGAGAAAATATTAGAAATTAATTAAAAATAAATAATTTGCCCTCCCAATTTTGAAATTTTCACTTAAAAAATTCAGAAAAAAATACTAAATTTACAGATAAATTATCTTCAATATTTTCAAAGAAACCAATTTTCTATGGGATGCTTGAATTTAGATAAAGCTTTAGATAATTAACTATTTTTTCAAAAAACAAATCAAAATTACCCATTCATATTATAAAAAAGAGACTAATTTACTGTTATTCAAAATTAAATAGTAGAAACATTAAATAAAATGAATTAATTTCTATCAATCTTTATTTTCTATCTTTCTATAATTTTGATTCTCATCAAAATAAATAAATAAATTTTGTAAATTAACACCTAAATCTGGCTTTTAGAAATAGTTTATCTTCATTATTTTAATTATTAGTTGTAACTTTGACGTTTAACTTTAATATACAGCAAAATATTTATTAATGTGTAAAAAATTATGAAAAAGCCTACACCTTAGAATGAATATTAGTAGGAATTTGTTTTATAAACTACTATTCCTATTATCAAAAAGGCTATCATTGACATTAAGTCTTTAAAACTTCTAGCCAGTCCATAAGCCTTTCCAGTTGATTATTTTTTTACAAATTTTCCTAACAGAGGAAACATCGCTACAACTCTCATATTATAACCCAGACCAATAATCACTGTTCCAAGAATAGGATCGTATTAGGTTAAAATAAATTGTCCAAACAAAGATGCAAAGCTGGAAAATAAAAGCCACTCGTGACCTTTTTAAAGCCAATCATAACCCATTCCCATTAACCAGTTAAAAAAGCCATAGAATGTGCATATAGATGATATTCTTGTAGAATCTAAAGTATTTATCTACCAATAAGATGAAAGGTAAGCAGGTAACAAGGCGTCTATAACATTGGTTACTAGTAAACTAGATGCGATGATAAATCCATAAAGCCAAAATTCTACTTTAAATGACTTAATCTACTCCCATTATGATTCTTCAGATGATTCAGGCTATTATTAAGCTAAATTCTAATTTGAGTGGGTTTAAGATTCTGTATTTGATAAAAACTGCTATTGTTATTATTTTTCCTTTTCTTCAATATGATAAGTCATAAAAGAAGCAAATAAAGAAAAGCAAGTTAACGCAAATGTAAATAATAGTGCATATTCTAATCCATACTTATTTGCCAAGGCTGGCTACAGAATAAGGACTACACATTTAGCAATTAAAACTGAAGAAGAGTGCACACCAAATAAAAATCCTTTTTCTTTTTCAGCTACGTATTAGTTAAGAAACGATTTAGAAGATGTTTGAATTGTTTACATCGATAAAAAGACCAGCATTCTACCAATAAAAAAGAACCAGTAAATGTTAAAATAATAAGAGGCATATATCATGAACTATCCAAAAACAATAACAGATGCTTAAACTATCATAACTATTGAATTTGAATATAAATCGCAGAGAAGCCCAATAAAAAATGAGAGGAATATTAAGACAAACAAAGAAAGAGATTAAGCTAAGTTGAAATAAAACTCAAACTACTCAGCATAATCTTTTGCAAAAAACTCTTTCCAATAGTCATGTAGAGAAGGTGCTTCGGACATAGCATAAATACTTCCAAGTGTAGCTAGGCAAATCCATATTGCCATCGGATAGTTAGTTTAAAGCTCTTGACTATCAGCATTATTAGCTTTTGCTCCTTTTTATTAAATCATAATCTTGAATAAATTTTTGAATTCTAATATTATTGTTTTTGAATATCAATTAATTAATTATCACTCTCAACTAAATCATAATTATTTTAACAATTTATAACCAAACTGTTATCGAATTATGCAAATAACTAAAAACTAATTAATAACAAACAAGCAAATTAACTTTTTTTCAAAAAAACCAAAAAAATTGTGACAAATAAAAAAAAACATAGATTTATTAGATATAAACAGATGCTGTTTATTAATCTAAAAATTTTTAATCAACGAAATGCAGTAAAATTTTTGACTGTTCTTTATTTAACATTAAGGCAAAAAGTCTTTTTGAAAATTTAATTAATTTTTCAAAAACAAATAAAAAAAATAAACTAAATTTTGAAAAAACTTACTCTGTCATTTATAGTAAATTTTTGATTATATAGAGTAGAATAATTTATTTTTTAAGCTAACATATTTAATTTATTTAGCTTTATATATATCAACATCATTTATAGTTTTTTTAAATATCAAAAAAAAATAATTAATATATTTTTTAAACTAAATGACTATATGCTTATTTATTTTAATAAGTGTTTGATAATAAAAGAAATTTAATTATTTATTTTTAGTTTTTTAGTAGAAAATCTTTCTCATTCATTTTTAAAAGAATTGTTAATAAATTATTAAATTCAAATAATAGATCATATAAAAATAAATTAAGTAAGTATTTAATTAAGCACAAAATATGTTTCTTACTAATTTATACATTTTTTTATCTCATAATTAAATCTTTCTGATCAAATTTTTTTGTCTAAAATAAATCAGAAATAAATGAGGAAATAACAACATAATGAAAATTATAAATGGCAATTAAATATACTAAATTTAGTAATGCTTTTAACATTTAAATTTACATTAAATAAATAAATATCTTTTTAGGAATAACTTAAATTCATTCTTTAAATGATCCTATTTATTTTGATAAACTCATGATAAAAAAAATTGAAATTTCAAATATCAGATTTTAATTAATAAAAATAATTGTCTATTTACAAAAACAAATAATTTTTATGTATGTATTTAAAAGTATAAATATATAATTAGTAATGTAGAGTAATATTTTAATTTTTATTTAGGTTAATCTTAGTTGGAATGATATTTATTATTATTTAGTATTTTTTATTATTATTATTATTATTCAAATATTATTTATTTATTTAAATAATTTTCAAAGCTTTTGAAGAATTTGTAAAGGTTGTTTACTTTTAATGTAAAGGAATATGTTAATTAATGTGTAAAAAGCAATGTAAAATCCTACTCCTTAAAAGGAACTATGATAAGAATTGCTAGCATTTACTAGTAATCCTATGATCAAAAATGCCATCATTGATATTAAGTCTTTAAAACTTCTAATTAAACCATATGCTTTACCAGTTGCCTCTTTTTTTACTAATTTTCCAAGAAGTGGAAACATGGCAACTACTCTCATATTGTATCCCAATCCCTCTATTACGGTTCCCAGAACAGGATCGTATTAAGTTAAGATAACTTACCCAACTAACGAGGCAACACTGGAAAATAGTAGCCATTCCTATCCCATTTGTAACCAATCATAACACATTCCCATAAGCCAGTTAATAAATCCATAGAATTACTATATGGAAGATATTCTTGTTGCATCTAAAGTATTAATTTTCCAATGGGAAGAAAGATAAGCAGGCAAAAGAGCGTCTAAAACATTTGTTACAAGTAGGCTAGATGCTATAATATATCCAAAGAGCCAATATTACATGCTGTAAGAGAGAATTTGCTACCATTAAGACATGAAAGTGTTCTATGTTTGTGTTTATACCAAATCCTAGTTTGAGTCAATTTAGCTTTCAGAGTCTAAGTCTGTTTATACTTCAGCTAAATTTGTTTTTTCTTTTTCTTCTAAATAGTAAGTCATGTAAGAAGCAAACAAGGAAAAGCAAGTCAAGCCAAATGTAAATAGCAATGCAACCTCCATTCCTAATTTGCTAGCTATATAAGGTTCTATTATCAGGACAACAAATTTTCCTACCAATACTGAAGAAGAGTGTATACCAAATAAGAATCCCTTTTCTTTATCAGCAACATGTTAATTTAGGAAGGACTTAGAAGATGTTTGAATAGTTTACATACCTAAGATAATGAGCATTCTACCAACAAAAAAGAACCAAAACTAGCTGAAATAGTAAGAACAATAAACTAAAAATTATCCTAAAACGATTATAAAACCTTGGACAATCATAATAATAGCATTAGAGTATAAATCGCAGAGTATGCCAACAGCGAAAGAAAGAAATACAAGGGAAAACAGCGAAATAGACTAGGATAAGTTAAAGTAAAACTCAAATCTCTCAGCATAATCATGAGCGTAGTATTCCTTCCAGTAGTCATGCAAAGAAGGAGCCTCTGTTTAAGCATAAATGCTGCCAAAAGTAGCCAAGCATATCCATATAGCCATAGGAAAGTTAGTCTTTTATTCTATTTGAGTGTTAAAATCTTGTTTGACTTTATTTTAATTCATCTAATTTGACTTTTATGTTTGTTTGTTTATTATTAGATTTATAGCTTATTTCTTTCTTTATTTATGAAATATTTTTTATAGTTTTTAATTGTTTTTTCACTTTACTAAATGCTATATTTATGTTGATAATTTTTTTAGCTTTTGTTTATTACTAATAACAATTATTTATTCTTTAATTTACAAATTTGGTTTTCAATTAAATTTCAGAAATCCAAAATTATAATTACAAATCTGATTCACAAATTCGATTTATTTATTAATTTACCAAATATCCTAAAAAGCCATAAAATCTTCAATTTCAATTAATCATTAATTTAAATTGTGGTTTTGGAGGGTAAAACAACATCCTCTCTTTCCTTATTTAAATTAAGTGAATAACTCTTTTTAAATCATCTTAAAGCTTTATTTTGTCTTTAGGTTAATCTAAGTAAAGATTAACAAAACAAATAAAATGTATTTAATATCAATATTAGATTTTTAAGATTAATTTTAACAAGAATATCTATATATATATCATATTTATTTAAAGATATTTTAAATATTTATTAATGCCTATTCTTCATATAAAGCTGATTAAAGGTTAAAATTATTCATAAATAATAAAATAATGAATGTGGTTATTTCTATTACATACAATATTTGCTTTTTATAAATTACAAATTTAATTTTCAATTTAATCCATAAATCCAAAATTGCAATTACAAATCTGATTCTTCGATTAAATTTATTTCTTGATCAAATATTGTTAAAAACCATAACTTCAATTTCAATAAATCATTAATTTAAATTGTGGTTTTTAGATAACATATAAAAATATCCACTTTTTCCCAAATCAAAATTAAGCGAATAACTCTATTTTAATCTTTTTTCAATTTTATTTTATTTTTAGGTAAAACTAAATAAAAATTATTTAAAATAAAGTGTATCTTTTATCAAAGCTAAATTTAAAATTTTGCTTAAATTTTATAGTTTGTTCGTCTATTTAAGCTAATTAATGGCTGAAATTATCTAAAAATATATTTTTTCTAAATAAGATAATGCTTTTATTTCTAATCATTATTTTTTCTTTTTTGATTTACTTTCTATTTAATCCACAAATCCAAAATTAAAATTACAAATCAGAATCATATTTATTCAATTAGTTTCTTCATCAAATATATTTAAATTCCATAACTTTATTTAAATAATTAATTAATTTAATTTATGGCTTTTAGGGTGTATTACAAAATCCTCTTTATTCCTATCTTAAATCAAGTGAACACTTTTTTAATTCTCTTTAAGCCATTTTTAAGTAAATCTAAGTAAAGATTATTTAAATTAATAAAATGCATTTTTTTATAAAATTTAAAGTCAATTCTAGCTCAAGTACATTAAAGCATCTTTATTTATAGATATATAAAACAATTAAGCATTCATTATAACTTATTCTTCTGATAAATCTATTAGAGATTAAATTGATCCAAAAATATATTTTTTATTTATAAATGTGTTTATTTGTTTATTTCTATTGTTTAAAGCAGCTACCTCTATTTTAAAGTTGTCTGTTAAAACATGAATTGAAAAATAAAATATTTAACTTTTGTTGTAAATATAAAAAGTATATATGTGTAGTATCTGTATTTTAAATCAAATTTAATTAATATTATTCTATCAATTTAAATAGATATTTATTCATTTGTCTTATTTTTATCATATAAAAGAAAATTTTTTTATTAATAAAGGAATTATTTGCTTCTTAAATTTACCTTTAATATAAGGAGAATCTAACTTCTTGTATTTAAGAAGAATTTAATTTCATATTTCTTTTATAATACTCCCAATACTAAGGCTAAAATATGTTAACTCTATAAACCATTAAAATTTCAAACAATTTATATTGTTTTTAAAGACAGACACATACATTCATCTTAAATAAATAGTTACATTAAAATATTTCATTTTAAATTCTTTAAATCAAAACAATGAGATGATATTTATTCAAATCAAAAATAAAATATATAATTTCGAAAAGGAATAAATTTATCAGAAAATCTATAATTAGCTTCATTGTGCATCATAGTTATTTGATTGGTATATTTAAATTTTTGATGTTATTTATTTAATTAAATAATAAATGAATAGAAATAAAAAATTTAAAAACATAAATTTGTTTTTATCTTTTTGATTTGAATGAATCGTAAACAAATATTTATAAAAGTGAACATAAATACTGTAAATCTTCATTTGTTTCCTCATTAATTAAAGCTTAAAAAAAAACTTATTCTATTTAACTAACTTAACTAAACCATATTAAAATTTTTTTAAAAATGGGCCTTTATATATGAACCTTTAACGTGTATAATAGTGCATCAAGAACAAATGTTTTTTTGGGTATCAATACTCATCTAAAAATTTTATTTAGCCTACTGTACAATTTCAATTTACTATATGAAATTAGCTCACATTTCTCAATAAGATTAATTTAATTTTAAACTTTTACATAGAAGGATAGTTATCAAAAAAATCAATATTGATATTGTTAAAGAACATAGAAAACAAAATATATTAATTGAAATTAAATATTAATTAAATAGCTAAAATTGGCATAGTCCCCACAGGTTGACAAAAATTTGATTAACTTTTAATTAAAATTATTAATAATAATAAAAATTTGTAATTGTAAAAAATGTTTTTTTATGTTTGTAAAAGAGAAAAATAATACAATAATAAAGATATCAAAATAATTCATTTTAGACTTAAAAATATATAAGTTTATGACAAAACAATCAAATATGAAACGAATATTAAAATTAATAAAGAATAATCAAGGGCATGCATGCAACGCAACTCATACTAATTAAAGTTACTGAGCTAGAATATTATATTTTTTAGTTTTTTTTTATTTATTATATTTAGTTTCTTTCAATTTAAAAAAAAATTGTTTTATTTTTGATTAAAATAAATTTTAATTTCATAATAAGCATTGAGATTGATAAGTTCTATTTTAGTTTTAAAGGAATTTTAAAAAGTTAATAAATTGGGAACGGTGATTTTATCATTTTAATTAATAATATTTGCAGAAAGAATATGCATACAAAATGTAAGTAAGTAAGTTAGTAAGTAAGTAAATTTATTTCTTATTTTCAAAAATGTTAGAATAAATAAAATAAATAAACTATTTAAATTAAATTTTAAAGAGCGTATTAGTTATTTAATTAATTAATAAAACCTTGAACTTGTTAGTTAATTATAAAGATATTTTTTTAATTATTATTCATTATTTTTAGAATTTTATCTTAGTGTAAAGAATTAAATTAATTATTGTATAGAAAGCTATAAAAACAACTACTCCCTGGAAAGAGGATTGATATGTGTGAGTTTCGTTAACAACTATCCCAATTATTAAAAAAGTAATCATAGACTATAAGTCTTTGAAACTTCTTATAAGACCAAAGGCTTTTCCAGTTGATTCCTTTTTAACAAATTTACCAAGAAGAGGGAGCATTGCTACTACTCTCATGTTGTAGCCCAAACCAACAATTACAGTGCCTATTATTGGATCATATTAAGTTAAAATGAACTATCCAATCAGTGATGCAAAGCTTGAAAATAGTAGCCACTCATGTCCTTTTTGGAGCCAATCATATCCCATTCCCATAAGCCAGTTAAAGAAACCATAAAGGGTGCATAGAGAAGATATTCTAGTTGCATCGATAGTATCTATTTTCCAGTAAGAAGATATATATGCCGGCAATAATGTATCTATAACGTTTGTTACCAATAGACTTGATGCTATTATAAAACCAAAAAGCCAATACTCAGTACTAAAAGACTTTACTTAATCCCATTATGATAGCTAAGATTCTTAAGATTACACCTAAGTAGGTTTTGAATCGTTTTCTTAAATAGATACTTTATCAAAAGTAATCTATTCCTACTATCTCATATTTAATTTTTCTTCTTTGTAATATAATATAAATGAAATAACCAAAGAAATACAAGTCAATCCAAAAGTTAGTAATAAAGCAGATTCTAGTCCGTACTTTTATACAATAGCAGGTTAAGCAATTAAAACAACGCACTTGCTGATTAAAATGCATGAAGAATTTATGCCAAATAGAAAAGCTTTCTCTTTTTCAGCAACATATTAATTTAAGTATGCTTTAGATGAAGTAGAGATAGTTTAAACCGCCAAATAAATCAGTATTCTCCCAACAAAAAAGAACCAAAAATAGTTCCAATAAAAAGATGCGTACATCAAAAACTAGCCTAAAACAACAAATATTGTTTAACCTATCAAAACCATTGAGTTAGAGTACAAATCGCAAAGTAGTCCTATAAAAAATGAAAGAAATATAAGTGCAATCATAGAAATCGAACTGGCTAAGTTGAAGTAAAATTCAAAGCTATCTCTATAATCTTTTTCAAAAAACTCCTTCCAGTAATCATGGAGAGTAGGTGACTCACACATTGCATAAAAACTTCCTATATTTGCTAAACAAATCCATACTGCCATTGGATAATTAGTGGGTTAATCATCTTTTTAATGATCTTTTACTTACTTTTAAATCATTTCTTATTTTGTTAATCTAATTAAAGTTTTCCTTTATTGACAAGAAATAGAATTTAAAAATTTGATGAAATATATGATATTGTTTGTTTTATTATTATTTAAATAAATTAATCATTTAATAAGTTAGCAAGTATTAGGGACTGATAAATTACATGGATAAAAATTTACTAAAAATTTATTCTTATTTGTTTACATGAAAAATATAGATGATATTCTTCATTGAACTTATAAAGTAATTATTTGATCAGTTTTTATAATTCAACTTCAAATATAAAAATTTATTTTTTTAATTTTCTTCAACTTCAAACTTTGCTTTTAATTTAGTAAAAATACTTTCTATAAATAAATAAGAAGTAATTTTGATAAATATTTATACTATCACTATTTATTTTTGATATTTTTCAAAAAGCTCATATCATGTTTTCTATCAAAATCAAAAATTTGTATTCTGATTTTAATTTTTTAAGTTTTTTTGAGAAAATGTTTTCTTCAATAATTTAACAAAATGCTTTCTTAAAATTTTAAAACTAACTATCTCGTATTAATTAATAAAACAAGATAAATTTCTAATTAGTTAATTTGAATTTTTAAAAAATAGCACTTTAGTAAAATAGAAATGACTTTCTTCTAAGAAAATAACCAAGTAAAAAACCAATTAAAAAAGTTTATTCTTCAAAGAAAAATAGAAGACAATTAAATATGTATTAATTAATTAATTAATTAATTAATTATAATTAACTCAAGTGCTTTTATATATATATATAGTACCCTATGGTACTGCCTTTTACAAGGCTTATTAATGACATTGTTTATTATTTATTCTGAGGAGGGGTTTACATATTTAAATTATCAAAAGATTGCAAAGATATTTTTGTTAATATTTAAATGGGAGATTTAAAAATTAATTAAGAATAATTTATACAATTTACATAAGATTCAAATATGAAATCAAAGAATTTGACGATTTTTATTTAAATAAAGTAAAAATTATAAAGAAAATTAAACAAATTCATTAATAAATTTAAGATTTAAATGGCATAAATGTTTTAAGGAAGAATGTATGTATATATGCGTCAATAAGTCAATATGTGCATAAAACGGAATGTTTTAAAATAATTGAAATTAAATGTATTAATTATTTAATAATTGAGATTAATCATGTTGTTTGTTTTCTTGAAATAAGCACTTTATTTTGTTGATTTATTATTTATTACAATTTTTTCCTTTCTTATTAGTCAATACTATTGGTTTTACGGAATCTGAGCTACTATTGGAGCCTTTTGGTTGTGGTAGTATATGGCAAAGAACATAAGCAGGTAGGATAAGTTGCAGAGATAGTAGTTAGCGTGTTACACAGATTAAAATAAGAAGAAGAATAAGAAAAGTGATAGCAAAATGAAAATTATTTATAAAGGGGTTCTTAGATTTCCAATCAGATTTTCTAATCTTGTCAAGATGAAAAACCAGCAAACCATTGTAAAGAATTCACTAGTGAATTCTTCTGTAAACATTAAATTTTTAAATAACTTGTGGCTGTTTTATAACTAGATTTACCCTGCTAACAAGTTATGGATGTTCAGAATAAAGTACAAAAACATTAAGTATGCAAATCCATGTAGTATATTGTTGCTATGTCCATAGTCTGTTTTATTACCTTACAGAACACCAAGCAGTATCCAAAAGACTGCAAAAAGGATAATCCATTTAAGGTAGTAATTTGTAAGAAAAATTAAAGGCATGAACAGGGTGATGGCGTTTAAAAAGAAGAAGTACTTACTCTAAGCAAATCTTTTAATCAGCTTGGATTGAGTTAGAATATATTTAATGAGAGAACATACTAAATAGCTAAAGAAGGAGAAGACTTAAAATACAAATTGTACCAGAATATAAGTAGATATAGTGATAAAAGTGATGATAAAAGATGTCAAAAATGAGCTAGCATAGTACTCTACTGATTACATATTGTAATTATTATAATTTTATTATTCTCTCATTTCATCATTGAACAGCCACTTTTGTAGGGATATAATTGAGAAAATAGTGAGTCCGTAGCACAAAACAAATTTAGTTAGGTTGCTACAGAGAATATTTATATGTGAAGGTGCATCTTGATAGCAAGATGGCTCGTAGTATTTAATTTAAATAGAGATTAACATGCAGCATAAGATCACATGCATATTCAAGATAATAACTTTACTAAACTTTCCTATGCTTCTGCTATATTCATTTAAGTTATTTTCCTAGCTAAGCATGACTTAACTTCCACTTCTTTATTACATATTGTTAGTATTTTAATACCATGCCCTTTGCTCATTTACAGATTTATCTTTTAAAAACATATTATATATATCATGACTCTTAGTATCGTGAACTAATATCAAATCTTTATTCTAAGTGTTAAGTATATTTACGTAATCACAATCATTCTCACCATAAGAAAAGCTAATATGCAATCTTGAATTCATATTCTGGTTTTTTAATATCAGAAGATTATAATCTATCTTATTCCACTTTTCAAACTAAGTGAGCTTAGACTATTAACTTGAAAACCAAGAAAAAAGCCCTCCCTAAGTCTATGAGCAATATTTATAGAAGTAAACATCATCAACTTCCTCTATTTTTGCTTTTAATATTTGTTAGTTGCTCTTCCATTCTATTTATTTTTAATATTAAAAAACATAAAAAAAAATTCCAACTTATTAATAAATTTATTTTTAAATAACATTTTTCTCAAAATTAAAAAACAGTTAAAAAATTAATTTAATTTAATTTGATAATTAATTAATTAATAATTGTTTGAAATAAAAATAATCAGAAAATAAATTAGCTTGCTTGAATAAACTTTGAAGAGAATAAATTTATTTTTATTTTCTAAAAAATGTAAATGAAATTATGTTAAAGATTGTTTTGTTTATAAATTGAATTTAGAGAAATTAATGATTGTTTGAAAATAAAAATAGTCTGAAAATAAATTAGCATGCTTGAATAAACTTTGAAGAGAATAAATTTATTTTAGTTTTCTAAAAAATGTAAATGAAATTGTGTTAAAGATTGATTATATAAATTGAAATTGAAGAATTTAATTTACCTTCTTTCTTAATTTTGTTGAATGGGAGTGTAATTTTCTCTGAGTCTTAGTAATTTTAAATAGAGAAGAATAGGTTTGTGTGCAAATATGTTACGTTATATAGTTGTTGGTATTCGTATTACAAATAAGTATCGTTTCTTATTGTATAAATTAAATACAATTCTTTATTTTTTGGGTAGTGAGAATGAAGGTAGACAGTTGAAAAAAAATAAGAGAAATCAGGAAATATTTCCTCCATTTCAAAATGTTCGTTTTTGTTGAATCTTATGATTCTTTCTTGATAGTGAGGATCTTGTCTTTCATTCTAGTTTGGCTCTATTCTGACATTTATCGTTTCGTCTTCCATAAACTCAAAGCCTGACTTCTTATTGTTCTATCTTAAAAAAAAGAAGGGTTTAGGCCTATAGGTGAATATTTTTATGTTTTAGCTTGGTAGGTTTGTCCTCATGTAGTATATAAGATTACTAGCCTTGATATTTTGAGTTAATATTTTAACACAAAGCAAATTTTCTTTGTTCAGGTATGATCTTGGGTCAGAAGATGGGTCTTCGGGTATTGATTGCTTTGGAAAATTCAACTTTCTACCAACTTGCAAAAGATCGAATGTTTGAGATTACTCGAATTTTGGCATAAATTGAGCGCATTCAGCATCCAAATGTTTTTTATTGAAAGAAAAATAATTTCTGTTGATCTAATCTTCATAATGAATGTCAAATTATTTAAAATAATGCTTTATCATATTTATATCCTTCTAAAACACATTATAGTATCTGTCCATAATAAAATACTTAGACAATAAACTTAAAAAAGGCGTGTATGTTAAGATATCATCATGATGAAGAGTTACAAAGACATCTCTAAGTTCTTGAGTGTTAAAATGTGCACTGTTCTTTAATTTGAGTTTAAGGTATGTTTCTTCTGGTATAACTTGGTTATCAGATGAACCTGAAGTGAAACTCAAAAAAGTAATATCCTGTAAAAGATTTTTAATTTCATTTAGTTGCTTATACATATTTTTGTATTTGTCAGAAAAAGCTGTATTTGAATTCAAAGGATGCTAAGTAAGTGGTGAATTTAAGAATATTACTTGTTATATTTTTACTACTAATTCTTCTTGCATTTAGCTTAAAACATTTAAACATACAAATCCACCCATTGAATGGCAAACCAAAATAAGCTTTTCACTTGTTTTACTTGTTATGTATTGAATCGCTCTTTAAACCGAAGCCTATTCTTTTTCAATCAGAGTAATACTGAATGCAGAAAGAGCATTTTTAAAATCCATAGCATAAAATTTAAATTACTTTAACTTATTTTTCTAATCTTTCTAAAAGTACCTGTTTAATAAATTAATTAATAAATTAATTATTTTATTTTAATTAAATTTCTTATAAAAAATGAGTAAATAAATAAATAATTAAATATTTTTATTTAAAAATTTTTTTAGTAATTAAATGCTGTAATTTCTGATAATTTTACTTCGATAAAAGTAATAAATAAATTTAAATTTTAATTAATACAATTCAAATTACAAAAAACGTTTTTTGATTTATTGGGGATTTAATTTAATGAGAAGCTAGTGTAAATAATACTTAATTTAAAAAGAATAAATTATATTCATAGCTTAATATTTTATAAATTTAAATACTTTTGCTGTTAGAGATTCTTTTCGTTTTCATATATGAGTAACTTTTGAAGTTGATGGTTTAAAGAGTTAATTTGTTGAGGATTACCCTTTCCGTGCCCATGAATATATAAAATAGGGATGTAGGTTTCTTCAAAGAAGAATTTATTTTTAATATAACATTGCTAAGATTCATTTTCTTAAAAATTTTGATATACTGTTTAAAACTGAGATTAATCTTCTTGTTTCAACTCATCGTTTTCCCTATTACTTTACTATAAATATTCTATATCTTAAGCTTAGTCAGATTTTTTTGTATTGTCTGTCTCTTAAGGTACTTTATAAAAAGTTCCTTTAAATTGCTTGCTTGATTCTTAGCTGTTTTTGTTTGAGTTTCTGTCTTTTAAATACTAACAATTCTCGCAATCTGCTGCATTACCAGATTCTAATAATAAATTGCAATAAAATTAACTGATAGGTTAATTTAAATAACTAGCTATATCTTTATCTTCGTAAGAAAATAACTTAAAGGGATAGTCTTAATAAAGAGATTAAGGAAATATTTAAGTTTCATAAAAAGAAGGTTAAGTTTATTTGCTTTTGACTGTTTTTAAAATCTGCATTTTAAGATTGCTCTCCATACTTGGTGATAGTGTTGTGTATAAAATATAAACAAAAAGTACACAGCCAAATAGAATAAAACCTAAAAATATCTTGTATGTGCATTGAACCAGTTGATCTTATAAATTAGATGTATCGTCTTCTAAGTTCTGTTACCCATCTTTTAAATAATGAAAAAGAAATTATTTTAAAGTTTACAAAAATATAATTTAAAGTGATTTAAATAAAACAATTAATTATTTATTCTGTTTATCTTAAATTATTTTCAAAACTTATTCAAACTTTCATTCTTTTTTTAAATTTTAGCTAACTTCTCTCTCTCACTCTCATTAAATATTAAATGAGTGTTTTATTTTAATTTAAAAATTTAGTAAACTCTAGTTTCAATTTATTGTTTCTAAAAATAATTTTCGAAAGTATGTAGATGTAGAAATACTTTCTATAAGTTTGAATTTTGTAATTTGCTCATTAGTTATAATTTTTTGAATAGTTAAAGTGTTCTCTATTTTAATCATGGAGTTAATTATTTATCTATTTATTTATTGGTTTTTAAACCTACTTATTTTTGTAAAATAAATAGCTTAAAAAAATATTTTATTTTACTCTCATTTTAGTTTTAATTTGAGTTTTGATCTTAAAGCTCGTCATAAATATCATCTTCATAATATCCATCGTAGTCTTCATAAGAGTCAATCAGGTCAAAGTCTTCCTACTACTCTATATGCATCTAATAATTTTCTACTTTTGAATTTGCTCCCTACATCATTTGCTACTACTAAAGCCACTATCTTTTCCTCATTATCATCTCCTAATACTTCCTCTTATTCTTCTCAATCTCTTCCAACATAATTTAGCTTTAGTTTTTGTTCTACCCTGCTACAAATTGACCTTATGTCTGAAAATAGTGCTAATTTACAGTGTTTTGCTAATTTGTATGGTAGTTTTAGTTTTGGATATGGTGATCCTAACCACCTTATCCGTTTGTGCTATTTTACACTCTCTGCTTTTTTTTATTGTTGTTTCCCTTATTTTTCATCCAAGCTTATTTATGGAATCTACTGATGCTATAAAAAAATTAGATTTAGTTGATTTAAATAAATCGCTTTCTACTTTTTGATTCTTAAATAAATTAGATTTTATTTTTCTAACTCGATTTAGTCTTATTATGAAGTTTTTTTTTCTTTTGCATTAGAATTTTACTTTCGGATGAAGTATTATATTACTAAATCATCTGCATTCATTTTAAAATGAAGATTTCTCCAAAATTTAATTTGATATGCAAATCTGTCTTAATGCACTCAAAAGCTATATATTTATTTATGTTGTTTGCTGCTTGTTTTGCTAACATCTGTCTGTCTGTCGTCTGTATGACTGACTGACTGACAACTTCATTTCAAATCTTTTTACTTTTATTAATTTAGTTAATTTAATTATTGACATTCATTATGAAATGATAAATATTTTCTTACACTCTTAATAATCAAAGAGCATTATAAAATCTTTATTTATTTTTAATAACCATGCTCTCAGATTACAATATTTTCATTCATTCATACATTCATTCATAGATAGATAGATAAATCAATTAATTCCCTATCTATATTTTACTTATATAAACTTAATCTTTTATTTTCAAAATTTATCAAGTCAATAAAAAAACTTCCTAAACATTATTTCTTGTTTATTCAAAAAACCATAATCTATTTTTACAATAACTCATATTTATTTAGTATTTTAATCTTATTATTTCAAATTTTAAGCTTTTTTTCAAATCGAAATGTATATATAAATTTAAAACTTTGATTTGTAAAAAACGTACACAAAAATTAAAATTTAAAGAGATAATTTTAAATAGATTGGATTTTCATTTTTATTAAAGATAATTATCAGCTATTTAAAAAATCTAACATTAAAGGTAAATATTTTTTACCATAAAATCTAAATAATTCAACCAATGCAAATCTAATTTTTACTTTAAACGGTGCAATAAATATTTAAAAAAATTTTTTTTACACAATCCCACAATGAAATTAAAGTTTGAATACCTTCTTCTATTAAAAAAAATGAATTATTCCATACTTTTTAGACTGTCCTAAATCAAAGCTTAAATTTAAAAAATTTAGAAAACAAAAAAATAAAAAAATAAATGCATATCTTATTAAAAAAATAATAAAATTTATTATAGATGTTATTTTATGTCAAATATTTTAATTTTATTTAAATAATTAAAAAATAAATTAGGAAATAATTGAAAGTCATATGATGAAATAATATAATTATATGAACAAACAAATGACATGAGTACATAAAGAGATAGATAAAACATGCAAATTATTTAATATATTATGAATGTTTTTAGATTTTTAGATATTTTTTATATAATTGATTTATTTTATGTGTGTATTTATTTATGTATGTAGTATTGAGGACGGAAAGGAAAAATGGAGAACGAACAGTATTGATAAAAGGTAAAGAAACCTTTTAATTTAAGTACAATTTTTCACAAATATAGGTTTGATTTTTTTCTTTGAGCTCTCTCTTCAACGTCTGTATTGGGAATTGTAGAGACGGTTGTAGTTTTCTCTCCAGTCAGCTGCTTCTCTAGCCTTATGGTCAATAACATTAGCAAGATTGTTGATTTCTTGTCTTAAGTATTGACTTTCAGCTAGTTAAGATCTTCTAAGAGAGTCGAGTTCTTGGGATTAGACAATATCCCTAGTGATTAAGGCAGTATGTCTATCTCTTTCTTGACTGTTAGCATGATTGCGCCATATTTGAGCTTCGAGGTTGGCTCTCTTGGCATCTTAAGAAGTATTGATCAATTCGTGGACGATGTTGGAGTGAGAATCACGGAGATTTCTGACTTCGTATTGCTTAGAATCTAAAACGTTACGTAAGACTGCAGTGTTTCTTTCCTATTGGATCATTTCGTAATCATGAGAGCGCTTCAAGGCTTCAATTTGAGAGCGTCTTAAATCTTTAGCAACTTCTACTTCAATAGATTTTTCACGTTCAGTTCTGGTGTAGGTATTCTTCCAAAGTTCAGCTTCAATAGATTTTTCACGTTCCTTTCTTTCAGCTTCACTAGCAGATATTAAGTAGTTTCTGGCACGTTCCTTTTGTTCTAAGGCTTCTTTTTATTTAGCATCTAGAACATAGTTCAAGGTCTTTTCTTATTCTTCAAGCTTTTGCTTTTCGAAATTGTGAGAGTTTCTGAGTACATCAATATCTCTCTTGTGGATTTATTCTTAAACTTCTAATTCAAGTAGTCTCTTTCTCTCAGCTTCTTCAGCGAGGAGTCTTTTTCTTTCAATATCAGCTTCTAAAGCACGCTTTTCAATTTCAGCATTGTTTCTAGCAAGACGAGAACGAGCTAAGTTGTTACTGGTATCACGAATACGTTCTTCCTTTTGATTTAAATCACTGCGCAAGTGGTTAATGCGACCTTCAAGTACTTCACGTTCACTGTGATGGGAGTTCTTTAAGACTTCAATACTCTTTTCTCTTTCTTGGTGGATTTTTTTGACTTCTTCTTCTTTCAAAATATCAATTGATTTTTGTCTAACTCTCCAGTCGTTAGCTTCCTTCTTATTACTGAGTTCTCTTTCACGAGTTTTATTGATTCTTCTCTTGACATCTTCTAAGTTTGATCTTAAATCATCAAGATTCTTTTCCTTTTCAACCTAATAATTATTATAGAAAGAAGAATATTTATTTATTAATCTTGTAGAAGTAAATTTTGTTATAAAATTGAATGAATAATCAATTACAATAAGTTAAGAATAGGTGAGTTTCTTTGCATCGAGGGCTTCCTTAGCTCTTTGGTGATCGTCCTTGAGCTTTTCGAGCATTTCGTTGTGTTCTCTATCAGCTTATTATTCTTCAAGATTCTTGAGTTCATGGGTGTTTTCGATTTTCTTTTAAATTGTTTCAATCTAGGCTAACAAGTTTTGTTCTTATTCTCTAAGCTTTAACTCATTCTTTCTTATGCTGTAATTTTCAATTTATGATTTAGTCATGTCTTACTTAAGTTTTTCGCTTTCATCATACTTCATGTCAAGCAAGCTTCTGATATCCTTGACTTCCTTCTTGGCAGAGGCTAATTCTATTAATATGAAGAAATAAAAATTAGAAATCAAAGAAAAAAGATATTTTATTTGTATATTATGAAGCTCTTAGTTTTAATGATAAAACAAAGATATGGCTTTTATCTTAAAATAAATAAGCAGCAATAAATACATAAAGCTGGATTTTGATTGGTTTATAATGTTTTTAATCGTAAATAAATAAAAGGTAATTTTAGACTTGATTTTGCTTGTTTATTTGTTTATGAATAGAAAGTGTGTGGGAAATTAGTTGGGAAAATATTAACAAATAAAAATTAATATCAGTTAAATTTTATTCAAAGAATTAATATCCATCAAATTAATAATTCTATTTGAATTAAGCTATCTTAAATCTAATATTTTTGACTATTTGCTTTGCTTATTTGCTTAGATAATTTCCTTATACATTAATTAACAAAACTTTAAATACATTTTGCTTTGTTTAAGTAATATTTATTGGAGGAGCAGCCTACATATATATTATTATTTGATTTATTGATTTTCTATTGAAATAAAATCTATTTATTTCTAATTATCTTTCCCTAACTATAACTAAATCAATTAACTAAGAAAAGATGCAAAAAAATAAAAATAATCTATTAAATTTATGCTAAGATTAAACAAATTTGTAATTTTTTGCTCATTTTTTTTCTTTAAATCACCAAAAAATTGATAATGCTTGTTCTGAATGATAAAAAATTTCATAATTAAGTTGTTTTTATCCAGAAAATTTGAATAAACACTGATATTTAAGATATTAATTAATTTATATATTGGTTTATTACTGGAAGGGACAGTTAACAAGGTTGAATTTCTTCTGTGGAGGTCGTCAGCTTCGTCAATTTTTGATTGAATATCTTTAAGGATGTTATTGAGTTAAGCTTCATAGATTCTTAATTGTTATTCGCTAGTTTGCTTGACTCCAGAAACTCTGAGTTCTTGGTTGAAGTAAAGAGATTTCCATTCATCAACTTCTTTCATCTTTTCGTGCAATTGATTTCTTAAAGATTCGATTTCAACCTATAAAAGATCCTATTATACATCAACACTTCTTCTTAAGATATCGGCTTAGCTCTTTGCCAATTAATCTTTCAATTAAACCTCCAAATCCTATTGAGTTTAAAAAAATATTGTTTAATGATCCCTGCAAAGCTCATTTTTGAGGTAAATAAATGTTCATTCATCATATTGCAATTGATTTTTAATGAAGCTTATCATAAGAAATGTGATATATTTATTGTAAAAAATGAATGAAAAATCCAAAATAAGATTTCTTAGAAGTTAGGGCAGTAGATACAAGAATTTCAAGCCTCTAACGAGTTAATATAAAATATCCTTTGATTTACCTTTTCTCTTTCAGCGGTATAGTTCTTGGTTTTCCAGAAGTTGAGTTCTTCGATGAGACGGAGATTTTCCTTTTCGAGGATGTCTTTACGCAACTCAGATTCTTGAGCTCTAGATTTCCACTTGTCAAGGTCACCTTAGTATCTTAGCTCCATAGTATTCTTTAAATCGTAGTAGTTGTTCAATTGACGAGCTTCTGCAGTAAGTGGGCTCTTTGAGTAGTATGTATCTCTTTAACCTACCTTAGTGGGACTTTCATATTGAAGTATGTATTGCTTGGCAGGAGACTTTCTGAAGTAGCTCAAGCTTGTTGGAAGATCTAAATTTGACATTTAATATTCTTAATAGTAATTTGTTTAAGATGGTAAGACTTGTTTGAATAACAGAAAAACCTTTTTCTTTTTGCTTTTTCTTTGCTTTGTTTTTTTTAATTAATAATAATTATTGGCGTTCTAAGGGTTTTTGATAAAAGTATGTATGCTTGCTTGCTTAATGCCTTCAATAATAATGCTGAGACGGGAAAAGCTAAATAAAATTTATTTTTTTAATAATTGGTTAATATTATATATCACTTTGAACGAAATCCACTCGTTTGGTCCATAATTTCCTTTACAAAAATATATATGATAAATATATTTATATATTTATAAGAAAATGAAGATATTTATTTACTCTTCTTTATAATTGACTCTTTTACTTTATTAGTTAATTAAATAAATAAATAATTAAATAACTAACTAACTAAACTAAATAGTTATTTATCCAACTTAGCCAAGATGTTAAGATTCATCAAGCACAATCACTCAAATATTTTTCGGCACAAAAACAAAGTGTTTGATTTTTATTGATTAATTGATTTTTTTACTTGTTATTTGCTAGATTTTTTGTTAAGCTAGCTTGTCAAAATAAAACAAAAACCATCACAAATACAAATTTAAAATTAAAATATCCCCTCTTCTATCTATTTATCTAGCAGTGTTTTGTTTGGATAATTTATATAAACTTTTAATTTTATTTTTTGTTCACTCATACACCAAAATTATTAATTCTATGTAATGAATTACTGATTTTTCTTAAATTAGGATAGCAAAGCAAGATACATTCACTATTTTATTTCTTTTTCTTCCATCAACTAAATTTGTAAATTTTATCGATGTTTTGAATAAAATTTTGAGAGTTTGTTAATTTTCCACTCATTCACTCAATCAATCACTGATTATTTATCAAATAAATATCTGTAAATAAAACAATTAATTTCAAATCTATAATTTTATATTAAAAATATATTTTTGTAGTAAAATGACTTTTATTAGTTATTTGATAAATTTTATATTGTAGGAAAGTTAATCATAGTATTTAGAAGTGCCACCAATTATATCTTATTTATTAATTATATAAAATTCTATTTAGCTTAATAATTCTTTATGTAGATTTGAGGATATAATTAAAATCTTAATAAATATATTTGTGGTTGTCTTATCAAATCTAATAAGATTTTTGCATGTAAGTGAAATCAATTATTTACCTTCAAAAAATTATAATTACTCTCAATAATTATTCAAAATGCCAGCCAAAAAAAAAAAACAAATTAAAAGTAGCCAATCAATTTACTTAATTATCTTTTCTCTCCAATTAAAAAAAATCAAGAAATCATGAAATATTTGAAACATAATCTAAATCCATGCATGCCAATTCAAAATCATAAACAAAAATCTTTTTTGCATATGATGTATCAATCAATCATCATTTATTTATTAATTTTTTTTTAGTGTAAATAAATATCATTGAATTCTCTTAAAAAATTTTATTTAATTCATTTAAGCTTGTAATAAATTATAAATTTTCAAAAATTCTTAAGAATTTAATTTTATTTATAAGTGAAATGCTTGATTTACCTGACTGATCTCTAAGTAATTCAATTAAAAGTGCTTATTTCATCTAATTTAAAAGTACTTGATTACTTTTGCTTATGAGCATAAAAATACTTTTTAAACAAAACTATATATAATATTCTCAAAGTTATTTTATCTAAATTATATTTTTATGCAGAGAGATAATAAATTTTTATCAAAACACTTCATTCTTTTGTTGATGAATACAAATTTATTTTAAGTAGAATAACAAAAAATAAATAAATAAATAAATTTAATTGTCAAAATTATTTTATCTAAAATAATTTTTAGAAGGACGATAATAAATTTTCAACCAAACCTTTTCATTTTTTAAGTTTATTAAAATAAATATGCATAAATTTTATGCAAAGTAATTATTATTAAATAGATAAAATATTATTTTTTATTTTATGTAAAATAATTTTAGCAGATAAACAATATATTTTCTATGAAGCTATTAATTATTTCATTTCAAATTAAATTTTAGTTACTAATATTAATAAAATCTTAAAGAAGGAAGGAATAATGGTATAATTAAAATAAAAATTAAATAACCTGTGAATTCTACTCTTAATTAAAAAAATTGTAATGAATGACTGTCATAAATTTTGAATTAAGAATAAATTAATGAATGAATTATGAATTAATAAAATAAACTATAAGATTAATAAATATTAATTAGCTCTTACTTTTGAATTTTTTTGATGTATTTTTAATAGAGCAATAATATGTTTTTTTATCTTAATTGAACAGATTTTAAGTTCTTTTACAAAAATATATTCTACCATAAAGGTAATATTAGCCAAAAAGCCATCCATTTTTGATAAGAAAAATCATATTAACCATTTAAGCTATAAATTTGATTTGATTAATCATTTAAATATCTAAAATTAAAACAAAATAACAAACAAACAACCTTTTATTAAAAATCTAATTAAACCTATTTATTGAATATAATTAGAGGATTATAATTGAATTAATTATTGGGAATTTGTAATTATACTTATTTGCATTTTATTTTGTTAGGCAATGTATTTGTTTATTCAATTATTATTAATTCATAATAAATGTTTGAGATAAAAACTAATTTTTCTAATGATTTATTAGTAAGAAAATCTAATAATATTTATTATTATTTCAACAAGATCTTTAAAAATAAAGTAAATTTTGAATTTTTTAGTTATTTCTTTATTTTTCGTATATAAAAAATGTATCTTTTTTGAGTATTTTTTTTAGAACGTGTTTTTAAAGACAATAAATAAATAGTTAAAAAACTGATATACATTTATTTTATCAACTAAACTATTAAGAAAATAAGAAAATTTTATATTTTATTAAATAATAAATGTTTCAATTTACTTTATTTAGCTAACTTAGACTTAAAATTTGATTCATTATATAAATATTTCTACTACTATTTGATTTAAGATGTGTAATTTAGTATTTTATCTTTATCAAGTATTTGGTTATAAACTAAAATTTTTAAAAATTTTGGGAACAAACTTTTAATAAAGGAGATACTAATGCGTTGAGTTTACTTATATATGATTAGCTTTATTTAAAAGTTTTTAAATAATTCAAAAAACTGCATTTTATTATATTGTTAAATGTGTAATTGTTAAATAAATTGCTTGTAAATTTGATGAATGTTATGTTATGTTTTGTATTGTATTGTATTCAATTTTTTTTATATAATTAAAGTTTTGATTAAGCCTTTAATTAATTTATTTTCTTATACAAATAAGTGATAAAACAATCAATATTAATAGTATCGCTAAATAGGGATATATTTATAACAAAAGGGTTTATTTAAATGGACGAGGCTCTTGAATATGAAATAGATACAATCCAAACTAAATAATACAACAAGAATGATAACTCTAACTATTAATTGCCATAATAAAACTTAGGATAGGAAAGCCCAAATAACACGCGTTTGAAGAAACTAATTAAAGAAAGAGGAGGACATATTAATATTAGAAATCAATAAAAAAGCATGACTTATACAAATGAATCTCCTTAACCAAAGGAAAGAAATCCTCAAGTATAAAAATACAAGACTGTTAAATTAAATGATAAACCTATTATAAATGCGAGCTAAAATAATAATGTTGCTAGTGGGATAAAAGAAGAATAAGGCAATTCATTTTTTAGATAAAGTAGTACTACTTATTTAAGTAAGCAAGAGAAAATAGAAGCCTTGAAAAAGAAAATAGGCTTAACAAAATAGGGTAATTCAGGAGGTAAATCTGATCAGACTAAAAAAGATGGAATTGTAAAAATATTTATCATCAAATTTAAAAAATGGATAAAGCGAAATTTGAAGAAATGTACTAAAAGAAAGAGCTAATCTAAGCAAAAATAAAAAGTAAATAATGTAAAAAGAAGGACAGGAGTAGCCACTAACGAAAATCTTGATAAAAACAATAGTGGAGGGGAAGAAGGTTACGTTTCTAGCTCTGGAAATACTAAGAGAGATTCTTTATAAAATAGTTACATCAGTAAAGCTACAGCCAGCAGTGTATCTATGGTTTTTAGTGAGTAGGAAAGGATTGATAAAGAAATTTAATAACTCAAAGAAGCTGTAAAAATTATGAGCAAAGAGCGAATGTATTAGAAAGCTTATAGACATTTAATTGATGGCCTTCTTTACAGATCTGTTCGCCACGACTTAGATGGTGAAGATAATTGTTGGAGGAGATTTATTATGTTTATCTGGCACATATAAAATTCAAGTCTTTGGAACGATTTTTTGCTTTTTCTTGGCTGGGTCTATATTCTAATGAGCTTTTTCGAGCCTGCCCATAGAAATGGTTAAAGTCTTGATTAGTAGACTTTCCATTTCATGACTGGCCTAGAGAGCTTTATACTTTCATTGCAAACAATTGATCTCATAATGGAAGTTTTATAGCGTTCTAGCTAAGAAAACTAAAATCTACTTGAGGCTTTCATAAGTAGAAAAAAAAATTTATTCAGACTCATTTTCTTTGTACTAAACATTTCAGACCTGATAAATTATGTTATATAGTATCCATAAAATACATTTCGATTTGCAAGAGTTTTTCGACCACTTCAAATCATTATTTTTTCAAAATCTTTAAGAAGAAATTTTTAGGGAATCATTAATTCTGCAAAAAATTTATTGATGATATTATTTTTTGATATAATAATAACCTCATTTTGGGCTTATGTTGGTATGAATCTCATTGGAGATATCTATAATGATCCTAGCGTTGATAGTAATAAACTTTATTTAATGCTTTATTATTTTATCAATAAAAAACAAACAAACAAATTAAACTTCAAAAAAAATTTTTTTTTGTATCTCATTAAATTAAAAAAAAAAAAAACTTTTTTTGCTTGTATCAAATTAAATCTTGAAAAATTAATAAATTCATAGATTTTATTTGATAATACTGATGAATAATTTCGATTCAGTAATAACTTTATTTTACTCTAAAAATTAATTAGTTTACTCAATCTCTAACTTAAATAAATACAATTTTTTCAACTCATTAAATACTTTAGTTTTCTAATATTAATTCTATTATTTTAAAAGCTTCAATTGTAGATTTTAGAGACTTCTTTAAGGCGTCTAATAGCTTGTATATTTTTAGCTCTCTTGATCTTTTTCCAGATATTTTATTTCCTGCTGTAACTGCCTCCTTTTACTACTTACTGTATTTTCTCCCTTATATAAGTATTTTTATAAAATAAATTTAAATTTTAAAAATTAAAAGAAATTAAATAAATTATTTACAGTTATGTTCCTCCTTTTGTTTGTTCCTATTCCAGTCGCTGTCGTTTATGAAGGATTCAGAAAACATAGACTTAATCTACTTATCGGTAAAAATCAAATTAATTAATTAGGAATTCATTTGTTGATTAGCCTTAATTTATTTTATTAAAAAGCTGATAGAATTAAAAGAAGAAAAGCTTTGTGGGCTTGCTTTTAGTGCATTGTTTAAGATTAAAAGAAATCTTATATTACAAAGTCAGAATTTTGCTCTTTTTTTTATTTTGTTTACTAATAAGTAGAGCTCGAGGATCAAGCAGAAATATTGTCGGATGTCTTATATAACGAAATAGATATTAATGACAACAAAAAAGTGAGTATTGAGGAATTTTTTACTGTTTTAGAATTTACAGAATAAAGAAAAGAATTTAGACTTTAAAGGATAAAACCATCGAGACTATGGATTAACTTTAGGGAATACATTTAATTTAAATTTGATTTAACAAATGTTTTAGAAGGAAGAAAATGGGAGGCTCTTTCTTTCTTGATGACTATCGGGAGCTGCATTTTAACTATTTTAATACTTATTTATGACTCATTATCAACTGATAGTTATGTTGATTTTTTTGATAAATTTTTTTTTGCCTTTTTTTCCTTGGAAATCGTATTAAAAATTGTTGCTTTTGGACCTGTAAATTTTTCCGACGAACCTTGGAATATGTTTGATCTCATACTTGTTTTGTTTTAAGTAATCAAGATTTAATCATAAACAAACAGCATTTCAATTTATTTAAAATTTAAAAAAAGGCCTTTTTTGATTACATTTTTGTGACTTTCTTAAAAAACTCTAATGTGAAGTCAGTCAGTGCTAGCAGAGTTTTAAAAATAGCTAAATTATAAAAAGTCTTTAGAATGTTCAGAGCCTTTCGTACAGTAAAAGTGCTAAATTATGTGTTATCTGGACTCGACATTATAAGAAAAGTTTATGAAATGCTTTATAAAATAGTTATATGCATTCCGATAGTTATGAAGCTCTCTGTTATCTATGTCATTGTTATCTACATTTACACTGCAGTTGGAGTAGAAATATTTAACACCTAACTTTAAACACTATATCCTTCAGAGTATGGAAGGGCTTTATGTGACTAAACAGATGAGGGATAAACTGATTTTAATAGTTGTTAGTAAATAAACAATTAATTATAAATTTATTTAATCAAATATATTTTTAATTATATTAATAGGTATGTAAATTTTAATTCATTTGCAGGAGCATCCTTGATTTTACTTTAAGTTTGTGTAGGAGCTGGATGGGGTGATATTGTTTTCGATTTCGGAAAGAAGTTTTAAGATCTAGCAACTAGTGCTTTATATTTTAATAGTTTTCACTTTCTTTCAGTGTTTGTACTGTCTCTCATTGGTGGATTAGTTTGGGAGGTTTTTGATGTTGTTGAGAGAATTATGAGGGATTAAGAGGCTCTGGAATAGCAGCTTGCAATATATAGGAAATGGGAAGAATAGCAGCAGTAAATAGAAGCTTCTTTCTAATCATAAGATCTTTCTAAGAAATCTAATACTATCAATTAATAACAGCAACAATCACTATAATAATAAAGTTAATTTGCAAAAGCAAATTAGTAAAGGCACTCCTTGAAATTAAGTAGCGGCTACTTAAAGATGACGCCAAAGTTTACAGTAAAGTTGCCTTCAAAGTAAAGTTAATTTGAAGATGACGATGAAGACGAAGTTATAGACGAAACTGCTTAGGCTGAAAAGTCTGCCGATAAAAATCTGATAATTTTACAAAAACATTCTTAAAATAATAACTCAGTATTGTAAATAGAATCAAATGGGGAAGGTTATGAAGATGATGACATTGGAACTTCTGAAGAAATAAGCTTATCAGATAGCGACGATGACTCTAACTAAGAAGAGGAAGATAAAAATAAAAGTAAAGAGGAGGCTGAAATTGTTAGAAAGGCCCTTAATGAAGGACCAGAGACTATGGCTGGAGGAACAGAAATGCCTATAGAGGAAGTCATTAATAGTTGCTACTAAGAAAATGATTAAGAGTAGAAAGAAAATCCCAAATTTGATTAAAACCACAAATCTTAGAAATTCTTTAAGTAAAGATATTTCTCTGAAGAGCTTCTTGCTCCTGATTTAGTAGATGCTCTTGAATAACCTCAAAAGAATAGTTTATTTTTCAATAGTAATCATACTTCTAGCCAAGAAATATTTAAGTAGGATTCGAAATAAAACTCAATAAAGATATTCTCATCTAAACCTTCACAAACTAGCATTACTAAAATTGCTAATTTTCAGTAAAGACTAGGTAAAAATATCTACAATGAAGATAATCCAGAAACCTAAAAGCTGTTTTAAGCAATAAGTAAAAAGAAGAAAAAGTAAAAAAAAGAAAAAAATAAATTAAAAAAAAATTAAGAATAGGCAAAGGCTTTTAATTAGTAGTGCCTGATTGAAAATTAGCCTATTACTTAAAGAGACAAAAGTGAAATTATACTGTATTAAGATATTTTTAGACTTTCTACAATGGATCACTTCTTTAAAGATATTAATTTAAAATAGAAGAATTAATCTCCCTTGTCTGAAATTGTCTCCTCAGAATAATAATCAGAAATGAGTGAAAAGTCGCCTTCACTCTTTAGAAATTAATAGTTAGTTGAAAAAACTGCACAAGCCCCTCTACCTGTAGGAGCTGTAAAGAAGTTAAGTAAATTCCATACAATCAAAGAGGAAGAGGAAGAAGAAATGGATAACAATAGTTAGTCAATTATTAAAAATTTTAATAGATAATAATCAAAAACAAATTAGGGCAGTTAAAATGAATTCTCTGAGGATTTAGAAAATAATAAACAATAGGATTAGAATAGCTTAAACAAAATTGAAACACCTAATTCATAATAATAAGCTAAAGATGAAAAGAAATTTTTATTTAAAAAGAGTCATGGAAAACTAAGTAAGCAAATCACAGATAATTCAGAGTAACCTACTATTTAAGAAGAGCAAGAGCAGGATGATGAAGAAGTTGCATCTGCAATCTATCAAATGCAATTAAGGGGCTTACCTCATAGCACTAATCAAAATAAAAAATAAATAGAAAATAGAAATTAAAATGAAATATTGGATTCTGTATTTGAATAAACTGATGAGAATATTAACAACTTTGATCTTTTACAAAAAAACTAAATAAATAGATTAAGTCCAGTAAAATTATAAAATATTAATTTGAAAAACGAATCTTCAAATCAATTAAAATCTAAGGAAGGAATTATTTAAAATGATTAACAGTAGACTTAAGTGCAGTATATTAAATTGGCTAACGAAACTTAGAAAAATTCAGAAAATCATCCCAAAGATTAAAATGAAAAATAATAATGCAAGGGATCAATTATATTTTAGCAATTTGAACAAAATAATTTCTAATAACAACAGTAATTAATATTAAACAATAATAATTAAGCAAAAGCACGATCAGCTTAATAGCTTGGCAACAGAGTTAACGAAGAAGCTAAAAACTAATTTAATCATAGACATTCAGATACAATTAATATATAAAATTTAACAAAGGTAATAAAAGATTAGGTCAATTTTGGTGATTAAAAAGGTTTTTTAATATCCTCTGATTATTCTCCTAACTCTCAAAGCGACTCCTCTTTTGACCAATCATTTAAAAAATAAAATAAAGTCAATATGAAAATAAATAATCATTTTGAAGGAAATCTTGATGAAGATGAGAGTTGTTCTCAAAATTTGACCAATAAATTTCCTGAAAAATGCTACCTTCCTAGTAAAAAAATAAGAGAAAGCAATTGCTTACTAAATTAAGAAGAAAAACCAGAGACAGAAATAATTTTAACTCAAAAAATGTAAGAACCTTCTAAAAAATTACATTTTGGAGTTGACAGTACATTAGACTAAGAAAAGAATTCTATATTTCCAATACCTTCAACAATAGATATTTTCAAAAGTTAAAAATAAATGAGGCAACACAATGGATCTATGCAATTTTCTTAATACGAAGACAATTTTAATACATAGTTGATATAGCAAAATTCTTTATTTTCTCCTTAGTCGATGAGTCTACGCAAAATAGAAATGGATTAATTAGATAAAGATTAAATGAGAAATATGTAAATAACATCTTAAACAAATTCAAAGCATTTGCTTATATTGGAAGAAGAAACTACTTAAGAGCATAAAAAGACTGAAAGTAATGAGAATCATAATTTTCCATTAAATAATGAACACTCTGATGAAATAATATAATCAAGATCTAAAATTATTACAAACGATACTCAAACGAATTCGAAGAATAGTAAAACACCAATTGCTGTTAACATAGAATCAGAAACTAATTTTGTAACAAGTCTTGCAGATGAATAAAACAATTTATTGAATTAAGAAGGATATCAAAAATTAAGCAAAAAAAATAATTACAAAGATATTAATTATAGTAACTTCAAGAGAGAAATAGAATAAAATGAATAGCTTTCTGATGATCTTAATGCAGAGAGTGATTTAAATTAAATAGAAGTTAAGAATCATGAGCTGGAGGCATCGTTTATTCAAGAAATGCATGATATAGATTAAGAAAATTAAAGTAAAGAAATAAGAAGAAATTAAAGAAGAGAAATGAAGTTAAAGATTCACTTAGAGAAATTGGAAAAGTATAGAAATGAGTTGTGTCAATATTACAAGTCTAGCCTTCAAGATATTACAGCTCAAAATGATTAATAATAATATTAATTCATGAATTACGGCAAAACAAATATTTTAAACAAATAATAAAATCCATCATAATAGCAATAAAATATTACCAATACAGCCTAAAGAGATATCATCCACGATAGGCCAAAAAACTATTTGATGAAGAGCTTTCTGATGAATATAAACAACGATTTAAGAAATGAATAAAAAGCTAAGGTAAAAATAGATCTTAACAATAAAAACTTTATCATAAACAAGGCAATCTTAAAGTCAGTAGACTAAGAAAAAATTGAGAAAATCGAGCTAAGACACTTTAGATAACTCTATGGTAAAGAATTCGAAGATTTACTTGATAAGGAATTTTTCCCTTTATGGCACCTATAAGCCAAAGTTCTATTTCATTTTGACAACATCCTCAAGTAATAAAATTAAATACTTTTTCTTAAATTTACTTGTTCAATAAGAAATGGAAGATTTAATTTGAAAAGTTTGATTGATTTTTATTTATTACTAAAATATAAGTGTTTTGAACAAAGCTTTTATTTAAAAAATATTATTTTTGTTTGATTAATTGGACTAAATATAATTGTTATTAATTAATTTATTTAAAAAGATATGATCACATTCCTGTTGAGAACTTCGTTTAGCTTTATTGTAGTTTAGAAATGCAAATATCTTCTTTGCTGATGAATAAATTTTCTTCATTCAAAATTATCTATCAAGATTAAGATGATAAATGGTTTACAATTAATTTTGTTTAGGAAGCTTATTTCCTGTAAGAAGTTGAGAGCCATGGGCCTTGGAGATATTTTAAAGAATTATTCGAAGATAATCCATAAAATTTAAAATTATTTAAGCACAGGAATATTTTTGGTTATGCAGACAAAAATTAATACATCAGGAAAAACCTCAAGAAATTCTTTTCAATATCTTAAGATATTTCAAATAGCTATTACTTTAGAAAACTTCAAATAAATCAAAGAAGGAGCGATGTTATTTACATTCCTTTTGTAAACGATAATCCAGAGTAAACTTCTAAAGGTCTTTTAGATAACCTTTTAAAAACACCTACTCTACCTTAATATATCAAGAGAGACGATTTATCATAAGAAATGATACCTTAAATTAAAAAAGGTTTAGTAATAGCTTATTTATTTGATAATCCTAACGTAAAGTAAAGAAAAAGAACCTTTGTATCTGAAAAAATCAATATAGAACAAGCAATTGCTGAGGAAGATATTCTAGAAAGAGAACTACTTTCTCATACCCTGAACTACTCATACTCTCTTGAGTTACTTAAAGATATGCAAAAGCATATTATGATGAACAAAGACATGCTATTTAAAAAGATATCCTAATTTTACTTCTATCGTGCCTGCTTCGAAAGAAATTTCTGCAGCATGATGGAGCTGCCATTTGAATAATGATCTATTTATTCCATTTTTTAATAGTTTCTTTTTAATGAAAAAATTAACATCAAAAATAAAACAATTTTATCAAATTTATACTAATTTTGATATGAATATTTAACAGAAATCTATCTAGCATCTATCTCCTAACTAACTAATAACAAACAAACAAACAAACAAACAAACAAACAAACAAACAAACTAGCTACATAAATAAATAATACTTACTTACTAATTCTAAAATAAATTTATTTAATTATTTAATTATAATATAACTAAATAATAATGATAAAATAACACAACTCACCTAGCTAACTATTAACCTATAAATAGATATATTTATTTATATATATATTCCAGCTAAAATCTTAAACTAATATACTTCTTATTTAAAAAAACTATTTATTTATTCTTAAAAAATGTAGTTATATATAAATGTAGTATTTATTTATTCATTTTTCTAAATTTAATATATTTCAAACTTACTTTTTAAAAAGAAGTTATTGCAAATTATTTTTTTTAACAATAAAAGCAAAAAAAATCCTTTCAAAATTTTTAGCTTAAAAAACATATGAATATTTTTATTTTTAGAAAAATGGCAGAATATCAATTAACAAATAATCAAGAATTTTATTACAATAAAAGCAATTAATTGCTGAATTTTACTGCATTAATCAATAAACAAATAAATAAACGTTAAAAAATTTTATGAGAATATTTAAAATATAATGAAAACTAATTTAGTAAAAAAACGTATTTTTAAATTTAAAGAGCAGGAAATTGAAAATTAATTCATCCAGCAACTCAATTATTATTTTACATTTAAATTAACTTAGATCTGTCATCATTTTGAATTTATTATCAATTTTATTTTAGGAGTTATTTTAAGATAATTAATTATTTTAGTACAAATAAGGTTATATCAAAACATAAATAGAACAAATTTGATTTATCTTTGAAATAACATAATAAATTTTAAATGGGTGTTTATTTGATAACTTTTAATAACATTCAAATTAAAACTAGTTCAAGAGAATTTTAAAATTATAGATTTTGCTTCTATAATTGCTTTTATTAGAGATAAGTATACATTTTTATATATTAATACATATATACTTACAATAAATAAATAAGAGTGAATAAATGTTAATATTTATAATTTTACTATATTTTTATTTAAAATTGATGTGATTGCGCTTGATTTCATTAGTTAACTATATATTTTAGTAGTATTTTTTCTGTATCATGAATCTTTTTCAAATAAGACTGAGCTTATAAAGCTAAAGAGTACTATAACCATTTTATAAATAATAAAGCTGCCAATTAATATGCCAAAAAACATGATAATGTAGAATAAAACTAATCTAATTATTGAAAAGTAATCTTTTGGAGACTGAAATAATTCTTAGCTATTTTGATGCTAAGTGCTATGATTATAAATATGGTTTTTAAGCATCTTTGTTGAGTATTCATTTTTAACTAAAGGTAATTCTAAGCTCAAAATAGATTACTATTATTATGATTAATGATAGTTTTCCTGCTTGCCAACGTATTTTTAGTTACTTAAAATATTTAATTCTATGCAATTTCCATCACTCATATCACTATTTATGTAGTTTGTAAGTTTTGGTTTGAGTGTTATTAGTTCCTTTTTGCAGCAACAACTTCAAATAAGCAGAAGCTTAGATTTTTATTTTATCTAATTTTTAAGGTATATTTTTTTTAATAGAATTATAAAATTAAATTATCTATTTTTGTATTTAAAATTTCAATCAGTTAATCTTATCCCTTAATTCAGCAGCTATTAATTCAATCATTTCTTCATTCATTCATTAATACATTCATTTATTTATTTTTTTCTTATATTATTTAACCAATTTATAAATTTCTTTTACAAGTCTTGATTAAATTGTAAAATCTTTTATAATAAATATCCTTTACTATAAATAGAATTTTTACTAGCAAGTTGGTTGAAAATAAATAAGTATATAGATAGATAGACATCTACTTGAAATAAATTTAGTTTATGAAGAATTATTAAAAATTATATTTTTTATTTTACAATAGACAATAGATAGTGTACTTAACAGTTAATTATATAATAAAACTAAAACAAAACAATCTTAATTAATTATAATAATAATGAAAGTGATAATATTTATTTATTTATTTAGAGTTTTTTTGTTAATAAGAGTCAATTGATTTTTAAAAATTAAGTGATGGATTATTTGTTATTATTTAAATCTAGGTGGCTTTTAATCTTCTGCTTTATTTTATCAGCATTATTTTCATTTATGCTGAATTTCAGATTTTGTCAATCTAGGATCTATATCTTCTTAGTTGCTAGTGTTGTTAACGTCGTGGTCATCAATTGACTTGGCTAATTCTTTAAGAGAGACATAATCTCTTTTAACACTCATCATAGCAGCTGTTGCCATAGACATTTATGAAAGCTTTTTATACATGCTTCTTGTTTCTTCCTTAGAACGAATTGAACTTACAGAAGCTCTGCTTTGACTTAGAGCAGCAACTCCACTCATTAATCTTTAGCTTAATTCTTTACCACTGAGTTTATCAGCTTGCTCGTCATGTGAGTTGTTATCAGATAAATTATCTGTAATCTTTGAAATTTGAGAGAACTTCAGGTCTTAGCTGAAATTGATATCTCCTTAACGAGAATTATTTTAGAGGTGTTCAATCGTTTACTTGTATACTTGTATTTTTTAGTTATAATCTTAACTTATTATATTTTATTCTGTTTCCTTTTCCTTAATCTTTCTTGATAATTTATCTTCAATTTCTTTCTTTGATGCTTTTGTCTATTCTAGTTAAGTGCTGATTAAAACAATTTTTTCTTCTTATTTAAGAGTCTTTTCTTCTAGGTCACTCTTATCAGATTCAAGATTCTACAATTATTTTAATAAAAATTTAGAATATAATTGCTAAAATTAAATAAAATATTACCTTAATGATTTGATTTTTTTCCTTAATTTCTTTCTCAAATGCTTCTATTTAATTTTGATTTTCTAATTTATAAATAAAAATAATTATTTTATTCATTTATTTTTTTTTTTTAATTAAAGTTTTATTTACCTTTGATACTTGCTTTGTGTGTATCTATTTCCTTGTTTAAGACAGCTATCTTTTCAGATAACTAGGTAGACAATTTTGAATTTTCTTCTTCCAAAGATTTTAATTTTTCTTCATGGTTCTTTACTGAAGATTGAAGGGTGTTAATTTTATTGTTAAGATTGTTTTCTTTTTCACGGAATTCTTTTTCTTATTTCATATTCTTTGAAGAAAGTTCTTATATTTATTATGAAGAATCGCCTTGTTTGCTAGATAATATTTTTTCAAACTCAGCGTCCTTTTCACTAATTTTACTTTCATATTCAGCAATAGTCTACTAGTTCTTTTGAATCCACTCCTTTTCAATAGAAATTTTCTTTTCTTCAGACTATTAAAGTTCCTTAGCGAGCTTTTCTTAATTTTCACTCAACTCTGAAACTTTTTTCTATTCAGCAATGAGTTTCTCTTGCAACTCATTTTAAATCTCATTGATCTTTTTCTTTTGTTGAGTAAGTACTTCAATTTCTTCATTTTTTTCTTTTAATTCATCTATGAATTTCTATTCTTTTTTCTTATACTATGATTCTAGTTAACCTTTTTCTTCTTCTAACTTCTTACATGTTTCTTAAATAGTTTTCATTGTTTCAATCTTTTTGTTATTGAGTTACTTCAAACTTTCAACTTCCTTTTCCAAAGTCTTGACTGTTTAGTTAATGTTATCATCTCAGTTAAATAAATAAAAAAAATAAATAATTTTACCTTATTTTTAGTGCTTATCTTCAGTTTAACGAGTTTTAGTGTCATGTCTGGCAACTTAAATTTTTAACTCATCAACTTTAGTAATAAATTCTTTTTTGACATCTTCTTTGGCAGCTTTTTCGCTTTCAAGGAGAGCTTCATAATTTTATTTTAGTTTGTGAATTTCTTCGTCTGCTAACAAATCGTTTTCTTCTTTTTCTTTCTTCACTCTCTCGTATTATTTAACTTGCTTATCATACTTTTACTAGAGTTCTGCTTGTTATGCTTCAAGTTTCTCAATTTTTTGAGTTAACTCTTGTTTTTCAGTATTGTTTTCTTCATCGATTTGTTATATTTTAGAGCTGAGTGCACTGTTTTCTTTCTTAAATAGATTGAGTTGTGTTTCTTTTTAGTTGAGTTAACCAGCAATTTATGCAAGTTAATTTTAATATTTTTCTAAGTCGTTTTTAAGTTAGTGTTCTTCATGTGTTTATGATGCAATGGTTTTTTCTAATTCGCTCAATTTATTTTTAAGCTCAAATTAGACTTAGTTATTTTACTCTTCAATTTCTTTCTTTTGGTTATTCCACTATAGTTCAAGTTGTTATTATTTTTCTTTATTTTCATTCAATTAGACTTCCAAAACTTGGCATTTTTTGACTTATTCATTGAAAAGATCAACTTAACTTTGATACTTTTGCTTAGAAGCTTCTAATTCAGTTTCTAATTTCTTAGCTAAGCTGATCTATACATCGAGTTAGTGTTTATATTCCTTTTCCATTATTTCTTTGAGTTATTTTGATTGTAACTCAATATCTTTATCATGCTTTAACAAATCTTCTCTTTCCTTCACCATTTCAGCAATTCTTTCTTCGAATTTCTTAGCAACTTAAATTTATTCTTCAATTTTTCTTTCTTTTTCTTCTATTAGTGCATTCTTTTCTTGAGCTATTATTTACAAATAATAAATAAATAAATTTAAAAAATAATCAAAATGAAATAAATTAATAATTTCTTCTGATATTTTAAAATGAAAATTAAAAACAAAAGAATAAATTTGAGAATTAATTTTTAAATAGTTAATTAATTTCTGATTACTTTGATTTGTTAGAGTTTGAATTTATGAGTTGAGTTAGTTAATTTGGGTTGTATACTATTGTTCAGATTGTTAAATCTTTAGTTAATATTCACTTTAAACTTATTGAATCTCAGATTTTAATTTGCTGATCTTCATTTCATTTTCGTTTAAAATTTAGGAGGAGCTGGTTGAGTGACGCTTTTCTGCCTCTTGAATTTAGAATTTGGTTTCAGCCTAGATTTTTGCAAGCTATTCTTTAGCTTCTACTACTTATTGATGCAAATTATGCTCCTTTTCTTCATAAGAGAAAACTTACTCTGCTAAAGCTTTTTTAGATTTCTCTAAATCTTCAATCAACTACTTCTTCTCTGCAATCTCTTTTATGTGTAAGAACAACTTAGATTCGATATCAGAAATTTACTTTTTATATTTAGTATCTTATTCTTCTGACTCAGTTACTATTTTAGATAAATTTTATCTTAAATCTTCATTAGTGTTGTATTCTTGCTCAATTTTTTCTTTTAATTTATCGCATTCTTCTCTCTATTTAACAACTTCTTCCTTTAATGAGATGATTTCTTATTATTCGTCTTTTTGCTACAATTAACTGCTGTCTTCTTCATCTTGATTAACAAAATTTTCTTATATGTTGATCAAGTTATCTTCTTTCTTGTAAATTCTAACAACTTCTGGGGATTCTGTTAGCTACTTTTGGGAGTTGGGAACATGTTGAACTTCTAATTATTGCTAAAGTTATCTGATAGTTTCATTAAGTTCCTCAATTTAATTTTCGTATAAAATCGAATCCATATTATTAGCTTGATTTCTAACTTCCTTCTCGCCTCTTTCTTCAACATGTTAAATAACACTAAAGCTTTCTTATTCCATTTTTTGAATAATCATACGATACTCTTCTGTTCTTTCTTGAATTTCTTTTTCTTTAGCTTAAACTAACTCTTCATTTTTTAAATTCAAAGTCTCATTCAAATTTTTTAAGTTTTGAATCTCACTCAGCAAGTTATCTGTGTTAGGATTATCTTTTTTATAAAAATAATTTTTAACATTTTAAAGTCACAAAAAATTAAGAAAATAAATTAAACAAATGAAACATTCTTTCTTGTTATTCTTAAAAATAAATTCATCTGAATTATTTTCTTAAAAAATTAAATTTTTAATTCAATAAAAATAAATATTAAAAAAATAAATTAATTAATTTTAGTTTACTTTCATTTGCTAGTTAGGCCATTGCTAATTGAGTCTATGTTAATTCCATATTTTGTTAGTTAATTTTTAAGTTTTAATTGTGGAGTTCTTCTACTTGCTTCTTTAAGTTCTAAATTTCCTCTAATTTTTAGTTAAGAAAGATAAAAATGTTATAATTTATTTGCTTTTACAATTTAAAATAAATGAATTACCATCATTATTATTTCCATATTGGCAAGATATGTTTTGTATTTCATATTCTAATTTCTTGCTGTTTGTCTTTTCTTCAATTAAGCTTTGTTCTAAAATTTCAACTTGTTTGTTCATTTTTTATACTTCTTACTCATATGCAATTTTTTAGTTTAAGACAGTTTCTTCAAACTATTTCTTCAATTACTAGATTTATAATTCTTTATCTTATATTTGAGTTTCAGGGATTTTGGTTGAGTTTATATTTATTTATGAGATTGAAATATTTTGAATTTCATTCTACAATTTTTAGTTAGTGGTCTTTTCATTTGCTAATTAATACTCTAGCAAAGCTATCTGAGAGCTAATTCTGTTGATTTCTTCTTAGTGCTACTTTCTAAGATTAGAGAGCATTTCTTCATGCTTTCTCTTGGTCTCTTCAGAATTTGCAGATGAAGAAGCTACAGGATCGTAAATTCTACTTTACTCTGCTACTAATGTGGATAAGTTTTAAATTTCGCCCTAAAGCTTCTTGTTATTGAACTTCTCAGTAGTTAGGCTAGACTCAAGTTCATATATTTTTTAATTGACGTTCAAAAGTTCCTAGTTAAATTACTATCTTTAAACAGATATTATATTTTCATATTCACTTTTAATATTTTCTATTTATTGATTATTGTATGAAGGTGAACTCTTTGTGTTATTAGAACCTACTATAATCTAATCATTTGTTAAATTCAAAATATCAGTTTGTAACTTCTGTGTTGTTGCTTTTTCTTAAATCAAAGAAGTTTCAAGCTCAGAAATTTAATTTTTCATATTTTATAAATTTTAACTATATTATTGTTATTCCTCATAAAGTTTTCTTTCATATTGCTATTTAACCTAGTCTAATTTGTATTCATCAATCTAAAATTATAATAGAAATATTTAATATTCAAATTCAAAAAATATTAACTAAATTTACTTAGACAGTTTTTCCCTCAATAGTTTTTTGAATAACTGTATTAAGCTACTCATTAAGTTAAGTACATGTATGATTTAGTTCATCATTTTTCTTTTGGGCTTCTTAATTCTTTTTTCTATAGTCTTCCAATTCCTTATGCGATCTTTCTAACTCCTTTTATATTAACAACACCTTTTACTCGTAAGTAGTTGCTATGTCTAAATCCTATTTATTTTTTTGTAAGTTTTAATAAGAATTAAAATTGATATTTGATCGTTTTTAATAAATAATCTTAATTAAAAATAAAATCGCTAAAATTTTATTGATAAATTTAATTTTATTTATTTGGTTAATTCATTCGCTTAATGAAAACAAAAAAATAAATCAATCAAATTTAAATTAAGAGTAAAATTTCTAAAATCTTTTTCATAACAGCTATTAAATTTTTAAAGAATCAAATTTATACCTTTTGAATTGAGAAAGAAATATCTGGCTTTGTTCCAGCTGCTCCTCCTATCATACTTTTATTAATTTAGGAATAGCTTTCATGGAGCATAGATATTTTGAGCTTCAAGTCATCATTTTCGTGCTTCAATGACTCTTCGATTTCTTTCCACTTTTATTTATTTTGCATAAAAAATTTTAAGTTGCTTTCAGTAAGTTTCTAGAATTCATCAATAAGCTTGTCACTAACTTTATCAGGAATCATAGAAATACTATTAAATTTGGAGGTGTTTAATTGGTTAAAAGATTAGTTTAAGTTTCCATTTGATTTATATGTATTTAATGTGCCACCATTTTCTGGGACATTCTAAATAGTACTAGGTACATAATTAGATGCATTTCTGCTTGTATCTCTGTAAGGCTAGTAGGTAAATATATTTTGTTGTTGTTATTATTGCTACTAAATAGCGCTATTCTTGGTCGATGATTCTGTTTAAAAGAATTTTGCTTAGATTGGTGATGAATACTAAGGAGAGTATGGAGCTATTTCAATAGGATGAGATATCTTGGTTTAAATAGATTCATAATTTATTTTTGGGGATGAAAGATCAGGTTTTTGTGTTTGAGCAAGACTGTTTAAGTTATTTGGTGTACTGCTTTATCTCATTCCTTGGCTTTATGTGGCTCCATTAGAGTTAGCTTATTGTTTTTATTAGATTTATTAAATTATTTATTAAGATTGTGAAATGGATTTGTATTTGTTGATTATAGATTAAGCTAAATCAGAGTTGTTAGCTGGAGAGGTAACTTAAACAGGAGCTGCTGAAATTCTTGGTGAGCTCACAGAATTAATATTTGCATTTTAGATCTAGTAGGAAGATACTGTTAAAGGTTAGCCAATTATACCAGTTTATTGTTAAGGTGAAGCCAGCTAGGTAACTAACTATTATGAGTATCTAATTCCAGACTATTAAATTGGGGCAACACTAGAATTAACTACAGTTGTTGTTCCTGTAGCAGGAGCTTACTACGTTATTGTCACATATTAGTATTATGGAATAGCTGCAGTGGTAGTGAAAGTCTAATATTAGACAGTGCTAGTAGCATTTTTGCTTGAAGGGGTTTAATATGTGTTAGAAAGTTTGGTAGAAGGGGTGCCTAATGAATGATAAAGTAAATGGTAAGGTAAATGAATTAAAAAATAATGCAAACATACCTATTTGAGGTTAATAAGTGTTCATTTTTTAGTAGAAAACCTAATTAAATTTGTTTGTTTTGCTTAGCTATTAATTAATTAATTAATCTATTTATTTAATTATTAAATTATTGATTTTCTTTTTTTATCTAACACAAAGTAATATTTATTTTACTTTATTTTTTGAATAAATTAGGATTAATTTAATAAATATTGAAATTTATTTTTATTATTTAATTAATTTGTTAGTTAGCTACCTATCAATCGTTCTTCTAATTCTTAAGTATTATTTGATAAAAGCTATCAATCAATTTTATTTTTTTGCAATATTTTAAATTAACTATTAATACCATTCTAACTAAGCTTAGTAGCACCATCATTCATTCATTATTACTATTCAAAGATCTATTTAATAACTTAATAAATTAATTTATTCAATTATAACCAATAAAGGTACAGACAGACAGAAGCTGCTTCAAAAATGAATTAAAACTAAATAGTAATAAATAGGTTGTCTATGGTCATTTTTTTATGTGAAGTACAATATATACTACTTTAATCTCTTTAAGAACCTCCCATAGCACATTTAAGCCTTGTGTATCAATTTTATCAAACTAAAAATGACACTAGTTAGTGAGTATTCTAAACTAATTCATGATCTGTTAGAAGCAAACTATAAACATACATACATATTACTCCGTTAATACTATCCGTATTTTATTGAAATTCAAATAATTTTGCAAAAACACTTTAAAAATAAAAACCAAATTAAATTATTTTGAATAATAAATTAATTAATAGATTTGTGATTTTTTTAATTTATTAACAAATAACAATAAAAATGAATTATAATTCTATTCTAAAAATATGTTTAAAAACATAAATATTTCTCTTAATTCAGAAATATAATACTTCAATTTAGCATATTAGGTAAGTTTTACTACTTTTGATATAACTAAATCTAAACACAAAAGGGAAAAAACTAACTTATCCATTCATTCATTAATTATTAAACCCTTAATATTTATCAATTAAGTAATTTGATTATTTTGTTAATTACTAAGATATTTTATCTTAAATTATAAATAGATTATCTTTTATTTCTAGAAAGAACTTTACAAGATATTACTAATTATTGATCAATAATTAATTTTCAAAATAACATTCAATTTCAAAACTTTTCCATTTTCTGTTATTCAGAAATGAAATACTATAATTAGTGTTTTAATTAGTTTTAATCTCAACTGAATCTAACTCAAAAGAGAAAAACTAACATGTTGATTGATTTTATTAATTCAAACCCTATATTTATCATTAAAGTAATTTAATTAATTAGTTAAATACTAAGATTTTAAATCTTAAATTATAAATATATTACCTTTTTCTCTAGAAAAAATTATTAAGGATGCTATTTAAGTTTGATCACTCATTATCACAATAATATTAAATTTAAAAACTATTCCATTGATTATAATTTAGATATAAAATACTTTATCATTAGTGAAATGGATACGTTTTAATACATTTGATCTAACTAAATCTTAGACAAAAGGGAAAAAATAATTTATTTATTTATTCATTTATTTAATTTAAATCATATTTTTTGTCAATAAAGATTGTTAGTTAATTATTAAGATACTAAATCTTAAAATATAAATAGTTTGTTTACCTTCATTACTAGAGTTAATTATTAAGGAAACTATTAAGTTTTCAAGATTTATTATTAATTTTAAAACTTATACATTTTTATATACTAACAAATAAATAAATATTTATAAATTAACTTTCAACAAAACTAACTTTCATAATCTAATAAAAATATAATTAAATTTTCAATCAATAAAAATTTATGTGTTTAATCTATTTTTTAATATATTTTAAATAAAAATGGTCAAATACTAAAAATTTTAAAATGAAGCTCGATAAATAAATAAATAAATAATTATTTGGATAATAAATTAATTACTATTTTATAAAAATATTATTGAATATTTACTATGTTTATTTTGTAAAGTAATTAAAAAATAGATTTTACTTTTTTAAACCTGATTTCTTCAATTCATTTTTATTTTGTTTTTGTTTTTAATTTAATAAAATTAAATTAGGTAAATCTTAGAGGTTCACAGATAAATTTTTTTATGCCATAACTTACTTCACAGTTTTGTTTTCAAACCCTTAAAAAATTTCAAAAAATATTGAATTTTGTATTTGAATACTTTTTATACTCTTTATTTATATATTAAATTCAATTTCTGAATTTTATTGAACAGTGATTTTACTTACTTTTTAATAAATATTTTGATTTATTTTTTTCATTTTAAATTAAACATAATTTAGGTATTATAATAGAATGATATCCAACTCATCATATTTTAATACCTGGATTAGAAATATATAATTATGGATTTTACCAAAGTTTCCCAATTACTACAATTAAAAATTTAAAATAACAGATTGATTAAATAAGAGTAAAAAATAAATAGTTAATCAGATTACTTTTTAGAGACTGATGAGAGAAAATATTCTTAATTTATCATTTTTTAAGATTTAAAAAGAAATAAGTAAGGCAGGCTAATCAATTTAATAAAATATTATAAACTTAAATCAGTATGAAATATATTAATTCAAATAATAAGAAAATAATAATAATAATAATAATAACCTGATCATAAATAAAAAAATTAAAAGAGCTTATTTAATTATTTGTAGAGGTAAATCTTTTTAATATTTATTAATAGAATTAATTATCTTAGAATTAGCTTTAAGTCAATACCAAATTCACTTTTAGAATTATCATAATAAATTCAAATACAACCATTAAAAAAATTATATAAATTATTTTATTAGTTTTATTAATATAAATTACTAATATTAGTTAAAAAAGTTGGCACAACTATAGTTATAATCTAATTAACTTCTTAAACTCTTTTAGAATTATGTAATTAATCTGCAAATGAAACCAGAATATTGACAGTAGGACTTGATATATATATATCTTAATTGATTTAGCCCATACATAATATCTTTTAAATAGTAAATAGCTTTAATTTCAATTTTTATAACCCAAACTATAGATAGTCTGTCTTATGTCAAAATATGATTATATATTATTAATAATAAAACGGTAGCCTTTCAGCAATAAGAATGCAAAAATGGATTGAAATTTACACTTTTCAAGCTTTGGTAATCAATTTTTTACATTATATCTGAGATATTTAGTAAAGCTATTAATGCACACTCTCTGCTCAAATAAAATCATTATAACTTATTATATCAGCTTCTTTCTGCAAACAAAATAGAAAAATAGTATTATTTGTTGGATTTCTTTAACTAGTTTATCTATTAACAAAAAAGATATTATGTTAAAAAAACAGAATTAAAAAAAATATTGATGAGCTCTCTCTTGTGTATTTAGAATATTATCGATCGATCTCTACAAAAATTGATTATAAATTTATATACTCTTTTGAAAGGGATTTTATTGGAATTAATATATATTTATTTGCTGGTAAAACTAAGTGGTTGAATATTTTAAGTTTATACTAACTATAAAATCTTTAAGTTGTATTTTAACTAAATTATCGTGCACATAGTATCTTATATCCATTCTGTGGGTAAATTGTGACTTAATTAATATTTATTCAAATTTTAGCAAGGTATTAGAGATATTAAGATAGTTAGTATTACAAAAATTATCTTCGATTCAACACAATTAGCAAATCTTATTTGTACAAAAGTCACATTATAAAGAAATAATGGTACTACATTATTTCATATTATTAAAATAACTTACTTAGGCTATTTAGGATATATTAGGGTCCTTTTTTTTAATAATTGACACTTTTTAGAAGCTAATTTATGATCATTGCTAATGATGATCCTATGAAAACAATTACCTAGTTTTCATATAACAATTTCTAGATAAGCATCTCTATTACTTTTATAAGAAATTTAAAAATCGAAGGTAACTATCCTATCCTGTAAGCTCTCAAGGAACGAAAAAACCTAAAAGATAGTTAATTTTAAAAATAATTTTCTTGTATTTTTTTCAAATCAGAAAGAGTTAAAAGCAAGCAATTAATTTTATAATTCACCTTATCCAAGTTTTAAATTTGATCTTTAGCAAACAACTATTGGTTCTTATTTTCATATTTTATTAACGCATTTTTTTAGAAAAACACGTCTTTTATACTAGTTTAATGTAATTTAGTAAGCTATTGATTATTTTTTTTCAAGGAAAACTTTAATTTGAGTTAAATTACTTAAATTTTTGTGATCTGATATTAACAAGAGATGCTAATTTAAAACATAGATTTGCTAATACTATTAATTATAATATAATTTGAAAATACTCTTTTATCAAAAAATTACAAGGGTTTGATACAATAAAAATGTGTGTAATATAAAAGATTTTTATTCGCATAAATACATTTTTTAAAAATTATTATGTAATTAATTAATAAAATTTTTTTTTTTTCATACATTTATGGATGGTTTTTATTAGTTTGTTTGAAATAGATTTTGCTTATCACACCTTTTTTACACAAATAAATTAATTATAAATCTCATATTAAATTATTTTGAAGATATCAAACATATAATTTCTATTTTTCATTCAAATAATGCTCATTTTAATTTCTACCTTCATTTATTATTTCAAAATTAGTTAGAAAATTAATGAAAAAATTCATCAAATAATGTGAGATACTTTACTTTATCTTATTTCTTGATATATCTTAAATAATTTTATGAAACAAGTAATCATTCATTTTAATATGTTTATGCATTGTGGCAATAAAAATAAAATACTATAAAAATAATTAAATAAATTTCATAACTTAAAAATTGATTGTTCTAATAAAAACTAAAAATACAAAAAATTTTTGCTAAAGGCAAAAGAAAAGTAGACAAACTAAAAAGTACAACAATAACGCCTAAATTTAAAGTTGCTGGATTAAATATTCTGTTTATTTGTTATTTCTAATGCAATTATAATGACTAAATATTATTATGCACTAAATGATAAAATAATATTTTGAAACTTTTTACATTTATTTTTGAATATTTTTATGAGGAAAATTTTTTATTGTCAGTTTTACTTCCTATTAGTTTTTATAGAACAATTGAGTATAGAGACTTAATATTTATTTGTAAGTTAAAGATTAATAAATTTTAGATGTTATTTAATCAGTGAGTGAGTGATAAAGTTAGAGTGTAAGTTAGAAATCTTTCGTAATAGAGAAGGATTTAAAAAATAAAAGTATTTATTAAATAAAATTTCTCTAATTATTCTATATCAGAGAGTGTATAATGTAAAACTAAAAAATACAATTTACTTCAAGCAACCTAAATAACTTACTAAATAATTAATTTTATTAAATCAGTAGCCAATAAAAGATTCTTTTAAATTGTTTATAAATAGTTTACATTTGGCTAAATACTTAGATAATTAATAAAAAAAGTAGAAAATAATATTATTTGAAGTATTTAACTTAATGAAAAAATATTTTTAATAATTTCTAAAAAGTGTTTAAAATTTTTTGTAGCTTTGATAAAAAATTAATTTTAACCTTATATATGCATAAAAGGTTTACTCAAGCTGTGTGGTGTAAACTATGATTTAGAGTAATTTAAAACTTAATCAACTTATATACTTAACTGTAAGTAATTATTCCTTAGTGAGTTATGACTTTTTTAGTATCAATAATTTGAAATTCTACAGAAAGTATGGATGGCATATAATTGTATTTACTTTAAAATGCACATATGGATCAATCAATCTTTCAATTTTTGTATATACGTATGTATGCATACAAATTTATGTATTCTATAACCACTAATTTTGTACAGATAAATTGAACAGTTAATAAAGTTATATGCTTAATTTACAAAGTATGTTAATTGATATTAAAAGATTATAATTTATCTACACTATAAACCACTAATTTATTTATAGCCAGCCTCTTGAAATATCCGTATTTAAAACTAGCTGCATTATCGAAATTTATATTAATAACTCATATTTTTTCTACTTTATCACCTACCTATAAGTATTTATTTCTCAAATTGATATGCCAAGCCATATTCTAATTAACATTAAATACTTAATGATATAAAATTTTGATAAAATTAATATTATTTAAATTTAGCCATTATTTTGTCATTAAACATGTCTTATATATCTTATATGAATTTAGTTTACATTTATTCATTAAATTTGTTTTTTTACATGTGATATTTTCTTTTACCTTACAATAACACATTAGTTTATTTATTGTCGAAAGTCCATTTTAAATTTTTCCTTTTTTTAAAATAGAAAGCAAAAAAGAAAAAAGTAATGTTTTCGCAGTCTATTTTACTATGAAAAAACTATTCTTACATTTTAATAATTTTGCTATTGTAATAAATAATGGGATAAATTCTATATATATGTAATATTTTTAGCAATCCTAAGGTATTTTAAATTTAAAAAACACTTTTATTTAATTAATATTGACACAGCAAAGATAACTCCTTTGTAAAGTTTGTGATAGTTTTATATAAAATTATTTTAAATAAATTGTTTTGTTTACTTTTATATAAATAATAGATTGATAATTGATTGTAAATATATAAAATAACAAAATTTATAAAAGAAAGTAGCTAAAAATAAAAATAAAAACAAAGAAAAAAAATAGAAGTAAATTTTGTTTAATATGAAGACAGATTTAAAAAAGGGTCATTATTTTTACTTATATTCATAAGATAATTTGCCAAATTCAATATTTAATAACATTATTTCATTTTGAATTATTAATTTTCAAGAAAAGAACCAGCTTGCTTTTCTTTATTTTTATAATTAATTTAGTTATTTAGTTTGTCTGTTTGAAGACTAAAACTAAAAAGAAATAGAAATTTTTTAAATAAATAAATAAAATTATATAGATAAATAAATGATTAAATAATATCCATACATGTAAAGTCTATAACATTTCTAAAGTAAATAATATCGGATTTTAAAAACAAACTAATTTGTTAGTCTACACACTATTTATTTTTAGAGTGTAAATTAAACATTCATTTTTCTTCTTTTAAACCCCTTCTTTTCCTAATATTTTTTAATCACTTTCAAAAACTTACTTAATATGTAGATTTTTAAAAATTGTATTTCTTCCATTTTTCATTTGTGTTAAAAGGTTTTAAGCTTTCAAAAACCTCAAGATTTATTTATTAAACAATGATAAACACAGTGTTTTATTATTCCATTTTATTCACTTGTTTTTGTTAAATTATTTACTTTTTTTAAAAATATTTGGTAACACAATGAGTAAATTTTTATCAAATGAATATTTTTATTTAAAAAATCTAATTTTTCTATTTTAAAAATGAGGGATTATTCAATGCAAATTCTAAATAGACTAAGATTTATAACTGAATTTATATAAACAGTATCTATTTTATAAAAATATTTTTCATTTTGATAACTTTGGCGTTCAAAAAATAAAAAATTATTAATTTATCAGCTAGCCTAAAAATGCTGGTAAAAGTTAATATATTTACAGTGAAATCAATACTTTCCTTTTAAAAGTTAATATATAAAAATAAATAGCTCCATTTCTTTTAAGCAAATTTAGTATCTAAGCATAAGCTATAGTTACTAGCAACCATTTTTTTAATTTCTGTTTATATTAAATGTGTTACTAAGTAGGAAGGATTTTTGTGGATATAATTCCTGATAATCTAATAACTGCTGTGTTACAAATTTTTTAAACGAATCTAAAAAATTTAAATATTTATATTCGCATTGAGTTTTCTATTTAAAATAAGCAAATTGAGAATAGGAAGAACAAAAAAAAGATTTGAGCTTAAGAGAATAATTTACTTTTTCTTTCTTTAATAGGAAAATTATAATTTTTATGGATATCTGACTTTCAAGATCATAAAAAAAATGTGCGTGAATGAATGAATAAATAAATGTGTGTTTTTATTTATCTATGAGTTTATATGGAATAAAAAAGAAAGAATTTTATATTTATTTAGTTTTATGGAAAAGGGTAAACAAAAAATATTAAAATAAATTACACTACATTAGATTTAATTACTTATTTATTAGATAGGCAGTAAAAATTTACTTTTGATTATTCTTATTTTGCTTGTTTTTTTGATGGAAAATTAAGATTGTAAGAATTTTTTATTTTTTGATAATTAAAAATAGATTTTTTTTCTCTAACTTAATTTAGATCAATCAATCAACCAGTCAATCAAAAAATGAGAAATTATAGGTGAGATATATATAATAGATATATCTAATAATACGAATTTTTTAAATATTTTTATAGTTGTTCTGCTAAAAATTGGGAAAGCCACAAACTAATTAGAAATATATGAAATTTTATTTAAAATAGCTCTAATCTCTCATAAGAGATAATCAACTCTAAACAAATAAAAAATATGTTAAAATACATTCAGCAGTATTATGTTATTAATATTTTTGTTTATTAACTGATTGGTTAGTGATTGATTGACTGATTCAGTTAGTGAGTGAGCGAAAAACTTACTTATTTACTTTACTGAACGACTGTTTGGCTAGCTAAATTAAATTCAGTTAGAAAGGTATTTTTGCTATTAAATATAACACAAAGATATAAATGCATAGTGAATTATCTTTATAGCAATTTGATTTACTTTGAATACGTGCATTGGTAACATATTTTTGCTTTAAAGTATTATTTTAGAAATAAGTCGATAAGTCAGTTCTAGAATAAACATAGAAATAAATCTATAAATTTAATTTATATATTTATTTTATAATAAATATGCTATATATTCATCGCCCAGTATTTTTATAATAATGTCTCAAAAATTTCATAATTTATTTTCTACTTTTTACTTTTTATTCATTTTATCTACAAGAGAAATACTTTAAAAAATGACAATTTTTGTATATTTTTAAGCTGAGCAAACAAATTTTGGTAATTTTTATATCAAAAAAAGGTCATACAGAATAATAAATAATATGTAGGTACGTGTTAGTTTAATTTAGTATTATTTTGGGTTTGAATATAAAATATTTAGTAAAAATGATTCATTTAGTTTGAACTCTTTTAATATAAAAATATCATTATTGTTTGTGTATAAAAATGAAAATATTTAATTTAATTTTATTATTGTATTTTTATTAGCTTTTGCTTACAAAAATAGAAAGATCGATCAATCGATAAATTGCTATTTATGTTTAATAATAAGAAAAGCGTATTTTTTCTTATTTGTTGGATATTTGTTTGTTTAGTAAAATTTTGGTATAGTAATGCTTGCTAAAAAATGATAAATAATTTAGTAAAATATTCTTGCTTTATTTTGTTTTTATTTTATGAAAAGAGTGGTAATTTATTTATTTATATGCTTGTTTTGGTCAATGATTTTGGCTTTAAGTCTCTAGCTAGATAGATAGATAGAGAGATAGATATCTTGATAAATTTATATAAAATTAGAAATTGTTAAGATTGATAAAATTTTTTGCTTATAAGTATTAATTAATTATGTGAGTAAGTGAGTGAATGAGACTGATGCCGAGTTTATTTTTTTACTACTTTCAAATTTATTTAGTTTATTGTTTTTAAATCCTTTACAAGGCTAGTCAACTTAATTAATTAATTATGTATGTATGTAAAGTATGTAAAGGGTAGCGTTGATGCATTTCTTTTAAGCAATTATTATTTATGTTGAAGGAGAAAATAGAGAAATTTAGTAAGTGATTAATTTGGTTATTATACATATTTTATTAAAAATATTTGATAAATTTCAGGCAAAATAGAGAGTTCATTGATTCTTAATAGATTGGTATAAATTGATGGAGAAAGCTTGAAAGAAAGTAATAGATCTAGATTTTGCTATTGTACTATTATTAATAAATAATTCGATAATAATAATTAATTAATCAATCATCAAAAAAGTGATTGATTAATCGAACAAAATTCAAGTCTTTTTAAGATTTTAATTTTGTTAGTATCCACAAGAGACGCAGGATTGAAACTGTAATCAAATATTTCTTAATATTTTTCATATCCTATTTAGCTATCTAAATATTTATCTTTTTATCTATTACATATCTTTGTTTTCTTTCTCAATTTAATTTGTTGTATGTATTTAACAATTTTAATTGAAATCTAAGTCATAGTGAGATAGATAGATACGCTCATTAAGTTTATTAGATTTTTTCTGTAAAATATGGATGATTCAATATTTGTTAGCTGTTAGGCCTGTTTTGTGGATTATATTATAAAAGCCTTTACAAAAGGTCTTTGAGTAAATTTAATTACTCTAGTTGAAGACCTTAGGCTAACATATCTTTGATTCTACTTTCAAAAAGATTCCAAAATTCATTTAGACGATCTTCAACAATCAAGTTATAAATTGGATCTTGCTTGGAGGGCTCTTTTTAGAAGGGATAAACTCCAAAAATTGAAGAAAAGCACAAAATGCCATAGCAAAAGATATCATTCGCTTTCATGCTGATATTTTTTACAAGATTCTACATTTTCTCTTGAGAAGTTATTATTTGTTATTGCTCATTATTAGTCAGATTGCTTCCAACAGTTACATCTGTTGAAATAGTCATCTGACTATCACTAATTTCCTCTTCTCCATTAACTGATGTTACTGATTTTTAGGGTTCATCACAGTATAAAGAGCAAGCTCTTTTGAAGTTGCTGTTTAATATTGAAGATAAAGAAAGAGCATTATTAGGGATTTAGCCTTCTTTTTCAATTTCATGAGTAGTTTAAGAGGTTGTTTCCAAAAGATAGCAAATATCTAGCATTTCTGGGCTCATGTATTTTCTGTTACGCAATTTCCAGCTTTTCAAGTAATCGATTGTTTAACATTGCTCATCCACACAAGAGAATTCAAAATCAGCTAGTTTCAAAATGAGTCGACCCTTTTTTGAAGAGGTCTTTTTTGACTACTTTTTAGACCCATCTGAGTTAGTCGAGTCTTTCCTGCGAGCAGATTAGTCAGATAATGAACAGGAAGATGAAATATCTCCTCCAGATTATTATTTATTTGTTAATTCGCTATAAGTTTCTGATTGAGTTGTTGAACGCGACATTTAGTCTTCAGTATTGATTTGAGGCTTAGAATCAAAAGTATTTGTTTTACTTTTTGATTACTGGTAAATACTTGTTTTATCAGCCTAAACAAACAAAAGACAGTTTTCCAATTTAATGTCATTGTGGACATAATTTTTTTGATGAAGATAGTCAATCGCCGAGGCTATATTTCTCAATAAAGAAACTTGTGTTCTAAAAAAAGCCTTAGTACGATTTTAAAAGAAATGAGTCAAATATTCTAAAAAATCACAGTCAGCTTACTCAAGTCGGATACAGCACCTCTCTTCATTTTGATAGAACTGAATGTCACATTTAACTATATTAGGATGATTCATTTTAACCAAAATGGAGTGCTCTTTCTGCAAACGCTTGCATTTAGGAGAGTGGCAATAATTTCCAGTTTCTACTGAAGAAGATTTGCTTTAATTGTTTAATGAATGAAGTTATCTTTTTTTGAATACTCCCATTCAATTCAATTTAATCAATCAATATTTGTTATTATGAATTTGATTTTTTTAATTAGAAATTCAAGCAAATAAATCAAAGTCAAATCAAATCAAGTGATAAGCAAATAAATAAACAAGACAGAAGGCAAACAAATAAATAAATAAATAAAGAAAGAAAGTAGAGCGGAGGAATGTTTTTTGGATATTTTACTGGAGTAAATTCTTTAGGTTGTTGTCGATAAAATTTCTTTGTTGATTTTTGTATTTTTATCTATTATAATATTTTTTATTATTTTACTTTTAGAAAATACTTTTTTAAGGTAAAATAAATCAAGGGATTTTTCAGTTAATTTAAAAAGTAAAAATTTTTTAAAGCACTGACTGATTGATTTACTAACTAATTTTTTCTCGAAAAATACTTAAACCGATTTTATTTTTTTGATATTTTTTATTTCAGCAAAATATTTTATCCTAAACAGCCAGCCTTTCAAATTCAATCAAGATAGATGGCAATCAAACCAAAGTAGAGAGTAAAACTGTGTCTGTAAAAAGCTTAGCTCTTGAAGTTTTTTGTATTTTGTGATGATATTTGTTTATTTGTTTATTTATTTTCTTTTTGGGAAAAGAAATTTGATATTGTTTGAATCAATTATAAATTATAAGAATTGCTTTGAAGTGGTGTTTTAAGTAGAGGTAGGAATTCTCTTTAGCATAGATAATTAGATCTATTTGAATTTTTTAATTGATTAATTAATTTGCTTGATTAATTGATTGATTATTTGTTTATTTTTGATTTGTCCATAATATTAATAAGCAATTCATTTATATTTATATGTAACTAACTATTTATGGTGGGTGAAATAAGAGTTAGGAAGAAAGGAATTAATTAACAAAATCAATTAATATTAACAAAAAATAAATAGTAAAAAATATTATTTGCTCGTAATTATCAGAAATCAGTATAAGAAAAATCATAAAAATAAATTACATTCAAAATTAAAAAATTGGATTGATTTTTTTCCTCATTTAAACTAGTCAAAGTATAATATTTCTATGCAGTATTTTAATACTGGCAGATTTATTAATTAATTTATTTATTGTATAAGAAATATTATCTTTTATATTTCATCTTTGCCATTTATTTAATGCTTTTTTTACTTAATAACTTGAGTTTAAATTCCAACATTATTTTTTAAAAAGTAAAACAGCCAGACAGAGAAACAGAAAGACATCCAGCCAGCCTGTATGCTCAGCTTCCCCTTATTATTATAAATCAACCCGCCCCACCTTTTTATTATTTAAATATCTATTTTAATTTAAGAATATATTAAAATGGTTCCTCTTAATTTTATATTAATAGCTGTTATGTCTAAGTTCCGCTAAAATCATATTATTGCTTTTCATCTTCTTTTTATTTTTTAGATTTGCTTTGTTTTTGCTTTTGATAACAAATAAAAAAATCAGGTAAATTAGAAGAAATTCAAAAAATTTTTAAAACCTGATATTCATTTAATTACACGAAAAACAATAATTGATTTTCTAAAACTTCTTCTTTACTTTATTAAACCATCAAAGCTGGCTGTATTTCTCTATTCCAAAAATAAACTTTCACAAGGAATACTTAGATGATGCAAAGGGAGTAATTCAGCTCCAATTTCGATCAGAAAAACAAAATTTGACAGAATACTCTAAAATATATTTTAAATTTATTTCTAATTGCATTTAAAAATCAAAGTAGTTAGCCAGATTTTTGAACTAACAGCAATACTAGCGTTTTTTATCTAATCTGATTAAATTTGTGTATAAAACAAATAATATCGTGAAATACTAATTAATCAACTATAATAATTCAAAATTTAAATAAAACACAAAAACAAACATCATAAATTTTTTAAATCAAATAATCTTTTTTTCTTATTACTTTGTTTGATACATCAATTTTGCAAAAAATTTTGGTAATTTTTATTAAAATACTTAAAAATAAATTAAAAAATATTACGCAAAGCTAAATCAGCGTCATCTTTAAATCAGATTTATCTTTACTCATTTATTCTGCTTTAAAAACTCTCCTTTCTTTAAAAATCTTCAACTTAATTTTAATTTTACTATTTTTAAAATTATGTTTGTTCTTTTATTATAAGCTTGAAAAATACAAATTATTTCTTACAGTTTTTTTAGTAATTAAATAGAAAAATTGTACTTTTTTGTATATTAAAATCAACCTTAATTACTTTTTTAGATTAGTTGTCATTGAATTAAATAATTTTATTAACCTTCATCAAAATACTCTCTTTTTAATTTTGTTTACTATTATGTGGAATTAATTAATTTATAAGTTTTTCTTCAGTGGGATCTCCGCCTAGTGGCTAATGTTCTTTATCAACATTAAAGTTATCAAAATTAAATTTACAATATTTAAAATGAAATTAATAAATAACAACAATATCTATTTAATCAATTAAATAATTTTCAAGGTGATGAAACATAAAGATAGGTCAATTTAAGATACTCATTAGTTTTCTAATTCAATAAACAAATCTTTTTTTTTTTAAAGAATAAATTTAGGTCTATTTGCACTCAAATATTATCTATAAATAAATTGATTAAATAATTTAATTTATACATTAATGAAAAAATATTAGAAAGGTTTAATCAAATATTTAGTCACATCCATCAAGAAAAATAAGTAAACAAATATCTTGAAATTTTTTGAAATTAACTTATTTTTACAAGTTGCTTTTTTTTAATGTAAATCAAGTTATCAATTATTGATTAAAGTTATTCTTTTAGAAATTATAATCATAACAAAACCATAGTTGATGTCTTCTTATCTATACTTATGGTAATAAAATAATAATTCAATGTTAAGCTAAGAGGAAAAATAAATCAACCCTTCAATTATTCATTTATCAATTAATATAATCTAATTAATTTACAGTATGAAACGTATTTTCTTTTGTTTTAGACTTAATGATTTTAATTATTTGAGTTTTTTTAAAGTAGATTAATAATGAATGTATGTATGTTAATTTAATACCTCATATTTATTTTTAGCTTACAATTTAAAAAATAAATTAAGTAATCAGAGAAGCTTTTTATTAAGTAAGATCTAATTAATTAATTAGTATTTATTTTAAGTGTAAGATAAGAACTAAATATCGAAAGTTATGAGAAGTAAATACCAAAATATAAAGAAAGTAAATTTATGATTGATTTTAATGCTTAACAAAATTTAGCTAAGTTTCATTTTTATTTTATAAAAAATTTATTCCAAATAATTATGACGTTGATAATAATGATCATTTATACAATCAAAACTTAAAAAAGTGAAGAAAATATTATTGAGAAATAGGATTTTATGAATAAAAATGTAATAAATACTACACTATAATTTTATTTATATTACTTAATAAAAACTAAATAACAGATTTATTTTCATTAATAATTTATCTAAGAATCTAATTAAAATTACAATTTATTTTCTTTTTTATGAGTAAATAATATTTTTAGTGAAAAAAAACCCAGCCTATCTATTTAAATGTCTATTTGAAAATTCTAAAATACGATATCAAAAAAAGAAAACCATCAATCTTTTACATTATACATATATATTACTCTCAATTTATGTGGCTGTATATAAAAATTGCTTAATAATGCATTAATAAGATATTTGATGACTAGTTTACTAGTAGAAATAATCATAATAGAATTTCATTTACATAAAAATAAAGTAACCAAAACTAACTAACTAAATAATGTCTTTCTTATTAAAATTTCAAATTATGATTTCTTAAATTTAAAAATATTTCAATGAAATTTTAGCCAAGCTTAAGTCAAATGTAATTTTAATGCATATTTTAAAATGTAATCTATCTCAAAGTATTTTATAAAAACAATTTTTTTTGCAATATTAACCTTAATTATTTGATTTATCATAAAAATATTAGTGAATACAACTTGAATATTAAATAGATCATGTATTAATATTATTAATTATTGAAAATATTTCTTTCTATAATGTTAATCTCACTACTAACAAAATAGATCAATAAAATATTTTTTATCTTTAATAAAAGGCAGAAGGCAATTTTAAGAATGCTTTCATTAAAATTTATTTTAGTTTTTTTATTACAAAATAAATATTTGTTGCTTTTTTTGTTATGGTGCTTACTGATTAAAATAAATATTGATATATTTCGATAGCTCGAAGATTGCTTTTAAAGAAATCCTTTTCTGATTTCATCAAATTAATTAGTAACTAAAATTAAGACAGAATTTTTGATTAAGTTCTTTAACTTCGAAGAAATACTTCAGTGGAAAATAATCAATATTTTTTTCTTTAAAAAAAGTAATATAAACAAATTTAATTTACACTTTTAACAATTTTAAAATTAACTCTTTTCAGATCAACTTAAGACAAGTTAAATTCAAAAGAGAAAAATATTCACTTAATAAGATTAATACAACTACTTCCTTTTTAACATTTTTCTAGATTAATCTTTTTCTTAATTTAAAAAATAAAAAGAAATTCATCAAATTGTAGGTCTATAAGTATACTTTAGAAAAAAAATGTAAACTGATATTAATCAAATCACTTTACTTTAATTAATTAGTTTATTTTCCACACAAATTTTATGAAAATAAGTAAATTCTCATATTTTTTTCTTATTTCTATTGATATTAAAAGATATTTTTTTTTTTAAAATTGAATTGAAATTAAGAGCGAAATTTCTAAATTATAAGTAATAAAATATATATTTACTTATTTTTAAATAAAAAACAACTTATAAATTAAGAGAAACCTTTAGAATAGCTGATCGCTTTTTATATCTAAATAAAACTAACTAGAAGTTTTCCTTTTCTTTGTAAAATTAACAATTCAGTTTACAAATATTTCATTAGGTTTTTAAAAGCTTACAATTCATATTTTAAATAATTTTAGTAAAATCTCATGAAAAAATAAAGAGTAAAACAAATTTACAGTAATAGAAACTACTTTATTATTGTAACAAGTTAATATTTATGAATGGTTTTGCAGTATTCAAAAGTACTAAATTAAACAAACTAATCTTCAAAAATCAATATGAATATGAAGGAAGAATCGATCAATATTTTAAATGAAAAATTATTATTTTTTTTATTAAAATATTTTTTTTTAATCAGTTGAAAAAAAATAAAAAATTTTAAAGTAAATGCCATTTAAAGTTAAAAATTAATAAATGTAAACTTAAAAAATATTAATTTTGTATTTTTTTAAATTCAAACTCAACCTTAAAATGGCTATTGCAGAAAAATGTTTAAGAGATTAATTTGATTAAACAATAACTAAATTTGGGTTTCATACTAAGTTTTTTTATTAACTAAAAATACAAAGTAGGTATTTAACTTAATTTGATGAGAGAAGATATTTTATGAATATTAGAGTGATTACTGATATTGATGTAATTATTTATTGAGAAAATATAAATAATATTTTGTAATAAACCATTCAATTAATTTTAAAATTAAAAGAATAAAGTAATTCTAAACATCCTTATTATTTTTCTTTTTTGATATCAAAATTATTAAAACATTCTTTTAAATTTTTCATTTTAAACACCTAAAAAAATGATAAATATAAATTCAGATTAGCCCTGATAACATCAATAGATAGAATGCTAACTGTTAAGAATTTATGGGAATTTTTTATCAGATTAAGGGAAACTTAAAATTGTATTTATATGCTAATAGATTAACGAAGTTTCAATATTACAAAAGAAGAAAAACTCTAGAATTCATTCATTCATTAATAGATAAAACTAATAAATAATATTATAAATGAATAAATAAAGAAGTTTGTTATTTATGATGATTTATTAAGAATCAATTATCAATTCATTAATTCAAATGAAAATTTGATCGTCATTTAATATTACTAATCTGCTTTTAATAATATTATTAAAGCTTAAAATAAGAAAGAAAGAAAATAATTAATAATATTCTTAAGCACAAATACATTTTTCAAATTTTTAAAATAATAATTAAAACTCTCCATCTTTCTTCTCAAGCTCAATAGCACAACACTCTCTAGACTATATCTTTTAGATAAATTAATGAGTAGATAAGAGATTTCGGATAATAATCAAACTATAAATAGCCAAAAAAATAACTCTGATAAAATTAAATCTTTGAAAAAAAACACATAATCTATTGAGAAGCTTCTACATAATTTAGAAGATGCATAGCTTTATCAAGATTAACTTGCAAAGGAGTAAGACATTTTCAAGTTAATTAAGAGAAGAATGCTACAAACCAATTTATCTGATAAGCGTGCTCTAGGAGGATTGCTAGGCACTGCTATACTTGGAGTCATAGGACTTGCAGCAGGTTTAAATATATTAGGAGTTGTAATCGGAGGAATTTTAGGAGCGTTTTTAGGAAGTTACGCTGGTAAAAGGATTAAAGAAAATGCCCTGAGGAAGAAAAAATTAATGAACATTGATTTACATGTCATTAAATTTGCTGCTTACGTTTCTTATTTGATGGATTTGCAATCTCAAGTGTAAGATTCAGAAGAATTAAGGTATAATTTATAATAATTATTTTAATCATAAAAAAGAACAAATAATTTTGAGATGTTAAAATAATACATTCCCCTTTTAAATATTTTAGGATGACCTTGATACTTCTTATGTCTGATTGTAAAATGCTAATCCTTTATAGCTAGAAGTTTTAGAAGTTAGAAAAAAAGCAGACAATTAAAATATAGAAGAAGCTCTTAAAATTACTAAAAAAGGACAAATTCATGCTAGCTTGCTTAGAAATGTACTGGATGGTAAAGCACTGGATAAAAGATAGCTAAAAATATGCTTAAATGCCCATTGAAGCATAGGAGTAAGTTGAGAAAGAAATAGCTAGAATTTCTTTCAATTTTTTACGCCCTTTATCTAAGCTGATGGGAGTAAATATGAGAAGCTTAAATGAAAAGCAAAAAAAGCTTGAATCAAAAATAAATCTGCTCCTTATGACAGCCCCTATATTGAACCTTCGTGAGAAATTTGCTCAATAATAGCATTTTTAAGAAGGAATTGAGTAGGAGTTTCTTGAAAACATTTACAAAGAAGTAGAATTATAACAGTTGAAAGAAATATTAGAAGATCAAATAGCTTAAGACATTCTCAAAGAGGATTAAATAGAAATTCAAAACTAGTAAAAATCAGAGTTAAATAAAAATAGTCTTTCTCACTCTAAAAATTAAGCATAGTAAGATGAAAGTAAGTCATAGGATGCTTAAGAAAACAGAGAGCCTTCTAACAATAACAAGTCTGCTAGTTAGAATTAGTAATCAAATATTCAATCAGTCTCGAACAACAATTCACAGATTCAACCCAATCCAAATCATTTTCATACCAATACTAACAAATAGAGGTTAATTGATTTAATAAATATGGCTTCTTAATAAAAGTAATAGGAGGAAGATTTCACAAGCTTTAATTCTAAATTCGCACTTGAACACTTTTAGTCTTAATTTGGCAGATAAAAATATTTGCAAAATGATAAGCCTAAAGTTTTGCTCTTTGAAAAAATGGCAGGAGAAAAGTAAAACGAATAAATAGAAAACCAAGCAGAAGGTAATTAAGTTAGAGAAGAGAAAAAATAAAACAATACTTTTTTGATTACAAATTTTCAACATTCAGATGATGTTCTTTATGAAGAAGACTAAGTTGATAACTAAAACGGGACACGCCACAATCAAAAAAACCTTGCGTTGTTAGATTTGCAGTATTAATAATTTTTGAAAGACTAAAATGCCAACAAAAAGGCAAACGACGGATATATCCCATAAAAGTTTTTATCAAATAATGGAATTGATGAAAATCAGTTTGCAAGCCAAGCTGTTTCTTCTAATGAAATTTAATAATAAAATTGCCAATAAGAACAAAACCAAAAGTCCAACTCAAAAAAATCCTTAAGTAATTTTGTTAAATCAATAAACGATTACAACTAAAACAATGAAGACTAAGAAATTGGAGAAAAAGATACCAGCAAAACAGAGTCAAAGTAAGAAAGCCAAGTAAATGATCCTGCTAATTATTTATCTCATGGAGAGGATAATAATAAGCATTTCAAAAAGAATGTGTAGCTTGTCTATTAAAAGAAATATTAACCAAGCAGAAATTCTCAACAAACGAATAAGACAGGAAGAATGAGTAACATGAGTTTAATTATGGATGAAGAAGATCTTTAAGCTGCTATTTAAGAACTTAAATTTGATAACTAAATGCTTAACCAAAATAAAGACATTCGCATTAAGCACATCATCCATGAAAATCTCCATTAAGTTGAAAATAGCCCTTCTCAAAGCTTTGTCAGGAATAAAAGAGGAGATGTTTTTCTTAAAATGAACAGTTTTGATTCAATATCAACTCACTAAAACCAAATAAAAGAATCTTTTGTTGATAATAATAACATTAAGTAAGACAATTAAGTAGTAATTGATATTAGCCAGATTAATTAGCTTCAAAATGACGAAGTTGTTCATATAAATCATATCAAAGGATCTGATAATTAGGATCATAAAAAAGATACCCATTTTCATGTAGAGCATGCTCCTAAATCAAGCTTTTGCTCCAATTTCGGCGAGCCAAGAAACAGTTAAAAAAGTATTTTAGGAAACGAACTTCACCAAAATCATGAAGAGTAATAAATACTAAAATCACCATCTTAGAGAAATTCATTATCTTAAAGCAAAAATTTGAAAGTCATTCACAATGAAAATCATGGAAAAAACTAAATTGTGCACTTAGGCTAAAATTAGCTCTAAGAATTTGAATCAAACAAGAAAGATTTCTCATCTTCTAAAGGAACAAATAGTAATCTATAAAGGGTTTTTGCTTAAGAAAAGGGTGAGGGACACCATTTAGGTGCCATACACTTAGATATAGAAAATAGTGGTATTTATGCTAAAGATGACCATGAATAAGTAGATAGAGTAGTTATTTCAATGCTCACATCTTCTTAAGTAAAAAAGAATAATTCTTAACAGAAAGTTGATGTAGAAATTGAAGAAAAACTCATAAAACTAAAAGTACTTGATGATGAAGACCCAGACAAGTGCTGGGAAAAGGTAATAAACAAGGATAAGATATCAATTTATAAAAAATCAATACCAAATAACCCAAGTGTTATGGTGAGAGCTGAAGCATTTGTTTCTGAGTGCTCATAAGATGAAGTGTTTGAATAAATATATTATGAGAACAACCGTAAAAAATGGGATAAGGTAACCTTAGGGTTTTCAGTTATAGAGTAACTTGGAGAATTCGAAGATATTATATACTTTTACATAGATCCTGGGTTTGGAGTTACTAAAAGAGATTTCTTATAGAAGAGAGCAGTAAGAAGAGATTACCCATTAAAAGGTGAAATAACAATCGTTTTCTTCAGTACGACTCATCCATCTATGCCTGAAATTAAAGGTAATATTAGAGCTATCTCAAACATAGCTGCTTACATCATCAGACCAGTGAAAGAAGGTAAAAATCATTGTCATTTAACTATAATAACCTAAAGTGATATAAAGGGACAAATACCTAAGTATATTGTGAATTTCTTGGCAGCCAGAGCTCCTGCAAAGTGGATTGAGTCCATGAAAAAAGGAGTGCTTGATCATAGAAAGCAAAAAAAGAAATGAAATTTACTTTATATTAACTACTAATTAAAAAGGAAATATATTAAAATATCATGATAAAAATTTATAACACACATTAATATATATATTCAACAAATACTTTTAAAAGATATTTTATAAATTAAAATTGATAGTCTTGATTAAATTTCAAACTATCTTCTAACATTAATAAATATATAAAAAATTCTTAAAATTAATTTTCATATTATATAAATTATACTGTATTCCAATAAAACTTCATTTAGTAAAATTGATGTTATCTTTTATGATTTTTAAAGTCTATTTTTTATCGACCAAGCAGCAATCATTTAAAAAAAATCAGTCAAGTTAAAATGAAATAAAATCATAAAATATTTTTTTAAATGTTTATTGTATTAAAGATTAAAAAAAATAAATTGATCATGCTAGTTATAATGAAATAAAATCATTAAATAATATTTTTATTTTATTAAATATAAAAAAAAAAAATTGAAATATTACTTATTTGATTTTTTTTGTATTTTTTTGCGTTTGCCATCATCATCAATTATTTAAAAAATATCAAAATTTAAATTTTTATAAATATATTATAATGAATTAACCTTTGGTTTCAATTTGTTAAATAGCGCATAAACAAGTTTTATAATTTTGAGGAACGAATTTTTGTGTATTTTTTGAATCAAAAATTAAAAATAAGTAATTTAGTAAAAAAATAAATATTCTGCTTTCTAAAAGATAAAAAATAGGTTAAAAATGTCGAAGAATGCTGCCACTTAAGGATAAGAAGTAAAGAAAAAGTAAATGATGAATAATGACTAAGTTTTGAATGAAACTTAGAAGAATGAAATTAAAAAGGCTTTCGATTTTTTTGATATCACAGGTTCAGGAACAATTGAAGCAAAAAATTTAAAGGTTGTATTGCGTGCATTAGGATTCGATCCAACTAAAGAAGAAATAGTTAAGCTCATTAAGGAGTTAGGTAAAGGTGAAAAGCAATATGATACTCAAAGAATTGACTTTTAAGAATTCTTAAACATTATGATGGTTAAAATGAACTAAAAAGATTCTTAAGAAGATATACAAAAAGCATATAATCTCTTTGTAGACAAATAAAAAGGTGTAATTACTATGGAAAGCTTAAAGAAAGTAGTCTATGATCTAGAAGAAAATATGACAGATTAGCAGATTCTCTAGCTTATTAAAGGTGCCAATAAAAATTTAGATTATTCTGACAGCGACGAAGCAAACAAGGGTGATAAAAAGAATGATGAAGATCCTGTAGTAACTAAAGAATAATTTATTAAAATTCTCTCAAGAGATTTAAATGAAGAAAAAAGAAAATGAGTTAAAAATGTTTTTAAATTCAAGCTAACTAAATAAATAATAAAAAAAATACAATTTTATTTTAATAAATTTAGCATTTTTATTTTTAAAAAAAGTATCTTATTTATCTTTAAAATTCATATTTTTTGTTACTTTTCTCAAACCTAATTAATATTCTTTATAATTCTAAAACAAATTAAATTATTATAATCTTAAGAAGTTAGTATTAATTTTTGAATTTTAATATTTTAAATGAGAAAATAATTTTAAATTAAATGTTTTTTTCTTTTAAGGAATTATAATTATTTCATAGTGTTTAGGAAAATGAATTAATTATTTTTACTTTAAAATAATTAAAAAAATAATTAACTCTTTATTAAATTTAAGTGGAAAATGAATAAAATTTAAAATTGATATTTTTATTTAATATTTTGCTAACATATATTTAATAAATATGACATTAACAAAAGCAACATTCTTTTTACTAACAATAAAACATATTTATAACTTAGAAAATCATTTATTAACTACACAAGCTATAAAATGATAATAATTCATTCTTTATTAAATTTATGTGGAAAATAAATAAAATTTAATGTGGATACTAAGATATATTTAATAAGTATTATCTTAACATAAATAGCATTCTTATTACTAGCAATAAAATATTTATAACTTACCAAATCATTTATTAACTAAGGAAGCTATAATAAGATTTTTATCTTTTTATGGATATTATTTTGAATAAAATTTGTTAGTTATTAGGTTATTTGAATCAAAAACTGCAATTGTTTTTTTATACATATTTATTTAAATTCATTTTTTTTAATTTTGAATTTAGTGAAGAATTGCAATTGATTGATTTATTTCCTCTTTTCTCAATTTTTAAATTTTAAGAATCACATTAAATTATTAAGATTATTTAAAGACTTTAAAATGAAAGATTGATCAAGCTTATTTTAAATTTAATTACATAAAAAACAATGTAATGATAAATTGACATAAAATTATTATTTCTTTTTTGATATATTTTTATTTAAGAATTGATTTAACAATTTTTATTTGTTTTCATTTATTTAAAATGTGGTGCTTTACTAGATAAAACTTTATTCTTTTTTCCTTCAAAATAATAATGTCAGGCATGTACATATTATAAATAGTTCTAAAATAAGAGTATTCTTTGTTGAATCTTCCTATTAGTAACTTCTCAGTAACAATTAGGTAGATTATTAATAGCAATGTAAACATTCCAGAAACATAAATGATAATTATTGTAAGCTGGCCTTATAAATAGCTGTCTGAATTGCTACCCCAAATCTAAAGCAGATATAAATAAAATATTTCAACAAAATATATTCCTCTATCGTAATCAAATATAACAGAGTTATCAAGTTTTTCATATCCAGGAGTATTACTTATATAGTTATATACAGCATTTTTGTAAAACGAATTAAAAGAAGCAACTCCTTTTGCTATACTTCCTTATGCCACAACTTTACATTCACTTTGATTAGCACCGTCCTAGATTACTTACTCAGAAAATATTTCGCATGGATCGTCGTAAAATATTTAATTAAAAACATCATCGAATGTAAAGAAAGAAAGATTTTCAACTGTTGGCTAGAGATTTCTCTAGTTATATGCATCTAACTAAGCTTAAATCACCTGCTTAAAAGAGTTATTGTAATTATTGATATCTAATTTTTTTTCTTTAATTGCTATCATAACAACTATATCATCTCCAAAAATATCGATAAAAATACGACCATTATCTATAATCTTTTGAAGGTTAGTTGTACTCTGTAAAATTAGAAAAAGGAAAATTGTACTAAAGATTGCCACTAAAACAACGAAAATTCCAAAAAGTACAAAAATATTCACTTTTAATTCTGATAAAAAACCTCCATCTTCAATATTCTTTGATTTTTTGCCTACATTTTCATTTCCATCGTTTGGCTCTTCTAAGTCATAGTTGATAGATTATTTTCTTGCTATTTACCCATTTTCTGTTCCATCGTATTCACTGCCAATTCTACCTAGCCCATTTATTCCATTTTATTTATTTTGATATATTGCGTGAGTTCCCGAAAGCAAGTCATCTTTTTCCAAAATGTAAGTAAAGTTTTAATTCAAATTAATATTGTAATTTTTAATTTTCGTTAAATCCCTTTAAGATATCTTAGGAAATACCTATTGAGTAATTAATTAAAAATTATATTAAATAAAATGACAAATTATATTTTTTAATTTTTAATTAATTATTTATTTATTTTTTCATTTTTATTCAAACTAATTTAAGAAATAATTGTTTGTTTACCTCAATAACAGATTTAAAAGCGTTGCAAATAACGTAGATTAAATAGAAAAGAACTATAAAGGAAGAAACAAGCAAAATAGATTCAACTAAAATGATAATTATGAGGAAGTAATAGACTGAGTCAGTTGTTTATTTTAGGTTATCAACAAGGTTGTTTTAAGTAGATCTTAATCCATTGTATAAATTAGGGAATATATTTTGCCTAAAGAATGTGACTGGAGGTAATGTTAAAGTTATGTCAGAAGGCAGAGTGTCTTAAACTGTTTAAAGGGAAAATATCACTTAAGAAAAGAGGTCATATATATCTAGAGTGTATGTTTGTGATTTCAAATCAGTTGGGACATTGTTACCTGTGAAAAGAGGCTTTATGTATTTATTATAAGGGGTTATAGATTTATCATAAAAAGTCTCCTTATAATTTGTGTCTGAATTTATATTGTAGAAATAATCCGTTTCATTTTTCAATTAATAGCTTATTTAAGATTGATATGTTTTTTGATTCCAGAATTAGTTATTAGTTAGATCATATTAGTTCTGATTCACCATAATCTAATCTAAAAGGAGATTGTAAGCTTGAAGGGCGGACAATAAAACATTTTCAGCTTGGAAGACTTTATTACTTTGCTTACGCAAAACAGGAAATTGTTAATTAGGTCCATAGAAAAAAGTAAAGGCATTGAGAGCTATAAGAATTAAAAAGAAGAGTCTGACAAACATTTTCATATTTTATATCGTTTAGATATTTTTGTTTGGTTTATGATTATCCTCTTTGATATAAATGTTGTCATTTTAATTCAAACTGATATTTTTAGCTCCTTGCCTATTAATAAAGTCTTTGTGGAAAGTTTTCAAAGTCCTTTCAGACATAACTCCGTTTTCTTCAGCTTCACTTATGATTTTTAATTGATAGCCCATTCCATTTGTTTTACCTAAATTTATTTCTTCCTCTTCTTCTTTTTGAGGTAAAGCAGGTCCTCCATATTCCTCTGTATCTGAATTTATTTAGTCACCATGCTTATATTAGAACCTATTTTAATTTACAAAAGTATTCGTTGTTACACTCTATTGTCCATCTGACACTTCACTTCTCATGCTAATAAAATTATTTGCCTTTTGATTTCCGTCTGTAATGCTTTATTGCTTTCCAAATTCATGGAATTAACCTAAAAACATACAAATAATTTTTAAATATTAAATCAAATAAAACAAAATATTTCAAACTTAATTTCTCATTTTTAAATCTTTAATATTTATAAATAAATATTCACATTTTAAAATAGTTTTTCTTTTTCATTTTAATGAAAAAAAACTTTTAAAAAGAAATATTTTGAATCCAAATAAATTTATTTTTTTAATATTAAAATTCTTGTAACTAAATTATCTTTAATAATAATTTTGTTTATTGCAAGATTAGTTAGTGGCTTGAATTTATTTTTATATATTTGAAATCAAATCCTTACACCAATTTATTTATTTATTTAATAAATGAAATAAAAATGATTTATTGTTTTTAAATAAGTCTGCAAATTTAATTAAATATAAAACTAGAGAAATATAAATGAAAATTTAACTTTACCTGAAATCATAGACTAAAGTTTTTTACCAACATCTTTATCAGATCCTGAACTTTGCTTATTCAAATGCTTCGTAACTTTTTATTTTTTGATACATTCTTCAAATTTAATCAACTTCATGATAATCACCTTTTATTTTCCTGAATAAAATAAATAATCAATTAGTTAATTTTTATCTAAATTATTTTTAAAATAAATAATACCATATTTTTTAAATGAAGCAGTACATGTACCATTGTATTCTTTGATTGACTTCTTTTTATGATATTTCAAAATCAGATCTTTTAAAATTCCATATATTTATTTATCACGAGATTCTATTGTATTTGTTTGCATTTCACCAAATTTTTATGTGGATGAAATACCTTTAGTTATTTTTAAATTAGAAAGAACAGTTTAATCAACCCTTGAAGGCCTTCTAATAGTATTAGAACTCAAAAGCTAAGGATATTCTATCAGCATATCTTGCAAATTTTTGGGAATTCTAATACGAAAACTGATTTACTCTCCCTTTTCAAGATTATCTAACTTTATAAAATCGTTGACTTCATCATCTTGATTAAAATTTTCTTCACTTTCATCTTCATAATCAGATTTTTCAGATTCTTTTTGCTCTTCTGATTCAATTAAGCTATCAGATTATTTCGATTACACAATTGATTACTTTTTTTTCATTATCTCTTCCTTAACATAGTTAGTTTAAAAGAACTGGCTCTGCCCATATGTCAATTATTCTAGCATTTCAATATGAGAATTTCTTCTTTCTCTAGAAGGGGTATCAACATTAAGCGAATCTTTGGTGTATTCTTTTTGTAGCTGTTTTCCTTAATCCTTTTATTATAAATTTTTTAAATTAAATGCTTAAAGAAATAATAATAATTTATTTATAAATAAATATTTTAAACTGAAAAATCTAAATTTTTTCTATTCAATATCTTTAATTAAATTTTTAGTTTGTGAAAATATTTTTTAAAGTTTTTAATTTTAGATTTATTGAAATTTTTTTTTTTATGTTTAAAACTGTTAAAAATTTTTAAACGAAAATTAGTTGGTCTTTGTAAAATAAATTATTTTTAAATTGAAATGAAAAATTAATTTATAATTTTTATTAAGTTACTTTTTTATCATCATTATTATTGTCTGTGCTTATGATGAGAGTACGTTTTTTTATAAGCTTTCTAGTTCCTTACATATTAGGATTAAGTACATTAGAGGAGTTTTGCATTGTGTTACTTGCTAGAAGTTATTACTTTTATTAAACTGGAGATTCTTTTTCTGCTTTATTATTTTTGGATGGTTACTCTTTATCATCTATAAGTTACTATTCTTCAGCACCATTATTATTCTAATTTGCATTTAAGCTATACATTTAATTAAAAGTACTTAATGGTTTTAAATTGTTATTTTAATTAGAAGGACCATTAGGCTTGTTACTTTGAGGAGTAGATTCTCCACTTTCAAGATAAGAGCTATCTATGGCAGAATTAAATCCATTACTATCCTAATTTAAATATTAATTCTGCTATTCTCTCCTTAATTTTGCAAGTATACTTATCCTAGAATTTAAATTTCTTACTTAAGGTTGTTATGCTGTTAATTTACGCCTTTCATTATCTCTATTTTAAAATAATTTATAATCTTATTCAGTCAAATATTTAGCAAATTTAGTGAATCTAATCAACTTTGGCGATAAAATCAGTAAATTTAATAATAACTTAGCTGTAGCATTCTGATATTGCTGAGCACTTATACCTTTTAATTTTATATTTAACAATTATAATTAAATTTATAAAAGGTTTAATTAAACTTTATTTTATTTAAAGGAAGTAAAATTTGATAATTTAAAATAAATATTTTTACCAAAGCTTTCATAAAGTCCTTCAGACATAGAGTCAATATCCCATTCTTCATTTAAAATGATGTAATAAATTTTAATTCCTGCTGGAGGTACTATAGGTCTTATTAATGCTACATACTCACACCTACTATTAGTAGTTACATATTATTTAACAAATTTCCAAGCAGCAAACAAGTAACCTGCTTTATTCAAGCAAAATATCTTTCTTTAAGAGTAAAGTGTTTTAGTTTTACCTAAATTAATTAAAAATATTAATCAAATAAATTACAAAATTTTGAATTATGCTTTTACTTTTAGAAAAAATATAAAATATCTTTAATAATCATTTTAAAAAATTTTTAATATATGAAAAAACTATTAAGTATAGTTAATCAAATTTTAAAGACTTTATTTTGTAATTTTAAAGAAATAAATTTAACTAAATATTACCTGTCTAAACAAAATTTTTCATAACTAAAGGATGAATATTTTAGTATATCCTTGGCATAAGTTGAGTGATATAGACTTTGCCAACTAGATCTAATGAGGTGTAACCGAATCCATGATAGAGAGCTCTATTAACTTTAAGTATCAAGCCTTTATATTCATGATTTACATGAAAAATAACGCTCTTCTTGTCAAAAGCCATCTCTACTTTCTTGATGTATATTTTTTCCATTTCATCTGGTTTTAAATTAGATTGGACTGAGTGTATGTCATCATCCATATTATCCATTACAAGTTCTTCAGAAAATACTTCATTTTCATTAATATTATTGATTCCTGAAAATCTTTCAAGCATAGAGACTTTAATCTAAAAAAAATTAAATTAATTTAAATAATTTAATGTGTGGCTTAAAGTTGATGAAAGTGAAATATTATTAAAACAGTGATTTAAGTATTTTGGGACATCACTTCTTTATTTGAATTTATATTTGATTGCAAAAAAATTATGATTTTATTTGATTGGAAAACTTTATTCATTTTAAATATCAACAAGCGATAATTTTTAATCTTTAATTTTTTTTTTAATTAAATTTGAAAAAAGTTTTCATTGAATTTCAATTTAAATCAGTCCACCATTTTTATTTTATAAAAAATTTATTTCTTTAGTGTAAGAATCATTTAATTATTTTTAAGAAACAAACAATTATGACCATTTATTTTCTATAAAAAAAGGTAATTTATTTGTTTTAAATTTTATTTTAAATGCTTTGAATATATTTTTTTATTTTTATCATAACTCTTTTTTTCCTTTTCTTTTCGTTATTGTTAAATGATTTAATAAAAGTGAATACCTTTTTGTTCAAGATGTACAAATAATACCAACAATAATAAAATCTCCATTTTTTTCTGTAATCCAGATAATACATGGATTGCTTCCAAAATTTCTTCAAAAGATCTAATTAACTTTAAGAAAACTTTGCAAATTTGTTAATTTCATTTAAATTTATGTTCGCTTTTTCCAAATATGCCCAAAATCTAATATTATTTTTGATGATGAACTTGATTCCTGACTAGATTTATGAAATTTTTTCCTCAATAGGAATAACAGATTCAACCTCTAACTTATTTCTGTTATCTTTATCGCTTTAATTTAGTCTGTAAGAATCATGGTTTCTTTTACGGTTATGCTTTAAAATAACGTGTTGTAATCTGTAGAGTCTAAATTTTTGAACAGGAGTTAGATATTTGTTTTCTAAGATTGCTAGATTTTTCAAAGCAAGTGAAATGTTTTTCATCTTAAAGTACAAAAATTCAGCGTAATATAAGTAATTTATGTAATGTTGAGGGTTTAAGTATAAATGAGTTTCATGCCAGGATTTAATTAAGAATTTTGTAAAGATTGAATTGTTCTATGTCAAGAATATTTTATCAATCGATGTATCTTTTCGCTTTTTAGGATCGTAAATTATCTTTTGTTTGCAAAAACATGTCTCATTTTCGTTAGGATGTGGGCAAGGATTATCTAAATGCTAACATATTATACCTTTGTAAATAGAATCATAATATATATTTGAACTTGCTGCAGAATTTAAGCGCTAAAAAAGAGAAATTTTATGAAATAGTTAAGATGAACTTAACCTTTTGAAGTCAATTTACTGTACTAGAATATATCTCAAGAAAGCTTCTCTTAATTTATAGTTTAGACATGCTATTAAAATATTCATAGCAAAGAAAAATAGCAAAAATTTTTCATTTTTATCTTTAAATGTGTTGGAAAATCGCATAATTTCATCAACAACAAAAGCTATTTGCTATGATAAAAAATAATTAAAGCTCAATTCATAGGCTGTTCTTAAATTGTTATTGGCGTAGGTAAAGCTAGCTTGAGTAAAGTTATAGCGAATATATAAGTAAATAAAAGCCAAAGTTTGAATGAGCAAAAATAAGACGAAGTAAGCCTAGCTTTGAGTAGCTCTTATAGTAGTAAATATTACTAATATAAATCTACAAACACTCACTTCAAGGAGAAATTGTGGCTCTTTTTCAACACTTATTGCATCTTTCTTGTATAACTTCATATTGTAGAAGTATACTTGCAACCACCACTCATTAAGCACAGAAAGAATAATGCCAACTAAAGAGAAAGAGAAAACAATAGTATAATAACTACTCTAATCTGTATTGAAACTGCAATTTTGTGATTCCCCTTCTAAATTTTCTTAACTGCAAGTAATGAAGCTGAGAAATATTACATTAAAAGGGAAAAATAATATCTGTTAAAAATAATTAGCCATATTGACAAACCATCTCCCATAGAAATATTTTCTTGGCTTTATTTTTGGATTTAAAAATTTTTCTACATAGCAAAAGCCATATAAAAAAGTCATAATTATCATGTAAATAGAGGCACCTATGGCTATAAGCATGGAAGAGGATCCAGCAAAGCCAATTAATTACGCTACATCTAAATATTTTAAGCTACCCATTAAAGAAAATGTTGCTGAAGATTGACTAATGTTAGGATACTATGCTTTAATTAGAATCAAATAATTATTAATGTTGGTAATCGACATCGTAAAAGTAAGAATAATAAATAAAAATAGCGATTTCTCATAAGAATTAGTTTTCAGTCGAAGCAGGATAATAACTGTTTCAAAATGTACTTACATTAAAGATTTTTACATCTATTTTAATCTTTATCTTCCCAATTTACTTTTGTTATTATCGCCATTTCCAGTTTACATTAATCCTCCTAAAATGTCATCTTTATAAGAAATTGTGGAGCTCATTATCAATAAAAAAACCTTCTTGTAACTTTAATTTAAAAGGTCTTTATTCAGTTCAATTTACACAGAAATTTCTAATTTCCTGCTTTTAGTATTGCTGAATTTCCTACTTAAAACTATTTCTAAATGCTGCCTTTTTATTTCTTTAATAATTAAGTTTAAAACTAAGATTTTTTTCTGTTTATACAGTCGGCGATACTAGTTAGTCTAATTAATTTGACAATAATTTCTTGAAAAAAGCTTAATTAACAACTAAATGAGTAATAACTGCATAGCTTTTTTTTGAATCAATGTAAATATAATTTAAATTTCTAGTGTTAATTTGTATCAAGAACTCGTTTATAACCTACTAATTTTTATATTTTATTTCATTATAACTTACTTAATCTAATTAAATCTATTAAAGTACAATTATAGCATGCTTTATAACACTACATTTGATGAGTAATACTTGAAAATAAGTTTAAAACATTTAAAAAAATACTTTTCTAATTTTAAAAACAAAAACTTTATTCATAGTAACAGTATTTTAATAATAAGAAACACAATAGTTATTAATATTAAAAATTAAATATAAATTTAAAGTAAAATTACATTTTATTTTGTCATACTGTAGTAAAATAAGCAACATAAAAGATCGTGCGTGATTGATATATCAATTCAGTAATGTAAAGCAAAATGATAATTAATAATATTAATTAATGAGTGAAAATAAATTTTTAAAAAATCAAAAAATATATAGAATTAAATAGTGAATGAATGGAATAAAAAAATAAGATATTTTATAAAAAATAAACAATATTCTTTATAACCATAAATCAAATAAATAAAACATATTGATCGTTATTATTGAAGATTTATCCAACTAATTATAATTCAAATAATTTTCTTTATAAATAATTTTATTTTCTATTTTATTCAGTATCTAGCCTTTTTAGTTTCTCAATTTTTCCATTATAACCATAACATTATTACTTTGCTTTCTTTGTTTATTTAACAATAAGAGCATATTTTAAATGAACAAATAAATTCTTTTCGTTTTTATTAAATTTATTCTTCGTCAATTGCTTTTTTCTAGACTTAATTATCTGATTTTCTTTGTAAAACAATCAAATACTAACTAACTTTGTTAGCTCCTTATACTATTTTAGGAAATTAATTTATTCTTAGTAATTTTTAAATTTGATAAATGAGTATCAACCTTGATTTAAATAATTGAATCCAATCACTTCTAAATTTTTCTAATTGATTTTAATATTTTTAATTTGAAATAAATATATTTTTAAATAGATTTGATTTTGTAGGAAAATATTGGGCTGTTTGTAAAAATATAAAAATAAGTTGCTCAAACCAAAATAAGAAAAATATGAATGATTTTCTTGATTAGTCAATCATATTATTTTGATCGTTTTGATAATTAATTATATTATATTTTATTTTCCTTTTTTTAATTTTTATTTATTTATTTATTTATTTATTTATTTTGAAAATCTTATTTTTCTTAGAATGAATGCCAAAAGAAAGAGTCTTAGAGATAAGTAAAGTTAAGGAGTAAAAAAGAAGTTAAGAAAGCCTGATTACATAAAAAGCAAATTTATACAAGAATTATAAGATTGATTACTAACTAACTAACTATCTAACTTACAAATAACTAACTAATTAACTTGAAAAGACTCACACCTCCTTATTGTCCATGAATTAATGTTTGAGTGTTTATTAATTAATAAATAAATTAAAAAGAAAGAGTTAGATAGGAAGAAAAACAAGAATAAATGCTAATGGAGGAATCTAATAAAATTCATTGATTGATTGATTAATAGATAGATAGAAACCTGTCTATCTATCAGTACATTATTTAATTGAAAGATTTTATCTTGATTACTAAGGAAGGTGCTATTTATTATTAAGGTTGATTAGAGGGTTATATAAAGAATTTGTTAATTTAATGATATGGTTATTTAATGTTTAAAATGTGATAAGTATGAATAAGAGTAGCCCTGTGCATGTATTTATGTATGCATCTATGTATGTATACATGTTGGTAAGCAAGTAAGTTATTATGTAAGTATGCGATTATGCATGTTACTGTTAATTAGTATTTATTTATTTGATGAGTATAAGTAGTTAATGAAGTGATCAATCAACATGTTGGCTTTTATGTATCAAAAGTATGTTTATTTATTTGTTTGTTTGTTTATTAGTTATTGTGGCTGCTTTCTTATTCATTTAAACATTGAATTAGTAGTGAGCTTATAAATTGTTTGTATATATAGAGAGTTATAAATATATAATAAATGACGAATATTAAGCTATTTTCAATTTAAATTAAAAGTTATTCATTGATTAGTTAATTAGATAGACTCCATATTCATCAGGTATTATTATTAAGTTTTATACATCATCTTCTGCTCACTTTTAATGGGACTTCCATTGGAAGATTGGTTATTTCCACATTTTGTCAATTAATTCAACAAAATAATTTAGTATACTATCTCTTTTCGGTTCATCAATTGCATTAAACCAAACTTCTAATCTAACACCGCTTTTCTTAGCACTACCTTTATCAGCAAATCTAAATCCACACATCTTTTTTACATTTAAAAATTGATTAAAATAAAATAATCTTTCAATTGTAATTTTGCATGCTTTGTTTATGTTTATGAATAAATTATCATAATATGTACACACTTTTTGTTTTTTTTTCTTTATTTAAATATTAAATATGTTAATTAGAAAATTAATTTGATACATCTTCTTGGTAGGGGAATTCTTCACTTAAAACTACAGTAAGACAATAAGCATAAATATTGTCTATTTCATCAGGATTAGCTCCAACAAATTTAGTTTATAAATCATAACCTTTATTGTTATTTTCATCTTCCCAAATAGGCTTAATTCCTTTTTTGAAAAATGAAATGGCATCTATAGTTCTCATTTTTTCATCACCATCATATTAAAACCTGATTGTTAAAATAAACTTTAAATTTGAAACGCACTAACTAAATGTAAATATTATTTTATAAAAAACTATCAAATATCAAAGAAATTAAAAAAAGAGTTTCTTTTTTAGCCTATAAAATAGATGATACAAAGTTTAATATGATTGATTTAAGAAAATGCTACTTTTTAATTTGTCTAAATGTGAAAAAATCTGATATCTTTTTAAGACGAGTGTCTTGGAGGATGAGACATAAATCTCTAAGCTTTTTGAAGGAAAAAACTACTTGATTATTTTTGAAAAAGGTCTTTTCATCTTAGTGTGTATTTTAGTTTTATTATTCAGGACTAAAGCACATCCATATAACCCATTCACTTGAAAATTCAACAACTTTAAGGACTTCCATGTCTTCTTTTCTTTTAATTTCTTCTTGTAATGCTTTTTCTGCTTAAGCTTTTAATTCTTTTTCGGCTTCAGCTTGTTTTATTTTTTCTGCTTCTTCTTCTAATTTCTTTTACTCTTCTGCTATTTTTTATTATTCTTCAATAGTAGGCTCTTACATGATCTCCTACTCTTAGACAATTTCTTAAGCTTCTACTTATAAGGAAGGTTCTTAAGCAGGTTCCTACTATTCCGCTAAATTATTTGAAGAATGATTTTCGTTTTTCTAAGCCTCTTCATTTGTTTTAAGATTTTCTGGAGTGCTTTCATTTATTTAATTTTGATTTTAGTTTTAGATAAGTTCTCCTTAATTAAAATTCTGCTACTATGGCTCAAAAGACTATGCACTTGTCAGCTATTGAGATTAGTCATCTCCTTAAATATACTACTACTATCCTTATTACTGAATTTATCCATTCTATTCACTTCTATCAGTAGATGAAAGTGATTGATTTCTAGAGCTACCCTGCTTGACTGAATTTTCTTAATTGTCTTGACCTTGCTACTTATCCTAGAAACTATCTTATTTTTACACATAAATTTAGTTTTAACCATAGGAACTATGTCTATTATTGTGATGGTAATCATTTTGCTTTTCCTTATAATGTTATTGAGAGTTGCTACCTTGATTATTGTTGTTGTTGTTGTAGTTCATATTGTTGATTGATTAATTCTAAGAATTCTGCTAGTATTGTTAATAAGGCTTTTGATTATTGTAATTTATATTATTCATATTACTGCTGCTGACATTAGGATAAGTATTTGAATTAATATCTTGCTAATATTTATTAGGATGATTTCTTTTGTTAAAATTGTTATCTTAATTTTTTGGATAGCCTTTCTAATTTTACTGCTATTGCTATCCCTAATTCTATTTGTAGTAATTACTTCCTTAATTGTTGTAACTCTTGTTATTGGTTCCGCTATTACCCATATTATCTCTACTTTAATATTTTGGATTATTTTATGTCACACCCCCATTATTACTATTGCTTATGTTGCTAAGTTGTTAATTGCTGTTATAATTATTGCCATTGTTGCTGCTATTATTGTTTGAGTTACTGCTACTGTAAGTTTGTGTCCCTCCTTAGTTGTTATAGTTATTGTACTATCTCTTCTAACCGGTTCTATTATTGTATTAATTACCCATATTACTATTTGATTGGAAATTGCTACCACTAATGTTTTGGTTTCCGCTATACTATTATGACTATTATCCACCTCTATTATTATTGTAAGGCTTATTATTCTTTTAGTATCTATTATTATTATAACTGCTGTTCATAGTATGGCCGCCTGGGTTATCATATTAATTGCTTTGCTAACCTGAGTAGTCGCTTTTCACATTTTCTTAAGAGCCTGATTAGTTAGATGTCTAATTTTATTGTGTACTCTTTTCTATATATTGAGGTTAGTTCATTTTATTTTATTTGATTAAATTTTTTAGATTGAATTTTTAAAAATATAAGTAAATTAAAAGAAATTTGATGATTTATTTCAATTTCCCTTTCCCCTCCTTGATTTTTTTCTTCTTCCTCTTTTTCTTTATTTATTTTACTTAATAAGGCAAGCACCTTAAATAATTAGATAATCCATTCAGACTTGCATATAGCAAATATTAAAATCTTAATTCAAAGCACTATTGAAATAAAGAAAAAATTTAATAAAGATATAATCTATCATCAATAAATGAATGAATGAATAAATAAATCAAGGCATTTTATAAATGCATGTTTAATTGCTATACTTGCCATATAATGAAGCAGAAAAAACATAATGAAAACACATAAAAAATATAAGAAATAAATATAAAAATAAATAAATAAATACATAGCTATCTTTTTTGATAGTTGAAATTAATTAATTATCTATTTGATTCTTTTTACTTTCATGATTTATTCACTTTCTTTGAATGAAATCTACATTTTGATAATATATATCTAATAAAGCAATCTATTTTTTCTTTATATTACTCATATGTTATTAATTTGATTTATTTCTAAAAGTTTTTGTGTCTCTTTAGATTACCTTGTTAAGAGATCGATCTCATTTAGAATTGCAAAAACATTAAATTTTTTTCAGTTTAATTTCTTCATTTGAAATTCATAAATTTTAGATTAAAAAATACCTTTTTTCATCAAAAATAAAATTTTATTCATGATTATCATAAACAACTTCGTACAAAATTTATTTAAATTGTATTTTATAAAAGTTTGATAAAATTATTATGCTTGTGGATTTGAAACTGAAAGTTTTGATTTTCAATTTTTTTAACTTATGGATTAAGAATAAAATATGAATTTCAGTAAAATTTAAAATTCGAAATCATATTCGATCAAAAAAAAAATATGATGGTACCACATAACTAAAAATAGGAAAGATAATACTTAAATTAAATAATCAATTAAAATAATGATTTAATAATTTTTGGGAGTATAATTGATTGTCAATTTTATATCTTTTATTTATTAATTTATTAAAATTTTTAATGTTATCTCTAGTAAGTATACTCTTTTGTCTAATACAATTTTAAATCAAATATAAATACTCACAATTAAATTTATCATGAAATTTAAAATATATTTCATATTCATTCATAATTTACTTCATTAAAAATAAATATTAATCAAATTTAACTCAATTTTAAAAATAATTTTTTTTATCAAGCCAGTTTGTGAAATGAATAAACTAGCAAATAAATAAATGAATTTACATATTTATTAATATGTATAAAACTATTTATATCTTTTAAAAAAAGCAAACTAAAACCTTCACTGTATTATTTATTATAAACCCCATAAAAATAATGTTTAAATCTTTTTTAATTTTGTATGTGATGTTTTATAATGTTTATCGTCTTGAGAAATCAACATAAATTTATTAAAAAGAAAATTAAAAATGAAAGATACGTGTTTTAAATTTAAAAATTCTATTTTTAATAATTCATAAATTACTTTTTTAACAAAAATAAAAGTAATTTCTAATCGTTTATGTACTATGCTAATATTTATTTATTAATATTAATTTTTTAATGATTATATCAGTTACCCTTAATATATTTATGATAATCAAACAAAAATTTACCTATTCTTAAAAATAGAGAGAAAAAATAGATAAGAAAATGTTAATTAGTAATTTTTATTATTAGATTAAATATGTAAAATTTAATAAAAAATTAAACACCATGATTATGAAATGTCATAAAAACTATTTAGAATTTTTAGTTTTTATTTGAAAATAAATTTTATTAGTTTAAATTTTTACTTCTCATCAGAGACTATGATTATTAGGGACAATAGTAGTTATTAAAAATGTAAACTGATTATATAAATATTAATTATTGTCTTAGATAAGATAAAGGAAATATAAATTTAATGACTAATATTATTATTATATTATATAGAAAAACTGAATCAAATTTGTTTTAACTATTTCTAAACAAATCATGTTAGTAAAATATTGATTGATATTTTTTTTAATTGTTATTGTTTCCTATTTACCTCAAATTAACATCAAAAATATCAATTTTGCAAACATATATTTTTTATTAAATATTATATTGAAAAATCAAAATAAGGTACTACATTAATTTATTTATTTATTAGTATCTCACATCCTTTGTTGAGGCATTCAAATTTAACCTAAATATAAGACAAATGAATTAGAAAAGGTATATTTCGACCAAAAGGCCTCACAGCACAAACATGTAAGGCGCAAGAGCTGCAAAAATATCTTCTTTGGAGACAAATGATTTTGTATAAAATTAAAATGTGAAATGTAATACATAAGAAGGTAATAAGAGAAATAAGTAAATACAGATTATAACATAAGTTTAAAAAAAAAATGCAGGCACTAATTTTTATCAATAGAATGAAAATAATGACAATTTTGTTAGTATTACTTCATAGGATAATCAATTTTAAGACGAATATAGAAATGTTCATTTAAAATCTGTTATGTTTTCTCAAGATAGTTAACAACTATTTGACGGTAATAATTTCAATCATCCTCATAATTCATTATAAATGAGTACTGGATTTATTGAACCTCCTAATAACCTTTACACTGATGCTTCTTTTGTAGATGAGCATAGAGGTTCTAACAAATACTAACAAAATCATTCAAATATAGTTTAATCTCATTAATCTAGAGTATAGAAGACAAACGCTTTTCACACAAAAATACCACCAAAGAAACAAAATCAAACTCAAATGCTTATTAAGTATATAAATAATGAGGGATAGTCTCTTAATATAAAATAAATAGAGAGAACTAATTTGATTTAGCAGCATCATTTTTATGATGATTTATTTATGGGAAACTAAAAAATTTAAGATATTAAAAATAGCAACAACAAAGACAGTGCAAATAAATAAACTAAGAACAGTTAAATGATTAATGTGTAAAATTTTAATAAAAGCTTTTATGTACAAGTTAATGTAAGTTAATAGCTTTGTAATAAAAGAAATAGTGTTGATTCTAATCTGGTTATGGCGGCTGGTGATCAAGGAAAACAATGTATTTCAGAATAAGTAAACACATAAAGCACAGCTAAAAACTTGTTAGAATACTAAAATTAAAATCAGACACCAGATTAATTTTTAAGGAAGGGAGCTTTTCCAGGAAGGAAATTATCTATTTTGAACAAAGAAACACTAAATTTAATTGTCAAGAAGCTGTCTCATTCTATGCATTAAGAGAGTAGACTTAGTGCATCTTCTTTAAACAATAGCTAGGAAATAAACTTGAATTAATTGGGATAGCAAAATAAAATGCAAAAAGTATCATAAACAAACACCACTAATTTTTTTAATAGAAACTATTCCTTTCAAATTAACAATAGAGCTCAGACTGCTAACAAAACGAGCAGAGATTCTTAGAAATAAACCTGCGTTAAAGGGATATCAATTAAGAAATATTATAGAAATAAAGCAGTAAATAATATTATATAAAATTCAGTAGAGGATAATATTAATAACCTAAGTCTATCAATATTGGCTCCATAATAGGAGTAATGTTAATAATAACAAAGAAGATAAACAACTAGCTAAGATTTTACAGAGAGAAACAATTAGCATTAATACCTTGAAAGCTACTAAAATTTAAGTTAAAATTAGATTGAAAATAATTTTTTAAATGATTAAGATGATAAAGATTATCAGACAAATATTTTGTCTTAAGAAAAAGAATTACAAACAGAAGAAAATATCAGTTAAAATTAGCAGATAAATTTTTTAAAAGGCTAAGCAGAATGTTATAACTCAAATTTAGATCTTGATTAATAAATTACATGCTTTATAAAAGATCCTAAATATTTAAATGTTGCTTAATAAAATAAAAAAAAGAGAAACAGTTCTAATTTTTTGAGTCAATCTTAAACTCACAGATCTAAAGATTCAAATACTAATAAAGCTTAAACTTCTTTTAATTTTTATTAATCAAACTAGAACCAGCTATTAAATTCAACAGGGACTAACTTTAAAATGAATTAGTCTTAGTTGGTAGAGCACAGTAATCACATTGAGAGAAAGCTCTCAAATATGAGCCAAGACTCTCATCCCTACTTAGAAACTTTAGTATTTGGAGAATTTGGAACTCTAGAGTCTGCAGTAGCTAAATCAAATCATTAAAATAAAAAGTAATAGCTAGATTTCAATGAATAAGAAGAACAATTTCAGCTTAATGCTGATGATTAGATTTAACAATATCCCCTCTCTTCTAGATATGCAGAAAAAAATTCAAAACCCAAAAGTAAAAATTTAAATCGGAAGTTAAGAAAAGCCGATAAAAGCCATAATAAATAGACAAAAGGTTTAGAAAATTCTAACGGATCAGAAACTGTTTGTGATTTAACATCATTTAACGATGATAAAAGTATAATAAAAAATAAAAAAAGATGTGCATCTGCAAGAGAATAAGTCTTTTAATCTTAAATACTCTAAAATGAAAACTTAAAAGATAAATTTTTAAAAAACTTAAATCTTAGAGGTTAAAGGCAAGTCAGTTAAGAAGACCTAAGATCTGTGGGATCATAGCTTTCTTTTTAAGAGCAATTTGCTGAAATATAAATTAGTTAAGTAAGTACAAAAAATAATGTTAAAGAAAAATAAAACTAAGAAAATTAAAATAGTATGAGCTAAAATAATCTTAACACATCATATTAATTTTATGATGATTCTGATAAAATCTAGTAAAGTAACCAAGTAGTGTATCAAAAATAGCCTTCGAATGAGTATTAAACTTTATTAAAAGTATATGAAAGAAGTTTGGCAAATAGGACGATTGATAAGTAGGAAGAAGAGCAACTTCTACTAAAAAACAATTGTGATAATTAAAATGTCACCAGGAGGAGAAGTGTCTTAATAGTAAAAAAGGATAATTATTCTCATCTTTCAGAAAATAGTGAGAATCTTTCTAATTTAAAGCAAGTCTACAATAATAATCAAAATAAGGCTACTCAAAATTAAATTAAACCATAAAATGAATTTATGGACATTAAGAATGGAACAAAACTTTAAACACATACTACAATTGATAATAATTAAAGATAAAATACCTCTACTTTGAATACTGATCATTAAATAATAAGTACTTAAAATACAAATGATGTAAACTCTCGTTATTTTGTCAATCAAACGATAAGAAAGTAAGAATTGAATGGCATCTTTTTACCTTACTAAAAGGAAGAATAACAAGTTTGTAAGACAAATTCACAATAAGCCATTTCCTAAAAAATAATCCACTCAAATTTTCCTCAAAAAATTAATTCAAAATTTTTATAATAAAAATAATACCCAACAAACTCTCAAATTTTCTCATTTTTACTACAAAAGCAGAATATAAATTAAAATTTGGAAAATAGTATTTTAGCAATTAATTAAAGAAACTCTTCACTGAACAATAGTTAGTAGGATATTAATAAATTAAAACAATCAAATCAATTAAATTATTAGCAAAGAGGTAACTCTCTTAACACTTCTGCTAATTTTAATCATAATCTATAATAGAAAGACAACTAAAAATAAAAATCAAAAAAAGTAAATTAACCTCCTTACATAATTAATAATAAAATGAAAGCATATGATATGAATAATTAAGATGCTGATGAACTTCTTCAACCATGGAATGATTATACATATGTTAAATATTTTTGATCGATGAAATATATCTCAAAATAAATTAAATTTAATAACTATTTAAAAACTTTAATATTTATTTACATATATTAAATTATTAAATATTTAACTGTTCTAAATATTTTTTTCTTTTTATAGTAACAATTATTCTTTTATTTCTTAATAAATATTTAATTAGTTAATCAGTTTTTGTTAAAAATAATTTTCAAAAATTTTAAATGATTTAATTTGAGTTTTTGATAAATTACATTAAATATTTTAATTTTAGCTAATCTTTTTTTCTTTTAATAAATAATTAATTTCCTTTAATACTATATAGACAAACTCATATTAAAATTTATTTTATAGTAACAAATTTAAAAATAATTTGAGTTAAATTCATTTGAAAAAAAAATTTTTAGATTTTAATTTTTATCTTTTTATCAATTTAACACATAAGAATTTTTATTAATTTTCAAAATAATTTTTTATTAGAATTTAAAAAGAATAATTAAAAATAAAAATAAATAAAATATCTAAATTTTATTTTCCTTTTTCTTAAACCCTAATAAAAATTCTATTTTTGTTATTATTTATTATTATTAAACAAGAAATAAATACTATGAACCTAGATGCGTTATACCACCAAGGTATACTTTTACTATAAGAATCATCCATAATTTATATATTAAACTTAAAGAAAGTATTATAAAAAAGATCACAAAATAAAATAGATTATCTTTTTCTTCTGATTACTGGAGCAATTTAGCAAACAGGGCTTATGACAATTTAAGTATCATTTTTTGATGATGAATTTTGCCTAAATTGATATGCGTTAAATGCAATAGAAGTTATATCATCTCACAATGGCTATAAAATTTTTGAAACCTTTATTTAATGTATTTAAGAATTTGGAATAGAGAAAAGCGCATTGTCAAATTGCAATGAAAAGAATAAGAGACTAAATCAAATAATATGTTCAATAGGATAAAGATTAATTATCAGTTATTCATGCAATCACTACTGATTTAGGAAAAATTATGATAAAATTTGTCAAATACTTATCATCTGATATTAATATTTGACACATTCCTTGCTTTAGTTATGCACTTCATTTAGTACTTTAAAAAAGTATGTAATAATATTTTGAATAAATAGCATACTGGAAAAATCAAGAAAATTTACTAAACATTTTGGAGAATCTCGTTTAAGACAAGATCTAATTAATTCTGCTTCAAAGTAGATTATTTATAACAAATAAAATATGAAATAAATGAACTTATAGAAATTAATACTAACGAGCATAATTCTTCCAATCAAATCAAATAATTTTAGAACTTTCTTGCTAAATTCCTAAAAAACCCACTTGAATTTTATGGTAACTAGGCAGAAAGAGGATGCAATATCGCCTAAAATAAATAACAGTATCCCATTATTTACTGATCTGAACTAGCTCCCTCCTATTTTCAGTAGATTTAAAAATGATTTTTACTTACTCATATCATTCCTTTACTTTATAATACACGAGAAGTAATTCTATTAAATTGCCTTTGTCCAGGTTTTAGAAAGCAATAAAATTTACAAACATATTCAATAATAATGCAAAATATTCTAGTCTTTAAATTGCATACATCATGAATTTTATAATAATTTTTAATAAAAAAATATAATTTAATTATTTATCAATAGATGAATAGATATTATTGCAAAATTACCTTTTTTTTTATATGAGATGGGAAAAATTAATTAATATTTTGATGATAATGGTATTTAAAATAAACTTTGGTAAATGTTTTACTTATTCAATATTTAACTTTTTATAGTGAATGATACAGGAGTTTATATCATAAATTTCCAAAAATATTCAAAATGCAAAAGAATTTTAATTAAGTACATATTTGTATAAATTAATTTAAACTTATTTTTATTTTATATATTAACAAGATAAATAGATTTATTTACTTCAAATAAAGATATCAAAAAATATTTTACAATTATGTATCTAAAAATAAATAAATATTTTGTTTTGATATGATAAAATAAATACATTTATTAATCAATTAACTAATTTGTTTACGATTTAAATGAGAAATAATAAATTTATTAAGTAACTAACTATAATATTTAATAAACGCTCTCAAATAAAAATTAATTAAGTAACTTGCTATAGTAGGAAATAAACAAATTTAATATAATATAATAGGTTAATTTAACTAAAAATGATAGTTGTTAATAAATAGGCTAACTCAAATGTAACTTAGACTACTGTCCGTAATTTTTATCCAAAGAATCCTCCTAAATCAGCAGCTTCTCATTCAACAATGACTTATTCAAATGATAATTTGTTTAAAAGCTAGCATGTTTATTCTCCTCATAATTAATTTAGTTAATCAACAACTCCGAATGCAAAAAATTTTAAAATTGAAGAATACAGCAGTGCATATGGAACTCCTAAGTATTCAATAAATTAATCTAAATCCTAAAAAGTATTTCATAATACAGCTTAATCCTTCTTCAAACCATAATAAAATGAGTTAAGTGTTTCACAGTCTTAACATCAACTTACTTTTAGTCAAAATTTTAATAACATAAGTAGTAAAAAGTAAACTGAGGAAGGAGACAAAGAGAAATTGCTAGATGCAAAGAAAGTAAGACAGCAAACTGAAATGAATGTAAATTTGCTGAAGAATAGAATACATCTGCTGGAGTTAAAAGAAAAAGAAACTGTGAATAAAATGATCTAAACGTAAAAGAAAACTATTGACATTATTATGAATAAAACAAGTCACTAATAAAAAATTCAGAAAAAGTAAGAATCCCTTCTAAAAGAGCAAGAAGAGTTGATAAGAAAATAAATGGAAGTAAAAATATTGAGAGAATAAAAAAAAACAAAAGATGAAATATTGAAGTAAAAAAGAGTTCAATCTGCCTAGCTTCAAGCTAAAAGGATAAAAGATCTTAAAAGTTTATATTCTACACATTTACAATACATGCAAGAAGAAATGTGGTTAAGGAATGCTTAAAGCTACGAAACTGTCAAGCTCCAAGAAAAAGAATAAGAAATGAAGCGTAAATAACTTGAGGATAGTAAGAAAAATCTGGCTCACCAATTATACAAAAACAGATGTAAGTAGGAGATTTCAAAAAAAGCTTAAAACGAAATGTAATATTTAGAACTTGAACGCAAAGAATAAGAGTTATTAAAAAAGCTTGAAGCTTCTTAAAATTTATAATATTTAGCATTTACTGAACTACAAAAAGCTCTTAGTCCTTAACATGGTTAAAGCATTTCAAATAATTCCAGTACTAACTTCAAATAGAGCACTCATAATTATTACATTGAATGATATATTAAAAAAATTTATTTTATTGGCATTGTTTATTCGTTTTTTAAATTAATTACTTTATATAAAAATCTTTTAAAAAATCAAAATAAATAAAAATTTTATAGATTGATTTCTTAATTTAAACGAATTAATAAATAATAAAACTAACAGATAGATTATTTACATAGAATAAAAATTTTAGAAATTTTAAAATAAATATTTATTGATTTAATAATAAATGAAATAATGTCTAAATTAAAGTATTGTTTTAAATCAACTATTAATGATTATCAAAATACCTTTAATTCTCATTCATAAACAAAATTATATTTAAAATTTTTAGCATTAATTAATTTTGTTAAATCTAAATGGCATTTTACTCTAGATTTTATGTTGAAGCAATTAAAAATAAAAAATTAAAGTATTTTAAATTATTTCGAGGTTTAATTAATAATTTTTTTAAATTTAAAGAGCTATTATTACACAAATACTTTTAACTCTATCTTTTAATTGCTAAAATAATTAAAAATATAAAATTTATATAAGAAAAACTAAGATATTTATATATATATCATTTTTAAATATTGATAACTCAAGATATTAACTCATTTTTATGCCACATTTTATGATAGAATATTGAAAATTATTATAGTAAAATTAAGTAATTAGTTTAGATTATTTTTCACTAAATTATTCTAGAATTTTGTTTTTATTAAGATAAAAATGAAGGATGAATCCTACTTTCATTTAAATTTTTTTAAGGAGAGATTGTTGGCATTGTTATTTTTTTTATATCAGATTTTGTGTCTTTTTCTTTAATCTTTTAAAACTCTTTAACAACCTGTCTGTATTCATTGAGTGTTTTTCCAGGAAAACACCTACGAACATTGTTAATTGAAAATGAGTCATCGAATTTTTCAAGATCATCAACATATGTCTGTTTCTATTTAGGCAATATTATAAATAAAGTTAAAAACCATAAATGAAATTAAATATTTTACCTCTGGGTCATTTATTGAAGAGTAGTATGTCGTTATTTGCTTTTAATTAGAAAATTATTCATTATCAGAATAAGTGGTTGAGGGTTATTTAGATGTTGAACTAAATCTTTTTTTAGTTTGAGATGTAGTCCTAAAATCAACGCTATTCAACGTTTGATCTCTCACTATTTTAGACTACAAGGTCATAGTTTTCACAAATGAATTATTTAGCTTTGACTCAATTTTATCTATTTCACCTGAAAGCAATCCTCTGAATTCTGCTTTATCAGTGATTTTTTCTGGCCACTTTTCAGATTTTGGCTAACTTAAATCATTAATATGAGGATTTTATTTATGGACTATCGGAGATTTAAGGTATTTTAATGGAAAACTAGTTGTTGTAGTAGCTGATAAAGAAGCAGAGTGGATACTCCTATTTTTACTGTTGACAGAAAATGAATTTTAATGAGCATACAAATCAGATTCATTAATTTGATTCTAGGTTCTATTTAGATTTGATCTATCATCAATAATATGAGCAGGTGCTGTGTTATATTCTAAGAAAGAATCTTCTTTAGTAAAGTTAACTTTTTTTATATTTTGATTTAATTAACTCTCATTATACATTTAGTTTTCACTTTCAGTGTTATTTTTAAGCTCTTTAGACCTAGAAATTTCAGTGACTGACATTTCATTTAAAGGATTATAAGGATTTTCCATAATCATACTATTTGAGAAATTTCCACCTGCTTAGTTTTCAGTGTTGTTCTAGCTGTAAGACCTACTTTTCAGTGAGCTCTTCAGCTGAGAATTCTTTTTATATATTTTTTATTCTGCTACTTCTTGTACCAAATCAGCAGTATTCTTCATTTCATTAGGATTCATTGGTTTTTCTAATATTTAAGATATGCTGCCATTTCCAAAAGCTGGAGGATTTTATTAGAATTTCTTTTGAAAATCTAATTCATTTGATAATGAAGACATTGAATAGTTAAAATTTTAATAATTTTGATGCTAAAAATTAGCTATTGGTGATTAACCAGATATTTTTTTCTCCATAAGTATTGCGCTAGCACTAGCATCAAATGGTACGTTGGTATCTTTTTGATATTAGTTATTGAAAATATTATTGATTTTGTTTTTGAAGGCTTCAGACTGCATAGAACTGTTGATAAAATTAGAACTTTAACTGCCATTAACAGAAGCTCCAAAAGTTAATAAGACATTTTTATTATTATTTTATTAAATATTTTAATTAGTTGATTAACTGCTTTGTGATGCCATAGTATACTATCTGCCAATTAAATTAGTATTTTGATCGTTATTATTTGAGTATGGCTTTTATTAATTATATTTATTTTTATCTAATTCATATTATGCATTGATCTTTCTAAGGTAATCTCTCTCTTATTCCAAGAACTCCTCATATTACTTCTTTAAAAGCGCTTCTTGTTTTTACTTTTCAGCCACTTCAGGGTTTATTTAGCTCTTTGAACGAACCTTAATAATCTCTAAGACAGGCCTTGAGGGATTAGGAAGAGGAGAAGTTCTTTTAGATAAAACTTTTTATTACATTTAAAAATTTTTAATACTTCTTTCTTTGAAATTATTTCTAATTTTTTCCATATTAACTTTGACTAAAGAATTTTTAAGCTCTTCATCTTATTACTCTTTTTCAATCCTTTTATTTATATTTTCCACAGCTTAACTATCTTTTTCTATTATTTTCATATTAAATGATTGGTTTAAGTACTTTTAGCTTTTTTGGTTTAACTCATTCCATAAAGTAGGAGCGAATCCAGTTAAGTAATGCGTTCCCTACTGAGATTTATTCAGTGTTCTCTTAACTTTAATGCTTTCTTCTTGCATAGACAAATCATTTAAGTTTTTTTCATTGATATTGTATATAAATTATTATGAGTCTAATTGAACATTGATTCTTTCCATTTTTCTTTCATGAAGACGGTCGAGAGCTTCTTTTCTCATGAAATTTATAACCGTTTTATGTTACTGCTTCAAGTTTTCTTCCTTTTAAACTTCTTGCTGTTACAAAGCAAGCCTCTTATCTAATCCCAAAGTTTCATTTGCATCATGGAAGAATTAAAGATATTTTCTACTAAATCGATACTTATTATTCCACTAATTTTCATTCTACATATTTGTATAATATTTACTGTCTTTCAAAATATCTTTTCCTGTTTCCTTGATATGCGTATACTCTGGCAATTTTTTAAGGAGATAATAATTCTCCATTGCAGGACGTTCATTTAAGTTGATCATTTAATATTTTTTGATAAATGGTTTATAAATGCTTTAATTTATCTAGAAAGAATAGAAATGAAGCTCAGAAATGTCTTCTAATAATGATATAATTGGATTTAAATTATGATCTATTTAATTCTAATGATAATCCTTGCTAAATTCTTTTAAGTAAAATTTATACCTTTTTATACACTATCTTAATCTTTTTATTTTAATTAATAGTCAAAGTAATAAAATTGAATGATATAAAATTTATTTGTTAATAAGAGTTACTTTGATTAATTTATATTTTAATATTGCACTAAATACTATTGATGAACAATACCTTCTTATTCACTAATAAAAACAAACCTTACAATTAAATATGCTATTAGCCATTCCTTTTCTTCTATGTAAATTTAAAAAATCCTTTCGCTTTATTTTCCTACATATTCGACTTATTCCTTAGAATAATCAAAACTATTAAACAAAATACTAATTAGTTTTATGAATTATGAATGCCAAATATCTTATTTAAAACCAAAAATATATCGCACTATCCTTCATAAATAGATTAACTCAATTATTTTAAATTAAGTCATAAGTCTATATGTTTATAATTATTTATTATTTAGACAAATTTTTTTCTATTTTTGATTGAAATCTTTTTTGTTCTAAATATTTTTTTTAATCAATTTCTAAAACTTAATTTCCATTAAAAATACTTATTTGAAAATCTAATTTTAAAATTTCATTAAGCTCAATAAAAATATTTACATTTAAAAATACATTTCATATTAAAAATATAAACAAAATTTAATTCTAAAAGATTAAAATAAATCCTCTAAACATATTTTTATTAGTCAAAAATTTAATTTAAATTAAATTCATCAATTTTTGTTTTTTTGGCCAAAATACTCTTTGGCATATTAGAATAATGAAAATTTGGAGTCTTTTTATCTGAAATATTCAGTGTATCTATGTATGAGATTTATAACATAAGAAATATTTTTATTTTGTAATTCATCTATTATTTCTTGAATGTCATCAAGTTCTTTATCTTTAAACGAACAGAAAATCATTTCTCTTTAGGCTAGACTTGCAGCTACCCATTAAATCAAAAATTTTAGTTATGGGTCACCCATAAAAATACCGCATCCCCATCTTCCTGTAGAAATTTAAAACTTTTTACCATTTCCTAAAGATTGTTCAGACTAAATTAGTTCTTATCCTCCATGGAAGCCTATATATGCCTTCAATAATTCTCTAATAATGCTATTCATTCTGTACTAAATATTTTAATCATATGATTAACCATAATGAATTGCATCAATTGCCAATACAGCTGTCAATTTTCTATTTTAACTATCTAATTTTATATTGCTTTAATCTACTCTTCCTTCACAATGAAAAGAATCTCCATAACCACTATATTTTGTGTATATTTCAGATCCTATAATCATTATAGCTTCCCTATCTTCCATTTTTGGGCAAAAAAGTCTGCTAATTATTAATTCTGGACTTATCATGAATCTAATTTCTTCTTAAACTAATCCGTGATCAAGAACTCCTCCTCCTATATATATATATATACATATATTAAAAATAAAATTAAAGAAATATTGTCTATTTTAATCAAAAATGCATATTTCTGACATAAAATTACGCTTAAAATCAAATTATTTAAAAATCAAAATATTTTTCATTGCTTTTTAAGTTAAATTAGTTTTTATTTTATTTATTTAAATATTCTTTACCTATATACGCATTAGCAAAGTCTAAGTGTATGGCATCTTTAAAGTCCTCAATATTTGCATCTTTTTCGTTGGTTACTTTTATAAGTTTGGTGGTGTTTTATTTCCAAAATATACTTACATCAGAGTTAGAATGGATATTTTAATCAAAAACAATTCTGTGGTAGGTAACCTTTTGTTATTCATATTCACCTGGTCTATTTTCAATAGCTTCCTTCACTGAGAGGAAGTAGTTGTAAATGCAAATAATTTTTTCTATCTTTCTATCTGACTAGTTATAATTTAAGCTTCCTGTATATAATGATTTGAAGCTATTACCATAGGGTATATTTTTAGAGATTTGAGAAGAAAGAGTACAAAAGAACATATTAGCTAAGAAAGTAGCTACCTATCTTTTAGTAAGAGTTATCTTTCCTTCTTTATTTTATACTAATATAGGAACATCGTCTAGTTGAGTGATCTCTAAAGCTAACTTTGCTATAAAAGGTACTAAATTCTCAAAAAAATCGCTTTATTTTTCCTTCAAATAATTAGTCACAAATATTTTAAGAGAATCTAAGTTAATATTTGATGAGCTTGTGTTAGATATTCTTATTAATTAAGTTAATTGAGTAAAAAATTCATGCCTTTTTATATGCTTTTTATCTGCTAACTCTTTTAATATCCTTTCTTTATTGATCCATTATTTTTAATCATAATAAGGTAGTTAATAAATATTTTCTATTTTTTGTTTAGCTTATCTGATTTCTAAAATTTATCTGATCTTCTATTACTCCTCAGTTTCAATTTCGATTTCAACCTCTAACTCTGTTTCTGTATCAGTCTCTGTTTCATTCTCATATATTTATTTTATTGTTTTTTATAATTCTCTTCTTTTCTCTTCCCTTTCTGATGGGACACTCTCTTTATACCCATTTGAATTTTCTAAAACAGAAATCTTCTTGATTTGCTCATCTCTTTCATCAATCATTCTTCTGCTATCATCATCTTTTAAAAATATTTTTATTACATGCAAGACTTCTCAACTTTTGAAAATCAAATAATAAACTCCTTATAATATAATAATAGTAGTACTTTTAAATGCTTCAATAGAACTGAAATTGTTTCTAGAGGTTGACTTAACTATTCTCTCTACTTTGAAGAGACTTGTTATTTTAGTTAATTGAGTTGTCTATGGCTTTTTTTTATTATTATTTCCAGAATTGCTCTTTTCTCCTGTTAAAAACTTTTTATTCATTTTATTAGATATGTTTGATATTATTTTTTATTAATATTAATATATTATCCTTGAATGTATTTTTGTTCAAATATTGAATTTAAAACGCGCTAAGGTAATTATTAAATTTTTATCAGTAATTAATCAGTATTGTATCTTAATTAAATTTTCTCTTTATTATTCATCAATCAAACAATCTTTCTAAGCAAGCATCAAAGTTTCATATAAAATTTAATTAAAAAGAATTTAATTCAACAACAACAAAAAAGAAAGCAAAATAAATTATTAATCTATTCAAAAAAATAAATATATATATATATAAAATAAAATCAATGGATATCATCTTTTTTAGTAATTAATTTTGTGTCTAAAACACAAATCAAATCATAATTATAAATCTAATTGAAAATATTAATCATAACTAGTATATCTATTGTGTGATTATTCATTCTTTTAGTAATATATATTTTTAAAAATTGATTCATTTTTGAGTAATTTACATTTTTGGAAATAAAAATTTGTAAATAAGAATCAATTTATGAATATTCAAAGTATAATCCAATATGAATAAATACTATTTATTGCTTAATAGGATTTACAAGAATCATTTATGATTAATGTTAACTATAAATTAATAATATCTTTAAAAATAAAATTGTTACAGAATACGTTCCATTTATTTGGAAGATTATTTTAAAATATTAAAATTAAATAATACTTTAAAAAATAAAATACTTTTATTTTATTATAATAGCTTTTTATTTAAATACAGAAAATAATAGATATTCATAATACTTTTTTTTGTTTTTCTACGAAAGAGATAAATAAAAATCCCTTTGTAGAAAAGCAATTTAGAATTGATAACTCAAAATGGAAGATAGTATTTTTCAAACAAATTAAAAAGAAAACTTTAAAAATACTAAAACCCTTTTATTTAATAAATGATAGAAGATGATACGAACAACGAAGAAGACAAAAATAAGTAATTAAAGCTAAAATATTTCAAGAATTTACCATTTTATTCTACTTTAGTTGTTTCCCTACGCTGATGGATGCATTCAATTAACAAACAGCAAGTAATTAAGTAATATTAGCCATTTTATAAAATAAAGTAGAATTATTTTTAGATTTTAAAGTTTTTATGAAAATAAAATTAATGATTTAGTTAATTTATATACCCATTTTTATTTAAAAAGTTGATTCATAGGTGAAGAATTAGGATAATAATAATTTACTTTCTAATAATATACTTTAAAGAAATGATAGGTTATTTATTTAGATATTTACAATCTTATTTATATATTTTTAAAAATAATTTTAAGGACTCAAGTTTAGTAATTTCAAGATAAGAAACCCTACAGCCAACCTAATCCTAAACTAGAAAAGTTTTCTTTCCTATTCGGCGAATATGAAAAAAGCATTAAAAAAACTAATAATACTATTAATTGATAATAACGTATCAAGTAATTATAATTATATATTCTAATTTATCTCTTAATTGATATTTTTGTGTTTGCTTCGTTTTTATTTTAAAAAATAAAAATATTTTGTATTAAAAATATATTTAAAATAAACAAAAAATAAATTTATTTTTACTTTATTTTTAAAAATTAAATCATATAATTTTTTTAATTTATTTTTCAATCATTTTAAAAAATATTTTTTTAAATTTAAAATAAAAAAGCAAACAATAATTTTTTTATCTTGACTAATTCAATTTATTTTTAATATTTATATTTTATTTTTTTTAAAATCATTTTTTTTAAAAATAAAATTCAAACAAAATATTTTGAAATTGAATAAATATAAAAGCATTATTCTTTTTTGATTATTTTTATTTCAAAAAAAAGTATAATGTTTGTAATTTTAATTAATTAAATATGAATGATATAACATGTTAAGATTAACTTAAATTTTTTAAATATGGATTTGGATAAAAACCAGTAATTAACTAATTTATTTTTAACAAAAAAAAATTAAAGATATTTTATTAATAATTTCATATTTTGATATAAATTTATATGAAGAATTAATTAATTCATAATATCAAATTAAAAACAAAGGCTAATATGAAATTTATTTTACAGTTCAATAAAATTATATTAATTAGTTAATTTACTTGCTTTTTTTACTAACCTATTTGCTTTTTATTTTTATTATTTCAAACTCACAAAAATAAAGCAGCAAAAATGGCTGCAGAGGCTATAAGAAGCTTAGCACTGCTTTTAACAATACATTAAGAATTGTCAGAGCTAGCTTGTGTTTTAGCAGGGTTAGCACTAGAATTGCAAGAAGTACAAGCATTAGTTGAAATAGTTGCACCTGATGCTGTCAATTATGAACAGTCAGCGATGGCACATTTTGTTCCAGAAATTTACCAGTTATCAGTCTTAGCACCAGATTTACCACAATTAGCATCATTGCAAGCACCATTTTTAAGGCAATCAATATTAGTAGTTCCTGCAGTAGCAAGTGAAACAGCGAAAAGGCAAAACAAAGCGAAAATAATCTTGGAGTTCATTTTTTTTATTTGAAGAATTTTTTTTTAAGTTTATTATTATTTTAATTTTTAATTTATTTTAATTCATATTTGTTTTAAGATTTGGTTGTAATTTAAAGCTTACGAAAATATCTTAAACATTTATAAATTTTAAGTTTATTGGTACTACTGATTGGAATGGCTAAACTGATTAATTTATTTTGATATTTTCTTTTAATCTATACTAAAATAAAACAAAGTAGGTTTGCTGTTTTTGTCTATTTCAATTAAATTGATTTCCATCAAAGTAAAAGAATGCTAATATTTTATAAAAATAAACTAAGAAAAAATGAATGCTAATTTGAATTTAAAATAACTAATTCATATTTTCAAAGAAATAAAATATTTTAATAAATACTTTAATTAAGATAAAAATTTTGATTTAAACTTTGATGATGATTTTTGAAAGTAATATTTCTACACAAATACATTAAAATAAAACTATAAATTTGATATAAGCTACCTTATGTAGCATTAGATATTTATATTGCCAGCCTAATGTAATTTTTAAAAATTAAAAATTAAAATTTGCGGTGGTTATTCAAATTTCAAAATCAGATATGACAGAATTTATTAATTAACCTAATTTAATTAAAATTTAATGTTTTAACTTGAAACAAATTTACTATTTTGATGTGTTAAATCTAATTGGATTTACTCTAACAATTATTTGTAACCAATCAAATCATAAGTGCAGTAAAAAATTGAAGTAAAATTAATATTCCTTAATAAAATATGTTATAAAATTCTAAATTATTAAACTATAAACGTTAAATACAATTTTTATATCTAAAAATCTTTTTTATGATAGCAAATTTAAATTTTTAAGTGTTTTTTTATAAATTTTTATAAAATAAATTTATTATTTTATTACTTTAGACATAAAAATTATTATTTTTTTTAAATCATTTTTTTGAAAAATAAAATTCAAACAAAATACTTTGAAATTAAAAAAATATCAAAGCATTATTTTTTATAGATTATTTTTATTTCAAAAAGTATAATAATTGTAATTTTAAGTAATTAAATATTATATGACAGGTTAAGATTGACTATCAAAATATGTATTTAGATAAAAACCAGTAATTAATTTATTTATTTTAACAAAAAAATTTAGGATATTTTATTAATAATTTTATATTTATATATATTTGTATGAAGAATTAATTAATTCATAATATCAAATTAAAAACAAAGGCTAATAAGAAATTTATTTTACAGTTGAATAAAATTATATTAATTAGTCAATTTACTTGTTTTTTTTACTAACATACTTGTTTTTTATTTTTATTTTTTCAAACTCATAAAAATAAAGCAGCAAAAATGGCTGCTGAGGCAATAAGTAGCTTAGCACTACTTTTAACAATACATTAAGAATTATCAGAGCTAGCTTGAGTTTTAGCAGGGTTAGCACTAGAATTGCAAGAAGTACAAGCATTAGTTGAAATAGTTGCACCTGATGCTGTCAATTATGAACAGTCAGCAATAGCACATTGTGTTCCAGAAATTTACCAGTTATCAGTCTTAGCACCAGATTTACCACAATTAGCATCGTTGCAAGCACCATTTTTAAGGCAATCAATATTAGTAGTTCCTGCAGTTGCAAGTGAAACAGCGAAAAGGCAAAACAAAGCGAAAATAATCTTGGAGTTCATTTTTTTTATTTGAATAATTTTTTTTTTAGTTTATTATTATTTTAATTTTTAATTTATTTTAATTCATATTTGTTTTAAGATTTTGTTACAACTTAAAGCTTATAAATATTTCTTATACATATATAAATTTTAAATTTATTGATAATACTGATTGGAATAACTAAATTAATTAATTTATTTTGATATGATCTTTTTATCTATTATACTAAATGTTTTTTAAATTGTAAAATTTAAAAATAAAGTAAAATAGGCTTGCTAGTTTTGTCTATTTCAATTAAATTGATTGCAATCTAAGTAAAAGAGAATGCTAATGTTTTATAAATAAAACAAGCTAAGAAAAAATGAAAACAAATTTGAATTTAAAATAACTAATTCTTTTATTCAAAGAAATAAAATATTTTTATAAATACTTTAATTCTGATAAAAGTTTCGATTTAAACTTTGATGATGATTTTTGAAATTAATATTTATACATAAATACATAAAAATAGAACTAAATATTTGATATAAGCTACCTTATGTATCATTAGATATTTTTATTGTCAGCCTAATGTAATTTTTAAAAATTAAAAATTAAAATTTGCGGTGGATATTCAAATTTCAAAATAAGATATTACAGAATTTATTAATTAACATAATTTAATTAAAATTTAAAGTTTTAACTTGAAAAAAATTAATTATTTTGATGGTTTAAATATAATTGGATTTACTCTAATAATTATTTGTAACCAATCAAAATCACAAGTGCAGTATAAAATTGAAATAAAGTAATATGTATCTATTAATAAATAAAATATGATGATAAAATTCTAAATAATTAAACTTTCAACATTAAATACTAATTTTTTTATCTAAAAATTATTTTAATGATAGCGAATTTCAATTTTTAAGTTTTTTTAAATATCTTGTAAAATAAATGTTATTTTGATAGATTTAACATAATAATTAAGTACAATATAAATTTATAAATGAATAAAATATAATTTGCTATAAATAATGTTCAAATACGCAACGATTATTACTAAGATAAACAAAATTGAGCTTTAATAAAATAGATTTAAAAAAATTATCTAAGGTAAATTTAATAAATTCGTGTAAAATATTAAATAAATATTAAAAATTATTTTTTTTTTACAATTTTTACTTTAAAGAAGCATTTTATTTGGAGGGTATTATTTTAAAACATTTTAAAAACTTTTTATCAAATTTATAATTAAAATTAATTTAAATTTTGAAAAAATAGATTTAAATTATTTATTAACTAATTTATCTTTAACAAATAAATTTAGGATATTTTATTAACAATTTCTTATTTAGATATAAATTTTGTATGAAAAATTAATTAATTCATAATATCAAATTAAAAAACTAAGGCTAATATGAAATTTATTTTACTTACAATTCAATAAAATTATATTAATTAGTTAATTTAGTTGCTTTCTTTTCTAGCCTACTTGTTTTTTATTTTTATTTTTTCAGACTCACAAAAACAAAGCAGCAAAAATGGCTGCACTGGCAATAAGAAGCTTAGCACTGCTTTTAACTATACATTAAGAATTATCAGAGCTAGCTTGAGTTTTAGCAGGGCTAGCACTAGTATTGCAAGAAGTACAAGCATTAGTTGAAATAGTTGCACCTGATGCTGTCAATTATGAACAGTCAGCA